GGGGGGGGGTTGAAACTTGAGACAACATGGATCTGTTAAATGGAGAATAAATTTGTCTAGCCTCAGAGGCTTCGGCGGGACTTCAGGTGATATCTCTGAGGGAATTCGCCCAGGCTGTGAAGGACTCTCTGAATTTTGACGCGCGTCCTCCTTTTGGAATGTCGTTTGGAATATGAGGCCGTTCCAGCAGCGCATCAAGCCGAGAGGACCGTCTGGCCTTTGAACAGCCTTGAGCAAACATATGTCAAGACTCAGGAGGACCAAAAACAGAGCGGGAAGCGCATTCTGCCTCTATGCTCCAACGTGGCAGCTCCGGTGGATAATGCGGCCAAAAGCGCCGTTCGCGAGATGGACCAAATCAAATGGACATGCTGGCCGCATGTGCACGACAGTCTCCCTCTACGACACCTGCCCTCGAATTGTCCACTCTTGGTTTCAAAGCCAAATCTGGGCTTGGTTCATTTCGCTGGTTTTCCTTCAAGTTGTTGACACTATGGTGGATCCTTCTTCATAGGAGTCTCCTATCGCGCCCCAATAACTGAGAGAGGCATCCTTTGTGCCCCTGGGAGGGCGAGCACCGCCCAACATGCTCCTCCTCCACCTCATCTCCCGCCTTCTCCCCCTCTTCGCACTCATCACATGTTCCCTTGCGGCAGAAGATCTCTACAAAATCCTTGGATTGGACAAATCTTGCTCGGACCGCGACTTGAAGACAGCCTATCGAAAACTTTCCAAGAAGTACCATCCAGACAAAGCCACAGGGGACGAGAAGAAGTTCCTAGAAGTCACAGAGGCATATGAAGCGCTATCGGATTCAACGACCCGCAAGATATATGACCAGTATGGCCATGAAGGACTAGAGAACCATAAACGAGGAGGCGGCGGAGGTGGCCACCCACATGACCCTTTTGACCTTTTCTCCAGATTCTTTGGTGGCGGAGGTCATTTTGGTCGTGGGGCCGGTAGCGGCGTGCGAAGAGGTCCAGACCTAGAAGTCCGTCTGCATGTCCCACTACGAGACTTCTACACGGGTGGGGAAACCGAGTTCACAATTGAAAAGCAACAAATCTGCGAAGAATGTGAAGGGTCAGGTTCAGCAGACGGGCAAGTGGAGACTTGCCATAAATGCGGTGGCCGAGGCATTGTGATCCAGAAACACATGCTCGCACCGGGTATATTCCAACAAGTCCAGATGGGGTGCGACCAGTGCGGTGGACAGGGAAAGACCATCAAGAACAAATGCAAAGTATGCGGGGGAGCCAAAGTGGTGAGAGGTCCCACGACTTTAACTGCCGTGATTGAAAAGGGAATGCCCAAAGGTCACAGACTCGTCTTCGAAAGTGAAGCCGATGAGCATCCAGACCACGTCGCAGGAAACCTTTACGCGTACATAATGGAATCAGAACCAGTTATCAACGAAAATGAACGAGACCGAACCGACGGAACCTTCTTCCGCCGGAAAGACAACGACCTTTACTGGAAAGAGGTCCTCTCTCTCAGGGAGGCCTGGATGGGCGAGTGGACGCGGAACATCACGCATTTGGATGGTCATGTTGTCCAACTGTCCCGCAAACGCAGAGAGGTCGTTCAACCCGGTCAAACCGACACAGTCAAGGGCGAAGGGATGCCCATTTATCACGAGGGACACGTGCACGAGCATGACCATGATGGCCCTGAGTTTGGGAATTTGTATGTGCAGTACGTGGTGGTGCTGCCAGACCAGATGGAGGCGGGGATGGAAAAGGAGTTTTGGGCTCTGTGGGAGAAGTGGCGGAAGAAGAAGGGGGTGGATTTATTGAAGGACAGTGGAAGGCCAGAGCCGATTGTATCAGTAAAAGATGAGCTGTAGATCTTTTTGAGGGCTTGGAATCTTAGATGCGCGCTCGATTGGGCATGTCATACTGCGTTCCTTTTCCGTCTGTCTTGTTGTTTGGATCTCCTGCCAGCCCTGGATCCAAAGTGCCTCGGTGCTACCAGCAGAAGCATGATACAAGGAGAAAGGGTGTCGTACAATGATATCTTAGACGGCGTCGTCGATTCAAGTGGCAAGTTCGTTGGCCTCTCCTCTCGCCGCCCTATTGCCCAGAGGCGCATAGTTATTGTACTCTGTACCTCGTACATACATATGTACCTCGTAATCAGGTCCATGATATCCACGTGGTGAAAAAAGGGCGAGAATTTGTCACTACTCATCCTTGATTGGCCCCTGACGCATTGCTCTATCTAGCCTCGCGCCTCTCAACTTCAGTCTTCCATTACCATTATGCATCAGCTTCAGGATGATTAAGAAAGGGGCACTAATTATGAGTTCAACGCCGCTCAAATGTTGCGCGAATTTCCTTTTGCTTCCGGCTGTGCCGTTGCTGCAGTATTTATTCACAGGGGCATTCAGACGCTTTACAGCTTGATTTTCGCCCTGCACATGTACATCATCTTTCGTTTGTCAAGATGCAGGAGGATCAGGGTGCCAGCCAGAAGTGCAATCTGATATGCCGGCTGCGGAGAGGGTCGGGGACTAAAGGGGAGAAGACCTTGTCCGAGAAGATACATGAAGGAATGCTATCGGCTTTGCCGATTGTCCGCCTCCACCTCCGTGAGCCCGGTGCCGAATTTCTTGGGACGCTCGTTGTACGCTTTCCCCATTACCCCATCTTGTTGGGATCTACCAATCAAACTAACGAGACCCGGCTTTGCAGATGGTGCTGTTTCTGGAAGGAGTTGTCGCTCAAGTGACCATTTCGGAGAGGAAATTTGGTTCATATCTGTCGATCAACGTTGTCACGGGCATCGCTGTGATGCTGGGCATGCTGACTGCCGGCCCGGTTACAGGGGCCCATTTGAATCCGGCAATCACTCTCGCCTTTGTGGTATTCCGGCGCTTTCCTCTTCGAAAGGCTCCTGGATATATTGTCTCTCAGGTACGGTGCTTTTTTCCACCATCTTCTTTTACGTTTTCAACAGATGCTAATCTCGTTAGCTTCTGGGCGGCTTTACCGGAGCGGCACTGGTTTATGCCAACTACAGAAGCGGCATCGATTTCGTCGAAGGACATGATATCCGCACCCACACAACAGCAGTCATCTTCAGCACCTATCCTCAGCCATACCTGACCAAAGTCGGTCAGCTATTCTCCGAGTTTCTAGCAACTTCTTTGTTGAGCGTGGGGATATTCTCAATTTCCAATACTGGACATACGCAGGTTGTTCGCGACCTGGCGCCGTTGTGGGTTTGTCTACTCGTCCTTTGCATCGGCGGCGCCCTTGGACTCGAGACGGGCTACGCCATGAACATGGCCAGAGACTTTGCACCTCGTTGCTTTGCGTAAGCACCCCAAAACTGCATTGTGATACGAAGTGGAGGCTAACATAGCTTCAGATATTTTGCCGGTTATGGACCCGAAGTTTGGACATACGGGGACAACTATTGGTGGGTTCCCGTTGTTGCTCCATTTTGGGGCGCTTTATTTGGAGGATTTATATATCATGCTTTTATTTATGATAGTATACTACCGGCTAAGTAGATTATACGACCCTTGAGCCGAACGTAGAGCCTAGATATCATCGAAAGTCAACCAAGTTAGTTTCAAGCCTGCTGCTCATCGGAATTCCTGACCAACCGAGTCCTATTCTGGCCGGAGCTCTTTGACTCTCCAGGGCCGGCCGTGGCCAACTCTGACACTATTACTAGGTCGTAGGGCCAGGAAAGGTAACCTGTCCTGTGAAAGGCTTGTCCCGTATGGAGTCTATTCACTCATTTTTGGGAGTTGACTCTCGAGGGCAGAATGGTCGGAGTGGTGCCAGGGCGCCTTCCCCTTTGAGTAAGTGGGTTTGGTGGGGATGTGCGCAACAGGTAAACTAAACGGGCCTCTACTATTTATCTGCAGTACTCTATACAGTTGCTTCAATCCTATTCGGGATGTCTCTGGACGGCGACTTCCATCGGCAACTTTTCCCGCGGCCCAGAGCATTCCCGAATGCCGCGGTGGCCCAGGGAGCCCAGCCCCGCTCATGGAACGCTAAGCTAACATCTGTGAGAGCCCACGCCTACTATTAGTTGTCAATGCCGCCCTATCATAGCTATAAGTGCGCAACGCATTACTTAGTATATCCTTAATTAATACTCGTAGTCACATCCGTTCACATCTGGCCACATCTAGTTAGGTCTGTTATTTTATATTCTACCACGCGCACGCCTACTATTGTAACAAGGCAAAGTGGCTGTGCTGAGATGGTATAGCGGTAGCAGGAAGGAGAGTTATCTAGTCACATGTCAACCAAAAAGGGCGGGGGAGTGCTGAACAATTCACAGTGCTGGCAGTGTGCCATTCTTTACAGTTTGACAGAGTATTACATGTTTTTGATATCGTCTACCTATTCCTGAGTGTTTCGTCGGCCCTTTCCTACTTCTCAATGCCGTCGCCGTGCTAGGCGCTCGCTGCCCTAGCCGCTGCCTCTCTGGAGGTGGTGTTGGTGGTGGTGTTGCCCTGTCAGCGTCAACCAGAAACACGTTCTCGATTCCCGACCTGCTGGACAGGCCTCTGTGCGTTGTTGCACGTGCATGCCGAACCCTGAAGTGCTCTGTTACCGTAGGTAGCCTAATTTCGAATTAAGGGTAGAGAGGTGTAGTTACTTTACTAATAAATGCCTCTGTGAAATACGCCAAGACGCTAGTAATTATGGCTATAAAAGCAGCCTCCCCGACCAGATAGATTGAGAATAGTCCAATACACTTTTACACTTCATTTCACAACAACATCGAAATGGTTGACAAGGCTTCTGACTTTGGCGGCGTGTGGTGTTGGAACAGGTAGTATATTGTTCATGACCCTGAGGGCACAGAATGATATCGGATCTAGATATCCAGGTCTCTATTGTGATACCGACGCGTATGTACTGACGACTTACCGGCTACTCAGGTGTCCTTGATCTAACAAGATATTCTAGACACATTTACCTTCCGCTAGTGGAAGAAACGGGGCACGTTCCAAGCTCCAAGTACGTCCCAGGCCACGAGATTCGTGCCCATTCGCTCAATATTGCGACAAAAGAAAACTTGCGAGAGAAAGCTCTCATTCAGACATAATTGAACTCCATTACCTGGTCAAATGAGCTATCTCGTTGGATTTGCGAAACATCACGAGACGATGTTATCCGGGCTCGATTCGTCATATCAGCCATCGGAATCTTACCCAAGCTCTACCTTCCTGGCATTCCGGGCATCGAAAATTTCAAAGGGTACAGCTTCCATTCATCCCGCTGGGACTATGACTATACAGGAGGAGACCCCTTTGGTGCGCCTTTGAGTAAACTACGCTCGAAGCACGTTGGCTTGGTGGGCACGGATGCTTCTACAATTCAAGTCCTACCTCATCTTGCTGCATCCGGAGCGGAGGCTTATGTCTTTCAGCGTACGCCTTCAACAGTTGACGAAAGGATCAGTCCGAAAACCGACAGGGCTTGGTTTTCATCATTGAAGCCAGGATGGCAAGATGAGCGTGCAGTTAACTTTGAAAACATCTACTTCGGACAAAATGCACACATTGACTTGGTAGACGGCGGCTGGACTAAGCACATTTTTCCTATACTTAAATCCGATCCAGGAGACGGAAGCTATCCAGAGAGACTCAAGGAGGCTGACACCCTGAAAATGTAATCGATTCGATCCCATGTTCAAAACACTGTCGAGGATCCGGAGACGGCTGAAGCGCTCAAGCCGTGGTACGTTCGGACATGCAAACGCCCTTGCTTCCACAACGACTACCTGCCTTCTTTCAACAATCCGAAGGTGCATCTTGGGCGCACGGACGGCAAGGGTGTCGAAAGGGTCACTGAGGAAGGGGTTGCTGCCAGGGGAAAGGAGTACAAACTTGACTGTATTATTTATGCTACTGGACTCGATTGGAGTAGCGATTATTCCGAGCGCGCGAACATGAAAATCACGGGAAGGAACGCGGAGACCATGTCTGAAAAATGGAAGCGTGGACCAAGCACGCTGTTTGGCATGATTGGCCGGGATTCCCCAAACCTCCTGCTGTTCACGCACCTCCAGAGCTCCACTTCGCCCAACTATACGCATCTACTCGGCGAGAGGGCTAAGCACGCAGCTTACATCGTCTCTGAATGCTTGAAACGCAAGATCGATTCCGTTAAACCCACGCTGGGGCCGAGGATGCTTGGGTCAAGAAACTGGAAAATGTCGCCTTTCAATATCTTGATTTCTTCACGTCATGCACTCCGGGCTTGTACCCTGCCCACTGCACAGTCCTAACGAAGCGGCTCACGTGAGCTGGTAAATTAAGAGAATCTCTGCTAACTCAAGTTGCACCTGGTCAGGATACTACAATCAAGAAGGCCAGTTGTCACAGGCAACCTTGAGGAGCGCGTCGGTGGGTCTGACTGGTTCTGAGTGGTACCAACTGGCCGCGGAATGGAGGGCGGCCGGGAAGTTAGAGGGGCTGGAGCTCAATCGTCGTTCGGTGAGGCTCGTTTCTACCAAGCGCTAAGCGAAGTCGTTGTCCGGAGACATCCCGATCCTATTACCTAGGTGTCTTCCAACCAGTTTCGATAGAAAACCCAATTGCCCAGCACAGGGCATGTTTTGTAAACTAGAAGCTCTCTTCGGAATATGGTGCTATCTGTTTTCACTGAATCCTTTTCTACTTCTCCTTCAACCAATGCTCCGGATGGTATTGCTCCATGAGGCTTGTATACTCTTCGCCAGCTCGAGCCCAGCCTGTAATCCCATCGGCCAGAATTGCACTTGTAATATTAGGGACCTGTTTATCCTCAATCAGGTCTTGAAACCATCCGGCAGCACGCGTCCCGCGGCCCCTAGACGACCCTGAACGGCGGGAAAGTGAGTGAGAGCCGCAGAACGAGTGCGACGAGGAGCCTACCGCAGTACCAGATTACGGTCCGCACGCCAGCATTTTGACATAGAGTCAACAGAGTTGGCAGGCTATGGTAGAGGCTCTGGGCGGGAAGGTTGATGGAACCTTTGATCGTTCCACCCTGCAGAAGAGCAGTCAGCGTCTCAAAGCACATTCATTGTGACTTCTCTTTACCTCGTGATCCGTCCTGCGCAGGTCAACCAGAAGAAAGTCTGCCCCTGGCTTTTTACCATCCTGGAGCCATTGCAACAATTCTTGTCGGCTAAGTGTTGCGGGCGACTGGGTTCGCGGTTTCGGATATGCATCGTACCACGCGGACGCTTGGGCCATCATTCGGTATTTTACGGAGGTGAGGGGTTAATCTGACTCTTGATCGGTCAGGAATGAAGACAATGGAAGAGGACGGACGGGAGAAGAACAACACAGGCTCGAACAGAGGCACGTGGGAGTTTAAATTCATAGCAGAGAGTGACACCAAGGACATTTTGCCATGTCTTGGCTTAGTCACTCGACTCTCTTCATTGGTCGACAGCCGACCATATGGCGGAGCACGCCACATAAAAATCCTCGCCCACGGGCCGAGCACTGGAGGATAGTTCTTCATGCTCTCTTGTCTACAGTAGATCCTTGCCTTTAATACCATCTGTGTTTGTATACAACTTGTGTCGGTTTTCTCTCTGCGTAAAAACTATGGAGTCCCCGCACGAAGACGAGAAGGTCGACACCGACGTCGAGAATCAACGGCATCAAGAACCGGTGGAAGAGAAGAAGTCGGTATATGCGGGCCTTGGTTGGCTGGATCGACTGCTCGTCCTCTGGATCTTGCTGGCAATCGTCATCGGCATTCTGCTTGGTAATTTGGTTGACAGCATCGGTCCAGCTCTCCAGAAAGGCAAATTCGTCGACGTTTCTGTCCCGATAGGTAAGGGTCCATGGACTTGTACTATTCTTCCTTTTACAGCTGACTGACTGGAACTCGTCTGCTGTCCAGCTGTCGGGTTGTTGGTGATGATGTACCCGATCCTCTGTAAGGTCCAATACGAGACCTTGCATCGCGTTTTTGCCCATCGCCAGATTTGGATCCAACTGGGTTTCAGCATCGTAGCTAACTGGATCATCGCGCCATTTGTTATGGTATGTCACCGTCCTATGGAAATTGTTCTTCGTTCGAGTATATGCTAACGAGAAAAGCTGGGATTGGCTTGGGCCTTCCTGCCCGATAAACCTGGACTTCGAAATGGTCTTATATTCGTGGGACTGGCACGCTGTATTGCTATGGTAAGCGAGCCAGATTTCTGATTTTTCAATCGCATATGCACTAACAGAGCAATGTCAAAGGTCCTCATCTGGACTGGTCTTGCTGGGGGTGACGAGGAGTACTGTGCAATTCTTGTGGCTCTCAATTCAATCCTCCAGATGGTCCTCTACGCGCCCCTGGCTATCCTTTTCGTCAACGTCATAAGCCACGGCGGAGGAGGCTCTGAGGTAGCATACTCCATAGTCGCCAGGAGCGTCGGAGTCTTTCTTGGAATACCTCTCGGAGCCGCCATCACGACCCGCATGATTCTCAGGACCATCAACGCCAAGTGGTACGACCAGACATTCCTCAAGTGGATCGCTCCATGGTCACTAGTGGGGCTTCTTTACACGATTCTCGTTCTGTTCGCCTCTCAGGGAAAGCAAGTTGTCCACCAAATTGTCTCTGTCGTCCGAGTTGCTGCTCCTCTCATTGTATACTTTGTGGTCATTTTCTTTCTGACTCTGTTCATCACAAAGCGATTCGGATTCGGATACAAACTTGCAGCAACTCAGAGCTTTACCGCGGCCAGCAACAATTTCGAGCTGGCTATTGCCGTTGCGGTCGCCACTTTTGGTGCGGACAGCGATGAGGCACTGGCTACGACCGTCGGGCCGCTAATTGAGGTGCCTGTTTTGATTTCGCTTGTCTATGTTGTGAGGTGGATTGCTGTCCGTTGGAACTGGAAAGACTAGATAAATGGGATAGATTGACGGTCGGTTGAGAGCGCATGTATTCAAAGATTCGAATGGAACGAGTTTGTTCCAGCTAATAGAGGGAGTTCTTTTGGCAACCGAAAAGGTTAGAATTCAGGAGACGAGAGACAATACGTAAAACTTCAGACATCCGAGTTCATTTCCCCCATCTTCTCAAACGGCGTCAACCCCCATCAACAGCAGTCCTCTAGGTGGTGTCAACGCCCGTATCTAGTCTATCAAAGCTGAGCCATTGCATCTGGAGGGGCGGCATTCTGGATCGAGCGTGACAGAAGAACTCAGTGTCCATCCCAAACTCAGTTGTTCTATTTTATCTGCAATTCTAATCTTTTTCCGTATAGGTGTCCAATCTATAAAGCACCCACACGCTCGGCGTTCGGGCCGCAACAGAGAAACCATCGTCTATATCAGTTCCTGACCAGCGGCTCTCGTTCGCTAAAACGGTCACTAAACAAGGCAAAGTGTGGCCGCATGATGACGGTATATTTCACAAATTCCTCGGCGCAATCCACCAGTCGATCCCGATTGCCTCCTGGCATCAGCCTCGACCCGCCCTCATCCGCATCCTTGTCTGTAAACAAGGTGTAGGCCTGCGGAACCGACGACTGGTTGGGGATGGTGAACATCCGCATCCATCTGCCCAGGACACGAAGGCTGTTGACGGTGTTAAAAGACTGGGAACCGCCGGAGACCATTGCCAATCCCAAGGTGCGTCCCTGTGTGGGTCGCACTGATCCAGTACTGAGAGGGATCCAGTCGATTTGGTTTTTGAAGACAGCGGTGAGATTACCGTGCTGCTCCGGTGACACCCAGAAATGCCCATCGCTCCAGCGACTGAGCTCCCGCAATTCTTGTACCTTCGGATGATTATGTTGTTCATCGTCTTTGACAGGCAGACCTTGCGGATTATAGATCCGTACATCGCAGCCGAGCCGCCAGAGGATACGGGAGACTTCAAAGGCAAGTAGTTTCGAGTAAGACCTAGGCAGGATAAGAATGTGCCAAGCCGAAAGAGCTCCAAGGTGATCTTACCTTTGACGAAGACTCCCGTATAATACCAAAACCTTGATCCTCTCACCGGTTAGTCTTAAGTCGTTGTACGCCAATTCGGTCGCAGTGGCAAGCTCCAGCCTGCTGACCCAGTCCTGCTGTTGGATATCTTCGGGGAGTAGGAACGGTCGATATCTCGAGCGGATCGAAGGATCATCCACAGATGCCGGTATAGCAAGTGATCGATATGCAAAATCAGCACGACGTTCTGGTTTGAGGACCACGCGCATGGACGCTGTATTATTGAGGTCGCCATTCGTTGATGGCGGGTCAGATTTTGCAGGCAGTGGAGGTGTCCTTGGATCTTGTACTTCAGCACAGATTAGAGGATATCGTGGAGTAGAGGTTGCCGTCATGGTGTGGTATCCGGATTTGGATGTCCTTCTAGCTGAGACTAGAAATGGATGTGTACTAGTGAAATGGCTGAGGGGTGCGAGTGGTAGGGATCTTGATAGATTTACCAGGTTGACATGGGCGAAGTTGATACTGTTGGACAACTTCATTAGGTCCTGGCGAGGCTGGAGGAAGCGGCACCACGATAGGGAGCGATCAGACCCTTGATCTGTGCCCGCTGCTTGCTAGAGAACGATGGGAAAAGTATATTGGCCTGGATGCGAGACGGTTTGGATGCGTTGTTTTTTTTTTATTAAAAGCGAGATCGCTTTGTCACTGGGCCATGGTGATTGGCTATTTGATGAGGCTGACAAGGCTGGGCGTCCGGAGCTGACAGTTCTTCCGGTTCCGGCCGTCGCCGCTTTTTTGACGCAACGAGCAGAACTTTCTCGTCACTTTTTGAGCAATTAAACGGGATCCTGCTAACCGCGGATTACCTCGTACTTCTTTGAGGACGCATGGCAGATGCCTACGGCTGCATATCACAAATACCTACAAGGATCACTGTGCTTCAATGCTGACCCCCACTCTGCATCCTATTACATCGCTAGCCCGAGGGAAGCTGTGCAGCCCATTGTTTGGCATCTGAGAATATGGCTTCGGGGGTACGGAGATCCCATCTCTCGTGGCGTCAGCCTTGCAATCTCTTACTAAATACGGTAGGACTTTCTGCAGAAGCAAACAGTCGACAGAAATCGTCTGAACCAGCGCAATTTCCGCGCTCGTCGCCAAGCCTATGTCCAAGAGCTGGAGCAGCGTATCCGGAAGCTGGAAAGTGATGGAGTCCGCGCAACACAAGAGGTCCAAGCTGCCGCTCAGCGGGTGGATAGGGAGAATCGACTCCTCAGGCGGCTGCTCGAAACGCGGTTCGGGGTTGACTCGCATCAAATCAGGCAGTACCTTTCTGAATTCAGCGACGCCGCGGATAATTGCATGAAAAAGCCTCTTCGAAAAGGGTGTAAACCGGAGTTCTCGAGACCATCAGAAGAAGCAGGATTCACTCTTGCATTGGCCACCAATCCTCAAGAATCGCTTGGGGTTGGAGTGACCCAAGATTCCAGCTTTACAGAAGCAACCTCTCCGAACGAAGAGAGACAACAAGACCTTAAGATCCTCCGCAAACCTCCAGAGTATGATGACAACAAGTCCCCTGCAGCTCCGTCGACGAGCATAGACGCGCTACGGCCAGCAGAAGTTGAATCCCATATTCGTCTATTTAACCATCGATCCCCGCCGGCTCTAGATACACTGGCCTCGATTAGGGGCCAAACCCGCGATGGCGAATGTGAAGCTGGGCATTGTCATTCATGTCGTGTTCACCCTACAAACAAGCGCCTTCGAGGTTCCTCTGCTCCATCTGAGCAAAGACCTGGTACTTCCGGAGGAGAAACCTCGTGCGAGGAAGCCGCTAGGATCATTGCAAGTCTTCGTGGCCAGAATACCAGTGAGGATGTGTGGAATGAACTCGGTTGTGGCACGAATCAAACCTGCAAAGTTAAAAACTTATCTGTTTTTGAGCTCCTGGACAAGGAATGATCGTTTTTGGGACAAACAGCCTATGTACATTAATGTTAGAAACTGAAGACGGACTTGTCGGGCAATGGCAAACACGGGAAGAGGGGGATCTGCATGACAACCCAGCGCACGATTCAAAGAGCGAAAACCACGATGGGGCTTGATAGACTTGAACAGCATACCCGACCCTAGTCTGTATTCTGACCCTTTTTACGCTCTACGTAATTTTTCTCCATTCACTGCAGGGAAGTAAAACTGCGTAGAAGTCGTCATGGAAGCCCCAGAGAGAGAGAGAGAGATGCTGTCGATCTTGCAATCGGCACATCCTCTATATACGAATGAATGCGCCTGAGGAAAAGGTATCTTTCAGATGCCTTGAGCCACGATCTCGTCATGGGAATGTTGCTGATCAGTTTGACAGAATCTAGCTCTTCTGAGAAGAGTATAGACACCCGCTGGAGCGACATGTGGATCCTTTCTCTCCCAATGCCTCCTGATTCGTCTTTTCTCCCCGTTAGGAGGATTATAGAATGTTCTCTATTCACCTCCATGGTTCTTGGAGTCCCAGTGCCTCGAGTCACTGCTAGAGTGAGCAAAGTCCTGGCCGGATCAGCCCTACTTGTAGAATACCCGATGTCGAGCTGCTAGATCATGGGATGATAGATGAACTAGAAAAGAATGCCTAAGCAATGCCTGTTTCAATAACACGCCTTCGATTGTCACTATATCCCCCGCTTGTGTGTTTCATTGTATAGACCTTGAGAGCTGGAGGTGCCACCGGCATGAGCGGTGGTCACTGAAGGGCATTACGCCGCGTCGCTGTGTGTTACTGACATCACAGAAGCTTGTGCTATCACATCATCTAGAGGAAGGGAGGGTAATCACTAACGTATATCTCATTATGCGGAAAGGCAGCTTGTAAGAGTGTCTACTGGATGCTGCAGTTTCGTGAATATCACTAAATATTACACTTGTTAGCCTTGTCGTTGCATATTGGTGCCTCTTCACGATATTATTCCAACGAGAAGAAACACTAAAATCTTAAGCATACCCAGGAATATTAGCCCTACAATAGTAACGATGTCCTAGTTGACCCAGTCCGAGTCAGAAGGTACTTAAGACAAAGAAGAAGGTTCCAAATCGCAGCTTACCCCGTACGCGAATCAGAATGCAAGCCCTAGCAGAAGAGCCCAAACCTGGATGTTGCCAGTCCCGGCTACCAAGAAGGCCTGTCGCCCTGCAACTCTCAAACCATCTCAGCATTTGAGAAGGCATGACGCCAGATCCAAAACTGTGTCTGCAGCTCAGAGCTAAAGAGTTGGGTCGTAATGTCTCTTTGAGTCCGTATGTCTCCAGTCTGAGCTAGTATATGCCCAGTCTCTGCCCACCGAGCCTGCAGCCTCGCGAGCCCTCGCGGCTTGATCGTTGTCGGCGGTGGCTGCTCGCTTCTCTTCCATATGCCTCGAATAGTTGCCTGGAGGAATTGAAACATTCTCGCGGTATTTGTCCAGAAAATAGACCTCGTGGGGGGAGGCACCTGAGGTAGGGTAGAGGTAAGAGTGTTGCTCTCGCGTTCGGGAGGTAGTATGTTGGCTCATGGAGTCATAATCGCCTTCAGAAGACATCTCGATCTCTTGGTTTGGAACGCTTTGCAACTGGTTGTAGGAGATGAAATGGAGTTGGGTTCCTTGGTATGCTGTAGTTTGAGAGAAGAAATAGAGGAGGAAAAAGAGGAACATAAAGAAAAGTTGGTCGCCGTTGTTTGTCCATGTTTGCCACAGCGGCGTCGTTTCCAGGTTTTGAGGCGCAGGACCGTGACAGCCTTCTCATCTATCAACAGTAACCCAAAGCTATAGCATCACTTCAAAGCAGTGAGCGCCGCAGTAGGGTCCCACCTATGCTTCGGTATTCGCCGTGTGACATGCGCCACTCCATGGTTGAAAGCAAATCTTGGGTGAGGACGGCGAGGAGTTCCATAATGGTTTCTTTCTGGATGTGTCTGGGCCTGGGTCCTGAGAAGATAACTTCTTTTTGCTAGTCTGAATAGGCTCAAAATTAACATAGATTTGGTAGGTAAGGTAGTCAACTTTGGTTGCAATCTGTCCGTAGTTGCAGAAGGCCCCGACGAGCTGCGAAGGCAGACCAAGTATCGTAAAGATTCGTTGTGGTGAAATTCATGTCTTCTTGTCCGGATCCTGGAGGATTTGATGCCTCGCGTACGCCCAGTCGTGGTCTCTCACACCCGCTTTCACCCTCTCCTGTGCTGCCTGGTGATTGGAGGCGGTGAAGGCTTTTTTGTCTACCTCAAGCCGCTCGGCTGCCTTGGACACTTCGAGACGCTTTGTTATCAGCAGGTCTCTTTCTTCTCGGCTTAAGTCTGTTGAAGGGTAGTAGTCTTTGAAGACTGTTTGCATATTCTCAGTTCTGTACTGTTCATAATAGGTATTGACTGCTATCGGTGGTTCTGATTTCGATTTGCTTGACTTGCGGAGGCTTTTCACCTTGCTGAATATTGAATCCATCTCAACGAGTGATGTCTTCGAAGCGTTGCTTGGATCTTGAAGATGGTAACCGGAAGTGTAAGTTTTCCTGGTCAGCCTTGTCAGCCGGAATTGGCCCCCACTCAGCCCGTCTGCTGGGGCTGTGCAGTTGCTTGTTCAACATTATCGGGATGCCCCTGAGCATTCCGAACAGCACTTGTACAATCAGTTGAAAGTCGGGAATAGGTGTTGAGTCTTGAATATCAAGGTCGGAATTGGCTGGGATATCTAACGGGCAATGCAAAAGAAAGCCTAGAAGTTCTCTATGCCGATTTGTCGTGTATTCCCTCATTCCTCTTACACAGTCAAATGAGAGGGTATATATAGACCCAGAGAGAGGGGGGGAGGGAGAGCTATACAGAGCCGTGAAGAGAGAAGAATATATAGTTGTAGTTGGGAGCAGTGCTGATTATCCTTGTCCATGTGACAAAGCAGTGTCGGTTTAAATGTCGTTGAACGAGGCTTGGTCAAAAAGGGTCTCGAACATGACAAGGCTGGAAACCGCTGCCCAGAAGGTTCACCCAATCTCACCAGGGCATTGCGCTGTGTAATAAACTGCTGCAGAAATTTCAGAGCCGCATCCAACATCCCGTGCTCCCTACATAGCATATATCTCAAGCGCAAACCAGTCGAATGTGCACTGCGAGAACAGGTTTCTTCCGTTCATTTCGACGTCACGTAGTGACACGTTCTGGTCTGGCTCAGATATTTGCCAATTTTCGAGAACTTGATCATTGTTGTTGCCAGCTTCGTGTTCTTGTAGCCCTTGCATGCTCCCCGGCTAGACTTCAGTGATATGGAAATCTCTGAATTTAGTCGCGCCATCGCCTTGATGGGAAAAGAGATTGCTTGTCTCGTCCAACCGAACCTGGTAATCCGTATGGCCACCCATCCCAATACTGAGGCTGACAGGGTTCGTATCCACAGGGGTCAGTGGCGGAGCTGGGAAGTCTGATATAGCGAAGGCAGTCGGAGGACCACGTCCAGGCTGAGCAGGGAGAATCACGGGTCCGCTAATACGAAAATGATCGCTGCTGGTCATGCCACTTTGTTTTCTGAACACATGACGGACGTAGGCTTAAGCGATCTTTGTAAAGGTTTCTGCTACTTTTTCCAGCTTTACTGCAGAGGTGTGGTATTTTTGGAACTCGAGAAAATATAACACCGTTGTTGGAGTAACTGCAAATCTTCGACACTGGTCTTCGAAGTCGGATTGGTGATGAGTTCACCGAAAAGTACGAAGAAAGGAGTGAAAGGGTAATACAACTGCTGCCCGCAGAACGGTAAGCTTCAAGAAAGCCCACGTCACCAGACCCGACAATACCAGATAATGCCATTGGAGACTTCTTCAGAGTGAGCAACTAGGCCTTTCAAGAGCAATATGGCTGCTCTCGCAGAGCCAAGACATGTCTCACGACAAGGTTTGTCAGTTCTTGTTAGGCAGACAACCAGGTGATGAGATTGATAACTCAGAAAGCTGAATCCAAGCCTGATAGAGACCCTAGCCGGGCCAGTTGCGTGGGCTAGATCGGTGTGCATGGACTGACTCTATAGTTGACTTCGGTAACAATTCACCCTCAGGCAAGTTGTCTCACATGTTGAACTACAGAGATCCACTCGTCGAGTTTCTTCGTGAGCTCTAAATGATATCTTGACTCATGGCTGCTGAGCAGATAGAAATCTGAAATATCGATCATAATCATCGCAAGCTTTGTACATTGGACAAAATAGAATGCACCGAAGAATTCGACATTGGGCGGAAGATTGGGCTCAGCAGAAGAGTTTGCCAGATGGGGTCTGAACGCCGAAAGCTGTCGAGGAGAAGGGAGGTTGATTTTTTGGTATGATGCAGCAGGTAGCACTGGCGGGCATCCGAAGGAGAGTGATAGTGACTTGTCAATAATGAAAAGGCTCCAGAAAAGGCAGAGGTTGCGCGAATACACCTCGCTGTTCTTTGTCCCAGACGTTGACGGAAGAGGAAGCTTGAACATCTGAGCCATCCGACAAGCCTGGCTTGTAAGATTCCAACAAAGGCTAGGCGTCACAAGATCTAGTCCGTGGACGGCGAAGATGATAAATGCTTGTATGTTGAGTATGGTTGGGTGCATGAAGAGACTGGCCTCATCCGCAGCCAACCAAGCATTCCATCGCAAATGAAAGGTATATTCAGAGAGTGGCTGGCTTTGTGTGGATGAGGTTGCAAGAATGGTGTTCAAGATCCACACCCAACCTCGCTTTTCCACTGAAGAGGGACGAAAGACTAAGTCAAACAACATTTCCTGGGGAGGCTGACTGATGAGGGGATATCCTCTGTCGACTGCAGCGAGAAAGCCTTGAAGAGGTCAGCTCGAGCACTTTGAACCCTGTGATACCAGGGTAGGCTGACATTGAACGAACATCTGTCCAACTGGCTCAGTCGGGATAAAGAAGGCTTCTTGCTCTCGCCTGTCATTCTTACCGCAGCTTTGATCTTGTCTTAGTCATATTTGGAGTCTTTGAATTGGCTATAAAGATCAGAAAGCATGCCAGTACCTTGAATTGTGATATCCATAAGGTTCTGGCGTATCTGATTGCAGTCAATGACGTCCCGTGTATGAGAGAAGGTTGAGGTAACGCTGGAGAGGGCGTCATTGCTGAACTCCAGCCGCTGATCATGATTCGTTTGTGCATCTGAACGACTCCGAAAGGCTGCGAATCCCGGACTAGGCGCTCGGTGCTGACTGGCTTCTTCTAAGCCTGCATTTGTTGCTGGGGGACTCTCTGCGTGCAATCAGCCGAAGAGCGTAGTGAAGTTTCAGGTGTTGGCGCTACCTAAGTATCGGGCGCTGCTCGCTCTCGGATGGCTCCCGGGAATATGTGCAATCACTCGTCCAGCAGCTGCAGTTTTTACATTTGGGCTTCTCACGAGAACAGCGGAGCTGTCTTGTATGAGCAATGCACCGGAACCATGATCGTCTTCGAAGGCAGAAAATGCGAGCCGCCCTGCCAATCATTGTGACATCCACAAACCTTTTTCTTCCAACAGTAGTCGCACTAATAGGGTTGGCAAGGGTCCAACATCACTGCGTCCTCAACTTACAGCGTATCGGCTCAGGTTCTTATCATCAGACATCTTTGTCAAAAGCACATACGCGTTCCTCAGAGCGATATCTCCCGCAAATTCGGCGAGGAAAGGAACTGATTCTGTGCATTTCGCAGCAGTAATGGCATTTCATAGTGCCCAAAACAGATGGACAGAGATATCTTGCGGCGTCCCGAGGAACTCGAACCCCATTCGCTTCCAGCAGGACTAGGCTCCGACCGTTCCGACTGCCATTGGTCAGAATGGTTGACAGTATGGATTTAAGTAAAGGGCGAGAAGGTCTATCAAACGAGGAAGAAGAATTATTAGTCAGCGATGCACGTTCATACTATCGATTGTAGTTTTGCTCAAGGCCGTGGACATGAACATTGTTTTGACTGTGCCAAGGACTCCGCTAAGCGCAAGCAGCATTGATTGTAACCTTTGGTTTTGGGGATGATGGTTTTGGGGATGCCGCCCAGGTGATGCCCCTTTGGATTGACAGAGGGACGAATGGGCCATGCATGATAGTTTTGAGCTGGGAGATTTGATGGCGCAAGATGTCTAACGTGGAGGATCTCTTGAGCAAGGCAGAAGCAGAGGCTGTAAGATGAATGTTGTTCTTGTGTTGTTGTGCCCCGTAGAGGGCGCTAGTGGGTAACTAGCGCGCTAGCACCACTAGCTTCTGCTGCACCAAATCAGGAAATCTAGGCGAACAAATCTTGTTCCAGGCAATACGGGGGGAACACGATTCGTGGTCTGATCGCTTCGCTTCTAGCCCCGGGATCCTTTCAACATTCAATATGTGTCATGGCTCTCTCCGACACACGAAACTATGTGCTTGCCATCGAAAATAACAAACTGGAAGCGGCCGAAATAGCAAAGTCGGCCGCACAGAGTGAGTCCACAAATGCCTCGATCGGACCGGCTTATCGACTAACAGTCAAGAACTCGAGAGTCGCCAGACGACGTTGATTGAAGTCGTCCAGTCACTGGGCGAGTATGTCAACGACGAGGATGAAAAAATCCGCGCCAGAGCCGTCTCCTACTTAGTCGCCGTCATTTCCGCTTTGCCTCCGAAATACCTGTCCAGACAACAAATCCAGGTGCTTTCCCAGTTTTTCTGCGACCGCATCGAGGATGGAGGAGCAATTGAAGGCTTGTCGAAGTTGCAGAGCCTCGAAAGATTTACAAATGAGATGGTTCAAACAGTTGTGAGAGCGTGAGTGCGGACCACCACGCTACAGCCGTCCAGGGACTTGCCCAAAAGTGGTCCAAGGTTGTCTGGCAGCGAAGCTATGCGGTCGGGCTTGGCTGACAATTGTGGTAGAATATTCGAGCATTTCACCGACTTGCAAGCACGGAATCAGGCAGGCAGATATCAGATCCTGCAGCTCCTGAATGAGCTCCTAGATCAACATCGGAAAGGTAGGATTGATCGGAATCTATGCACCGGATGTCCTACTAATCTATGGCAGCCGTAAGGGATATGAAGGATGAGTCCCTCCTTGGTATCACGGATCTGGTGGCAGGCGAAAAAGACCCCCGGAATCTGATGTTGATATTCTCCATGCTGAGGGTTCTCATGGTCGAATGGGACATCAGGGACCATGTACAAACCATGTTCGACTCAGTATACGCCTACTTCCCAATCACATTTCGTCCACCTCCAAATGATCCTTACGGTATCACAGCTCAGGATCTGAAAGACAGACTGCGTGAATGTCTGTCTTGTACGGGAGTACTTGCACCGTACACTTTCCCCAATATGCTGGATCGTCTCGATTCGACCTCCGCCACAGTGAAGAAGGATTGCTTGCAGACTATGACCGCTTGTGCTATAAACTACGACCCTGAAACACTCACCCAGTTCTCAATACCACTCTGGGACGCCGTCAAATTTGAGGTACTACAAGCCCAAGAGCCGGAGTTGGCCGAAGAAGCACTGCGTGTCTTGAAAGGTATCGCAACCTGCTTATCTACCGCTGCTAATACCTCCCAAAACGCCATAACATCGTCTCTTCACCAGTACCTGATGCCTATCAACAAAGAATGTCTGGAACATCTCCAGGAGCCGGCAACACGGCAGTCAAAAGCTTCCGGGGACATCCTCAAAGCAGTGTCGTCAGCCTCAGTACAAGCTTTTGAAATTGTGGTCCAGACTATTGGACCAGCCCTCTTAAACATTTACCAGGCTTCGACGGGTTTGGTGCAACAGCGAGCGATCTTGGAGATTGCGAACCACTTGTTCGAGGCTGCCATCGAAGTCTATGGGTCTTGGACTGCTCCAAGCCCCAAAAATCCTGAAGGAAGACAGAATCTTGTCGGACACTTCAAGGACAAATTTGTGGCCCTATATAGTCAGGCCTTGATGGGGACGGTCAAGGAAGAGGTTTCATTCCGGTTGACGGCTGCACATGGGCTGCTGTTGGTCTCAAAGATGAACGCGGTGCTTACAGATGACGAAATCGGACTTTTCGTCCAGTACTTCGATGATATTGTCCTCAAGGAAGAGTCCTACGGTCGAGACGAACTAAAAAGGAAAGCCATGGCAGCATTGGCCGAAATATCTCAATTCAAGCCTAATTTGATCTCCAACATCACATTCCCAGCTTTCATGGCGCGCTTACCTGACTCTGAAGAAGGGGCACGTATTAGCGATCCCAGCTCCGTGCTTGAAGGACTGGCGGAGATCAGCGTCGAGAAGGAGTTGCTGGGGACACTGATGAGACGTCTCCTCAATAAATTGGACATCCTTTTCAGCTCTAGTCGGGGACCGCCATTTCCTTACACCTGTGAAATTCTGGGCACAGTCCTGTACGTGTTGAATCGAAGGGTTTCAGAACAGAATGCAACATTGGATGCATATTTCGAACGCGTCGTCGTGACACTATCCCGAAGGATATCAGACGTCAACCAGGGTCCTCTGGCGAATGAGAACGTGCTGGACCTGCTCGGTCGAATTATGAACCTGATCGTCCGACACTCTTCGAAAGAGGCAACCCAACAGACCGCAGAAAACTTCTACTCTTTGTTCAGCCATTCATCAAGTGGCGACGTACCTCATAACCTAATTACGTTAATCAGCCAGCCTACACGAACCATTTTATCGACATGGCTTTTGGCAGCTGTTCCCAAAGGCACGATCTCTTCATTACTTGTAAGAGACCAAGTATGCCAAAGTATCCAAAACTTGGTGTCATTTGCTTCGAATGCTCAAAGTCCAGCTGTCGCCCAAAGCTGTCATTCTCAAGTTGCTCTCTATGTCAACAAGCATATTTCAACGGTTGACCTTGGGTTTGTTGACCATCTGGTCTCAGAGAAGTTATTAGTGCTCAAGGATGAACCTATGGACGAGACCACAAAACCCGACCTTGACATTCGTCTCCTCTTTTCTCTAATCAAGGCTCTGATACTCCGGCTTTCTCCAAGGACAAACGAGTATCTGACCAATCTCGTCGAGCTCTTGGACTCAAGGCAGTACCCCTACCAAGTGTCTCAGAGAGCAGCCAGGGGTTTCGCCACCATCCTAGCATCAGACGACATTTTGTCCAAGGAGAATGGAGCACAAATTAGATTGCTTGCTCCTCAGCGTGTCTTTCAGACGCTCACGCCAATGATCTCTGACAAATTCAAAACATCACAGTCTCCGTTTGAAAAAGAAAACTTTCTCGTAGCTATGAGTGGCATAATGGGGTCTGTTCCTTCGGAGATTGTGATGCCGGAACTTCCTACTCTACTACCCCTTCTCTTACAATCTTTGGACATCGCAGACCAAACGGTCAAGCTTGCCACGTTGGGAACACTTGCAGTTGTTATATCGAACAACCCTTCTGCACTCGAAGAAAGCGGACATATTCCCGCATTAGTGAAGCGGCTCATCGCTGTGGCGACGGTGACGAAATCTAAGGCAGGCATTCTTCCGAAAGCAGCACCGCAAGGTAAGGGGTATGAGCCCTTGCCATCAGCGAACCTACCAAAAACCCGTCGGCTGGCAGCACGTTGCCTCACTTTAATGCCAAAATATATCTCAACAAGTGCATCACGAGCCAATCCTCTCATCGCACTCAAACGCGAAGTCCTGCATGGTCTGACGAATATTTTGGACGATCCGAAGCGCGATGTAAGGAAGGAAGCTGTTGATGCTAGAGCAGCATGGTTGAGAGAAGTTGATGATGTAAATGATGACGATGCATAGACATGACCTTGTGCCGATAGAGGTACAGAAATGGGTCCATAGAACCAGCTGCAGATTAAAATAGAGAATCAGAGTAAATAGCTATGTCACATGTGAAGACTGGCTACGGAGCTCCCCTCTAGGTATCACTGCTTCAGAAGCAATGGAGAGGTTGACGACAAGTACCTCTTGTCTGGTTGATACATAGCAACATCACCCTTGCTCGCAGCCTTGCCGGATGTTGCTGGCCTCGTAAGATTACGTAAGAAGTTTTTACGGGAAAACAATTTTGCTCGTCGAGGGCGCAGGCGAAAGGCTGTCTTGGCCAACACCAATCTTTCACGGTGCGCTCTAGTGTCTTCGATCAGGAATTAGTGGCAGGTAAACACTCAAACAGAGCATCGACAGTCAAAGCCTCGGAGCTCTCGGCTCGTGAAGCGCCTGAATCAAGCGCATACCTCATTGCCAGGTGAATCCCATTCCCACTAGAAATCATACCATCTTCTCCGACATGTCTGAACAGCGGTCCAGCGAAACCCGCATCAGGTCTCACAAGAGGAATCCTGCGCACCGCAGACGCCGCGACCATGGCGACTTTGACGAACGATGGGGCGATGAAGAGGTTGTCGAGGACGAAGAACAAGGCGCAGAAGATTTTGTGGAACCCTCGTCAAAAAGGGTAAAACTTTCTGATGGCTCGGCATCACGTCGATTGAGGAATCATACGCCTCCGGAAATGGACGAAGAGAACGCGCAGAGGGAAAGAGACAAAGATGCGAGAGAGCGAGATGAATTTGCGCAGCGGTTGGCAAAACGGGATGAAGAGCGGGCAAAGAAGATTGTGGAAGACAGGTCCGCCGCCAAAGACAGTGCAACTGCCCACCGAAGAGCGTTGGCCAACGACGCAGCGGCAAGGGAGGCAGCAATGCCAGATCTCCGAATGCGCTCCAGGCAGGACTATCTAAAGAAGAGAGAGGCAGAAAAACTGGCTCTGTTGCGCAAGCAAGTCGCCGAGGAACAAGCGGAACTCCGAGATAACCCAGATTTGTCAAGGCGAGAGAAGGAGGAATTTGCGCGCAACAAGGAAATTCTTCGCCTCGCTGAAGAGAGGCTGGCAATTGACGATCACCTCGACGGCTATGCTCTTCCTGAGGACTACATAACAGAAAAGGGCAAAATTGACAAACGCAAAAAGGAACAAGCTTTGTACCAACGTTATATCGATCGAGATGAGGCCGGCAGAGAACGGTATGTTACGGAGCATGAAGAGTGGGAGAAAGAGCAGACCAGGAGGGCTGAAGCGCAGATCAAAAGAGCCGAGTATGTCGATGAGGGCGACTACAATTACGTCTTTGATGAGAGCCAGCAAATGAAGTTCATATTATCAGACACTCTAGAAGGAGACAAAGGCATGAGCAGGGAGCAGAGGGAGATGCAGCAGAGGCTAAGCGCCGCAGAAGCAAAGGCCAAGAGCATCGAAGAGACGAGAAAGAGCTTGCCCATTTATCAATTCAGGGATCAGATCATCCAGGCAGTCAAAGATCATCAAGTCCTCATCATTGTGGGTGAAACGGGAAGCGGAAAGACGACGCAGCTCCCGCAGTACCTCCATGAAGCCGGCTTCACAAAAGGTGGCATGAAGATCGGGTGCACACAACCCCGCAGAGTAGCTGCTATGTCAGTCGCCGCAAGAGTAGCGGAGGAAATGGGTAAGCGTCTAGGAAACGAAGTCGGCTACGCTATTCGATTCGAGGACAACACCAGCGAGAAAACTGTTCTGAAGTATATGACGGACGGTATGCTGCTGAGGGAACTTCTCACGGACCCTGAGTTGTCTCAGTATTCGGCACTTATGATTGATGAGGCGCACGAACGAACTGTGAGTACGGATATTGCATGCGGGCTGCTGAAGGATATTGCTCGAGCGAGACCCGATCTGAAACTCCTGATATCCTCCGCCACTATGGATGCGAGGAAGTTTCAGAAATACTTCGACGATGCACCGATCTTCAACATCCCTGGGAGGAGATACGCGGTGGACGTACATTATACCGCACAACCAGAAGCCAACTATCTGGCCGCAGCCATTACCACCGTTTTCCAAATTCACATTACCCAAGGGGCTGGAGATATACTTGTGTTTCTAACCGGGCAGGAGGAAATTGAAGCAATGGAGGCGAGTCTACAAGAGACCGCTCGGAAGCTTGGGAGCAAAATCAAGGAGATGGTCATCTGCCCCATCTACGCCAACTTGCCAACAGATCTACAAGCCAAGATTTTTGAACCCACACCCCCAGGAGCAAGGAAGGTAGTCCTAGCCACCAATATTGCGGAAACATCATTGACTATCGATGGCATCGTCTATGTCATCGATCCAGGCTTCGTCAAAGAGAATCAGTACAATCCTCGGACTGGCATGGAATCTTTGGTCGTTGTCCCCTGTAGTCGGGCTTCAGCTGGTCAACGTGCTGGCCGTGCTGGTCGAGTTGGTCCGGGTAAATGTTTTCGACTTTACACTGCTCAAGCTTATAAGAATGAACTCGACGAAAACACAACTCCGGAAATACAGAGGACAAACCTTTCGGGCGTCATTCTCCTGTTGAAAAGTCTTGGGATCAACGACCTCCTCGACTTCGACTTCATGGATCCGCCTTCAACTGACACCATTGTCCGTGCTGTAGAGCAACTGTACGCTCTCGGCGCTCTAAACAATGCGGGCGAGCTGACTAAGATCGGTCGTCAAATGGCGGAGTTCCCTACGGACCCCATGCTCGCACGAGCAATCCTCGCAGCAGACAAATATGGATGCGTAGAGGAAGTCCTCTCCATCATCGCAATGCTAGGGGAAGCATCAGCACTCTTCTTCCGACCCAAAGACAAGAAAATTCACGCCGATAGTGCCCGCGCCAGATTCACCAACAAGGACGGTGGTGACCACCTTTCATTACTTAACATCTTCAATGAATGGGTTGATTCCGACTACAGCTATGTCTGGGCCAAGGAAAACTTTTTGCAGCAGCGAAGCTTGACCCGAGCGCGTGATGTTCGAGATCAACTTGCTAGGCTATGCGACCGGGTCGAGGTTGACGCCAGCAAGACCTCTGGCGGCGCATCAAACATTGAACCGATCCAGAAAGCCATCACTGCGGGCTTCTTCCCTCACTCAGCTCGACTCCAGCGGGACGGCCAGAGTTACCGGACGGTCAAGAACGGGCAAGTCGTCTATATCCATCCCTCAAGCGTCCTAATAGAGAGTCGGCCAAAGTGGGTGATCTATCATGAACTAGTGTTGACAAGCAAAGAGTACATGCGCAGTTGCATGCCCTTGAAGCCGGAATGGTTGATTGAAGTGGCGCCACATTATTACAAGAAGCAGGATTTGGAAAGCCTGGGCGTGGAGAGAAAAGTGCCCAGAGGCGAAGGGAAGGCTCAAAGTAAGATATGACAGACGGAGAGGTTATGCAAAATGAACAGACGTATTCACCATCAGGGTGGAAAACCCTTTCTCTTAAGAGCTCACCAGTCGGCGTGAACCTATCTTTTCTGCTCCAAGGTTCACTCGTTGTTCATGGACGAGGCTTCAGCCTGGCTCTGGCAACACTGCAGCCTCGTCCCTGCCAAGCCCCACACGTGCCGTCCCGCGACGCTTCCATACCCTCAGAAGAAATTTTTTTATTTTGTCCCTTTTTCCCTCACCCACCTCAGCCAGAAACAATCACCATGTGAGTAAGCTAACTTTGATCTCGAAGACAACGTTTGTCAAACATGTCGCAAGACTCAGGACCAGCGCCCCATCCGAGCTGCAAAGTCATCCTTGCAGGCACTATCGCGAAGGGACTACTCGCAGAGGTCCAAGCCGGTTTGAAGGAACTCGATCGCAAACCCCATTTGCTGGGAATACTGGCGAACAATGATCCTGCCGCCAAAGTGTACGCAGATTGGACAGAGAAGACGTGTCGTGAGAAGTAAGTCTCTTTTTCGTCCTTTTCCCGACGCCCCTTTCTTGTCCAGCAAGGGAGAAAGGATATTCAGACAACAAGAGCGAAGTGTGCCCGACATTTAACTTGGGTCCTTCCCCCTCTTATTTTTCAATGTCCTGACCTGGTGCCAATGACAAAGTGGCTTCTTGTACACCCTCCAACAAGCCGCCAAAGACTCGGTCGAAGAAGTTGTGCTCGCCGCCAATGCCAACTCAGCCTACGACGGCATCATAATCTACTACCCCATCTTCAACAACCGGGGCCAAGACCAGTACATACAGAACATAGTGTCCCTTCCAAAGGATGTCGAGGGGTTGAGTCACCAGTACATATTCAATATGTATCAGAATATCCGCTTTCTCGACGACGCACAGATGATGAAGAGTATCTTGCCCTGTACTCCGCTGGCAGTGATAAAGATCCTAGAGTACTTGCATATTTACAACACGATCTTGCCCTACGGTAACAGACTTTTCGGCCGCACGATCTGCGTAGTCAACCGCAGTGAAGTCGTCGGTCGTCCGCTCGCCGCTTTACTTGCCAACGATGGAGCGTGCGTGTATTCCGTCGACGTTACGGGTGTTCAGCAATTCCACCGCGGAGCCGGGATACGCAAGAGGAAGCACGAAGTGGTGGAGATGGAAGGCTGGACCATCGAGAATTGTGCCCCTTTGTGCGACGTCGTCATCACGGGTGTCCCCGGCGAAGCTTACAAATTCCCGTGCCACCTGTTGAAGGAGGGTGCGGTGTGTATCAATTTCTCATCTGAGAAAGTAAGTCTTTTTCGCTCCCTCCCCATCCCCAGCTCCCCCTCTCTGCAAAGCTCGAATATCAACCTCACTGCTGTGATTCCTTGTAGAACTTCCCTCCCGAAGTCAAAGAAAAGGCATCCATCTACGTCCCCGCCATTGGAAAAGTCACCATTGTCGTGCTCCTGCGGAACCTGCTGCGCATCGTACAGAATCGGCAGGCGCAGGTCGAGAGAGAGCGGCATTCTCAGGCTCAGCCCTCGGCCCATGAAAGCTCCACGGAAGCGCAGGCCCGCAATACTGTCGCAACCGGACAGAAACTAGAAACAGCGACACTGAACGGTGTTGCGAAGTAGCACCGCGTTCTGGTCAGGCTCTCGCGCTGGTTTTACGGATTGCAATCTACATTCCGATGCACGACAGCGGGATCATGGAACCGGGTCTATATTCCAATAAAGGTCAGGCGGGAGCACATCATCCTTGTCCCGCTTAAATCGCATATCAACTTCTGGCTCCAAGTTTTCCTTTTCCTCAGCATGTCCCAGCGAGACACCGTACCTAAGGGCTTCCAGGACATGCAACAAGACACAGGAGCGTCGCCCGTCTCAAGGCGGCTCTTGGCCTGACAAGGATTACCTAGCTCTGTGAGCGAAGATTTCCTGCGTACGGGCGCCACAGGCATCTCTATGCGCGGAGGTTGGAATGTCCGGTATATTGTTGCAGAAGGCCAAAATGGTCAGGCAATGGTCCCTCGAAACAAGCATATCGGCACTCACCATCAGCTCAACTTCCTTGACTTAATCTTAGCTTGGACGACCTCTATGCATCAATTGAACCATTCCAGGTTTTTTTTTTCGGGCTGGATTGTGATCAATAACGACCAATAGAAGAATCAGTCCGAACAACAATGAACAAAGGTACTTTCACGATATAGCGAAATCACGTCCTCGACTTGATTCAAGGAAGAGCAATAACCGATTCTTTGGTAGCACCCAAACAGACTTGGGCACTATCAGTGTCAAGTAACCGTTGCCCCGGTCCGCTTTTTTCTAGTGAAAACCCAAAAAAAAAAAAAAAAAAAAAAAAAACCTGCCCTCCATGATTCATGGCTCCTCCGCCGGCGAGAAACAACTTGCGGTCCACCCATCCCCAGAGCTTGGTCTCATGCCGTGCAATCGAAGTATATGGTCCAGAATGGACTGGCAGTGCGACGCGGACTCGATTCCTGCTTTTCTCACAAGATCGGAAAATCGCCGTATGAACCAGTTCTCGTTTTCAGTTGCTGAGACAGTAGGACTCGATATGGAATTTTCTACCATTGCCCCAGTCCACAGAAACCACAGCAAGAGCGGGAGTCGCCCAGAGTGATCTTGTTCTTCTGGTGTGTCCAGGTGGGCAGCTTCATAAATCGTAAGTATCTGACGAAGTTTGCATAGCATCACCGGATTCCACGTGAATAACCTCATGTGCTCTGTCATGGAGATACTCTCAATCCCACCCAGTTCACGGAGCCAGTATATTGCACAGAGGCTGGCAGAAGCCAGTTCAAGTTTCTGCAATATGGAGGACACTGTGATTCGGTCACTTTGGCAAAGAATGGGTTGGACGTCGAGGTGTGCATAAAGGTTCATCAGTCTCCCAGCCGTCAGTATGATTTTTGACATGGCATAAACCCAGGTCTGGGAAGTATCCAAAGGTGTGTGCCTGCGAATTCTCATTATGATATCGAGGGTCTCTTGAGCATCAAGGTACAGAGTACGGATGTCGCCTTTCAGGTAGGAATCTAAGTTGTGGTCTGCCTCCGATCTCGATATCGGAAAGCGTGGAGAGACATGCTCCCACAACGGTAAGAATTGTTTTTCGACCCACCCATTTGGACCCACGTCAAGAGATGTTCTCGAGAAGTTCATGACAGCAAACTGAACTTCGAGGTATATTACACTGATATAGTGGTGGAGGTTGAATGATGGATCTGCAAAGAGTACGGCATGGTGCGTTGCAAAGATATCCTTCAGGACCGTAACGTGCTGATAGAGGGCTTGTCTATCTCCTAAGGAACTGTCGGCCAAGAGCAGGATCAAGAGGGCACGATAAAGTCGGAGAATGTTGATGCGAGAGGTAGTGGTCATGTATTCTTTCAGGGAAGCCACTCCCTTGTGCCGGAATTTGCGTGATGCGTCGAGATATTCTGGACTCGACGTGATCATGTACCTGCTGGCGGCGATTCGTGACAGATAGCTGTGGATTGCGATGCTGTCATACAGATAGGCTTTGCTCTCGGTGATCCACGTCTCAGTGAACGCAGGTTGCCTAGGAACATTCTCTTTCGCTACCATACGCAGTTCGAGTTCCCTGACCGCAGGAACGACGCAGTCCCTCTCAAATGCGAGGAGCGAATTCGCTGTGGCTGTAAGCTGCTCAGGGAGGACATCGAAAGGGTCTGAGTTGCCGTTTAGCAGGACGAGGTCGAGTAACCGCGGTAGGCTGCGAACTGGGCTTGATGGGAAAGGTATTTGAGCCGTTTCGGATGGATTGTCCTCTCGGACGCCTCGGCTGGGAGTTAAGTTCACAGACTTGAATTGAGGATCAATGGTTTCGTGGAATCTGGATGATTCCCGAAGACGGCGAGCATCTTGTCCCTTCTTCCAACGACGATAGCCGTGGACATGGCGCGTTACCTGCTGGCGGTGTGGTAGGGTGCTCAAACTCGTTGCATCGACGTTCACAAAGGAAAAATCCCCTTGGAACATCAAATCAGATGGCATTATGGCAATGATGCCGAGTATGCTTGAAACAAGTCGACAAAAGACAATTCCTTCTCGACATGACAAAGCGAGGAGGAAGAAGGCAGAGAGATTGAGCTTCTGAAGGCAGGACAATGCTTCTGAGTCGCCGAGGGCACTTACCGGAAAGAACGGACTCAGTGAGCAGCAATTGAAGCGGCGACAGCTTCACCGAAGGTTCACTCCCAGGGGATGGACTTAAGGACTGACCAAGCCGCGTGGGCACGTCTGTGCACATGGGCCAAATTCGATTTCCAGGTTTGCTGGCACTCGCAGGTTGGGGGCATCATGACTGCCTTGGCTGGCTAATGTCATGACCCATTTGCCACTCGTCTGTTTTCTCCCGGCCGGGGGTGTTTGCGAAGAGCAGGGCGTGCTGTTTGTCCAATCATGCGCCTCTTCTCTAAAGAGACGCCGCCAGGTGATTTGCATATTTTGTGGAGATTATCACCCGGACGGCTTAGTCACCTGTCGCCTACTCATACTTATATCCCAGGGACTGCAGGGCGATCTTGTTTGTGCGAGTATCTCGGATCTATGTCTTCTGGAAGCAGGGAGGCGGGCATCCGTCTCTTTTTTTTCTGGGGCTGCAGCGCCCCAAATCACGGTATTCGGGATGTGGAAGGCAAGTATTCCAATCAGAGCATTTCATGTTTCAACGGAGATGGATTTTGAGGCATTATCAGGCGCCTAGACTATACTATCTTGACGTTCAATAACTGCTCCAGGGCGCTTCAAACTGACAGAACCCTAACACCACCAACTGGCGCTGGATTCCCACCATGACACCAAAGACTGAAATCCAAAGAATTCCACGCTCGACCCACGACACTATTGCCGGGAGCGTGAGGACAAAGATCGAAAAGGCTACATCCAGTTTTCAAGCTTAAGGTAGGTTCAGCAGGTCTTCAAATTCGGGGAGATTACTTGCTTCCAGCGAAGGCAGTTTGTCAAGTCCATTCCCGTCCGAGGCTCGGCTCTGAGAAAAGACCCTGTGATGACTAGCCTGGGCGGATGTTGATGAGAATGAAAAAGCGTCAAATTGCTGGAAATCTGGAGTATGGGGCCTTTGGACTCGAAAAATCAAGTTGGTCGTGTCTTGTTCAGAGGAAGCCGAGAAAGCTGCAATTTGTGCGTGGAGGTCTGCGATGCGCCCCTTCAACTTCATCACTACTTCGGATTGCCGCGAATATGAGACGAGCAGCCTCTGATGCTTCTCGCCAAGATCTGTTAAAGTTGACTTCAAACTTCGGAGGTGCTTCTCTTTGCGTTCACGAAAAGCACGCTGGGATGCGCGGTTTTGCGCTCGGCGTCGCTGCAAGCCCGTTTTATTAGATTTTTGCTTTAACCGGTCAAAAGATAGCGGCATCTTTTGAGAAACCCGCAGCTCCTCCGAGTGTACCGACTTTGAAGGCATTGCTACCTGACTTACCATCTTCGTGCTAGATTCGGCCGATTGCTCTGAATCTGTGGATGTGGAGGTTGCTGGTTGATCTATGGCAGAGATTTCGACATCACTGATCATTTTCGATCCATTCTTTACGAGGCAGCCATCCCCGTCACCAAGGAGCATGTCTGAGACGTCCATGTTGCCGAACTGATGGAAGTCATCCAATAACTAAAATTGACTGTCAAACCCTGTTCTTTCCGGCATGACCCAAAAGGCTGTGGCTTGGACTTACGTCGAGATTGTCAAACTCCCCCAGGTCTACAAGATACAGCTCCGAAGTTGCGAAACTCGAGCTATCTGAGGGGTTATCCATGCGTGGGACGTTCATGGCGGGCGTCGGTTTAGTTGTAAGGAGACCAAATCAGGATGTAAGAGTACGGTTCGAGGCTGGTGCGAGGTGGCTCGGTCTGAGACGATGTTATGAAGATCGAAAAATGCCTGAGGATCGAAACATGAGCTCAGGCAGACCGTGGTCGAGGACATGTCTTTACATAAGGTAGACATGGCCATCTTGGGAGGGGCTGTTGTTGACATGGTGGTACTTCTCGCACGATCTCTTTTACCAGGAACCCTGCAGAACATCCTTGGGGCCCCTTTTGAGACAAGGCTAGCCAAGCCCTTGGCCCACTCGCCCCACTGTGAGTGCCATCAGCCCAATGGGAGAGGGGATTTGCTCTACCAGATATGGAATAGTCATATTACACCGCAGTTAATAGTGCCACGCCCAGATCAATGCTCTGCAGGGCAAGAGGCGAAATCCATGCAGCTTGCACAGAGGGTTCCAAATACTCGGTAGCTTCCATCGGGATGTGCTCGTGCTTGTACACATGGAGCTAAAAGGGCCACAGTTACTTAAATGCGTAGTAGTCAGCTTCGAGAGGGACCAGTGACCGCAGATGCCGCCCATTTAGAGTCCCGGCCCTCTGGTCATTTTGAAGACCAAGCCTAAACAGCACTCGCACCTGAAGATCCGCGGGTATTCGGTTCAGGCGCGCTGCCAAGGACGTCCAACCCATGATATGGGTCGAGGATGGTGGTGGTGGTGGAACAGGGACAAGGTAAACGTTCGACGATGGCGCTGTTCACTTGTTACGGTAAGGTTTAAGAGCAACTTGTCCAAGATAGGAAAGCACAACGTCATATTATGCAAATCACACGGGCCCCTCCGCCGAAGTCCAAGAAATGCAAAATTGCATCGACTAGATGGTAGTGCTCGATCAACAATATTGCTGTGTTGAGATTGTGTATTTCGAGGGTGAATGACAAAGCATCAGGCTTAACAATGCTTGACAAAGCCGAAACTGTTCTAGACTGAATTGTCAAGGAGAGCCTGTTAACCAACTCAATAGACTCTCGGTGAGTCGTCCTGAACCAACCTGAACTTAACATAGGGTCGATATCACAAGCCGCATTCCGCGCCGACGCTGCCGAATATTGGCGCTGTATGCATGCTTAGGAGATGTGCGGCTTACGATTCTACTGCAAACTAAGTTTTGAGACACTAGGTCCGCCAGATATCTTGGCCTGTCTTCTGCAAATCTCAGAACAACAGAGTACAGGTATCAGAAAGTCGGCGTAACTCTACAGTGGTTCCCAAAACCGCCCTCCTCCTTTCAAGACACAATGCGACTTTCCTTGGTGAAAGGCTGAGGAATAAGGGGAACATTTCTAGCCAAATATGTTGTAGTCCACGTCAATCTTTCATCCAGTGATCAAGAGCGCTAACGACCCTCTTTTTTGCGAGGTTGGTCAGGTATGTTGTAAAGACTTGATGCAATAATGCGTAACAAATCGACAAGTCTGAAAGGCTGAGAGCGCTGAGGTAGTCTAAACCCAGCCAACCTGTATTTTGATCTTGTTCCACACCCCTGCGAAACCCCAAAGCTTAGCTGGAAGACTCTATTGCAACCCGTGGTCGGTCTATATAGTCTGTCTGATAGTGCTGTTCTCATGTGCGTGCAATTGTTCAACGCAGTTGTTAGTCGGATTTTGACCCGGTAAGATTTTCAGCACAGCACTTATTTTTGCGCAAAAATGATAATAGGCTGAATCATGAATATCAACGCAGCGAAAGAGAACTGGGCATCTACTTTCGAGAGGGAACTCAGACCGGATTATCGCGAGGCCCATATGTTCGTCGAAAATGACAACAAGCGTCGCGCCCGCGAGCTATACAATGAGATGCTACAAAAACCAGATATTCATCTCGTATAACAAATCAAGTGACATCTGATGCTTGCCGCGCTTGCCGCGCTTGCCGACATCCCTCCTGTGGCAGAGATGCATTTTAACAAGGCAGACAAAGTTCTGTACCCAGCTATACGAGAGCAGGGAGGATTGTGAGGAAGAGGAAATGCTAATGTACCGAGCGATGATAAACGATGAAAAAAGGGACCTAGGCTCAGATGAGGCAACGCCGGTTTCAGGGCCGAGTGCTGAGCAACGACGCCAGGCAACTCGTGTTTCCACAGCAGTCACAGTCATCGAAGCGTGTGAACTCTGCAAAATCACAGGCCGTACAAAAACGTCAACCGCGTCCGACTCACCTAACCCTGTTTCTGATCTCCAAAGCGCGCAGCCCCTTACCGGAACTACCCAAAGACTGGCCAGTTTGAGAAGAGATTGTCTTATACGTGATCCTCACCGTTGCGTTATATCACGCTCGGTTGACCGTGACGAGGCAATGGGGCGAGTTGCCTCAAATGGTACTTAGGGGGGCATAAGACGATGAGAGAGTTTCATTGAGTAACGAAAGTAACATATTTGCATCACGAGAGGTGGTATATATTATCCCTTCATTAATGACACTCTCGGGCGAGGAATAGAAGTTAGTATGTTCGGTGCCTCCCGCTTAATACTGACATAAGATTCTCTAAATTCGTCGCTAGTACACTGTTACATGGAGTGCGGAATGCGAGGTCCAGAACCGGAACAATACTCTTTCTTTTTGTTTCTTTTCTTTTGTTACCGGATTGCTTTCTTCGGTATTCATGTGGTATTAGGAATACTCACGAGTACTATGACACGGATCTGCCGCTTGGTCATGCTCCGATTAGAATACTGCTTATTACTGATTAGGCATAGCATAATCGGCTGATATCGTACCTTTCCGTGGGGAGAAAGTTGCAATGGGTGAATGTGTCAGCAAAGTGGAGGGCGGTTTTGGGAACGACTGTATTACTTCATCGCGATACAGATACTTTTCATGGATGGCATAACATACTTGGAGCCTTGTGTCTCTTACCGAGTATCGAGTCGTGAGCCGCGTAGTCGACACCCGAGACTTGGTAATGTAGAGCAGAGTTCTCAGATGACGACCCAACCCAAACAAGGGAGATAGAGTTCAGCCTTGTGGACTTTCTCGTATCGTGACTTTGGCAGGGCATCGAACTGTCTGGGTACCTACTTACTGGGTACTTAGTCTGTTAGATATTTGCGGAATTTTTCCCGGTTCACAGGTCTTTTCCGCTTACATATTTGGACCCCAGAACGACTGCCACATACCCACCATGACAAACCCCCTGAAGCAAAAGGGCACACGATGGTGGAGTCTTCGAGGGGCGGACGAGGCTCGGCAGGAGATTCTAATTACTGTAGCACATCAGGCGGCGGCTAAAATGGATACTCGATCCACAGGAACGCAGCAACCAAGTCGAATCGCGGGAGCACCGCAATTCTCCGCCTCGGCCACATATTTGGAGATGGGGTTGGCAGTGGTGCCAGCACTCAAAAACTTCGAAACCTTGCCTCTGAAGAAAAAAAACTTAACCCGCAGGACCATTCCCAAGAGAGAGCACCATTACGGATACTCGATTGGATGTTGAAGGAAGGGCGAAACGGGGGTGCATTCGGCAAGAGGCATGATGTGTGACAACAGACCCTCTGGCCTAGCTGGCGTTCCACCGCTGAGAAACGATATGGCAATCGAACGGGGGCAGTGCAAGGCGTGTGATATTCAAGAACTTTTTCGCTGGACGTGGCCGTCGCAGCGGGACTTTGGCGCTGCACCATTTGACCGTTTTCTCTTCTGGGCAATTATCTGGGAAACCCAAGGAACCCCATGCATCGTTGTGCTCGCTTCATCCGGGACCAGCCGTGACTGGACTGCCTTGTCTCAGTCCTATGATTTCGACTACCGAGTACCTATCAGAGGGACTCCAGTATCAAACAACAGGTGGCTTCCAGTTAAAGCATCACACGGCGACTGGAGCACGGCAGAGCACCACGTCGATCCCCACAACGCGGCCCGCTTCCGAACCATACGAGGTAGAAGAAGGAGGAATGAAAAGCCTCAGTTCTCGGTTCTACGGCCGAAAGGGAATCTCGAACATCTCTTAAAATCCCCGCCGACCGAGAACTCGGAACCACTAATCGTGCTTGATGACGCAGCAGAGCATACCTCGCACAGTCTGAGAATCAGGGTCTCCGAGAGTTAAGCCAGCGTGAATGTCATTCACCCACGGGCCGAAACTCAAACCATTCATCCACAGGTCTAAATGCCAACGGTGCACGAAGTCGCCAATGACATGGCGAATATGTGGCGGATATGAGCAAAGAAAAAAATTGGAAAGGCGCAACTGTCACATAACAGCGGGAAGTGGCTCGTCTGGAGCAGCTTCCCGTCAGATAGTTGCAAGATCCCAAGGCCAAGTTCGGATGCGCGCGATGTCTATGCCATGTCTAGCTAGATGCAACAGAAGCCATCTATAAGACGATACCCACACCCTGATGTCAACCATCTCCAAGTATCGCCGGCCTAGCGCTGAGGGCCATTCTGATCCTCCCCGTCTTCGAATCTCTTCGTCCGGCGCTTTCATCCTCTTGTGTACACCGCTGATGATCAAACATGCGAATCCCCAAATGTCCCGATCCTTGCGCCTCGGGAGATTGCACCCCGCCAGCGGAACCTCCCTCTTTTTTTGTTGTTGTTGTTGGTGGTTTCGTGTGTGGCTGTCTCTGGGGCACCAATTCTAGAGCAACGATTGCCCCTTACAACTTAGCCTTCTCGCCAATCGAGCCGATCTTCAACTTAGGGCCATACTTCTTAAGTACGGATTCGTTGTGGTACTAGACGTATGTCAGCTTCGACTTCCGTCGACGGTCCTTGAGTCCTGGGTTCGCGCTTGGCATTTGTTCCCAGCTCAGACAGTATGTGCGCTCACCTTCCAGAACTGCTTTGTAGCATCTTTTCCACAGACTCGCTTCAAAATCTTTGCACCGCCGGGATGCTCGTCCACAAAGTTCGTCACATCGTACACGGACCCGTCGATAATTATGTACATGCCATCGCCGGCGGTGGCGGTGTGTTTAGCCACATCGGCGGTGGTGAACGTTTTAGACATCTTGGGATATTATGGAGAGATTATTTCAGTGGGTTTCGAAGCGACGTCTGCCGCAGTGCTTATCGAGCTTGTCGCTGACGGGGGTGTGAGGAGGTGCGACGGCGGTGCTTGGCTCCGGCCGCTTGAAAGAGCAGCTTCTAGCAAAGAGGATATCGCTGGCTGTGTGACCGTGAGGACCGCTTTCTAAGGATGACCGATCAAAGACACTGGTCGTGTGCCGTGCGGACTGTGCTCTCTATGCAGGAAGAGGGAGGACGGGGATGGGGTTGAGCTACAAAGACGAGAGAGACGGCGGCAAAATGAATTGACGATATACACAATCCCGCCAGCAAAAGGTGATGGAAGCGTTGTGGCCTACTCTATAGCAGAGGATGAGGAGAAAATGTCGAGGACGATCGCAGGGTTTGAATATTAATCGATCCGAAGAAAAGAAGCGATGAGAAGGTGGAAGGGAGGGAAAGATGCCGAGGTCCAATGCCTCGCCGATTCCGAAATCCCGGCCCGGTCAGCCAAGTTGTCAAACACGCCATTGGCCAGAGGAGGGGGGTATACCTACTCTTGACCTCCTGTAATACTTAGTACATCTACATGGACGAAGAGGTAGGGACCTAATAAGTAATATTCGGTTATTCTCACTCCACCCAGCCAGCTTCCTCTGAAACCTAATCTCAATTATCCAGAATGCTTACCACCCACTACTTGTCGATTTCACCCTGACTACACGTCCCCTTGGCCTTCCCGCTCTCGACTTCACTGAACCTAGTTGTTCCCCTATCGATCTCTTTTATCAACCTGCTCCAGACTAGAAGATATTGCATCCTGGTGCTGCTCCCAGACTGCAACACGATCGTCTTCGCCGAGAGCTGTTCCGACAGATATCAATGCTTCCAAGATCGCGTTCAACAGTGGATCCCATTCACCAACGGGAACAGGGCGGCAACGCAAATTCAATGACACCTCCAGGTTAGCCAAGGCCTCCCACAGCTTTCCCTGCTCTTGCTGTGCATCACCTAGGAACAGGTAGGTCCTCGAAACGTCAAAGTTAAGTTGTCCGCTGCTGTACGAAACCTCGTCAACTTCGGCCACACGCCTCAACAGCTCGGAGCTGATAGTCTCAGCATCTGAAAACCTGCGCTCCACGGAGAGATAATGGAGCGCAGTGTGCCAGAGGCAGAATGTCGGGATTGAGTAGCGGCCGAGCTTGTTGTCCACCTCCCTGAGCATGACCAAAATCTCCTCGCGGTGCTTTCCCTCGAATTTCTCGTAAAATCGACCCCTGTCTGCCCGAGGGAAGCTGCTCTGGTTGTATGAATAATAGGCTTTAATATCATCGCCCTGAACTCTTGCCATCCACAAGTCACGACAGTATGCATCGAAAGCCAGGACCATGTGCCCTTGTGGGTCTCCTTGCCCGTCTTCTGGCAGCTCCTTCAGGGTCTCGAAGAAGCCTCTCCTTGGGTCGCCGCTTTCCAATGCTTCTTCTGCCAACTCATGCAGTTGATTGCAGAGTTGGCCTTGGATGGTCGGAACTTCTTGGAGTAGGACCTTAGGACCATCCTTCTGTAGCATACGTATAATGCCGAGAATGTCAGAGAACTGACGATGATGCTTTGTTTTCACGATCTGGTCCAGCAGAAGGAACGCTTGGCGAGTCTGAGCCCATCCGGGCGTGGTTTTTCCTTCCTGAAATTGTTTGGTAGCATGAGAGATCTTGTTGTGGAGTAGGCTGAGCTGTGTCAAGTCCGAAATATCAGCATTGCTGCGGTTGTAGAGGCCTTTTTTTATCGGGTGCCCAATCTCCTTGATCGAAATTCTTGTTGAAGTGGACACTTGTAAGCCACAGCATTCGTCGGAAGGTTCTGAATACCGCAGGATCGTCCAACTGGTGGTACTTGAATGGTAGATCAACTAAGCAAAGTTTGCCTACTAGGTTGGGGAAGCTCATGGTCTTCAATACTTCCATCTGGAATGGGGACTCGGGTCCTTTTGCAGTAGCTTTCGGTATCGCTGATGCGTAGAAGAACACCGTTGGCCACAACCAACAACGTATGATTCCCTCCCAAGACCTGGAGCCTTTGCAGTTCCACGAGAACTCTGATGGCTTCGTTCCGCTGAACGTTTTTGAAAATTCCGTACTTGGTCAGCCTAGAGGTCAACTGTTTGTCGCTAGAGTGATAATTAGCATGCCTGGAAGCTGATGTCGCGATGGATCTAGACTAACGTGGCTTTGAATGCATATTTTCCTTGCATTTCACCTTTGACTTGGCTAAGTTTCAGATCGTCGATGACATAGAGTAGAGTGATCTCTTCCTTGTGCTCGGAAAACAACTTGTTGCAGGATTCTGTATCCATCGCCTCGACGTTCAATGAAGCAACTCTAAGTTCTCAGTAGACTGTCTCGAGGCCTAACTCAACGATAAGCTCTTCTAGCTACATATTTCGAGTGCGGCAGAGGACAGGCATATTTGAACGACCAGGACGACGACACCACAAGTGCCGGCCAGCGGGCAAGCCCGGCACAATGTCCAATATCCCTGGCGCTGGTGCAGATCGAGATCCATTGCATCGTTGACACGTCAATCCTCACGATGCCTACCTCGCTAAGACATTTGCTGCCTCTCACAATCCCCAATGCGACTCCGAATTTGGTCTGATGCATTGCCATGCATCCTGGTCGACGAGGTGCGAACGTCAGGCCCAACAATGCCTGGGGTCATGTGGCCTGGTCGTTGGCCAGTGTGAAACTGGAATTAATTCTGACGGCAAGGATGCGTAAGTCATGCATGTGGAAGTGCTTCGAACATCTTCCTACGCCGCTGCTGGGTTGGGGAAGGGGGATAGACATTCCACTCATCATTTTTCGCTCGAGGAGGCGAGTAGCCTTCAGCCGCAGTGTTACACTAGGCTCCAATGCATGTTCCGCCCAATATAGCTAGGGAAGCACCAAACAAACCCTGTAACGCCTGACCATGACAACTCATCCTATTGGGCTTCTCGTGTCAACCATAGCGCAAGGAGGCAACAATTTTAGTATGAATCGTGGCCCTGACGATATCGGCTGTTCATTCTTTCTCTGCCGACACTTCCGTCTATATAATTCCGATACATATCCTTCAGTCCTCCGTTGGTTCCTATCCTTTCTCCAAAAAGAAAAAAAGAAATGACAAATCGGACGCCAACTTTTGAATCACTTTGTGCAATACTCTACATCAAAGTATCGTGAGTTGGAAGAAAACCCCAACCCAGTTCCAAGAAGCTTAATACTTCTTTCTATTCGTATGTCTATCCGGAGCCTCATCTAGTTCCCTCACCTGCCCACTCGCCTTTTGGTTGTGAATGACGCATTTCAACCTGTTCTTGCAACATGGAGAATACGCAGGAAGCATTCATGGGTCTCCAAGTCTCTGAAGAGACAAAGAGATGCCTCTTGTCGATGATGAACAAGTAAGCTGTCTCCCTCGCAGAGCTCGCCAATTGTCCGCTGATGTCCAGTTCCGACAGGAAAGAGCAGGCCCCGGCTGTCATTCTTTTCGGGATGGCTGGAGTTGGGAAGTCGTCATTAGCTGAGTCCATCAGCGGCTTGACTGGACTATCTGGTGATTCATCGCAGCCCGGTACTTCTTCGCTTAGTGGTTCAGGTCAAAGTCTGTGTCTAGCACTTCAACAGTCACTACTGCATGCAATATCGTGGAGGCATATATTGGCACCCGGCCGCTCTTTCTCATTGATACCCCTCCCTTCGAGGACGAACATGGCGCAAGTGACACATTCCTCAAAATCATGAAAATTATTGATGACGTGAGCCCATTTGTCGCATTCACTGGTGTTTGGTATGTTGTCGGTATTGGCCGATCCCACGACACAGGATTTGACGCCATCCTCCGCGACTGGCTGGCTGCCTTCTGTGGGGAGCATTTCCTTCCTTATCTGACACTTGTGATCACGTTCTGGCATAGCGACAGCGGGGGATTCTGCAGGAGGCTCTCCGAAAAGAGACACCTTCAAAGAAGTCCCTTCGATGTCCAATACTACTGAGGAAGAACAAAATCACGAAAAAAAGAATCAGGAAGGCGAACCCATTCATGGTGACTCTTCCAGTCCAAGCACTGCGAGGGAGACACAGAATGAAGACTATCATGGAAGCCAATCCTCTCAAGGTGACTCACACCCGTCAAACCCCGTTGAAGATCAACACGGCCAAGAGGCAGGTGGAGGTCAGACAGAGAATGCGTCTAGTTGGATTCATGATGCTCTTTCACTCCTGTTCCGGAATGTCACGTTCCAGATGACTCCCGGTGGCATCGAGGTCGGGTTAGGGGGACTTGGGTACCGGCACAATTTTAGAGATGGTCCCCAGAACCACCCCAGTCTCAACAATGGTCCCAAGAGCCAGCCGCATCTCAATACAAATTCGTCCATCCGTGACTTGCTCAAGTATCACGGGCAACCGTCCGACAGCGCTGCTCTAAACGACCTATCGAAAACGTGGGGAATACGCGTCGGTCCTGACGGCAGTCTGGAACAGAATGATGCGCTCCTAAGAGAAGCGAAGGCCAGAGTACGCAGGAATGGCGGGAAGTGGTTATGAACTCTTGGGGGGAAATCATGATAACTGGGTGAATTCGCCATGGTACTTTATTGGTAGTTTGATGCAGCACCCTGCTCTGACCCTGCTTAATCGTCCAAATCACAGTATGCACACTGTGGGTACGGAGTATCTGCGGTCAATTGCATCTGAAAGAGTTGGGCGGGTTTCTACCTGCTTGGGGTCGAAGGAAAATTGCTAATCGTGGAAGAATGGAGAGCTGGCAGACAGGAGTATGAGCAGGGACGAGTATGAGCAACAAGCGTATGCTCCGTAGGGGCCGCTGACACAGCTGAAATAGTAATCGCCTATTCGATCACCACGAAAATACCGCCATAGGGCCTTATAAGCACAATAACGCAAAGCTGCCGCTCTGAGGGGCCGCGTTCTTAACGCCCTTGATTGGCGGACTAGCTATAACCAAACGTACCAGTCATCTCGCACAAAATACAGCCTTGCAGATTGTAGCTGGGGACTAGTCCCATCTAGGCACTCGCACCATCTGTTTAAGGAAAAGGCCTGAGAAGGGGCTAAGCCGTGCATTATGCTTCAAGATCAGGGCGAGGGCATGCAGGGGTATTTCTCATCTACTAGAAAATCACCCTCACTTTCTCGCGGGATACAAAATGTCCCATCTCACATGGAGACAATCTCACTTCGAAAAGCGAGGGGATAAGACAATGGCGTTGGATGGTGAATGCTTACCACCGGCACCAGGAGAAGCAGCGTGCTCGTCACTTGTGCGTTGGACTCGAGTTCCTGGTATTACATTTCTGCCACGACTCTTGGCTAACACTAGTCTTCGCAGATCATGGGTGAGGAAGAGGACTTGGGTGGCGGTTTTATGAACCTAGGTCTATTTCACCTTGCAGCAATGCCATCCATTCCTTGTGGATCGGAAGCAAAGGCCACGGCAATCTATCAGACGGAGAGTGGTGGGTCCCATGAAGCCAGTCCTGCAGAAGGCGATAATATCATCAAACTGCCGAAGCGAAGACGAAAAGCTCGCATGAACGAGGTCGACGAAGGAACCCAATTGGTAAGGAATCCAGCTAGTTATCCCCAATGGCAATAAATACAACAACCCCAGTTGACGGGAAGAGAACGAGCCACATCTGACAAATCTCTCAGCGGCGACGGGCACAGAACAGAGAGTCCCAGCAAGCCTACCGACATCGCAGGGAGGACCATATCCGAAATCTCCAAAGGCAAATTGTAGATCTTCACCTGCAACATCGCGATCTTTGGCAGTCGTACTATCTGCAAGACAAAAGATTGAAACTCCTCAGAGAAGTGGTTGCCGATCTCACCATGGAAGTCAGCGTGCTGCGAGGACGACGTCCACAGCAGCAGCAGCAGCAGCAGCAATTAACAGAAGATGAATCACTTCTCCTAGAGGATGAGTGCGATTGTGGTATTGTCTTAAATGACTCGCTCTACCCAGGGTGTTCCGGAACTGGTGCCAATATTGATGTAGAAGAGTTGCCAATTTTGGGACAGGATTTGCAAGAATGCCTGTCAGAACATGCACCAATCTATTGTTCACCGCACCACACCTCAGAATACCCAGACTTGCATTAGAGGATCCGGCTTTCAGGGGGGGGGAGGCCCAACCAAGGAGGATTCACAGTACGACGGGTGGCGGTCTCGCTTCTGCTCGACTTGGCTGCGGGTTTTAAACCCATAATGTATTGTTGATGGGACACTAGGGAGTCGTTAGTGCTTGGTATACAAGCGGGTGGGCAGCGTGGCCGATGTGCATGACTCAAAGTGATGGAGGCCGTATGTTATTTGTACCTGAGTGAGAACCGAAAATATATAACCTTTCTGTTGCTCGAATCCATTCCAGCCAGTGTAACTTTAGTGTCTGCAGAGGGCGCCAGATGATGTGGGAAACGGTGATTGGATTGATCGGAAACCATACTTCGATTTTATGAGAAAAGTTCTTTTATCAACCCCCAATGAATTGCAGAACATCTCTCACAAACCCCTGGGAATTGTCTAGTGAGAGATATTGTCTAGAATCCTAGGCCACGCCCAGCGTGGCGTCTTCATAAAACACGCTTGACGGGAGACATTGCGAGATCCGGGTGGTGACTTTGAAGATCAAAATGTCGAGGCACGCCAGAGGTGTCTGCTATTTCCATGTAGACTAGAGCCTGGTAACGGGCACTCACCTGAACTCATGATCTCGGCGTGTTCGGGAATTGGCAGACGTAGGCGTGCTCGACTATGGGCCCGGTGTCATGGCCATGACCGTGAACTCTGCCCCTGACACCGATCCGCTTCGTGATGACATCGCGGAGATCGGGAAGGACAGATGGAATTATGATGTCCACATTGAACCAAGGCATGTGGGCACAAATCCCACGTCACCTCTGGAACAGAGCAAATAGAGTGCAAGATAAGTCTCCAAATTTGCGATTTGAAGCCTTCCAAGGCGCGATATCATGGTTTCTCTGTCGCTCACGTCTCATCATCGTAGACGAAACCTTCGCCCAAATAAATGGTTGCTCCTCCACCATACCACAATGTGCCATTCCGAAAGTCGAGGCCCTTCTCCTCACCCACTACCCATTCCCCTCCAGGCATGATCAATTGTCCTTCTTGAGGCCAGTATTCCGCTTCGAGCCACTTGTTGATCATCTCGAGCTCATTGATCCAATGTTTACGCTTCTTGATATCGAGGGTGGCCCGCTCATCCAAAGGATCCCCACCAAAGACATTGGGGGAGTTGAATCGGGCAATAGTAAGGTGCGCCGAAGGCACAACATATCTGGAGCCAACCTGGATTCCTGATTGTGTAAGGGTAGCGTAAGTATCACGCCGTAAATGGTGATAGGTGTATTGGTCATCAGCAGCGGTCCGGCCATTTGATGGTGACTCTCCGGCAGCAGGAACAAAGCTCAGAGCCAGAGCCGCAGAGTCGTAACTCAGAAAAGGTTTGATTAGCCTGGCTCTGTGCGATGACGTGTGATCAGCAATCGCTTTGAAGCGATCTTTGAGCGTGTTGATTAGGCCAGTAATCTCATCTTCGGTCTTGGAGTGAGCGACTTCCATGACCGTCATATGCAGATTGTCAAGAGGCATAAGCCAGAGGTCTGTGTGGTGAGTCGCGTGGAATCTTCTAAAGGCATGGAGCCATACCTGGAGCCGCATACTTCAGCTTGGACTGTATCACGTCTACCAACGTCTTGACTTTCTGAGGAGGTCTTCCCCAAAATACAAGACAATGCCGAGGGTCTATGTACGACACATCCTTCCTTAGACCATCAAGTTTAACCAGATGCTCGTCGAGGATCCAGCCTTTGAAGTCATTGCTGAGAATCTTCTCTCGCTGTTGAGCATTCCTCATTATTCGGTGCGTAGCGTACCGTTCTTGAATCAATTTCTAGAGGCATAGATTAGGACAAAATCTCGACGCAACGGAGTGGGTGCGGCTGACGGGGTCACCATGACAACCATTGATCAGGCCATCGAAAGGGTTTGCAGTGACAGGAGTGGATGTGCCAGACAGATCTTCAAAGTCGACTTTGGCCATTTCTTTGTCCTGCCACTTGCCTTTATGGTCGGCCTGACCTAGCGAGCTAGATACAAGGTCGAAGACGAGGTTGGAGTCGTGACGTGTAGTGGGGGAGAGGCGAGGGAGGGTACGGCAGGGTACGGGTACCCGGAAAAAGAGAAAGTCCGGCCCATGTCACTCAGCAGCAAAACTTCGGGAAACCTACCTCAACGCTTGCCTGCCCGCACATTTTTGCAATGTGCGTCTTGGCATTTGGCCGCGGTTTGCGCTCAATCCTGAAGTGGACAGTCGACAATTTCAACCTGTCACAACCACCAAACCATTGCTCAAATATTCGCGGCCGATCACTCAGTCAAGATGGTGAGTAGCTCTTCTGTCTTAATTTCGCAATGTGTTTCGTAATACCTCACTGGGAAGATGCACGCTGCCGGCGGTTGACCAATGAAGTGGACGGTGAAGAGATGAATCGCATTACGAGAAGAGACGGAACATCATGGCCATCGCCTGCAACATAGATTCGAATCGAGTATTTGAAAGGTTCTTTCTCCCAATCATGGCAGGGTGATTGGGAAGAGGTGCAAGAGGTGGAACTGGAGGCTCTTGGACACAACCACTCTTGACGAGATTGGGAATCTGGAAAAGCTAACTGTTGTCTCTTCTCCCGTCAGGTCAACGTTCCCAAGACCCGCCGCACCTACTGCAAGGGCAAGACTTGCAAAAAACACACTCAACACAAAGTCACACAATACAAGGCCGGAAAAGTGTGATCTCCCTCTCCAGAACCCGCCGTGTATGACGACACTCGGTGAATTGGACACTGACAAGCCTTTGTATAGGCCTCGCTATTCGCACAGGGAAAACGCCGATACGACCGCAAGCAATCCGGTTACGGTGGTCAAACGAAGCCCGTCTTCCACAAGAAGGCTAAGACGACCAAGAAAGTGGTGCTGAGATTAGAGTGCACAGTATGCAAGACCAAGGCACAATTATCGTTGAAGCGATGCAAGCACTTCGAGTTGGGGTATGCTAGACCCTTTAGCCTTCGATATGAGCTGACCAGGGCTGACTTGAATTTCTGCAGTGGTGACAAGAAGACGAAGGGTGCGGCTCTTGTGTTCTAGATATGGTGAGACTTTGCAGTGCTCTGGCAGAATAGCGAGAGATCAAAGCACGAGCGCGATCGAATTCAAAGATGTATGGTAGGAAAGCAGCAATCACGATGAATTTTCATCTGATGAAAGTGAGAGATGGTGATACGACCACCAAGGAAGGGTAGATGTGATATGCTCACATGCATCCAATCTCTTTCCTGGAGGTCATGATGCACCGGCGCTCTGTGTGAGCAGCCTGTATTTCGATGACCAGCGTCCGCAATTGAATGTTACCCTCAGTCCTGCTGTCAAACATGCTTCTAGTTCAGTCATCTCACCCGTTTCCAGCTCCCCGACCTGACATCATTCTTGCGGCCATCCAATTTTTTCCCTCGAAAGTTCGACTCCAAGCCTTCACTGTTCTCTCTTTAGGTACTCGTGGAGGATGCTCGCATGGCGCACCACAGCGTCCAGACCTATGGTGTTGCGTAGTGCTCGAGCCTTACAAGTTCGCGACATACGTTCTGAGGCAGCACACGGCCCTTCTCTTGGGAAGATGGCCTATGCCCTACAAGACCGCCCAAGTACAATCGTACCGAGATAGGTTAGTCAACTAGGGGCCATTCAGCGGAAAAGTCGGCACATGTGAATACGTCCCCCAATACGAAGCAGCGAGGGCAGATGAACCAAGAGTGATTTGCTGCTCTCTCACCTTCGTAGCCCGGGACCACCTGGCCAACTCCAGTATTATATAGAGTAGTTAGGCTCCATTGTTGGGTTTTCGGGACGATGCATTGCTTACCCCGCGAGACCAGGCTTCACTAGTACAGAGGTTCTCGGTATAGGTAGAAGGCTCAACCGGCTACCAAACGAACGGAATACGACGAGGGACAAATGACGCATCCCGATAGCACGCGACCCTTTGCTACGACTTTCTGGCACGGCTGATCAGAGGACGATTGTTTCATATTAATATCCATTTACTCGCTCGAGCCTGGGATCGGCCTCGATGTCTTCTGGACTTTGACGAGGAAACAAACACCTCTATCTACATTCATAGAGGCGAGATACAATCGAAAAGCGCAACCCAGGGTCAGGAGTCACAAGGTGTTGTCCCGCTCGCTCACCCGCCACTTCTTTGGCACATATCTTTTCCATTCATTTCTCAAAGCCAGAAATTTAGAATCAGAGCTGGTCATACCACTGGGATCTCAACTACCAACCAACACCGGAGACGAATCCATTGGCATCGCGTTCAACATTTCAACCTCCCTCCTCCAGCTCTCTCCCCACGGCTTTTAAATCGACCTCTCCCGCACCTTGTTCTCGAAGAAAAAGATGCCATCCATATTCACCAACGAATACTCTCGCGGGCCGCTGTACCAGTACTGGAAAGAGCGGGGCCAGGAAGAGAAAGCGCTGCGCGAACAGCGCATCCAGGAGGCCAAACTGCGCAGCAAGGGATTCCAGCCCACGAGCCCTGCGTTTGGACCAAGCAGCACGGACGCCTACGCCCAGCGAGCATCGAGCGGTCCACCGGCCTACCGTTCCGAGTCGTCTGAAGGAGAGGGCGGTTCGGCGCCGCAACAACACCTTCCTCCTGGCGACGAGCTTCCCTCGTACGGCGCCACGACGGGAGTGGTGGGAGGACAGTCTGAACCCGCGGCTGAGGGTGGCGGCGGCTGCGGGCAATCACTTCTCTCCGGCGAAGAGGAGAAGGCCCGCCTGCGCCGGCTCGAGGAACAGCACCGACAGAGTCAGGCGGACTCGGCGCTCGCCCAGACGCTCTCGGCGGAAGAGGAACAGGCTGCTCGGGCCGCTGCTGAGGAGGACGAGGCATCCGCGGGGAAGGGCAAGCAGCCAGAAAGGCGCAGAAGCACGGCAGGGAAGATTGGGCGGTGGTTGGCGGACGCAGCGAGCGGCTACACCAAGAAGCAGGAACGGTGGTGAACTGCGTTACGAAACTAGTTGTTCTCGGGGCTCTTCGGGTTTTTTTTTTTTTTTTGCTCTTTACCTTTGTTCTTTTGCTTTTGGGGTTTTGCCATTCATCTAGCGAGGTACATGCCGATGTTGATGAGGACGGGGCAAAACTCAGGGGGAGACGCGCATCTAACTGCCCTGCATCCACGTACCCTGTAGCCTTGAAAGCTGTGAAACGGAAGAGGGTTGGGAGGGGGAGAGATCGTAAGGTGCTGTACTCCATAAAGTCGCACACTCGATCAATATCATTCCTGCGCCATGCTAGGTACTTACCACCATCAGTAGGAAGCCATCCGCGAAAAAGAAAAACAGCGGGCGGAATCAAAGAATACTTAGGGGAGAGGGGGAGGGAAGGAGGGAGGGGGGGGGGGGGGAGAGAGAGAGAGAGAGAGAAGGGGAAGATCTTTATTGGCAAAATGACACAGAATATTCTGAAACACAGCTTATATCTAAGGATAATCGTAAGTCATGAGAGACTGGCATGAGAATCAAACTCCAGCTCATCTGTTCAAATCATTGGCAATCCGTCTCTGCAGCTGTCAGTGTTACCTCCGTCTGATTATATCCATCGTAGACATTCGTAATCATGGTCGAAAAATGTCTGCGTTTCCATGGTCGCCATCAGTCCATGATCCGGGCAAGACAGTCAAACTCCTAAACCATCCTCTTCGCAAAACCAAGAAAACTCGTTATGTGTCTGTGTACCGTGTTCGTTGAAATGCTCAACGAGGGCTCCGCCAAACAATGCTCTGCCGGCTTATCTGCTCCTCCTCTTCCTCCCCTCCGGCCCGAACAATCCATCCAAGAAATTGCCAAACACCTTCCCCGCTGCGCCCTTGCCAGAAAGGATTTCGTTTAGTCGGTCCGCCAGCGGATCATCGCTAGGCTCGGTTTTTTTGCGTCCCTTTTCGTCGAATCTGGGAGGCAGCTCGATCGTAGCATCGGAATCAGTGGGACTTGTCACACGCTCGAGTTCTGGGCCACCGGAACCGGAGCTAGGTTCTCCGCGAGACGAGCTTGGTTCATGAGAACGACGACGCCGGTGATGCCGCCGCCTGTCTCCGGTCTCGGCTGAGTCTGGATGAAGCGATCGAGATGAATGTTCTCGACTTCCTCGACGTTGTTCGTCAGGGGTTGAGTCCGTATCGTCTTCCGCTTCGTAGCCACGAGAGTGCGAATGCGTGTGTCGATGGCGGTGTCGTTCGGGACTTGATGCTTCAGATTCGATCGGTACAGCATCAGAAACGTCTGGTGTCTCGACGAACTGGACGCTTTTCCGACTAGATGGTGGCGGCTGAGATTGAGACCGTGGAGGAGAGACACTTCGTCCGGTAGGGGGGGGATATGTTTCTTGACGCGGAGGGATAGGAGCCGGGGGCAGAGGAATGGTTGCGTCGTGGAAGGAAGGCGCTTGCGTACTTGACGGCGGTGGCGGCGGAGTCGGCGCAGAACGATTTAGACCTAATTGCCCAGGTTGTCAGTCTGCCGAAAATCCCTAATCCAGAAAGAGACCGAGTTCAAAAGGTACATGACTATGACGTACCATCTGGGACATGGTGCTGGTCATTGCTGGGAACAGTAGGTGCAAAAGGATTGCCAAATGTAGAACTCGGCTCAGCACTCACATTTTCAGGGCCACGTGGTGCGTAAGGGTTCGCACCAGAAGCATACGCATCATATGGTTGAGCAGGGGCCGGCGGAGCACCAGGAGGAGGTGGTGGTGGTGGTGGAGGCGGATAGTTCTGTGGAGGATACTGCGCGCCACCGGCTGGAGCTGTACCAGGTCCAGCTTGCGGGGGGTATTGTTGAGGTGCAGCTCCTGGTGGAGGCGGGAACTGACTCGTCTGAGGGTAGAAGCCTTGTTGATTCGCATACGGATCATTGACTGGAGGAGGCGGCGGGGGTGTAGGAGCATATTGTGCCCCCGGATTATAGTTGTCCTCGTAAGGATCACGACCATATCCTTCCTCTTCGCGACCTAACTCTTGTCAGCAATTCACATGTTAAGACGGCGGGATGACTTACGCCTTCGTGCTCGACGTTCACGTTTCTCCTGCTTCCGCTTTTCATACTCGGCGGCACCGATTGCTCCCGCGGCTGCAGCTGCAGTCATCTTTGCAGCATCTCGCGAATGCCTGCGCCTGCTTCGGCCTGGAGAGGAACTGCAACTGTGGGACGATCTTCGGCCACCTCGTTCACGACTCAAACTCCGGCTTCTACTTCTATTCCCGCGTTGTGCCCCATAACTCGCTGCTGCGCCTGCGGCAGCTGGCACAACAGCATTCGAGTAGTATCCATCCTGCGGCGGCGGTCTTCCGTAGTAATCTGGGCCGTAATTGTTGCCGTACATAGGTGCATTTCCATACTCGATTAACCCAGGGTCATTGATCGCGCCCTGGTTCGGCCCGTCGTAGTACGCATGCTCGGACCTGGCCCTGCTTCTGGACCTAGAGCGAGCACGACGCCGCTCGTCCACGATCTCTTCGGCTTCCTTCTTTGCTTTGTGTTTCTCATACAGCCCAGCGACGGCGGCACTGCCCAATCCAGCAGCGACGACAGGTAGCGCCTGTCTAACGCGGCTTCGCGATCGTTCCTTACCATCCCTGGCTCTTGACTTGCTTCGAGCATGCTCAATCAATGCCGCAACGATAGCGCCACCAGCGCCAGCCTTTGCAATTGTGTTTCTGCGATGCTTGGGATTGCGCGCATCATCTGAAGGAGCATTTGGATCATCTTCAAGACTGGAGACAGACTCTCTCCGGCGTCGAGAGCGAGAGCGAGAGCGACTGCGAGAACGGCCACGATCGCCGTCGTCGTTCGACTTGTTCATGCGCTTGGAAGCGATAGTGGCGGCAGCTGCAAGTGCGGCAGCTCCGAGACCCACCGCTCCAAGGGTCTTCAGCTTCGACGGAGACGAGGAACGAGACCTGCTGCGATGTCGAGAACGTCTTGGCGACCGAGAACCCGATCGGGAGTGGTGCCGGCTTCGACTGCGGTGCATAGACCTTGCGCGGTGGATACCTTCAGCGGCAAGAGCCCCTAGAGCACCAGCTCCAATATCACGCCCAACACGGCCGACGCCATGGGATATGTCGCGACCTTCCTTCTTGTTGTGGTTCCGTAGAAGCTCAGCGGCACCGACCCCGGCAAGGACGCCGGCAGCAAGGCCCCGTTTACGCTCAGGGCTGGGGCTTTCCTCGCGGACCTCTTTGCGCACGTAGACCATACTGTCGTCGCTGCTGTAATCACGGCCTCTTTGGGACACAGAATCATGAGGGCTCACGGACCGACGTCGGCTTCGGCGCTCATAATAGTCATCATCATCTCGGTCAATCCGCTCTCTGACCTTCTTCTCGTAGAAAAAGTCCTCTTCTCCACGAGGCGAGCGAGGCGGCGGGTCTCTTCGGACGACGCTGCGCTCTTCATCAATGTCCGATTTGCGAACAATTTGATAATCGTCGTCCCGGACTCTCTCTCGAATTATGATGGGTTCCTGACGAATAATGATGGTCTGCGGAGGTGGTGGAGGAGGAGCAAAGTAGTCGGTAGTGCGGGTGTATCGTTGAACATCACGATCGTCATAGCTACGAGGCGAAAGCACTTCGTAGTCGTCTCGGAACCGGGTATCGACGACCTTGCGGTCGTCGTATCGGGTGACTTCAAAATCATCTCGACGGGGTTCCTCGCGCTCAGTGGTGCGTCTGATAACGAGTTCTCTCTCTGCTGCAGGCTCTTCTCGTCTGGTATCGTAGACATAGTCTCTTCGAGGTTCATCGTCTCGTTCTCGCTTGATAACCAATTCACGTTCGGTGTAGCGGGGTTCTTCTCGGCGCACCGGTTCATCGACCTCACGACGGACGATCCGGGTCTCCTCCACCCTTTCGCCTGCACGCTCGGGGACAAACCGCCGGTCCCGGCTTACAGAGGAGCGGCTGTCATCTTCTTTGACCACGTAGCGCTTCACCGTTGTGTATCCGCCATCACGTCGGGTTGAAGAGACTGATGTTCGAGAGTCGTCGAACCTGTCTCGATACACGGAGCCCATTCTGGGCCTGGGGTGAAAAGAGTAGGAGCCGCACCTGATGAAATGACCGAAGGGCAGGCAGGGAGGGGTTCACGTGCACGGTTCGTCAGATTCGCGCGGCGAAAACCAGTGAGGTTCTGTGTGAGGGAATTTGACCCGGCCCCTGAAGCGGAAAACGGTGCCTTGAGCAGAAGAGGGGGAGATGGGAGCACACAAGTGGCAGAGATGAAGAAAGGAAGAGAAGAGTGGTCGAGATTGAGCTGGCAGTAGATGGCAATTCAGACCAGGGCTAGCAGGATCAGATGGGGCATATAACCGGCGGCGGACGGTCGAGACGGGGGATGGACGAGCCGTACCTCGCAAGGGTGTGCGAGGGTCCCGATTTATCTATGCCCGTTGTGCGGCTGCTGAGATGGGCTCTGTGGAAAGTGAGGCCAGCTGCGCCAGAAAGCCGGGAAGTCTGCAATACGGGCTCGATGGGTTGCTAAAGCAGGCTTGGGCAGCTGCCAAAGGTCAGGTAACAAGTGGACTTTTGGCGAATAGAGAAAGAGAAGGAGGGGTTGACGAGAGGGATGGCAGGATGGAGGGATGGAGGGATGGAGGGGGAGATGAGAGAGCGCGCGCGCAGGACGCAGGACGCAGGACGCAGGACGCAGGACGCAGGACGCAGGAGACAGGACGAGAAAAGTGGAAGACGCAGGCAGGCCAACAAGGCCAACTCAACGCTCTCAACGTATTCAGCCAACCAGCCTCTGCTGCTTGAGGCCTGTTGAGACTCTTTTGTGGTCTGCGTGACGTACATTGCATGTGGCCCCCATTGTCCCCGCTGCTGCCACCCTGTTGCCTCGCCTTTGCAGAGCGTGACCTCTTCTGCAGTTTGCCCAAAAGAAATCAGCGCCGTCTGACACGGCCGGCACACCACTACTTGCAATACTTGCTAGACGCCGTGCCGTCAAATGACGCTCGACTGGTCACATTCATGGTACAACGGGGCGGAGGTCTCCCGCCGCACCCATGCAAGGCGCAGGTCCACATGAATATACCTCGTACTTCGGTCTGGGTTGCGTTGCAGCCTGACCCCCCTTCTGAGAATACAACAGGGCTGCGGCCCAACCAAGAATGGAAAACCGGTGAAAGACAAACACAGAGAGAAACGTACCACACAGATCTTATTGGAACTTTTGATCTGGGTGGTTGTTGTCCTCCCTGCTGAGGGTTGACGGCACCTTACATGCCATATATATAAAAGAAAGAGGCCGTCACTAAGGAAAAAGAACATGCAACTGACGGTTGCCCTGACACAAGGCCAAATGCCTTTCCGACCTGGTTTTCCTTTCGCTTTTCCTTCGCGCCCATGCGCTTACTTTCTTTTGCCAGTTTCTTTGCCGACCATTGTATAGCCAAGTATAAGGTTGCAATCCCAATGCTTTTCTCTTTTCCGGACACGGTCCTTTGGGTATCTCGGTCGTCAAATGACCCCCATAAAAGGCGGGTCTTCTTCATGCACAAATGAAATTCGTCCCAATCATAACTCCGAGGGGAAAAAATTTCCCTCTCCAAACATCTTACGCTTTTGGTTCAGCCGGAGATCCTTCGGGATCGTCTCCAGATTTATCATCGTTGGGTAACACCTTGACCCGGCTGCCAATCTTGGCAGATCTCGTCCTGGAGCTCAGGGGTAGCTGGTACTTGATCACGCCTCTAACAATAAGATCAAACGGGTGTTGTAGCACTCTCTCCCAGCGCGCCGATCCCCCGACCTCGGTCTTGTTGCCCGGTCTCGCAAGTCGAATCTCACCGACAGAAGAGGTGTGGCTGTGGCGGAGTGGCGAGGCATCAAACACTAACGGCGAATCGAACACGAGTACCCTTCCGAGCAACATCTTCTGTGTCCCTGGCTCAGGGTCGTCGATCGGGTCCGTTCCCTCGTCCACGCCATCGTCAGATTGCCAGGGCGGCCAGTCGAACTCCAGGCTATTTGCACTCCGTCGGTCGACCCATCGGAGGGCCCTTCTTTGGCCGGCCCCGTCCCAATCGGCTGTGGTTCCCACATAGGGGCTCTCAGCAAACAAATTAACATCCAGGTCATTCACCGTAATAGGGAAAAGATTCGTGTTGAGCGCCAGCACATGCAAATCCAACATGAGCTCTTGCTCTGATGCGAGCACATTTTGAATATGTTTAATAGAGACGTCCATCAGCGGCCGATTGAGGGCCATCACAAACGTGGTAACGCCCACACAGATCAGAAGAATAACAAGTCCAAGGAGAATGCAACCGCTATACCCGCCACACCAGCTGCGGTCATGGGCGTCGTTGTATTCGAGCTGCCGAAAGCTTGTGCTGTGCGGGCGGCGGCTATGTCTCGTGCGATTAACCCGGACCGATCCAAGGAGGGGTGCTCTCTCGTCGTCGGCGGCGGCATCATCATATGCATCAAATGGCTCTCCCTTGCGCAGAGTGCCCGGTAGCCTTCCGTTGGAGGTTCGAGGGCTGTTGGGCCGCGAAAATCGGGACGGATTATTGGGCGTCGAACGTGACGGGTTTGTCTTGGTTGCTTGAGTGAAAGGTGACTCCGTGTCCAGGATTGAGGTGTGGTGAGGCCGTCCATGTCGACTGATGTGGTGATGACGGGGTGTCGAACTGGAGTTGCGTTGACTTCCCCGACCTTCGGGTCCAGACTCGCCATCCAAGTGATTGTTGTAGGTGCTGCTCGAAAACTTCATACTCTTCTTTCCAGTAATTGCCTGACTGCCGCTGCGAACGCCATGCTTGGTGCGGTTCCCAAATTGTTCTTGGCTGGCGAGGGACGTAGCACTGGGTGTTCGAGAGTGATGTCGGGCTGGTCGGCTGTCTGGTGGATTAGACTCATAGACGAAAGTCTCGTCCGAATCAGAGGAATCAGCTTCGTCCACTGCGCTGGCGACCTTAGCCTCGAACAGGTCAGCTTTGGAAGTCACCGTGCCAGCATGAAGCGAGGGAGCTTTGCGGGATTTTTTCTTCTCCTTCTTAGGCCGAATGGTTTCATTGCTAGGTTTCGTCCTTACACTCCCATTCCCATCTCTTCCTGAAGCACCTCGGTCTGGACCCAGCAATTGCGGCATTGAAGTAACCGTCTCCGTCTCCACAGTCATGGTTCGGGGAGGCTCGCCAGTGGGTTTGGGCTTTGTCCCCGTAAGGCTGGTGAAAGAGCGCTTTGCCAAGTCCGACGCTGGCCGGGAACTACTGGGAGCCCTTGACCTCCGGCCACTTTCTGTTTTGCCGGCCGTGCCTTTCGAGGGGCCGTCGCCGCCACTTCCTTCGCCATCTTTGGCTGTGGATGGATCAGGCCGTGACTCTAGGCGCTGATCAAGGGATGGTACATCCATCCTCTGCCCCAACGGCGAAGTCGATAGCGGTCCAATTGCAGGAGTCGTGGGGACGCTGTTTTCTGCCACCGTCTCAAGGGTAGTGCTTGGGCCTCGGCCTGATATTCTTGAGTTGGAATGCGGGCCCGGTTGTTCATGAGTGTCAGGAACTTGCATCGTAGCGGCGGTGTCAGGATGAGAGACAGGTGCCAGTCTTTTCAGCGAAGTATTCGACGGCATCTGATCTGAATCACTCCTCTTAGCTGGCGGTGCCCTTGTTCCAGTCTTCGAAGGAGGAGGAGACTTCAGTCGGGGGGACGTGGGCCATGACGGCGGATTTTGACCTGATCTCATTTGTCGTTCAGAGGAGCGGCTGCCCTCGAGCACCGAGTCGACACTGGGAGGTTGTAAAATAGGTCTCTGGGCAGACAAGGCTCGCTGAACGGCAGCGGCTGAAGGCACGGTTGATAAGGATCCAGGTATACCACTGTTTCGTGTCGGACTGAACTCCTGGCTTCCCTTGCGCGATCGCGAGAGCTGAGGGATGCTAGAGACACTGCGAGAATTGCGCGCAGGAGAGGTCTCGCGTGATGTTTTGGATTGGTCAGGATGGCCAGGTCCCAATGCCGGAATATTGTCAGAAGATAAACCTGACATGTTTTGACGAGTGTGTCTGTTTTGCTATGCCGTTACTCCTCCCGACTGCGACGTTCCGGAAGGGTCTACTCGAGGACTCGTCTCTGTCCGATCATGGCGGCAAATGGCCTAGAATTGGGAATGGTGAGTTGATTGGGGGAAGCCCCCGGGGTATGTTGAGGACGACGCTTTCCGCAGAGGCGCAGGAATGTGTATAGGGATCAGCGAGGGAGGGGACGTCAAAGTGAGCGTATCAGGCGATGATCGTTTGACGGCTATATTGGGCGACTCATTGGGGGAAGATGGGCTGAGAGAGACCCGAGCAGGCGGTCTTTAGGGTGGTTGAACAGTACAGCTGACTGACAGACAGACAGCAACAGCGAATCGAGCCGGGGGGTTCGGAGGCAGCGGCGAAATGGCGAGGCGGGTTTTGATGGGGAAATAGATTGCGTGAGGTCCTGTAAGAGTTGAGAGGATGTAAATGGTGGTTAGAAACAGGGGAAAGAAAGAATAACGGGGATCGCAGGTGGAAGGAATGGATCATGGACCACAGCAACGTAATGGTAAATGGACAAATGGCGGATGGGAAAGGGAACGGGGAAGCGGTTACGAGTGGACTCGCATCTGCAAAGCAATGCACAGCGTCATCCTGCTGGTTTGCTCAGGTTCGCTGCCGTTGCGCAGATGTGGCTGCAATTGGTGGCTGGACCCCTCGGCACCAGTCGGTGTCCCCCCTCCCAAGACCCCCGTCGGCACATTTTTAGGCGCTTGCTTAGGCGGTCTTTAGGCTGCACTGTTTTTCTTCAACGTGGCATTTTGCGCTGGCGAGCCCTGCCTAGTGGCCTAGTGGCCTCCCGCTGCAGCCTCCGGGCTAGCGAAGGCTTTGCGTTTCCAACGCTCTCTAGTCTCGGCCGCCCTCAGCAAAGTGGCATCACCATCATCGCTGTCATTCGCTCCCAACACCACCACACCACACACGCCCCCATCTGGTGCCATCAGCCTCGGAGTTGATTCTGTGATTATTTTGGTCCAACCACATCTCCCGATCCTCAGCTCGCACCCACCGCCTCCACGGAGCTGGGCTCCGGTGCCTGTCCCCGGCCTGATCCTGCCGTCGCTTGAACACGTCTCGCTGACAGAAAAATTCCGACACGCAAACAACGCCGTGGACCTAAGCTGCCATCATGGCCTCTTCAAGTCACCTGCCCTACGCCCAGCGCGCTCAAAAGCACCCACATCCTCTCGGCAGGCGACTCTTCGAAATAGCGGACCGGAAAAAGACCAATGTGGTCTTGTCGGCAGACCTGACCAATACCAAAGAACTTTTGGCTATCGCTGACCGTAAGTGAATCGAGCACACTTCGGAATTCGTATCCCACGTGCCCAGTGTGTCCTGTAGGAGATCCAGGCCACTGAGCAAATCGGTTAAACACATTCTAACGCCTGGTGTTCGTCTCGTAGGTCTGGGTCCGCATATTGCTGTTCTCAAGACGCACATCGACATTGTCTCGGACTTCGGTCCTGCCACGGTTGAAGGGCTGACCGAACTCGCCCTGCGTCACGACTTTCTTCTCTTCGAAGATAGGAAGTTTATTGACATTGGCAACACTGTCCAGAAGCAATACAAAGGGGGAGCGCTACGGATCCACGAGTGGGCGCATATCGTTAACGCTACCATTCTTCCCGGCGAGGGCATCATTCAGGCGCTGGATCAGACCATCCGTGAGGGTGGGATATGCGAGCGAGGCATTCTGATCCTGGCCGAAATGACCTCAAAGGGGTCGCTGGCAGTGGGCGAGTACACTCGAATATCGGTTGAGATTGCAAGAAAGTACCCCCAAAGTGTCTTGGGCTTCGTGTCAACGAGGGAGTTGTCCAGCCATTCTCCTGCCGCCACGCAGGATGAAGACTTCGTAGTATTCACGACGGGTGTCAATATGTCCAGTAAAGGAGACGCGCTCGGTCAGCAGTATCAAACGCCCATCACAGCAATCGAAGGCGGGTCCGACTTTCTTATTGCGGGAAGAGGGATATACGCTGCGACTGATCCAGTGAGCGCAGTCAAGGAATATCGAAAGGCGGGATGGGAGGCATACGAGCGACGTGTCCAACAAGTAGGCTCGGCCAGCAGATAAGCATAAGCAGGTTGGGCATCAAGCATGCCGCCATCGCGACAAGGCAGCGACTGGACAGCTGCAACGTGGGCCACTCAAATCAAAGTGGACAGCTCGTTCAGGGAGTCGGATCTGGCGCTGAAATAGGTAAGGGGTCTCCCAGGGTCTGGAGGCATATTTTCCTCATAAGTACCCTCGTACATGGCCGAGGGGAGAGAGAGGAATCCATCCTGGGGGGGCGAGTCAGATACAATTCAGCATGTACCTAAGATGCAAGGCTACCTCCTACCTAGGTATAGCTATTGACCATGGCCGTAGAGGATTTGTGGGCCGTTGATAGACCCCTCAGACCCTTCGCCGCAAGAGTGTTTACTCCGTCCTTTCTCTAGATTCCGGCGGGCAGCGGGTTGAAAAGCATAAGCTCGACCTTGTAGGAAAGACCAGGCAGCTATAATGGACATGGGATTACTGGGTACGGTGCCTGTCAAGGATCCAAGGGGGTAGTGTGTTCTCCTGTGTTGCACAAGGTCAGAAATTGCACAGCTGCAAATGATTTCGCGTAATTAATAGAGAGCAGAAACAAATTGCTCAGGGACCAAAAACAGAAGGGGGGTCAGCTGCTCCCCGGCTGCTCCTGCTCCTCCTGCTGCTCCCAGATCCCAGATTGTCGCGGTGAAAATGACGATCCATGGCTGCGCTAGTCGAGCCCGCCCACTAGTCCGTTTTGGGCCATTGTTTATCCTTGGCGCCCGTCGCCCACCGCCCACCGCCTAAGACGCGTCTTGCGCCTCACACGCCCACGCCCACGCCCGCGCCCACGCCCAGGAAAAAAAAGAAGCGTGTCGTGGCCTTTGAATCCTCTGTCCAAAGAAAAGAACCGAAACTCGACCAGGACAGATCTTGCGATTCGTCCAGTGACAGCGCGCTCTCAGTGCCTTTCATTCAGACTCTCTTACCCTGTACCAGGTACTTGCCTGCCAAACAACACCCCCATTGGCACGACCTCCTTCCCCAGTTCTGTTCGCCACAAACAATACCCAGTATTCGTCATCAGCGCCTGCTTCCCTCGCGCACGCGATCGCCTCGAGAACTTGAACCCTGAGAGGACGAATACACCACCGCTTGCGACCCGACCTCCCCGGCGACCAGAGGATCAGCGAGCGTCCCTCTCTTTGCCTGCGTCAAATAGTCAGCATTCAACGCTGGCCCGATTCCCTCTCGCCCGCCATCACTCTACCTCCTCATCCTTCGACAGTTTGTCCTCCCTCCGTATCGCATCGACAGACTGCTGTTGCTGCCGCCTCCCAAGTCCTCTTTCCGATATCGACCTACCGCCCTCATTCTACCATTTCCATTGCCATTTCGACGGGGACCTGCTAGATATTCCTCTTCGAGACAGGTCACGATCCCCCGTTATTGTGGGTGCGTTTGGATCACCTCTGTCTCCGCTGGCTTCAGCTGCCACCCAGCATCTCACTCTCTAGACTCATGCCATTCCTCGCGCGTCGATAATGCGAGGCCACTGGTAGATCTGTCCAGATCTGTCGCCGATCCCCACAGCAACTATCATACAACATAGGACCAGGGTCCAAAAGAGCATTGTTTCGTCGAAACGTTCAAGTTCATGGCAGACTCCTGGGCAGAGACTCCGTCTAGTGTGTTGCGTTGAAACAGAGCGACTTCGGACCAGCCATGATGGCCACATACTCTCCTCATCGTGAGGAGCACTCACCAAAGAGTGCCTTCTCACGTTTCGATCCCCATTCCGCTATACGGGAGATCCGCCGCTCACTATCTCGCTCCCCTTCAAAAAGTACGGATTTTCGCCAACAATCGCTACGGTCCCCAGGACCCGGCAATCTGCCTTTCTCGCCTTCTCCACTGTCACCATCGAGAAACACAACATCTGAGAATTTTCTACACCTGGGTAATATGGCTTCTCATCCGAATCGAACGGCTTCGGCTTCCCGTTTTTCACGTCCTTCTCTTCGGCGAACAAATCAGTCTCATGGAGTGACTCGTCTTCGGACTTCGCCTAGGAGTCCTACCAAGCGAGTTCTGACGGATTCGAATGACGGTGGGAATTCATCTCCTATGCCACTTCGCAAAAGGAGTTCAGCAGAGGCAGAGCGCGAACTGGCGTTGAAATGCTTAACTGCTGGAGAGGAAAAGGAGAACGATAAGTCTCCGAATGAACCGCTCAGCTGGAAGAGTGTTCATACTCGACAGGAAAAGAGACGAAGTGGCGGGATGCTGATCACAGCTGTTGCTCCTCTCAGTCCTATGAAGAGATCAGACTGTCCTAGATCAGACGAAACGCCGGGTTGCGAAAGTCCTTCGGCTAAGAGGAGAAGTCTTCACGGGCCAGGCCTCGATTTCAGCATATTCGAGTCCGACAGTCTGGACAGCGGAATGTTCGGTGACAAACGAGCACAAGACGATAATGACTGGTTCGTGGGCAACTCGTTTCTGTCGTCATCACGGTTTTCAACAATTCCAAAGCGGTCGTCATCTTTGAGAAAGTCGACTATTCAACAACGACAGATTGACCGGTCAAGCAATTTGAAATTGTACCACGCCACGGAGGCGGACAAGTCTTGGTTAGACTTCACTCCAGCCGCAAACCCCAAGAAGGAAATGCGCATGTCTCTGGACAACCACATTAATGCATTCCCGCGTGACAGTCCTTTTCCCAGCCAAGGAAATCTCTTGAGTGCTTCAATCCATCCCATGACTGCTACTGGGAACGGCTCATCCTACCAGCCCCGACATCCACTTTCACGAACAGTGACCCAATCATTGTCTCAGCCTGACGAGCAAGACGATTCACCTACTCATGGACCGATCCATCGCCCGAGCAGACCTCGTTCCCACGATTTCTCAAAGTCCCTGCCGGTCGGCTCTTCAAGACCAGTTCCATCTTCTGAAGACAATGAATTCTCCTCTCAGACTTCTTTCGCCACCCCAGGCAACTACAAGGCTGCCAGACCCTTGCCCGCTGCTTTCATGTCTACCGGTCTCATCTCAAAGAAGAACCGTAATGTGGAAGATCCAAATGCTGGCTTACCGAAAGCCCATATGCCAGATACTCCCTGTAAGAAACAGCCTGCAATCTTTCAGAACGAGGAGAAATTTGCACCCGCCAAGAGTGCTATCAACAGAATCTCTCGACAGTCTTTCGGTGTTCCCGCAAGTCCGCTCGAGATGAGCCACGGTGCTTCCAAGGTCTCAGCCTTTCCTTTCTCTAAGAGTCTCGGTATCTTCGGGGTTCGATCGAGTCGACACAATTTGCTTCGGGACGGAAGTTTTGCATCCATCGACCCCGAAGACAAGGTGACCCGTCGTTCGCCGCTTAGTCGCGCGAATAGTCAGTCCACCGATTCTGATTATCCTCCTACCCCTACCAAACACTTAACAGAGCCTCAAGATCGTGGCTCGGTGTCTCCATCGCCACACCAATCAGCCTTGTCTGCCAATCAAGCTATCGCTCCCTCTACCCATATAACTCGATTGTCAAGCAGTAAGTTGTCTCCTATTTCGGCATCGCTAGGATGCGTCGACCTGGACAGTGACAGCGCGATGGAAGATTCCCCATCCGCCAACCTGAGACCAAAGTCGGCGCTAAATGTCGTCTCGCTGCCGAGTCCTTCTTTTGCCAATGGTCGTGCTTCGAAAAGTCTCAGATTCCCGACTCCTTCGGCGAGGAAGACTCACTCGATTCCGACCATGCATTGCCCTGCTTTAGAGCGTGCTAAGATAATGTCTGTGCCACCAGTAAGCCCAAGAATCGAAAAGACCGATCGCGGTTCTCCTCACACCCCTCTCGACAGCTTCTTCCCTCCTGATCCGAGCGGCCTGACCATTTCAGGCCGGGCCGAACGTCCACCCACGAGGCAGAATAACATGGCCCCTATCATTCCGGCGACACCAACTGGGCCACGAGAGTACTTTCCGAATTTCTCCAACCGTCCAAGTCTAAATCTTGCCTCATCGGACGCAACAAATATCGACAGCAGCTTAACGTCAAGGTTCGACAAGGTCGATCTTATTGGCTCTGGAGAGTTCTCGCAAGTTTATCGAGTTTCTCAACCACCGGAGACATCGCCATATCATAAGGTCTATTCTGTGTCAACCAGCCGTCCATCATCAAGAAGTTCTGTGCCCGAAAAAGTTTGGGCTGTCAAGAGATCGCGGTATCCTTATGCCGGTACCAGAGACCGCCAGAGAAAGATACACGAGGTGGATGTGCTCAAGGCCTTGGGTCATTCAGATCACATTGTGACTTTCGTCGACAGTTGGGAGGAAAATAGCCACCTTTACATTCAAACAGAATTCTGCGAAGAGGGTACGCTCGACGTCTTCCTTGCACAAATCGGCCTGAAGGCGAGATTGGACGACTTCCGCATCTGGAAGATCCTTCTTGAGCTGGCAATGGTAAGTCTAATGCCTCTAACGCTTTTGTCTGCTCTGACAGCCGGTAGGGTTTGAAGCACATCCACGACTCCGGATTTATACATCTCGACCTCAAGCCAGCCAACGTCCTCATTACATTCGAGGGCGTGCTCAAGATTGCGGACTTCGGCATGGCCACTCGATGGCCGGCAAAGGCTGGCATCGAAGGTGAAGGTGATCGTGAATACATCGGGCCAGAGATTCTGATGGGCAGATATGATAAACCTGCAGACATATTTGCGCTTGGGCTGATCATGTTGGAAACAGCCGGGAATGTTGAACTACCGGACAATGGCGTATCGTGGCAGAAGCTGCGAAACGGGGATCTGAGCGATGTCCCAAGTTTGACCTGGAGTTCTGGGACAAGCGGCATTTTGAGGGACGCGTCTGGTAATCCTGTGCCCAGAGAAAATTCTTTTGAGTTCCGCCAGGATAGCCATCACGACGATGTGGAAGTGATGTACGGCGATGATTCCGGGGCTGCTGTGGCCGAGCCTGCCCGAAAAGCCTCACGATTTGAACGAAGCGGCGAACTCGTCGACCCACCTCAATTCATGGTGGATCCGTCACACGAACAAGCTCTCGACCGAGTTGTGCGCTGGATGATATCTCCAGATCCGAACGACCGTCCTCTTGCCAGCGAAGTGCTTAGCACGGAAGGCGTGCGGTGGGCAGAAACAAGACGACGTGCAGGAGCGACTATCTTCGAAGGCAACTGGGGACCTGCTGACGAAGTCCTTGCCGAAGATGCGGAGATGATCGATGTTTAAGCCATCTAGGAAGCTAGGTGATTCTAACTCCTGGATAACCCAAAACAATCCGTTTTGGACAACGCGGGGACACAAAGGGAGGCTATTTGATGCACAGAGAAGCGTTGTTTCTGGCAAATTTCCTGTCCTTTTTTTTTAATGATCGAAACGACATCCGAGCACTTACCACAGCATGTTGTTATGGTTTTGACACCAGTTTTCGATCGTTCTGTACACCAGAGCAGGCAAGCAGGAATGTTTTTGGTAGGGGTCAGGTATGGTTTATTTGGTCATCTGACACAGGGTTTGATTTCGACATTGACAGAGACATCATGTCTGCTACGATCGCTCAATAAGGAGAGAGGAGTACGGACAGCGCATGGGGAGAGAGAACGAGGACTCTTACAATACTTTTGGGTTTGGGGACGATAAGATATCCAACTTGCATGGAAGCCAATGACGGCCACAACAAGCAGATGGCATGTCGAGGATATTGTATGGAAACACAGCCACATGCCGCTTTGCATGCTCAATATCCCCGCGGATCCAGACTGAATGGGAAAAAGGAAGGAAGGAAGGAAGGGGGAAAAAAAAGGTCCAAATAGGTAGCAGAGCTGCAGTCAGGCCTGCAAGTATACTTCTGCTAGCATTTTCGAAATGAAAAATGAATGATGACATGACAATCCAAGGAAAAGAGGTAGCAAATTCAAAATTCGGAGCTTCATCCAAAAAGAAATGAAACAAAAAAACCCCCCGGTCCAGAGATGCGCGTAATCCGTCATTCCCATGCCGTATCGGGCGAAAAGGTGCAATGATTACGAGTACCCAGTAGAATCACTCTACATACAGAGACTATCAGAGGGAAAGCTGGCGTACTATCGTACATTTCAATGGCTTCCTTCCTTATGCTATACATTGTACATGCATGAATAGTGACAAAATAGCAAAATGTCGATTACGATACAGACCGCTGCCGGCTTCATCACAGTGCAAACACGGCTCCCCCACCCAACTCCTAAATCAGGATCCAGTATATCGCCAACAAAGGAAAATCTGCAAGCGAATGGATAGAACTCTCGGAAGCGCCGTGCAAGTTGACCCGACCGAACCAAATGTCAGCGTCAGCAACGAGGGCCAGCACAGACAATCCCTCCGTTAGACGGCTCAGCCCTTCTTCTCTTCGGCGCTGTGGCTCAAGATCTTTCTCCTCTCCTCCGGCTTCAGCTGTCCGTTGACGTCCTTGGGCATTTGCACCATCCAATTTGGCGGTGTAATGCCGGTCTGTTCCTGGATCGTACTGAGCAAAGGAGGCAACGACTGCATGATGTTCTTGATCGGTGCGATGCCTTCTCCCATTGCCCCGCTCGCGTCACCGTTGCCGGTGTTCCATACGGTAATCTTGGGCTGAAGGCCTTGAATAGCCTTTGCGTTGGCCATGGCAAGCTTCTCGTAGGTATTCTCCTTGAGCATCATGAATTGAAGCAGGCCTTGTGGTCCGCCAAATGCGTCGGCCAATTCCCTGTACGCTTCTGCTTGTGCCTTTGTAGCTTCTGCTTCACGCATCTTAGCATGGTACATTGCATCGGCTTCTTTCATTTGGCGTTCGACACTGGCTTGAATTTGGCGTTGCTGTTTGAACAACTGAGCATCAGCATCCTGCTTTTCAGCGTATGCCTTGGCGTCAGCTTGCTTGGACGCGCGGTAGAGGTCGGCATCAGCCTCTTGTTGTGTCGTTTCCTTTGAGATTTGTGCACGGACGAGGTCTTTGGCACGGAGGCGTTCAAGCTCGGTGGCTGCCTTTTTCGTCTCGACCTCTTTCTGCAATTCGGCATCCCGGGCTTCTGCAGCTCTCCGAGCTTGAATCTGGTTGATTTGAATGGTCATGTCCAACTCAGTCTGTCGATTCGTAAGCTCGGCATCTGCTTGTGCCTTGTCGGCTGTGATTGTCGTGTCAGCCTCGCCACATGGACCAGGAGTGGTTGCAAACCTTACCTCTCCTCTTTGTCTCGAGGACGGCGGTCTCTGCTTCGATCTTGGAGATTTCCTGCTTGGTATGACCACGTTTTGAAGCCTCGCCAATTTCACCTCGCATGCGAGCTTCAGCCACATCGATACGGGCTTGGTTGGACGCTCCCTCGTGGGCTTTGCGGGAGAGGAAGGCGAAGTACTCGGAGCCGGGTGTGTCTTGAAGTTCCTTCACGTTGGCATTGTAAATCCGTAGACCAAACTGGTCCAATTCGTTCTGGACGTTTTCAATAACCTGCAACCGGCGTTAGTGCCATGTCTCGTGTTCGTCAGCTAGATTTACCCTGGAGGCATACTTTCTGCTTAAAGACTTGTCGCTCCTTGAAAATCTCCTCCATCGTCATGCTGGACACGATGACACGGGTCTCGCCTTCAATGATGCCTTTCACAATGTCCTGAACATGGCCCCTCTGGGTCGGCACAATGGCCAGGCCAGGTTTCTTGCTGGCGGAGGGGGTGCCGTCGGGGTTCCCGCTGAGGAGCAATGCATATTTTTTGAGAGCTTCGGGCTTGTTGTCTGGGCCGATGGTGAAGACGGCGGGCAGGGCAAACTGGAGCTTCTCAATGGTCATGGCCTGCAAGTTGAGAGAGAAGTCGAAGGGCGAGACGGAGATGCGAGCAACGCGCTGCCATGGGTAGACGAAGGCTTTCTTGACGATGCGTACATCGTCGACGCCCGCGCCAGTGACGACGAGGTACTCATTGGCGTTGGAGATGTGATACCACATGCCGGGCATAAAAGTATAGCGATATTGGAGGAGCTAAGGGTGTCAATAAGACGATGTCGACGAACAAGACGAGCTGGTATGATATCAAACTGCGCGGCAAAGAATGAAGATGGAGGAGAAGATGTTGTGACAGAGATGGAATCCAGTGCTACAAGAACTTGCCAGGGAGGACTTTTGTTTCGGTCACAATGAGAGGAGAAAGAACAAACCGAGCAGAGCGGAGGAAGGTGGCAATTGGAATAAATACTGCAAGTCTCTTGGTAAACAACGGCCGCTTGCAGCCTGGTACATGTCCTGTGGTTGCATATCGCTCAGAGGTAATGTGAGCAACGTGAGGCCTGTACCTAGACGGTAGCTGGGATTCGACCGGTCTGCAATGTACCGCCTCGCCCCCTCGCCCCCTCGCCCTTGACTGACTCTGTGCTAGGTTTCCTGACTTGTTTCTGCCATGGTCGTAAAGTTCAATGCATGTGGAGTTACGAGGCAGAGATGACAGAGGCCGAGGAGGTGCGGTGGTTGTCACGAGGACGAAGACAGGCTTGGACAGGCAGATCCGAATACGGGGAGGCTTGCTCTGTGGAGATGGAGGGGCACGGGGGAGAGGACCGAATGGACCAAGGCAGACGAGATGTGTTTGGAGATGTGTATGAGTACTCGGTATGAGTTCTCGGTATGGTGGGTGATTGCAAGTGGTGTTGGTGTTGTCAAAAGGATCAGGATCGAGTATGCCTCACCCACCCGCAGCTGCGCTAGCCCCTCCCGCTGCGGGTTTTTGTGTGGGCAGTGAGGCCTTTTCGCCTAGTGCACCTCCTGCACTCGGTACGAGGTACTGGGTACCCAGTACAATGCTGCGCCTTACTTAGCTGCCACTCTTTGACCTAGTGAGCCCCCATGCCCCCTAAAGTATATTAAGCCCCTGGTCCTTGCTCTCCTTGGAAGCTTTCTAGAAGCCCCCTCGCTCCCTTAGCCTGGTGGTCTTTAAGCCCACTAGCCCACCAGTCTGGTGAGCCGAGGGACCACTAGGCCCTTGCTGCTCCTGACTCCTCCCTAATGCTGGCAACTTTTGACTTTGCCCTTGCGATGATATTCGCAAACCAACGGCTCACCCTGCTCACCCTGCTCACCGGTCAAGGTCGGCAAATGGCATGACATGACATGGCATGCCACGGCCCTGCTGCTGTGCTGCTTCTCAAACCGGACCATCGACTCTTGACAGTGACAATCAGGCTGACTCTGGGTGACTAGCACGTCTTCCGTGTCACCCAGTTCCTTGTCCTCATTGTACCACTCACACCGCGAGACTCCCAACCGACGGGGCGAGCAACATCGACATCCACTCGAACCTCATCGTCGCGAACCCGCATTCTGGTCGACATGTCCAAACCGCCCTTTGACATAGATCCCAGTGACCGCATCCCTACCTATGAAGAGTCGGTTGCTCTCTCAGCCCAGGTCCCAGCAGTCCAGGACTCAAGACAGAGACCAGCACCAGTGTCCAGCACCTCCTTGATCCGACAAGAACGCACTCGACGGATCTACGAGCTAGTGATTGAATCTCTCATCCCTTGTTTTGCAACTCATGTCTCCAACCTGTGCAATCATCTTACCGTCGTTGTCGTTCCAGCCGACGTCCTACGATCCACAAGAACCCTGACCGAACGGAACATCGTTTCCCCCTCTTTACCCAGTCACCAGACTACTGGCGTCGTCGTGACCCTTTCTGGGACCGAAAATCACTCCTCATTCTGGACGCAGCAAGCAGTGGTGGAGGAGCTGGATCATTTGTTGAGGGGAGAGCTCTCCGATCTATCCGCACCGGCAGACGAGCCACGATATAAAAGGCGGGATGAGAAATCTCAGCCCCAACCTCAACTTCCCCCACAATTCCCAGTCCAGCCGGCACCGGAAACTCAGCTACCGCCCCGTTCCACCAAGACATCCTGGTTCAAACGTGCCTTTTCCCTCCCCGGACCGGACCACGATCCAACAGGCGAGACAGGCAAATGGAATCTTGGATGGCGCAGTCCCGAATTTCCCGATTCGGGCTCCGGACACGGCAGTTCCACAGCGCACAGACGCGAAGGGAGCAGAACACTCCAGACAGATGAGGTAGCTGTACACACAAGATTACAGGATGTGAGTTTTCGAACAGAGAGCGAAATGGGGCTTTTGGAGTCGACCACGGTTAAGAGCATATGGATCGAGATCGAGGTCGGCCTGTAGCGCCGCCCATGGCAGACAACGGATAGATCCAATCTCATCCCACCGTGTGCCTTCCGTCCAGCAACGACAGATTCGTAGCCTGAACCTTCACACCCTTTCCGCATAGTTTTTCTAAACCTTCCCCTTTAGAGCCACCGGCCCAGCACGGTACCATTCGTTGTCGGCCAGTCACGGCACAAACACAGTCCTCTCTTTCTTCGCCGCCCACGCAGCCTCGGCTTCCTCCAACTTCCTCACCTTCAGATCCATGTCGGGCAGCTTGGCCACCGCTGCCAGCAACGCCGGCACCTCCTTCGCATAATGCGACATAGCCCAAGCTCCTGGGCCAGCCCCGCGAAGGGTGATGTTCTTGCTCCGCAGTATTGCCCCAGGTAATGCCATATCGGTCGCGGCCACAGTGCCAATCTGTACGAATTGCGTAGGGACGGCGGATTTGAGTTGGTCCAGAAGTGCGGCAACGGCGGGACCATATAGATAGTCTAGGATTAAATCGACATCTGTCAGGGACGAAAAATCCGTCTCACTGGGGTTGTTGGCCAGGACGATGCGTTCATCCAGGTCGGGGATCGAAGCCATCTCCTTTGCATTTCTCGCCACCCCAATGATCTTACCCGCACCTCTGGCACGCGCAAATTGGACGGCGACTTTGGCACTAATCGCCGTAACTCCCACAATCACGACCGTAAAATTCTGCGGTAGTGGTGGTTCAACGCGGGCAGCAAAGGCCATCCAGCTCGACATTCCCGGGTTCGTCAGCCCAGCAATCACGACGGGATCCGCACCTTTCGGAATCGGCGAGACATTGGCTTTCGGCACGGTGATGTACTCGGCAAACCCTCCACCGGTTGTGATGCTGTTAAAGTACACGCGTTGGCCATCCGGCGTCTCGCCGACGCCATCGGCGCCAGGGATGTACGGCACGGTGGATGTTTTTGTACTGTAGTGGGTTCCAGCGGCTTGTGAACGGACGAGTTGATGGAGGCCGCTTGCGAGGACCTTGAGAGTGACACCGGTGTCCGAAGAAGATGCAGGGTCGGGGTGTGAGGAGGTGAACTGAGGGGCAGAACCCCACGAGGAAACTGTGATTGCACGCATCTTCTGGTCGGATGCTAGCGCTTTGGTTTAGATAGAAGCGTTGATGCTGGCACCTTCTTGCGATTCAACGGCGGATAAAGACGAGGTCAAGCTCCAAACGTATGGAAAAGGAAGTGAGCAACGAGAAAAGAAAGATCAAATACTTATACCATTGAACTTCTCCGGCTGGGCTAACTTTATGTCAGGGGATTCCTGGTCTAGGTAAATCTTTGGTCATCAAATGAAGAGGCCATGGTATACCGTTTCCGCGATGGAAGAAAGGTGGTGATGGCGTGGACAGCACGGACCAGCTTAGCTAACGACGAACATTGTTATCTAGGGCAGAAGCATGATAGGCCGGCTTGGTCACAGCCGCTGTAAACGGAATTCCGCCTCCACGTGCAGACTGGCGGGCTGCTGAATGTTCCGCTGTCGACTTTGTCATCAATGGGACATACTGGAGATGCCGAACACACCAAGGGAGTTCTGCCCGGCCGCACAGGACCGCGCGCATGACATGACATGGACATTGATCGACGCGCGTACAGTATCTTTGGAGGGAGAGCGAGAGCAATGATCGAGGTACAGGGTCATGGCAGAGTGCTGGCAACCAAGACCAGGGTCGGATACGGAGGCCTATGTAATAACAAGTAATACGAAGTATGCTGGCAGTAACAAGAGGTTGGAGATGCGGTTGAGCACTGACAAGTAGAGCAGTGGAGCAGACACGTGAATATTGACAACCCCCCTGCCAAGCTCTTGCCAAGTGCTGGTCTTCGACGTCATCGTGCCTCACATCTCACGCCTCACGGTTCCTTTTCCCCACTGGTTCCATCCCATTCCTCCTCTGGTGCCTGCTCTTACCACTCCTACCGAACAGCAGAACGGAAAAGATGCCCCCCTCTCAAATCCAGATCGCGACCTCGTCGCTTCAGCGGCTTTTGAAAGAAGAAGCCTCCTACTACAAGGAGCAGGAGCAGCAGGAGGCACGCATCTACAAGTTGGAGAACGAAGCCAACGGAAGTGATGAGAACCACGACTATAAATTGAGACAAGAGGTGTGTCCACTTTCTACCTGGATTTCATCAATCAGAAAAACATCAATTTGATCAGTCGGCTCGTATTGTCTTCTCTGGCTCTCGTGGCTGAAACACGAGAATCCCCGAGTGCAGGAGGCTAACATCTCCCGAACTCTCTGCTACAGCGCAAAGCCCTCGAAGAAACCAAGATCGTGATCCCCACGCTCCGGGATCGCATCACCAATGCGAGGGAGAAGTTAGAAAACCTCTTGGTGAGTTCTCAAATACACGCCGGCGCTCCAAGTGCCACGTTGAGCAACTAACCACGGTGTGTGTTGTGAGCACGCCAGGATACGGCAACAAACGAAGACGAGCGGAACGCAGCGATTGAAGTGCTCAAGGCGGCGAAGGAAGCTCAGAAGGACGATCCAATCGCCGGAGAGGAGAGGACTATGTCGTGATTGAACAGCTCTGCACCAATCCATCCCAGAACACCTCTAGGACGAGCCACGAAGATAAAAAGCGGAAACGTAACGAGGAGAAATGAAATGGAAAGCGGCATAGAGTTATGGATGAGAACAATGGTGGGACGATTGAAATGAGCATTGTGAACATGACACTCTTCCCTTCTCTCAAAACCGGAGAAAGTCTCGGGGTTATGGATGTCGGCTCGGTTTGATGCTCGTTTGTTGTTCAACTCCGCCGGTATGATAGAGATTCATTTGATAGAGCAAAATGAATTGCCAAAGGCCCCAGAGTGCTGATCTAGGTGCGAGAGTTGGCGGGTCAAGGTAGCCGGAAGTTGAACGGCTCCTGGGTCCTTCGGATCTTTGCTTCCACAAGAATCCCCATAATCCAAATTTGCATTGAAAGCCATTTCTTCCCCAATGACACAGAAGAATGAGGCATCGTCATCGTCATGTCTGGGTCTGGCAAAGGATTCAGTATTGGTACGATGGCACGCTCCAGCGCTGAAATCGTCAACCAAAATGTATGTTTGGCATGCCTTCGAGGCCATCACGTCTTCGATCGAGGTGACATTGGTGCTCCAGCGCTGTATGACTGGTATGTGCGCCCCCGTCCTTCGAATGTGGGACTATCCATGTCCGCATCGGTAGACCTTTCCGGCGAATGGTCTTGCATCTTGGTCAGGTCGTGTCCATGTCATCTGCAGCGTTCTCAAGAGCAGTTGCCGCAGCATCCTTGCTCGCATCTTCCTCCGCAGAGGATACCCTGGTATTACCATGCATATCGACATCCTCCTCCATCCGCCGCGGCGTAGCCCCTCCGGCGCTGGCAGGTCCGTCTCGCAGATTCGACCTAGGTGTCAAGACGCCACTTCCTCTGATCCCAGCTGGGAACGGACTCGGGGCATCCTCCAAAGGCCTTGGTGTGCCCGCGGTAGACAAGCCATCTCTGTCTCTTTCCCCATCCTCACCTTCGCTTTCCTCGCCCTCTGGTTCTGGCTCTTTCTCATCTCTTATTATTCTCCTCAATCTCGTTCCCTCCTGTACGACTCGTTCAACCTGCTCCCTCCTCTCGGCCCAAGCCACCTTCAATTCGGCGCTCTCACGTTCTAGTTCCTCGATCTCAGCCTTGAGTTTCTCGAGATTGACATGTTGCTCGGCTCTCGTGACTTTTAACTTCTCGTCTCGAGTGATCTTCTCCGCCAGCACATCGTATGTTTTTCGAACAGCGAGTGTCTTCTGTGCCTCGTCAAGCTGAACTCTCAGATGTGACAGATTTTCCCGCACATCGTTGGCGGTCTGTTCGATCTTGAGTTTTTCCGCAGCATAGCGCTCGCGCTCACGGGTATTTGCAGCGCGGAGGAACTCGGTACGCGCGATGGAGGACTCAAAGGCTGCGAAGTCGAGGATTACGTCCTCGCGGAAGCGTGTCAGGGATTGGATGAAATTCTCACGTTGGTCTGCGGCGGATTCTGCTGTGGGCGCATTGTCCTTTGACGAGCTCGGTCGCGCAAGAAAAGAGTTGATAGGAGTACTGGGCGCAAGAAGGCGCTTGGAGACTCGTTTGAAGGGGCGTTCTTCGATACCCAAAAGCCGCGTCGCGTGGAGTTTGTCTGAACGAAATAGTTAGAGCTTTCACGTTTGCTCAGTAGGCCGTAGATGTCCTCACCCTCTTCAGTTTGATCCAAAACCATGAAAGTCGCCATTTCTTCTGCTCCTTCTGCGTATGTGGAATCAACTCTATTTCTAAGGAGGGGATGTTGGAAACCTTCCACCCATATCTCAGTGGTGGACGCGGATGAAGTGCAATTCGGGGGACATGGTAAGGCTGAACTAGGCTACATTCAGAAAGTGCAAGGCTGTGAACCGAACAGGAGCGACCTAGCTCAGTAGGTACCGAGTGCGCAGTCACTTGTCCCGACCCCACGATTCACTTCGGTCTTTGGCACAGAGCCAGGGATCATGCATAAAGGCAAATTCAGTGACAAATTGAGCGACAAACTTAGCACCAAAGACAAATTCTGTGATATTCTGCAGACTCGACTTCTAGGCTCAACATTCCGCATGAAACTACTTCTTTTGCGACATCCTTGAGAACTCACCTTTCGCCCTCTAGTTGGCCACAGCAAGCCCTCACCATGCCTGCCGATAGCCTTCTTGACATGGCCCGTCGGGCTTGCGCTCGCAATGTTCACCGGATAACGGACATTGGTGATCTCGACTATGATCTGATCCGACCCATACTTTTGAAGATCGAGAGCCCTGAGAAACTTGTAGGTCCCGTCTTGCACATCCTCCCTCTTGCATCTACCCCATGTTACCTCACCCCCAGCCCTGTCAGTATACTGACCAACCGCTTGTAGCACCAACTCGAACTCTCGTCTCCGCAAATCATTGGCCACGACGCTGAGATCTGGCTCAACTTCATCAAGCGAGACATCCCTGATTGGGACCTGAAGCGCCATGAACCATCCAACCCTAGAAATTGGTACAAAGTGTACAAGAAATTAAAAGCAGAGGCAACAAAGGACTCTTCAAATGACGAGGCGATGTTGAAGGCCGCCTTAGCGGATGTTCAGAAAGGGAAGGAGCTGAACACGGCGGAGATAGCGAGCACTTCGCGGAGCGTGGGATTATATTCAAGTAGCAACGCCCCTGGCCCCTCGCGAAGAGCTAGAATCCAGTGGAACTATATGACCGGCAAAACGGGCGCGAAGGGGGCGAATAAGATGACTCTAATGGAGAAGATTCGCAAGGAAGCAAGGGATGCGAAAGCCGGCAGAATGAATCGACCGATGCACGAGTTACAGAAGAAGCAGACAGGTGTTGTCAAGCCGCCGGTGCAATTTGTCGAGGAGGTGAAGAAGATGAAGATCTTGCAGGCGACAGAGGCAAGGAAGGCTGTGAGTCCGCCGTCTAAGAGGCCCGTATCGGGGATTGGTGCCAATGGGAATTTGGGGGCACCAAGACCACCCATACAAGCTCCTTCGACGCAGGTACCGAAACTGAAGCCTTCGCCTGCCGCTGCGAGCGGCGTCAAGCCATATGATATGATGAGCGACCGTGAATCAAGGTTGCGAGCGCTGAAGTTGGGCGGGTCTCCACTTCAGAGGAATGCGACTACTAACGGGGACCCAAAAGAAAGTGGGAATACAACCGGCAGCTTGACCCTCGATTTCCTCGAAGACTCAGACGATAATGACGACAACCTGGCACAGGCAAAGTGGAAACGGCAGCCCGAGGACGACAACACAGAAATGCCGCGCAAGATGCTAAAGCCCAATAGCGCAAACGCAAACGCCGATGAGGTACTCCTGTCTCGATCGAGGAGTCCCATGAGACTCTCCGCGGCCCCGGGATCTCGGTCCCAGGGGTTGCAGCCGCTGAAGAGGAAGCATGAAGCGCCAAATCTATTCTATACGAGTCCTAATAAACGACCTAACCCAATATGAGGACATCTGAAAGGGATCATGGCGCCGAAGACAGGGGCCGGGGAGCGGGCATTACGGACGTGACGAAGCATATAGAGGAAGGAATGATGTCTTTTTCTGATGCGAAACCCCTTGAGATGATTAACCTGAGTACGAAAGCCGCGCTTGCGAATACGGGAATACGGGGGGGTTTTTTCCTTTTTTTTTTTAGGGGAGGGAGGGAATAAAACAGTCAATTGGAAGCGTGGATAGGTGGATGGATGGATGGATGGATGATGCCAGGAGTTTTTGATTTTCCGGGCTTGTAAATGCGGATGGACAGCTCAGTGATGCACTGGGAAATACCTGCCTACTAGGTAGTTATGGCAGATACTGTACCTGGCTGGGTTTCGGAGAGATAGATACCTTGGGTACTTAGTTAGGGAGATAGGGAGATCCTGGCAAAGGCATCTCTGGCTATCATCTTCATCGTCACCCATTGCCCAATGCCCGTTGCCCATGTAGTATGTAGGTATGTACCCTTTCCTGGCTTCTGCTTTTCATCTCCATTTCCCTTTCTGGTTCTCCTGCTCTTTTCCCCGGGCGCAAGACTAACGATCGACATCCTCATCCTCATCCTCATCCTGTCTTGAATTGCCCCTCGAATGTAGATTTATTTCGGGGAGGTCCTGGGAGAGCCAGGCCCTTGAATCAATCAAATTTGCCCTGTCTCTTCTGCCTGCCTCTCCCTCCTGTACCTTGATGGAATGTAATGCAACGCCATGTCCACTATTTCTCCTGGCCTGGCACAGGCACACAGCACACAGCACACAGCACACAGCACACACAGAAGGGTTGAATGGCATCTGTTTTCGGTTTCTGCTCTCGATCATCATCTCCATTCCCCTTCGGTGATTGTCGCTTGAGTTTGCCCCCCTTTTCAATGCAAGTCAAGTTAAGGCCATGTTCATTTCATGGCTCCTGGCATCTCATCTCATCTCATCTCATCTCACCTCGCCTCCAATCGCACCACTTCACCCCATTTTCGAGAGTGCACCGCTCTTCCTCTCACTCCCTAGAGCCTTGCTGCCAACACCACGCACATGCGGGTCATCCCGAATGCCTTCTTCCTCGTAACCCCTTCGAATGGACCCACTTCCGTCACCTCCCTCCTCTCAGCGCCAGCACCAAATGTAACGTATTGCCCCCTTCGAGACCGTAGTCTTCGGCGGTTTTCTCGTCGGCCCTACGCAGACACATCACATTAGCTTAGCCAATTGCCGTCGTGCATGAGTTTCGTGCAAGTGGCGTGTGCGTCTTGGGACGCCGATCAAAAGTCAAACTTATCTTTGACGCCAACTGCCCGGGCATGTGCTGCGCAAGGAGCTTCCCTTCGAGGGAGACAGGTAAGGGGGTCAAACGTACATCTGTTTCCCGCCGTAGATCAACCGCTGTTGGACGGGCGGGATGCCTTCTTTTTCTTCGACGCGCTCTTTGATTCGGTAGACCTGTTGATTCCGCAGAATATCCCCACGTCAGACTTCAAAAGAAATCGTTTATATTTTCCACGGCCCCGTCGGATATTCCTGTTTGTTACCAGCTTTCGCCAATGCGCCTCGTGTAGATCAATGCCCCTCCTCCTGCCTCTTTCTCGGTTTCTCTCCGAAGGATGCGTGGACAGCCTGGGAAAGGGAGATCCCTGGAGGGTAAAGAGGGCGCACCTTGTAGTCCGGCTCGATGTCCAACTCAATCTCCTTGCCCGTCAACGTCCGCACTCTGTTTCAGAAATCGTCTCGCGTTAGCCTCGGGTTTCATTCCCTGCAGCATTTTGTTCACCAATCCCGGAAGATCTTGGTTGGACTCCGCTCTAAGCAGAGGTGGGAAGGAGGTAGAAGGGAATGTGAGAGTCGCATTACTTGATTAGCATGTTTGCGTGCGCCTGGACTGCTGCAAGGGAGAATTCAAGAAATCAGACTTCGGAAGAGGGTAGCAGGCTGTGTAAGGACACTAGGAAAGATCTTCTGCGAAAAGATTGTTGGCAAAGCTGGCAAAGAAAAAGATCGGTCAGAGCGAGGACCGCAGAGGGTATTGGGAGGGCCGTGGAAAGACTTGCACTGATTGTCGTTCGTGAGACAAGCAAGGCAAGTCAACCAATGGAGGGGTGAATGATGCCGCAGCCTGGCAATGGAGAAAACCGCGGGGCTGCTGGTTATGTAATCAAGGCATCCATGTTCTTCAGCCTTGTGATGATCACAGGGTACATGCCTCGTACTAGATACCAATGGACAAAAACAGCCGCAAAATGGAGGAAGCTATTGCCACAAAATTCTTTGTAACATTGACGAGCGCAAAATGGCCCCATACAACAAGATACTCGCTTGAACGCCAGAGAGTACAAAAAACAACTGACAAGCACAAAATCGGGGTATGTGACAGATATATGTACAGATCCAGCAAACCTCCGCCCGTAGGCTTGAGCCCATTCATCCCATTCTTTTGCCAACAAATTCCTTTTGGCCTGTCCGAATCCCACATCCTGGGGTGAAAGGAAACGCCATCTCCCATTTACCAGAAAAGGGAGTGAGAATGTTTCGGAGCAGCAAAAAACGATCTTCCAAGCTGGGGGTGCCGGATTTCGTCCTGTCATCCACTGCTTGCGCAGAAATCTGATTCTTTTTTTTTCCCGATCATCTTTCACTTGTACACATTATGACTAAAATCGTCTTTCGATGGGTCAATGCTTGGGAACGCATCGTCGGGTGTGGAGAGGATTCAGAACCCACGCCAGGGATCCCGCGACTCATAGCTTCCTCGTGTTGAGGAGCTTGCTGCCATCATCTCGCTGTGCAGCAATGAGTCCACTGGGCTGATGCTCTCTCTTCCTTGTTCAGCGCCCCAGTAGCCCATATCTTTTCTCTTCCCATGCCCTGATCGCATGAAATTGAACGAAGGCCGGCCTGACGATGTGCCTTGTTCATGTTCGATGAAGGCGTCCATCCTCATCGTCGTCGTTTGGTTGTTATCCATGAAGGTTGGAAGGGGAGGTCTTCCTGAAGCACTTGCTTCGCTACCTCGCCGACTGCTGATCACGCTTTGCATCCCCAAGCTGGGCGTATACAAGCCACGGTCGGAGGAATACACTGCGGTGGAATGTACGCTCTGCGAATAATTCGATCCCGGTCCTGGTAAACTCGGGGTCACACCGTTCGTAGAGAAGCTCCTGAAAGAGCTGGGGGGCGCCCGAGGTGCCGTATTACTTCGCTTTCGAGAGTGACGGGGGATTGTAGGTGGTAGAGCAGGGTCTGTCAATGGATCGTAATAATCTCGTGTCGGCGGTCGCGAGTCCTGTACGGGTAAGGATCCGTCGGTTGTGAAAGACCTCGTTCCGGGGGCTGACTTGGCAGCTCCCTTTGTAAGTCGGATTGAGTCTCGAATCGGTCGTCTGCGAAGCGATCCAGCAAGTGATGGTGCTGGCGCAGACGATGCTTCGTGTTCGGGAAGTGGTGGTGGAGGAGGGATAGCAGTGAGGTCATTGACGCTGAGAGGAGAGTGTGATAAGAACGACAAAGCCGTCAACCAAATGTAATGGCGTTCCTGAGATGTTGCTGTGAACTTCAGTGCGCGCTGCGGAGTCAAGATAAGGATGGACCTGTTGAAATTCGGTCCAGTTACTGCCCCCTTCGGCATCGGGTTGTCGTCTTTGACATCGAGCACGGACTTGATCGTCACTGGTCAACGGTTAGCATTTTAAGTAGGCCCCTTCACATTGTAGGACTCACATTTTCGACCACTCTTGCCCATCAGCGCTGTCCCAGATGTTGGCTGCTTACTGCTCCACATCACTGCACGCTCATACGGCGCAAGCCAAACCCATCGTTTATGACGAACACCGTTGTTCGTCACACTTTGAGAAATCTCCTCAACGCTCTTATTGGCATCCCAATCCGCCTTCTCGGTCACTCCGAATGATTTTCGCCTCCTGACATATTTGTACATCCATTCTCCGACCATGGTCTGAGCAATGGAGTCTACCACCGAGGTCTGCTGCATTGACAGAACGTCGGAATTCTGCTTCGTATGACTCCGCTGTCGACTAGGCCCGGTTGCAATTGACGGCCGTGGTGCGCTTGCTTCCCGTGGGTTGCCGTACGGCTCAGCAATGGGTGCTGGTGTTGTCGTGGGCATTTGGAAGCTCGGCATCTCTGGGACAATGGATACCCTTGGTTCTAGAGGTGGTGAGCGACTCCGTGATTTTCGGGCTTGCGAGTGAGGGGAAATCGCGGGCCCTGACCTCGCCTTTCTCAACATTGGTTTCGCATACTTGCTGTTCCTTGGTCGTTTGGTCGGCGACGCGTTGCTGCTGCCGGGTGAACTCCTGCCACCTTCACTGATGGACTTGCCGACCTTTGCCGAGCTATATCGCAGGGGAACAGGGAAGGGGGGCGGGTTGTTGCTTTCCAAAGAGCCAGTGGTGGATTGGGAATGTGATGACTGATGGGCTGCGGCTCCGCTTGATATCAAAGCTGCTCTTCTCATGTTGTTGGCTCTGGCGGATGGGACTCTCTTCAGTTTCAGGCCCATATTTTGCCGTTGAGAACCTCTGCGCGGGCTCATCCGAGATTGGAAGAGAATCGCCTTCATTTCAGGCGGTAAGCTGTCTTCGGAGAGGCGGAGGTTTTCTAGAGCAGCTGCTTCACCTGCAGACGCGGCCGCGCTCTCACTGACATCCTCTAACCGAAGGTCCTGGGAGACCATTTTTCCAGATTTGAGAACAAATTTCGCAGTCGGGCGACTAAAGATATCGTCCTCTGCAAAGGTGTCTTCCTCAATATAGTCGTACCGATTTTCGGACTCATCATCGAATCCGGCAAAGAGACTACTTGATCTCACGGGTCGGGGCATATTTGAAGCAAAATCTCTTGTGAGAGGTCCATTGTCGTTCACAGGAGGTATCTTGGACGGTCCAGCCATAGCCGAACGCCTCGAAGCAAACATCGAGGTACCGGGAGATACTCTGCTCCGAGGGATCGGAGGCGGCAACGCCCCCCTGGATGAAATTGGTGGTCTATAATGACTTGACAGTGGAGCAGGTGGCATTTCGGAGGGTGGGACAATGGCTCTTATATCGACTCGAATTTCTTCTGTCTGCATGGAAGACGACTTGTATCCTCCCAGCAAGTGGTTAGCGACCTGGGTACTTGCGTTCTTGGTTCGGGGTGGTAGCACAACATTAGTTTCAGGGGTGGCAGGTCTTGATGCGGGAGGGATGATCGCAATCAGGGGAACCTTGAGATCCAGAGTCTCATCGCTTCCTGTGTGCTTGTGGCTGTAATGGTCGATGACTGGCAATGGAGGCTCGGTCTGGGTTCCAATGGTGGCGGTCTCGACTCTTTCCAGGGCACTTTCGGGAATGGTGGCCAGTCCTGCGTCGCGCTTGTCAGGTGTAAGAGGCGGACTTGGGAGAGCCTCGACTGTCTGGCAACCCGATGACACCATGATAGGTCGTTGTTTTTCCCAAGCGAGATCAATACTGTCTTGTGGACTGACCGGGCTTGGGGTGACATTAATTTGTCTGGCATTCCCGACCGAAATCTCCGCGGGTCGGTGGCCATTGACCTTTGGTCGTGGATCCGCGACCGGCCATGGGGAAGATGGAGGGGAGAATTGAATGGCAGTATCTACATATTTGATGCTTGGCCAACGTCGGTTCCCGTCCGCTGAAATAGCTCCCGCACGATCATGTTCGGGGGTGTCATTCCGCTCCATGTCCTCAAAGTCGACAGGGAGACCCAAAACCTTCCTCGCCTTGATGGACAGACTAGAGGCGGGTCGAATGTTTTCCTCTGGGAGAGCGTCGGGGGAGAGCCGGCCATCGTCGTTGTCAAGTGCATTTAAGAGGTCTTCTTCCATTTCATCAAAGGCCAGTTCGTCAGCCAAGTTGATCGAAATGCCGTTGTGGAAACTCAAGACCGAGACTCGCCCTCCGTGAGTGTCGCTGTTGACCGATGTCGCACTATGCCTCCGCCCTCTTCGGGCGACGATAGAGCCTTTACTTGGACTGTCCATTATGCTGTTGCGGCTGTGTGCCCGCTCTGTGGGGGACGCAGGTGCTGGGTGTTGTTGAGCGTTGGCGAGTTCACTCAACACGACCTTCAGACGACCTTCGGCAATATGGACTTTGGTTTCGAGACCACGCTTTTCTGAGAGCCAAGTCTCCTTGTCCTTCTCCCACAAGGCCTGGGTCTTCTCTGCGGTTTCCTCTTGGCTTTTGGCCTTCTTTTGGGTCTGTTCGAGACGCTTTCGCAGGTCGGTCACATCGCTCAAGGCATCGTCTCGTTCTTTGGCCAAGTCGTTCAGAGCAGACAGAGTACCTCCTTCGAGCATTTGCATCTGCCGCTTGACTGACCTCGTCTCCTTGTTGGCTTGCAACAGGTTGTTATTGAGAACTTCATTCTGAGTCTGGGCCGCGTGGAGGCTGATTTCTAGCTTTTCAATGTCATTGGTGCGACTCTCGAGATCTCGCCGTAGCGACAGGATCTCGGAGACCAGGGAGGCATGGAGCGTAGGCGTAAATCGTCTCGGATCGAGAGGAGATATGTTCTCGTCCAGAGCCGGGTTCGAGTGAATGGAATCATTACTTCGTCTCTTGTTGGCTCGTTCATCGGGCATTGGGGGCGGCGTGGATGAGGGCGACATGTCTTCGTATCGACGGGAGCGGACAGATTGTGAACTGGACGGTGTTCGATACGGAGTGTCTGTTGGTGAAGGCAGCGAATAACTGACCTCGGGGTCCATTATTCGTCGACCGCCGTCGTGCCCTTGAGAGCTGCTCACGTTTCAATCAAAAGCAGCCCTCGTAGAGCATACTCCGCGTGGCTTCAATGGCTCGTCCTGTGCTTCTAGACCGCCTCCTGCAATGAATAGTGAATCAAATCACCACTCAGCGAACCTCGCAGCACATGACGGGAACGCGAGAAGGATGGATCGAACGCAACGACAACTGAAGCCAGCAGCAGGGGCTTGGTGAGTTCGCACGGCGGACTCGTGAGAGGTCTCGAGTCAAGCAGTGGTTTTGACGGTGAGATGGTCATGCAAGATTGACGAGACAACAGACAGAACAGCAGTAGCAGGGCTCATGCAGGGCGCGGTCAAAGCACTGGGCGTCTGCGATAGGATAGGATAGGATGGACGGATGGACAGGAGAAAGCTTGCTGGTCTGATTCCAGCCTAGCCTGTGAAATGGGGGGAGGGACCGTACGAGGGCAAGGGTAGCGATTGACGAGGATGCTTGCTGCTGTGACGCGAAAAGAGTCGAAAAGGACCGACGAGGTCAGGCCTGATCCTCTGGCTTGGGTCGAGCGAAGGCCGCTCGAATCCTCAAAAGTGAAGCTCAGCCTTTTGTTCGCACAGGTAGGGAAAGACTTGTCGCCCGCAGTCACGACTGGGAGCGGAGCCATGGAGCCAAGGGAGAGCTGGGAGTGATCGGCCGGAATAGGCGCAAAATTGGGCCAGGCATTGATTGGGTGTGAGGGCATGAATCGCGGGAAAATCATTGCTCAGGGGCATCGCCGGGCACAGGCGAAGCCGCCTTTGTGGCCAGGAATTGCAGGGTGGAGGTGGGCAGGTCAAGCAGGTGAAAAGAGACTGACCTGAATACTGGGTAATGAGGCTCGAGCCCCGGCGGCGGGCGCGGGGCTAGGCTGGTGGGCTACCAGGACTTTCACCCCGAGTCCCAGGGACGGGGGCATCCGTCTTAGCCCGGAAGGAGCCACGACGCTTAGTGTGTTTGCGATTCTTGGCCCACGGAGAGGGTGTACCGCTACTGTAAGTTCGTTCCATGGTGGCGGCGACATGGGTTGGCTGGGACAAAAGATCCGACAAGCGCAGAGGGTGATAGATTATAGGATTGAAGTCTCTCGTCTACATACTCGGTTCTTCTCTCGCAACTTCTGTCTGCAGGTACTGGGTACGTACATACTTACCCTCCGGTACTTAGGCGAAAAAAATACTGGGTGAGATGAAAGCGAGGGTGCTTGCAGGCCCCAGGCTCCAGGCTGCAGGTCCGATGGAGCTAAGTAATAGTCGTACCAACTGGTCTCGAAGCAGCAACGGGCCGGTCTGGAGTCAAGTTCCTGGTGGCATGTCTAGTGTGTTTCACGTTCCCCATCATGACCCCTCCTGACCCGCTAAATACCCACTCGGTTCCCGCTACCGGAACATTCTGAGCCACCAGCCTTTCCGCCTGGGGGCTAGCACATCTTGGGCCTGAAGCTTGCTATTTGATCGAGCTCCCAAATTGTCAAATTTCCTGGTTCCTGGAGCCGGACTTTTCATGTTGTTCTCTCTCGTGGCCAGTCGCACCTCGTGGATATTTGGGATTTCTGAGCACGGAAGCGAGAGATGGATTGTGAGTGGAAGGGAGGGAGGGAACCACGGAGAACATCAGGCAAGGACTGGCCGTTGATTGTGCCGCAGCAGGTTCCTGAACTTGGATATTTACATACTTACCTACCCAGTACTCGGTACCTGGATAGGTAGGTACTGGCAAGTACTGGGTACCTGAGTCCTCAGGTACTTACCGTTAAGTGGCCGCAGCTGGGCCGCCTTCTTCTTAGGTACCTACCAGTAGGTACTGGGCAGAGTACTCGCTACTGCCCAAGTACTGACTACGGAGTACCCAGTACCCAGTCCATACCAGGTACTCCGTAAGTGCTTAGGTACTCTTCCCTCGTACTCATAACAGGCTTCGTGCATCATCTTCCCGTCCCATGCTCACTCCATCGTCGGCATGAAGCATGAACTGTGGGTAATCACTCGGTCATGCACTCCGTTTGTACCCAAGTAAGTCGAGCAGCCCACCCCGGTTGGGAGTGTCTGTGCGCGCTCTCTCTCTCTCTCTCTCTCACACTCTCTCACTCTCGCTTACTGCGACCGTTGTGTTTGTCATGGCCTATTTGGGTGGCTGCCCAGTGCCTCCAGTGTCTCCCCCAGTCGTATCGAGTCAGGTTGTCGTGCCCTTTTTCCTCCTTCGCATCCCGTCTTTGTCCTTGTCCTTGTCCTTGTTTTTACCTATTCTTGCATTCCGTCACTTCCGTGCGAGAACGCGGCCAGGAAGCCCATATTTAGGGTTTTCTCTTGCGCACCACTAATTCTCCGAACCCAAGGTTTGATCCTAAGATGTTGATCATGCTCCGTGCACCGACGGAGTTCTCAGTTGGCAGGCTCTACTTTTGGGAGAAATTCAATCTTTTGATCGTACAGTACCCAAGTAGTTAGTCGTGGCAAGGGCAAAGATAATCCTCGGGACCTCCACCATCCTTCTCATCACATCACACTCTAAACGGTCTTGTGTCACCGCCATCAACAATAGTTGTCTGCACGTGTGGCCCGGGCCTGGCTCATCACATCCCATCCTGAAATCAAATCTCGACTGCTGCGACCAAAACAACAACAATACGGTAAACAGTACGTTCGCCATTCCCACATGCCACCACAAAGCAGGACAACCAACTTCTTCCCCTCCTTTCCCTCCTTTGGGGGCTTTCCCTGGTGGCTGTGGCTGTCTTCGGCCTGTTCGCCTCGTGTTTGAGACCTTGTCAATGTTCCCCCCTTCGCTTCCAGTCAACGGTCAAAGAACTATCATGTCGTGTGTGATGTTGTTTCACCTTCCCCTGCCATCAAACAAGGTTATCCACGCCCCGTTGCGCATCATCGGGCCCCCGTGCCCATCATTTGATTGCCTACAGGCTGGTTCTCTCTCGTTGTCGATCAAACTGGAGTTTGATCACAGGAAACAACGCACACCTGCTTGCCAAGTAGTTCACTACATACCTACGAGGTCCTCGTATCTACCTAAGTACGAGGTACATACTAATCTTTGAAGCTCTCTCCAGAACAAGACGGACCAGGAGAAGAATGGAGCCCACTCCGCAGAGTTCGTTCTCTTTTTCTAAGTAGTCCTCGGTAGTGGCTAGTTCCTCCACAATGGGACCAGCATCGCACTTGAAAAATACTCTGTCTCTACTTCACAGTGACACAAGGATCATGATTCCATCCTCTCGCACGCGCGGAAAGTGCCCGAAGCCAAAAGTGGTTCAAAGTGAGGATGAGCAATGCAGAGGAAGAGAATAAGTTATTGTGACTGCCGAGGTTGGAGGTGCCCCCCAACTTATTTCTGACCTCTGAGCTGAGCGCGTACTCGCAATGGTGCACCATCTCCAAAGTTGAACTCCACGGCTGAACGACAGTTCATGCGACGTGCAAGACGTGCCCGGGGAAAAGACGCCATCGCCATCTCTCGTCGTTCTCGGACTCTTGTTCCCCGATCCGCTGCTTGTATTATTACTCCCATGTTCACTGACACCCTTTTACTGGTAGAGCACGGCACTGTCCACGGGCAATGCATTGAGATAATCCAGCTAAGTTAATTCGGTTTTACTCATAATAGATCACCTCTCACTCAGTCATTAAATAAACAAACAAACAAACACACAAGAACAAAAGGGAAAGGGGAAAAAAAAAAAAGAAGAGACAAAAGAAAAAACAATGTCCACTACAAATCCCCCCAAAGCCCTCCTAACCGATGTCTTCGGTACCGTGGTCGACTGGCGCTCGAGCGTGACAAAGCACCTCACCCTCTCCGCCTCAGAGGCCCTGAATTCTCCGACGTCGTCCATTCCCAGCGGCGCGCGCGCCGCCGCCTCGCAGATCTCCTGGCCCGAGGTCGCCCAACTGTGGCGCACGTCCTATTACCACTTCACGCGCACGTACGACCCGGCCGCGGCGCAGAAGGACCCTTCCAAGTTCAAGACGGTGGACCAGCACCACGTCGAGGCGCTGCACAAGATCCTGGTCGACCACGGCCTCGACGGCCTGTGGACCGACGAGGAAGTCCAGAAGATCAGCATGATCTGGCACTTTCTGGACCCGTGGCCCGACTCGTCGCCAGGCTTGGCCAAGCTGAACGACAAGTTCGAGACCGCGACCCTGAGCAACGGCAACACGGCCTTGCTGCAAGATCTCGCCCGCCACGGCAACCTGCCTTACAAGCACATCCTCTCCGGCGAGGACTTCGGCGCCTACAAGCCGCATCCGAGCGTCTACCTCGGCGCCGCCAAGAAGCTGGGCCTGGAACCGGGTGAGTGTGCGCTCGTGGCCGCTCACCTGGGCGATCTCAAGGCCGCTAGGGGCTGTGGCTATCAGACCATCTACATTGAGAGGTCACAGGAGGAAGGATGGTCGAAGGAAGACACCGAGGCGGCGAAACAGCAAGGCTGGGTGGATATGTGGATAAGCCTCGACGAGGGCGATGTAGGCTTCCTGGAGATTGCCAGGAGGTTTGGCATATAATGGACGACGCGTTTGATTATGACGCTCATGCCGATGCTGATTATGTATGAGCGAGGCCCTCCCCGGTCATTATGATAGAGAAACATCTTGTCATCAGACAACGGTTCGAACATGATGGCCAGACAAACCCCGAAACGGTCTGTTTGTTTTCTCGAATGTGGTCATGATTACTTCGCAATACTGCTCCCCGCTGCCACGGCTGTGCTTGTGCTAAACGCTTTTCTTCCACATCCCCTTTGATCTTGTGCGATCTACATTACTCCAAACTCCCCCAACACTTGAGCGCCCGGCTTCGTCCCAGCTGCCTTCACTCCGTGTCCTTTTATAAGCAGTGCCGACCTCGTCCTCTTCATCACTTACATCTCCCTCTTTTTCTCTTTCCTGTCTTGTCATCCAAATCTCCCAGCTTCGTGTCCCCCCCTTTACAACGCCAAATGCATACTCGGGGCACCCATCTTCTTCTCGGCCTTCTTCGCCGCCTTGTACCACTTAGCGTTGGCATCGCTGTACGTTGTTCTCCTCTTGATCACCCTCCGCGGGTGGATTTCGCCGTTCTCATCAAAGCCCGTATTCCCGTCGTCTTCATCCACTCCGTTCTTGGTGCTGGCGGGACTTCCCACGCTGCCCGTCGCCGCCGCGGTGGTAGGCGTAGTCACGTCCTCGTCGTCGAGGTTGGGAGAATCGACGTCAGCGCCGAAGATGGCGCCCATTCCTGCCTTGTCTCCATGTGCGCTGAATGGGTTCGCGGAGGCGCCCACGTTTCCACCGGATGGCAGGTTGTGAAGTGCCAAGCCGTTCATTTTTCTGGCCGTGCCGTCAATAAGTTCCTTCTCCTCTTCATCCGTGAGAGGTTCGATATCCGGGATCGGCCCGCGCGGAATAATAACAGGCCATCCAAGGTCACTTCCGCCGTGCATCTGGCGGCCCTTTGCGCGGAGGTACCCATACTTGTAAACTTCAAAGAAAGTGGTCTTTTTGAACGCCCCGCCGTTCGTTCGGTCGGACGTGTCCCAATAGAGATTTCGCAACCATTTTGAAAGGCGGGGGTAATCGTGCCGGATCATTTTCAGGTTGCAGTTGAAGATGTTGTAGTATGCGACGTCAAAGCGCGCGAGGGTGGTGTATAGCCTGATGTCCGCTTCGGTGATGTGTTCGCCAAACAGGTATGGTTGGTGAGAGGGATCGTTCAGGTGTTCCTCGAGGCGGTCAAGTGATTTAAAGAGCGGGTAGATGTTGGCGTCGTAGGCCTCCTGCGACGCCGCGAAGCCCGTTTTGTACACGCCATTGTTGACTGTGTTGTACACCCACTCATTCATGGCGTCGATCTCGGCCCTCAGGTGCGGAGGATAAAATCCCCCGCCGGGCTTATTGACTTCCCTCTGGTCGGGTTCTAGGAAATCGTCGAACTGATCGTACAGCATGCGGATAATCTCCGACGACTCGTTGTTCACTATTGTCTCCGTCTTCTTGTCCCATAGCACGGGCACGGTGTAGCGACCGACGTAGTTGGGGTCGGCTTTCAGGTAGAGTTGTTTCAGGCCTGTGAAGCCGTACAGAGGATCGGCACCCATGCTGCCGTTCCGTCCGGTGAAAGTCCAGCCGTTCTCGGTCAGGTCAAAGTCGGTAGTGATGAGTTGGATGACGGGCTCGAGCGACTTTAGCTCACGGACGAGGATTGTTCGGTGTGCCTAAAACGAAGGGTCAGTCATGGGTTTGTATTACCGTCTGGGGCAGTGTTGGACCTGGCTTACCCAAGGGCAACCGTAGTTTCCGTAGAGGGCATATCGATCCTTGTCGGGTGTGAACTTGGAACCTGGCTCTTTGGATATCCAGTTGCGGAACTGGCTGTCTTTCCGACGAAAATGGCCATCGGCGTCGGCATGTTGATGGGTTGGTCGCTGGCATGGAGTTAGTTGGAGCCGCAGAATGCAGATACTCCCAAGCTCACCAAGTCACCCATTGTCTCGTTCTGGAATTTGATTGCTGGGGCTGTCTGAGCAGGTGGAAGCTGGATGTCAGGAAATCAAGTGCGCCGAAGCAAACGGGCAGGATATTGTACAGCCTCACAAGGAAGAATAGAAAGGTCGCTTGTGCTTGAGCCGTGGGATGCGAGTGATGTGCAGTGGATCTGGTGATACAGTCCAGCACACGACTAGGAGAATATATGCAATTCAACGATGAGACGACGAAGAGCGAGAGGAGAGGATTTGAAACCTAACTCGAGACCTTGCGCAGGTCAATTGTTCAGCTGCATGTCGCACGTCTCAGCTTCCGATGTGGTGCTTACTCGATACTTTTCAGGCTCTCCGCGCCCAATTCCGCCCCGCAAATGCATACGAGCCACACGTGCGGGAGGCTGGGATGCACTTCGGAGTCCGTACTTCTCGTTCGAGTCTCTGGACTTGACAGGTCAAGACAGGTCCATGCTGGTACAGCATCGTCCGAGCCTTTTGGGGGCCGATTGAGTCTCTCTGGTTGGCCCATAGTTGATTGCGTTGGAGCCTCACCAGTTCGCCGAATTGTCCACACCGTTGGTGGCACCGAGTTGACCGAGCTATGCCTCCATGTAGGTAGTTCTGGGAAAGAATCCAGACGTCATGGTCAGGCCGAATCGAGGCTGTCGTCGATGCTGGTGGCCCCTTTTCAGGCTTGTAGACGCCAGCAAAAAAAGGCGTCAGGTCCATACCAGTCACATCTTCAACCATATATGACAAAACACTCGGTCATTTGGAACAACAACTTCCTCCGTAGGTAGAGCCAATCCCAGTGAAATTGCGGGGAGAGACACCTCTTACCTAACACTGCCAATCCTCGTGATCCGATTTGGAGATTGAGAGATGAATAATGGGCGCCGTCAGTTCCGCTGCTGTTACATATCATTCCAGACGCCGGCATAGAAATGATCGACCGAATATGAGAAAGGGCGGAAAGTCCAACAACTTTGAACCACGACATGTCGAGACGTGAGGTGGTCAGTCGCTTCGACATCAAAGAAACGGGTTTGATGCGGATGCAGTGGGCATTGAAATCCGACTGCCATCTGCTGCCTCGAGCTCTGTTATGCTCGCATACGTTCGGCTGCTGGACATGCGACACCAACCAAAATCCAACAGGTACGACCTAGAGGTGTCCTACGATTCGAGCCAATTATTCCTCAACACGGCGCTCGTTCGCTCTCTTCGACGAACCTCTGACTTCACGTCTAAAGCTGCGCGTCGAGTTCACAGTGCACCTAGATGTATGTCGGCGGTCAGATTGAGCAACTGCCCGGCCTGAGAACTGTATCAATTCCCGTACCCTGGCCCTGCTTTGCTGTCTCTCCTGCCCGCTCGCTACAGATCGCAATAAGGATTAATTCGTCGTCGCACATGCTTATTGAGAATCGCTTAGCGGAAAGTCCTACAAGGTAAGCCTCAAAGGAAAGGCCTAGGGCCAATGAAAGAGGAAGGTGCCAGACCGTTGTGCATGAGTCCCCTCCCCATGGGAGGTCGAGATATGGCGATCGGCAACGCCTCGCATTGATGACTCTGCATGGAACATCGGCTGCGTTGACCTGGCGAGAGAGAGGGAGGGAGATGTGACCCCACGGGCCAGGTCAAAGAACAAGCCACATCCGTCTAGGTGCAGGACAAACATATCAAAGTGTCGCAGCATCTGAAACCTTTGTTGACCCAGTTTGGATTTGTCAAGGAAACCACGTTATCGACCATCCCGCCCATTGTGATAGAGAGCTATCTTATCCGATAAGAGCGACGGCCCGTCCTGCAAGATGGGGAGATGGCGAGCTTAATTCAGCATCAGGGGTTTCGGCGTGTTGGTGGACTTTGTGATAAACGGGGTGTTGTTACAGTAATCATGAGCCCGATGAAGTTGCTTCTGTGCATGTGGAGATAACGCAAATGACAAGAGCGGGCACTTCTTTTTGCCCAAGAGGTATGTATTAGCTGTCGAAAATGTCAGGAATGAATGGTGTCAACCTTGAATCCAAACAATGAGAACCATGTTGCAGGGCTCGCAATATGATTTGTCTGCGGAGGGGGCAAATGTCAAAGCCAGCAGCCGCATGCATCGCTATTCGCTGCTCTTTTTCCATTGCTTGCTTTGAGCTTTTCTTGGAGCCCCAACGATGGTGCTTCCGTCCACCACAACCATCATCATGTGGCGCCTGCATCATGCAGGAAAAGCTTTCAACTCGACACCAGTGCCACCAGTGCCAGCTGACAGGTTGTGTCCTTGGTGGTCTCGGATTGGCTCCTAGCGGAGAGCTCTAGAGGCAAGCCGAACATTGCATCAACTCGAGCGATAAATGGCGAAGGGCGGCCATGCCCTCACCGTACTCGTCAATCGCGCAAACAAGAACTGATCTGCAAAGCATGCCATGGCCTTGGATGCATGGCGCCTCTTCCACTTCTTCTGTGATGGCCACGCGTGGCCTGAGTCTGACTGCCCAATACGGGCATTCTCCTGGCCTAATGAGCACTTGTCGACCCCTTTGAAGTGCCCAACCGGATCCGCCCTCCTTCGTTTCTCCGGCTGTCGGGTTCCCTCGGTGTTCCCCTCTTGCAGGCTCGCAGGTTGCTGACACGGACCCTTCGCTGAGGATTGCTAGAGTTCCGAGATTCGGGTAATGGGACCTCCAACAGAAATGATGCAACACTGGCAGGGATCTGGGGCACCTGGGGATCGTGAGCCGTGGGACCTGTTACTCCATAGGGATGCCCCTATCCGCAAGAGACCCAATAGTGGTCCGTGAAGATTGGAACAAGGTCGGGGGTGTACGGATGCATCCCGGTGGATATGTTAGACAGTGTATAGCCATGTTTCGTCTGCTTGTTAGACTGACGGGGAGAGAAGGTTTGGTAGCTAAGTGCTTGAGTTAGGTGTGGGCGGTAGTGACTTTGGCTCCTCCCAATCTGCTGGCTAAGTATCAGTAGCCGGGGGCAGATCCGAGGACTCATAAGCAGAGCAGCGAGAGAAGGCCGAGGCGGTTTTAAGGAACGGGAGAGGGAGAGGGAGAGTCAAAGGTGAACTTGAAAGATGAGAGGAGGTGGGAGAGAAGAGTGAGCGAGAGCTGTGCTAGCTAACTGTGGTCATGGACTACCTGTACCTAATCGCTAGGTACGGGGAACTTGGGACTATGACTACGACCTATCGAGACAACTGGTTACAATCAATCTGTAGTCTCTACAAGAGTTGCAACTCGGCTCGAGTGGCTATTACTACGCCGCAAGTACAGTGACTTTGGGCAGTACCTAGTGGTTATATCACCCATGGCACCGAGTGCGCTGTGTTTGGTGCAGTGCTGGCGCAGGCGTGGGCACAGGCACGGGTGCAAGCGCCAGTTGCAGAACGCAGCTGCAGGTGCATGCCACAGGCAACAAGTCGAGTACCTAGGTAAGTAGGCTTTAACTAGCCATGCGGCCTGCAGGCGAAAAAGGGGGCCCGCGCATCTGCCTTGGGGCCTTGCCTTGGGGCCTGGGGGCTTGGGATAGTGAGGTACCTACCTACGGAGTACTCGTACGAGTGGTGACTGGTACCCCACTGGTGTTAGCCCAGCTTCTCCGTCCCCATCCACCATCTTCTGTTACCTCCAAGGGTGGACCTGCCTCTAAGTAAAGATGGCCGAAAAGGACAGCCTGGTGAGCCTAGGGACTCCTTGGTGCCTGTGTAAGTAGTGCCTGTAGAGCCTAGTGCCCATGGCCTGCAGCTGTCATAATGCCCGCCCGCACCATCCCCAAGCCGTATTTCTGCCAAAAAAAAAAATTGTTGCTTGTGTGGTCCAGTGCCTGTTTTCTTTTCTTGCTTTTCCCACCTTTCTGAGCAATCATCTGTCTGAAACAAACCACACGCTCAATCCCAGTGACGCCCTTCAACGCCTCGCATACTCGGTGGATGTGTCAGATCGCACATATCGACATCTGACATAGCATTCCCTGCACTGCCAGCGCCTTGCCCCCCATTGGCCCGAAATCCCCGTCGCTTCCACCGCATTCGCCCCCAAAGAAGCAACCACCACAGGCCATCCCTCGAAAAAGTCACCTCTCAGCCTCGAGACATCTTCGAGACAGGCCCCGACCTCCCACAGTCGAGAACATCCCACTGTCTTCGAAGAAGGCAATCAGCCTCCCGTCCCTGTCAAAATCACTCGCAATTCCTCCGATAGACCGGTAAAAGCGACGTCTGCTCGGTCAGAGAACGGTCTTTGCAAGGTTTGCTTTCTCCCAAATCACCCCTCAAATACCCCGAACTGCAGAACTGATCAGCGACTTCTTCCCCCCCAACGGCAGGTCTCCTACCAGCAAATTCTCCCCTGCGTCTCGTTTTCCGCTGATCGACTGCCGGCCCTCAAAGATTCCCCCTGTCTGATTCCGATCCCTGTGCAACTTGCAGTGCCTTGCGTTGCTGTTGAAATTGCTGCTTGCCGATCGACACCCAACGGCCAACCTGTTGCGACGGACGGCTTTCTGTCCTGCCCAGTGGCTTGCCTTGGGCGCTATTCGATTGAATCCCGAGTCAGAGGAGAACGTTCAGAAAAGAGATCCGCCGTGTCACAGGCTGATCGCATTGACTTGCCCTCTTTCGACTGGTCGAGTCACCAGCGGTTCTGTCGAGGTCTAGGCCAGACCCTCATACAACGCACTTCCCGCAGCCGGCGACTTTATTAAAGTACCCATTGTCCAACCCAACGCAATTGCGCTCTTTTGTACAAGCGGATGCGTCAGTATTGCTTGTCGGACCTGTCAAAATCTCTGTGAGACGTTCCGAGGCACGAAGTTGGAGGTTTACCATTAGCCCACCCCAAGTCGGCATCGAGGACCAGCATACATCATGACGGGGAAAATGACCCTATATAAGTTGGTGGTGCTGGGAGATGGCGGTGTTGGGAAAACGGCTTTGACCATTCAGGTTCGTCTGCAGACACCCCCCCCCCCCCCCCCCTTTGGGTCGGCTGGTTGCTGAGCCCCCCTTGCAGTTATGTCTGAACCATTTTGTCGAAACCTACGATCCGACCATTGAAGACTCTTATCGGAAGCAAGTCATGATAGATCAACAGGCTTGCATGCTTGAAGTTCTCGATACTGCAGGACAAGAAGAATATACTGCTCTGCGTGACCAATGGATCCGGGACGGTGAAGGATTCATCCTCGTCTACAGTATCACTTCGAGAAATTCTTTCAGCAGAATCCAGAAGTTCTATTCCCAGGTACAGCGAGTCAAAGAGTCGGGCCATCCGAATTCTCCCACTGGCGCGAACTATCTCCAGTCTCCAATGCCTGGACAATCCACCTACAATGGCCCTCCTATCATTATGTTGGTCGGCAATAAGAGCGATCAGCACCATGAACGCGAGGTTCCTTTTCAGGAAGGCCAAGCACTGGCCAAAGATCTGGGCTGCGAGTTTGTCGAAGCATCGGCTAAAAACTGCATCAATGTCGAAAAGGCATTCTACGATGTCGTGAGACAGTTGAGGAGACAGCGGCAATCACCTATGAAGCCGATTGACCGGAAAGGCACAAACTATCTGTCACAACCTAGTCCACGAAACAACTTTGATTCAGATCACCAGCGGATATATCGCGATCACAACAAAAAGCGCGGGACCAAATGTGTTATTCTATGAATGTGACAAAGTTGAACCGACTGCCCGGGGATCGGTACTTGATGTGGAATCATGAGCCATTCATGTCTAGAGCTGACGACAATCTAACATTGTCGGGATCTGTGTTGCAACCAAAAATTATCTGTCATCCCCCGGAGTTCTACATTGGTCATCTCGAGGGACGCACAGCACCGCCTCTTATGCATGTGGACATTAAGATGTTCGATCCGGTCGGGATACGGAAATCCGCGGCATTTCTTGTTCACACGGTATCATTTTCGCTCGTTCCCTCCATCCAGCTACCTTGACAGCCACTTGCGTCTCACCGCTCATCTTGGCTTGAAAGTATTCATCGGCACGAAGCTTAGTGCAGCGACCAGACTCATCACCATTGGAGAATACAGTATATGCTACAGTACAGCAGCAACATATATCAATTTCCAGTGTACAATTTATTCACGCCTAAGATACTAGAAAGGGATATGTCTCAGTCCCGAAAGCTTTCCAGGCCCTGCTTAGCCTCAAACGAGCCTGCATGTCTTGGCAAGCGTGATACGACAGCTTTTCATGAAGTACATAAGTGAGGACAAGAATCTTGATAGGTGTGGAAGGTGGTTGGCATGGTTCGCGTCTTTAAAACGGCTCTCCCACGACACCGGCACAACACCCCTATCCGGCATGGCGACCTAGATTTGGTGTCGGGGCCACGACAAATGTGGCACGGACCTCAGGTTTTGGAAGCCGCACCTTGAAGCCGAGGTCGTATTTGGTCGACCTTGAAACTGGCATCAGAGCGGTGGGCCAAAGACAAAAAGGAGAGACATGGTGTTTAGGAGGGGCACTTTGGACCGCGTATGGTTATACTCGGGACTAGAAGTGAAGGGGATCAAAGAGTCCTCAAGGAATTGGATGGGTTCGAAGAGACCAGAAAACAACCAGGCACAAAACTCTGTAGGCTACTGTACTTGCAGCTAGTTAGACCGAACGAAAGTGTAAGTATAGCTAGAGAACCGGGGTCGTGGAGAAGCCTCGCGTGCTGTCAAAAAGTCAAACTGGACTAATATATCCCCTAGCTGGCTTTTGTCTTTTGCGCCCAACGTCCCTGGCTGGGATGGCTTACGCCGGAATCAGACACGACACGAGCGGTGCCGACATGTCGGGACGGAGGCCCAAGGGACGCCGGACAGGTCGTATTCCCCTTGGGGGAGGGGCGTCGAAGCTTTTGGAAGGGAGCTGTGAGGTGCGGAAAGGGAACGAAGAGGGAGAAAAGTAAAATTTCCCACTAGGGCTTCACGTTGGCAAATAGATTTCCTCGAGAGGACAAATAGGGCGCATTCATATACGAGGAAATCCAATTCCACCTGCCTGGCATTCATTCGCGTGCCGGTCTTGTGGAAAAGTATGTGGCATCGCTGGTGCAACCCTCTACTTAAGGGTTCCTTGCAATGGGTACTGGGGTAGGGAGTACGGAGACGATACGGTACCTGGGAGTACCTGAGTACCCAGTACTTAGAACCATCCCTCGGAGAACAGGGTCGGGTATGTGCCTGGATGCTCTGCGCCGACATGCATATCTTTGGGCCTCCAATAGCTGGCGAGCGTCAACCACACCATTGGGGGGTGCCATATGTATGTATGCGGATGGACATAGGGCAGTAGGAGCTGCTTCAACACCTGTAGATATCTCGATGCTGTGCGTCACAATCAGAATCTCGAGGGTGAAGAGCCGCCATACATGTCTCGATGTAGGCCAAGGCCTTATCTACCACCACGCTTGCTTGTCCTCTTTCTGCTTCGCTGTCGTGCATCGGAAGATACCGAGAGAATGGTGGTGGGCGTCCATGTGCAAGTCCTGGAAGTATTCTCCGCGCCAAAGGCCCCACCATGCCCCATCCTTTCTCGTGTTCGTTGTCCTCCTTCTCGATTTTGCAAACAATCCTTTTCCCCTTCTTGGGGTGGCGCTATCTATCGTGTCTGTTTCCTCATCTGCGTGCCTCTGACAAAACAGGAAAGGATCCGCATGGTGATGGTGTGCGAGCCACGTTGCAGATCCATGTGGTTGGGGACCTGCATACGGGGTTTGTCCGCCGGATCGGCATTTGGGAAATGGGTGTGGTTACTGGGTACTCTGGGAAGTTCCGCCATGGCGCACTGTCGCGTGCTGGGGCCCAAGAGTCCCACCGGGGTCGATGGTGATGGAGTTCAAAGACTTCGTAACCCTTTGCTCACGGGGACGAATGCTGAGAAGAGAAATGTTGTGTCCGAAGGATCGTCGGTTGGTAAGGCTGCCCCCTACCGAGGACTTAAGATTCAGATGTCAAGGGGCAAGGCTGGGGAAAGCACACTGGGCTAACTCGGAGGGGGTCTTCTTCTTCTTCTTCTTCTTCTTCTTCTTCATCACATGCTCTCTTTGCCGGCAGAGGCTGGTGACAGGACAGACTCGGGCTCTGTTATCATTCTGTCGCCGTTGCTGCAAGGGAAGGGCGACTAGTCCGCTCGGTTCGCTCAAGCCACTCCGAACGATCTCAAGGTGGGAGTGTACCTCGTAAATTGGCATATGAGACAAAATTCGTGCTCTTGTTGAGACCAGATGGTGCAAGGAGTCCGAAGTAAAAGGGTTCCCCTGAGCAAAAGGCGAGCTGTCCTCTTTCAGTCTTGTTCCCTCAGCCTCGTTACTGTACCTGCTAGAGAACCCTCCCAACCGATTCCTCAACCTAGTCGGCTTGAAAGTTCAGACTAGGGACATATGCAAGCGTGAGAACGTGTCTACATCAGAAGTTCGCCAATGTAGCTGAACTAGTCCGCAGTGCGCCCTCACGGCAAGACACTGCCGCAGGTGTCGGCTTGCAAGGCTGTTGCCTTTAACAGGATGGATGAGTTGCCCAGGTTTGTGTCACACTTTCCCGCAAAGGTGGATGCAGGAATTTTGGAGACCGAATACAAAATGTGACGCACTGCACGAGTGTTTCGTTCCAGGTCCCCATGGGGAGAACAGGACAAAGCCATCATCTCTCAACAAAGCAACACATGCCGGAGGAGACGTCTTCTTGAATCTTCAAACAAGGCAAGATGCCCCTGTCCGCCTCTTTAACAGATATGTCTCAGGCGTCATGCAGATGGATGGAACTTCTCAGTCCGGAAGGGGAGTCCTCGTGCGACTGTGATCGCTTGGATGCATCGTCAACTTAAGCGAGACGACGGCGTGTACAATTTCAACTGCCGTGCCGTGCGGCGTGGCGGTAAAGCAGTGGCTAGGCAGTTGGCGAACAGATTATTGAACGCGACCAAAAGTTCCACTTCGGTATATTTCAAGTTGGGAATATGGGAGAAACAGTACGGAGTATCTTGTGAACTCTAGCAGAATCAGGAGCCGCCATGATTGCTATGCGTACAGGCCATCGGTCTCCTCCATAAGAAACAGGAAAGCGCCCCAGGTGCAGACCCGTGTTGCAGATAAATGGGAGATCCCATGAAAGGTCAGAAGACGTATTCTGCGACATTCACCTTTTAACGCGGCGCCGGCCGATAGAGGAACTCTGCTCCTAGGCTAACATAAATCATTGAAATGAAAGATGGTAGAGAGTGTGCGCATGTAGTATGTGTGTCGGCGTCTGCGGCGAACACACGACCAAAAAACTCCGGCCATGGATTCGCAAATTCTAGGTCACTTGCGAGGTTGTGTCGAACTTAATAGTCGGGTTCTTCAATTGGTGGTAAGCGTTTCCACCCCTTCTCAGTATCAGATTTGCATAACCCATTGTGAAGGGTGAAGGTCCAAACGTCTCCGATCGGCGCGAACCCAAGGACAACTTCGCTGCTGGTACTGGCCGTGGCCGTCCTGGTGTTTGATCTTAGGCGACCGAAGTTTTGGTCCAGCGCAGGACCAGAAAGGAGCCAGGTGCGGTCTTCCGTCCAATCAAAACCCTCATCACACAGGAGCTGATATGGATTTCCATGTTCTGCGCGCCAGTAAGCCGTTGTGCGACCCGAAGCTTGACGTGCATGTTGGGTGGTGCGACCTTGCTGCCGTCGAACTGCACACAGAACCTGACGCTAGGCCTCATACAGGTTTTCCACCTGTTCGGGGATATCGCTTTTTCCTCGCCGAAATGCTCAGGCTTCTAGTCGTTGCCCGCGACGTACACTCCTTCCTTTATCCTTCTTGGGAGACGCCGCCATATCATGTTTCAGGTGTGATATGACTCTCTTACTTGTTTCCTTTTCTGCCTCAAGGGTCGAGATTCGAGCTTGCAGCTCTGCAATCTTTTTGTCTTTGGCCTGGACAGCCAAGCGAGTAATGTCGCGGCCCTTAATGATGCCTTGGGTGCGCAGGTCGTGCTTATTGAGGAGACCCACCAATTCCCTCTCAACTTGCAAACTGATTTGGGAGTTTCTCAATATATTGAGCGCTTCAGAAGCAAGAGTGGATGGCTCCGTTTCGCGCACCATATGTTGTGCAGCTCTTTTAACCGGGGTACTAGATGGTGAGAGCAAACCGCTACCCGCAGATTGATGGGTTGTAGTAGGAGTAGTAAAGATATCGTCGCTGAGAGGCCATACCTCGCTAGCAGGGACGGCCTCCTCTGCCCCCTGATCAAAAGTCCTTTTGCCTGGCGACGTCAGAGTCTCTGTTCGAGGAGCTTTCTTCGGGGTCTGGAACGGCGTCTTCTCCAACATGTCTTGTTCAGCCTTGATCAGTTCTTCGTCATTGCTAGAAGACCATTCGAAGCTCTCTTCATGCTCAAGGTGTGCCGGCTCTTTCGTCTGTTGTCTGTTGATATTGTCGGGCCGCGTCTGCGGTGTAGGAGGCAGAGCGTCAGGATCTTTCTTCTTAGGAGTGCGTGGAATGGGCGCAATTGGTTCTGACCGAGAGCTACTGAGGACTGCGGCTTCTTCTCGGATCTTAGCATCGTCGTTCCATAGGAAGAAATCGCACCGTTTGTGCTGCGGCTTTTGGCAGGTGTAGACTATCGCAATACATCAATATCAGGCGAATGTGCAGACATGATAATCGTACACCATCTTCCATGGTTCTTGGTTTCCTTTTTCACTTGGCACTTGTTTGCTGGCTGGCGCGGGTCACAATCGCAATGCCATATGCCGTCGAGGAAGGCCCCTCTTTTGGACGTACAGCCGTTTCTCGTGGTGTAGGAGTTGGCCATCTCTGGATCCTTCTCACACCCTGGTTCGCATTGGTGATGATATCGTCATGGTAAGGCACCGCATGATCATGCTCTCGTCGCAAATGATGTTTCTTCTCTGATACCGCCCACCTCGTACATTGGAGAGGTAAGTGGCAGGTGAACACGGACACGACTGTGAGTGCTTCGTTGATGCGATGACGCATCGCAAATGGTGGAGCAGGCAACCACCGAAATGCCAGGGATGAAGCGCCTAAGCGCATGCCTGCACCTCTTGTGCCTGGGCCCGCTTGGGTGCCACAGGTGTCTCTAGCCACCAATTCAAGCCTAAACGCCTCCCGTGCTGCCCGGTCGGCGTCGCTTCCCAAAAGAGGAGATTCCTGGATCTCCAACTGCGTCCCAATTTCACATTCAGCATCCCCAACGCGACACGCTCCTCATCTAACAACCTCGACAAACATCAAGCAACGTACCGAAACGATTCACGAGGTCAACCCGTGAAATATATGAACACATACTCGCGACCTGCTTTGCCTTGAAGAAAGCTGCACACAAGACCAGATCCGACGCGAGCCGATCGTCCCCCTCGCCCAACCAAATGATGGTCATGCGAGCACACATTACCCAAGACTTATAACATAGGTACAAACATGGCGCCCACGGGCGGTGGAGGGGGAGCAGGAGGCGGCCTCGGCGGAGGAGGAAATATCAAGGTCGTGGTCCGAGTGCGACCGTTCAACAGTCGTGAAATCGATCGAAATGCAAAATGTATTGTTCAGATGCAGAATGCCCAGACCGTTCTACAACCCCCTCCAGAGGCAGAAGACCGTCTTCGAAAAGGTGGAAAGGATGGCGCAGGCGCTCAGCGAACCTTCAAATTCGACAAATCCTACTGGTCTTTCAACAAGGCAGATCCAAACTATGCTGGTCAAGACGATCTATTCAATGATCTGGGTGTTCCATTACTCGACAATGCCTTTCAGGGCTACAACAACTGCATCTTCGCATACGGGCAGACGGGCTCCGGCAAGTCCTACAGCATGATGGGTTACGGTGAAGAGGCAGGCGTTATCCCTCGAATTTGTCGAGAAATGTTCGAACGGATCAATGGGATGCAGTCTGATCCTCACTTGACCTGCACAGTTGAAGTGTCCTATTTGGAAATCTACAATGAGCGCGTCAGAGATTTGTTGAACCCGGCTACCAAGGGCAATCTCCGCGTCAGAGAGCATCCTTCTACAGGTCCTTATGTGGAGGATTTGGCCAAGCTGGCTGTTCGCTCCTTCAGTGAGATCGAAAATCTCATGGACGAGGGCAATAAAGCTCGAACAGTGGCAGCCACTAATATGAACGAAACCTCCAGTCGCTCCCATGCCGTCTTCACCCTCACTCTCACGCAAAAGCGCCACGATGCCGAAACCAATATGGATACCGAGAAAGTCGCAAAGATCAGCTTGGTCGATTTAGCTGGCTCAGAACGTGCAACTTCCACTGGTGCTACGGGTGCCCGTCTCAAGGAAGGAGCAGAAATCAATAGGTCGCTTTCTACCTTGGGTCGGGTCATTGCGGCACTAGCGGACCTCTCTTCGGGCAAAAAGAGCTTGAAAGTACCATACCGAGATTCGGTCCTAACCTGGCTTCTGAAAGATTCACTTGGTGGCAACAGCATGACCGCGATGATTGCTGCAATCTCGCCCGCTGACATCAACTTTGAGGAAACGCTAAGCACCCTTCGATACGCGGACTCGGCCAAGAGAATTAAGAACCATGCTGTCATTAATGAGGATCCAAACGCACGCATGATCCGCGAGCTCAAAGAAGAACTTGCCAAACTCAGGAGCCAACTTGGGGGCGCTACCGCTGCAGGTGCCGAGGAGACTTACCCTGAGGGGACACCGCTCGACAAGCAGATGGTCTCGATTGTGCAGACCGACGGCTCAGTCAAGCGTGTCAGCAAAGCCGAAATCATGGACCAATTGAGCCAAAGTGAGAAGTTGTACCAGGACCTCAACCAGACCTGGGAAGAGAAGCTCCAGAAGACGGAACAGATTCACAAAGAGAGAGAAGCTGCGCTGGAAGAGTTGGGCATAAGCATCGAAAAGGGGAACGTAGGCATGAGCACTCCCAAAAAGATGCCCCACTTGGTCAACCTGAGCGACGATCCTCTGCTGGCTGAATGCCTGGTTTATAACCTGAAGCCAGGAGTTACCACGGTGGGGAACGTTGACTCATCTGAGGCTTCCGAGATCAGACTGAATGGATCCAAGATCCTTGATCACCATTGCAAGCTTGAGAACGTTGACAACGTGGTAACAATCATCCCACATGAGGGTGCTGCTGTAATGGTCAATGGTGTGCGTGTCGACAAGCCGAGAAGACTGAAGAGTGGAAATCGTATTATTCTGGGGGACTTTCATATCTTCAGGTTTAACAACCCATTGGAGGCCAAAGCCGAGCGCGCCGAGAGAAGTCTGCTCCGACAATCTGTAACTGCTAGCCAGCTGAGTTCCCCGACGCCATTCCGTCCTGGACATGAAAGAAGTTGGAGCGCTGCAGGATCAGAATTTGATGGCGATTCGAGCCGAGCCCAATCTCCAGGATTCAGCAGTAACAAAGACTCGGATTGGTTCTTTGCCCGTCGAGAGGCAGCGGGTGCACTTCTTGGATCAGACCCAAAAATCATGCAACTCACTGATGAGGAGCTGGACAGTCTGTTTGAGAATATCCAAAGAGCACGAGAGGAGCGGCGCGGACGTTCCGACAACAAACATTTTGAACAGGATGAAGACTCGGATGACCTCGGCTCTTTCCTTGTGCGCGACAAGTACATGTCGAATGGTACCATCGACAACTTCTCTCTCGACACGGCACTTACACTGCCAGGCACGCCTTCTGTACATGGCAGTTCGCAAGAAGACGGCGAACCGACTTTGACCCCGAGTCAATTTGAACACCAAGTTCAGCACCCAATGCAGAAAACGGGGGAAGAGGAGAAGCAAGGAGTTGCAGAGAAATCTTCGAAAGAAGCAGAACGAGAGGCTCAAGCTGTTCAGATGCAGCAAGAATTGGAGCGGGCAAGACAGGAGTTTGAAGAAGAACTTCAAAAACAAAAAGAAGTGTACGAGGCACAGATCAAGAAAATGGATGAGGACGTCAGAATACGAGAAGCTTCTCGAACGCCAGCTGGCTTCCTGCCCCTGCAAGCCTCTGAGATAGCCATTGCACGGAACGTCGTGGAGAAATGGCAACAAAGGAATTATATCTTGATAGCGGAGGCAATATTGCAGAATGCCGGTCTTCTCAAGGAAGCGCAGGTCATGAGCAAGCTGCTGGATCACGATACCAACTTTCAGTTTGTGATTTTGGACAATGGACAAGAACGTGGCTCGTCGTACGATCTCATCCTCCAAGATATCTCTGGAGATGACGATGATGCTCTCGCGGATGCGCGCAAGCCATGTCTTGCCGTGAGGGTCATTGACAACCAACTCAGCTGTATCCACCTTTGGCCACTGGAGAAACTCCGACTACGAGTGGCCAAGATGCGGCAAATGCGCCAGTACAAGAATCAGCCAGAATATTTGCAGCATTTCCGGATGGACAACCCGTTTCGTGACTCTGACCAGCCTTTGTTTTCGCTAATTGGGGACGGGAGTATTCCTCTGACTGCGGTCTTTGAAACACGGGTCCAAGATTTTGTGGTAGAGGTATCCTCGCCATCCACTAGACAAATTGTCGGCAAGGTCAGGATGTCATTGGAACCCTCGTTAGCAGAGTCCCCACCTTCCACCATCAAATTCAACATTGTCATGCGTGACTTAGTGGGATTCGCTGAACACGAGGGCACACAAGTCCATGCCCAGATGACAGTCCTGGGGACTGAGGACGAGAGCGTGGCCACCACCCAACCCGTCCATGGCTTCGGCGATGGACCTGTACGTTTTGAGAGCATTCACAACCTGAGCATCCGTCAATCAGGGGAGAAATCTGCAATCCTGAAGATCGCCATTTTTGCTCAAGTCAGCTCGACCCATCTCGATAAGCTGATCAGCTGGGACGAGCTTCGTGAAATGAATGAACAACCTCCCGATCATCAACCTGCTCATCGCCTGCCAGAGTCTGAATACAGTGTTGAAGAACGGCATGACGTTTTTGCAAAAGTCCAGCTCCTAGAACTAGCAGAAAACGGCCAGTATATGCCAGTAGAAGTCCTACAAAGCAACGCAAACGATAGCGGAGCGTTCCAGCTGCATCAGGGACTCCAACGTCGAATCTCCGTCAATCTGACGCACGTTCTGACGGAATCTCTGCCTTGGGACGACCTGAAGTCCTTGCGGGTCGGGGAAGTTCATCAACTAGATTCGTCCGGGCGTGTCGTCGATATTGCCTCAGTCACACCTGATATCCTTCTCAAACAAATCCAAGAACCCATGATCAAAGACAATGCCGATGGCACCTCGAACATCACCATCGTGGGACAATGGGACAGTTCGCTACACAAAACCCTTCTGCTCGACCGTGCCACGAACGAAAACTGCAGAGTCCAGATCTCACTGCGCTGGGATGTCATCTCCAACCGTCTCGGGCACGATCAGCCGATGACATTCTCCATCGACCAACAGTTACAAATCTTGCCGCGATCTTACGTCCGCCCGCAGTCTCTGTTCAAATCCTTCTGGAGCCAAACACGGGTCACTCACGCTACAGATGGACTATTCTCAATTGTTGTACGACCAGTCAGTGCAAAGAGAGCAGCCGATCTCTGGCGTCTGGATACTTCAAAGAACTACATTAACGGCGAAGAACTTCTCGGTAATTGGCAACCAAGAGGGATTTCGTTAGTGAAAGACTACCTGATCGCCCGAAGGAAAAGGCGTCAATTGGAGGACATCGAATCTGCAAAAGCCTCGTTGGGATTGCGTAGATTGAGTGTAACCACACACAAATCCAGGTCTCGTGCAGCATCACCTTCTACGCCGGATACCAAAGAGGAGGAACTTCTGCGTAAGTATCTCGCGATCTGGATGAAGCCGAGTGCGGAGATGAAGAATCCCATCTTCGATGATGCCGACGAGAGCGTGCGATTCCCGGCATCACCTACCCCGTTGACTGAGACCTCGCGATTGCCGTCGACGCGGTATCGAGCCACCGTCTCCCACGTGCCCAAGAACACTGTGTCCCTAAAATCAGGTTATCTTCTCATGCCCTCGGAAACCTACGAATCCCCCGGCTCCGGCAATCATACCAATACCATGCAATGGAAACGACGCTTTGTTGATCTACGTCCTCCTTATCTTCTCATTCAATCCGTCCCTGACGGCGAAGGAGTCAACGCGGTAAACCTCACGCACGCACGAATCGACCACGATCCCGACTTCAAGCGCTTACTTGGCAGTGGATCATCCATTGTGCATGAAGGCACCGAGTTCTCGTCGGGAGAGCGGTGGGGTCATAGAAGGACAGGCAGCAATGCGGAACTGCATGGTCTAGCGCACGTATTTGCTGTCTATGGCGAGCAGAACACCTTCCTGTTTGCAGCAAGAAGCGAGAGTCAGAAAGTTGAATGGATCCTGAAGATCGACCAGAGTTACTTCGCGGACGATGAGGAGCAAGATCAAGTTGAGGTCTAAGATACCAAATCTTCGGCGATCCCAGGGCGATGGACAGCGTGGAAGGCTTAAAGGATGCGAATTAGATGCAAATCTGAAATCTGAACAGATGGGTGGGGAGGTTATCTCCATATGAATGTGATTTCATGCGAATTGAGCACGAAACAATGACTTGGACGTGGACTGAGCAGCGCGATTGTAGATCTGAATTGAGATACCCCTCGGTTATTATCAATATCCTTTTTCCAATGTATCACTCGTCGTCACTTGTAGTGGGGGTACCTGACTTGTGGCGATCTGGTCAGCACCGGGTTTTTGGATGGATTGCATGGGCGGTGGCCACTTACAGATGCCTGGGCACCCGCCTGCCAACACACGCTCACCGAGAACCCCTTGACGCTCTGAAGCCCAACACAGGTGGTTAGAATGACCAAGCGGCCGCTCTTGCGTAGTCGGCAGTCAGTATCATTGCATGGAAATCGACGGCTGAGCTCGAAACAGAAAGGCGTCAGAGCGAAGAACAACGAGAACACGGCCATTGTCGACCAGATAATGGTGGCGATTGGGCAGTCAGTCATAGCCTTTTCCCCAAGATGATACACGATGCCAGCTAATAGTACAGAGGAGGGTGACGGATGAAGTCGCCCACAGAAGCCAAAAAGACGCCGAGAACAGTCAATGCCAACGTGATCACATTGAGCATCCCATTTTCTGAGTTGCTTTCTGGTCTGTGTCCATGTAGCCCCGCACGGTGGCCTCCCAAGTATAGTCGTCCAACGAGTGCTTGCTGCTTGGTGTTGTTAAGTGGTGATTGCATGCGGAGCGCTAACTGCTGCAGAAGCGACATTGGTATTGGGTGTTGGCGGAGAAATCATCGAGACGACACCAGATGGGCCTGATGCATGGACTGGGTGGGCGCTGCGGTGTGCCTGCTGGAAATGATACCAGTCTGATGGGAGCAGCAGGAGGAGCGGATCGAGCAGTCGACAACGGCGTAGCGCTTGCCACGGATGTCATGTAGCTGCGCTGTTGCTTGATGTCATTGAATGGGTTAGTGCATTGTGGGAATCGTTTCTGGATTCTGATTCTGTTCGAAGAATGACTTCATCGACGATGAGATTGTAGTCTGGGGGGTGGTGTGCAAGTGCCAGTCGCCTTGTATGAGAAAACGCGAGGCAGAATGAACCCCATGGCAACGAGTCAGCCTGACAGCCTAGCGACAGTCGGTTCAAAAAAAAAATAATAAATAAATAAATAACTGAGAAGGTGGAACCCATCGACATTCGTCAATCATGGTGCGTAGTCGAGCCTTACAGCCGATATATAAGAGAGGGCCAGACACGGGTGCCATGATCTTCTCGATCGCAAGTCTTGGTGCTCAGCTTTCCCCACAGTCTTGAGTAGAATTGAGCAGGTGCACTTGGAATGCTCGAAGCCCACCAAGGGCCTTCAATATGCGTCTGCCACTTCATGGTTCGGAGGGAACAATACCCTAGCGGGACATTGAAACTTGCACCCGGATACCAAGGCAGCGAAGTCTTGGCTGGTAGCGGAGGCTATGGGCGGTATAGTTAGTCCCTCCGTTCTCTTCTGTCTAGATGATTCGTCTGCCGTATTGTGCCACAAAGACCGATCTGGTATAGACCTAAGTTGTGCTCGGTGGTCCTGGAATATATGCGGTTGATGGGCCCTCGGCGCCTCGCCATTGTTTTTATGTGTCCTGTCGGTGACTCGGGCTGTTCGCCGGGATGGGATTATGTAAGTTGTTGGTCAGCCGGTCTTGGCAGTTCTCACTCCCTCCGTCTTCTTATTTCATCTTGTCCTCTTTCCTTCGTCGCTTTCTCGTTTTGACGACTATTCGTGTTGGTCATCATCTTGCGTTTCCTATTGTCATTTTCCAATGTTCGGAACGGCACCTCCGTGGGCGTAGCACAGACTGTTGATATTCCTTGAGCTGGGCCTGGGACTGGATATTTTTGGATGTCATGTTGGGCATTACCAGCCGCACCTACAGCAAGCAGTCACGTACCAGGGTCCAACAGGACGGATCGCATCTCCAGAGAGCCGGTGACAACATCGCATTCGCGAATCCCATCACAATTGGGGTTGACAGCGGCCGGCCGGGCGCGCCTTGATGGCTGTCGAGGGTTGTGTCTGCTCACTTCCGTCCCCTCTGAGCCAACACCAATGTCCATTTGACTCGGTCAAGCCTTGGCCGGCATGCCGCTCTTGCATTGGATCGACAAGGAGCTGTGACAGCGAAGCCACATGTAAGGGGAATCGGGATGCTTGCACATTCCTCTCACCTTGTACCGAGCCCATCAGGCTGAACAGGTTCCACCTTCACAGGTAATTCCTAAGTACAGCAAGGTTTGTGCCATTGTATTCCTCTTATAGCCGCCCGAGAGGTCATTTATTGACATCATCCATCCCTCTCCCTCCTCTCCTGTGCTCCCTACAAATCCAAACCCCTCCCTTTCCATCGCAAGGACGGCCACAATACTTTCCTCCAAACCCTTTCTCGAACCCATTTTCATCGCTTCCAGTATGCCACGCCAGTTCCCACCCTTCTCAGCCCAACGACTCAAAATGTCCACAACCGCAAATACAGGCTCGCCTTCCAACAGCCAAAACCACCACCACCACCACCACCACCACCATCTTCCTCGCAACAATGACCCCGATCGAGACATTCTCTCACGTCGGGCCCGCACAAAGAACCATGTCATCGCCATGATTGGTGAATTCGTGGGCACTACCCTTTTCCTCTGGTTCGCCTTTGCTGGCACCCAAGCCGCAGCTATTACGGGCGGAGGTGTAGCAAATACGCCGACTCAAGTTACCTTGACGAGCTTGGCTTTTGGCTTTTCGCTTCTCGTCACCGTGTGGGCTTTCTACAGGATCTCTGGAGGATTATTTAATCCAGCTGTATGTCTCTTTGCATCGCTGCGAAAATTTCATTGGCGCGCTTTGGGAGACTGACCAAGGAACCAAAATAACATCAGGTGACCCTCGGCCTCGTCATAACCAAGAATCTCCCTGGGGTGCGCGGTCTCCTTCTCTTCCCTGCTCAAATTCTCGGCGGCATCGTCGCCGCTGCCCTCGTAAGATGCATGTTCCCGGGTCCCTTGGTCGTGGGCACAGTGCTTAGCAACAACACTACGCCAGCCCAAGGCGTCTTTATCGAAATGTTCCTCACCTCGCTCTTGGTGTTTACCATCCTCATGCTCGCCGCGGAGAAACATTACGCCACATTCATGGCTCCCGTGGGAATCGGCCTAGCGCTGTTCGTGGGCATGATGGCAGGCCTCCCGTACACGGGTTCCTCCATGAACCCGGCACGAAGTTTCGGCCCTGCGATCGCAGCCCCCTATTTCCCAGGGTATCATTATATTTACTGGTTTGGACCGATCATGGGCGCCCTGCTGGCTGCCGGGTACTACCACTTTGTTAAATATTTCCGATACGAAGAGGCGAATCCGGGTCAGGACGCTGTTAGTTCCAAGGAGAAGAGCAGAGATGAGGAGAGGGGGCCCTCAACAATGAACTGACTTCCAGCATTAAATGGCATGGGGCAAGCAGGCACAGAGGAGGGGGAGGTGGGGGGGGGAACCAAAACTGAACTGAACTGTACTCCGTGGAAAGCGGAAAGGATTTGGTCTATGCTATACTGGTCTATTTTGGATCCCAGCAATGAAAAAGTGGACATTACTGGTGTATGACATGCACGGAGTAATATCCGTTTGGACGATGAGGGAAATAGCAACGTAGGAGGGGAACAAGCGACAGCGACCAATGAACGGAAGAAAATGCAAGCCTCAGGTCGACTTCCTGTGCATGAATCTTTTGGTTTGGCTGCGACGGGTCTGATCCCCACAGACGTGAGTGGATGAATGAATGAAGGGATGAACTACAGCTTCTATAACGGGCACATGCTTGAAGTGGAAAACTGCCGGTTGATTTTTGGACATGTTAGATGGATATTGAACCTATCTTCGGCGGCGGATGCCACACGGCAAATTCTACATAAGCCGTAGGGACTTCGCACAGTTCTTGCCGCGTCGATTGAAAACTTTTCGTCTTCCCTTCACCGTTTTGGAAAAAGCAAGAGCAGGAACAAAAGCAGAATACCACTCTCTCGTGTTGGCCGAGGAAGTCTAAGCTTGCTCTTCCAAGGCCCTTTGGCATTGCAGTGTCGAGTAAGCCACAATGCCTGGGACCAATCCCCAAAACTGTAGGACTCCCGCCGCTATACATACCGCTGGATGGTCGACGGCGTCCAGAGCCACGATTTCGCCTGATGTCCATTTTCCTTCTCCTTCTTGTTATTGCCTGGACTCGGCGAGGTCCCATCCTCGCGTTGATCCAACTCTGACTTCCAACCAATTTCCACGCTATGCTTCCTTCGAATAGGGACCCAGCAATCCGAAAGGCGTGCAGTCCGTTGAAGACCATGGCCGGCTTTTCTCTCCCACACCGACATATCGAAGCCCACACACTCCGCCGCCCGTGGTGTAAATGGATCTCTTCAAAAAGCCCTACCGCCTCCCCAGAGAACGACGTGAAATGTTTTCAAAAATATGTCCTCTCTGTTCCTGTCCTAACTCCAGATCCAGTCACTTGTATCATCATAAAGTCTTTTGTCGTAAATCGTAATTTCATAGTGCCAACAGTGCGCCCGCATCTTCAACAGTCTTATTCAGAGCCCCCAGCCTCCTTTCTATCTTCGTGCCAAATCTTCTGTACACCATTTTTGACTTGTCGGTCATAACTTTTTCACAGGCCGTCGCTTTATGCCACGGTGATCTTTTACGTCACTAACGCCGTAACCATTCGAACTTTTTTCTAGGATCAATTCCGGTCTGTTGTGGTTCAACCTGTACACTTCGGTCGTATAACTCACTTCGTGGGTCTGCAGAATCCTGTTGTACGCAGTTAGAACAAGTCGCAACGCATTAAATAAGTCAAGCATCTCACCTCTGACTCCTCCAGGATCTTGGTTTCTAAGATCAACTTGGTTATCTCGTCGGTCCGAACGGACCTTGGTGGGAAGCTGTAGGGATTTTCGAGGCTTCGCTGGATGCCCACGATGACGTCTCCCATGATCTCAAATTTCCTCCAGTTTATGTTCGTTCCTATAAAGGTCTTGTTTGCTGAAGCAGCCATTGTAAGATCTTGCCGGACAAGTGGGAGAAATGGGATTCTCTCCCCGGGGGAATTGTCCCAGGCCATTCGATATGCAGCGTGGGATCTTGATATTCCCATGAGAATTGTCAGTCTCAGAAATTGCTTCTGAACCTCCGGCGGTACCATATCTCGGGTTGCAGCTAGTCGAGCAATCTCATGGCCAGTGATGCCCGCCACGATAGCACCGAGGGAGTTGTAATTATTCATTTGCCTCACTTTCCATGCCAACGCCATAAATTTCTCCAAGGCTCTTGCGCGGTGTTTTGGCTTGTCTCGGAGGAGGATCATGCCGGAAACAAATAATGCCAAATGGTTGAAGTTTTTCACCATCGCGCCGATGTTATCGGCTGAGCTGCATTTTCTTTTCTGTGACGTTGAAAGAGAGACATGTCGAACAAAATCCCGAGGTCTGATCGCCGAGTACACTGTCCAATCGATTCGGGTGATTTCCCTGGCAAGATCATCGAGGGTGCTTTCCATAAATAGATGCCATTGAAACTTGCTGAGGCGGAAACGAGGTATTGGCTTGAACCTCTCAGCTTCCAATTTTGCGTTTTCCAATTGTAGAAAGTTCGCATATGACTGACTGGATGGATTGCTTGATCTGATCATGCTGGAAGATGCTGAAGGCACATTGGATCCGCGTGCAGACGAATTCGTCCCGTCTAGATCGTCTTCACTGCCGTCGTCTTCTCGTTGTCGCCTGCGACTTGATTTCGTGACATTCTCTGTGCTTGGAGACGGAACCAGAGTCGACGACGTGCCCGTTTTGTGGTGACTGCTTGCACCACTCTTTTTGCTCGACGGAGAGGGAGAATCATCGAAGGCCCAATCTAAATCTTCATCCGGAATGACGGTGTCCAAGTTGTTGCTGATCTCTCTGGCAGCAGGGGCGAACACCTTGCTCTTTTCAATGCTTTGCACAAAAGGAATAGCAATATCACGAGCAGGACCTGGAGAAAAGTCTCCGGGGTATGTGGCAGTCCATTGAGCCAGTACCTGCAGGTAGCGAAGCATTTCTGCGACTTTGGTGAAATGAACCATCTTACTCTGTTCCACCTTCATGAATTGGTCGATGATGGCGGAAAGCAACTTTTGTGGAGTTGCAAAGGCACGGTACAGACACAAAAAGGAGGGGACGAATTTGGAATCCGTCTTGCTGGTAGGCAACAAGAGGAGCTTGTCCACCAGTTCTTGGAACGGGATCCCGCGCTCTATATTGGAATTTTCATCAATGTTTAGACTGCCCAAAGGAGGGCCCAAGGCTTCCACTTCTGTTCGGGGCGAGAGGTCATGTGAATCTTCGTCCATGTTTAGGAAGGTTTGATAAGCCCGGCTGTCAACGGTGGACGTCGACTCAGGACGAAGCATTGATTTTACAAAATAAGAATCGGGTGTTTCGGGTACTGCTGTTGTCGAAGTCTCAAGAGGAGACATCAATTTGCTGGTATATTCACCAGAAGATATTGGTGTATGGGGTTCTGCTGGCCGGCGCCGAGATTGAGGAACAGCTGTTGTATCCACTCTGAGTTTGGTCTTGCGACCGGCCGGGGCTACATCCTCCGCTTCCGAAGACTGGCTATATTCGTTCTCGGATTCGATAAGTGCTTGTCGCACTGAAAGATTCAGCAAGAACTCCTTGGATTTGGACACTTGCAATCGACTATTGGATCGACTTCGGCTTCTTGCTGTCTTTGGGGATGGATCCCTTGAGACGACGCGCTGACTGCCCGAAGATTCTGTGGAGGTGTACGACGACTTACTCGCTCGAATAGATGCTGTATTCTTGTCAGCCATAAGGTCACAATTTGTAGAGAGACGCGGGCTTGGGCGTGAGGGTCGGGCCACGAGGTCATGGTTGTGGAGCATCATAATGTGGAAGCTGGATGAGGGATGGGCGAAGCCAGAGTGACAAGATTGGGGGCATCAGGGCTCAGAGGAGACGAAGTGTTTTCGAATCCGTTGTGCAAGACAAGCTCAATGTTGATCTGGGCTTACCTCGCGGAGAGGCAATGACTCGATGGATCATTGCAAGAAAGCACTGCTTGGTATTCTCAGGAGATCTGAGGGAAATTTCGGCAATGGCAACCTTGGCAAGGTTGCGACGAACAGTCTCGTGGAATCGTGGACTGATCTGACGAGATTCGTCCCTGACGTCGCATTTGGCGGCAACAAGCATACAAGGCACGCCAGTATTGGTCATGGAGGCTTTAGAGACGTTGTTAGCTAGAGACCGATCTTGATTTGGAAGGACAAATCTGCTGAGGACCGACGGGGGGGAAGGGTCGTCACGATCTCTCGTGGATAATACTCACTCAATGCAGCCGGTACATCGGCGACGCTTTCCTTATCAGAGACGTCGTACAGACAAAACACACCATCGACTTCGGGCAAAGGAGCCCCATTCAAGTATGGTGGCCATTCGATTCTTCGCTCGCTACTGAAATCGACATCCTCAAAGAGCAATTCGAAGAGCTGGATCCGATAGCACCTGTCCTTGATGAGGACTTCAGTCGAAGCACGAGACCGCTCTTTCCCGACAGCGTTGCGAATAAAGGTAGATTTGCCCGAGTTGCGTGAGCCCAAGACCAGCAAGTTAATGGACGAGCTCGATTCAGAGTCACTTGGCTAAGACACAAACCGAGGTCAATATAGCTGCCGAGGATTAGAGCTAAGAAATGGGCCAGACCCAGACGTACCTTGGTCGGTAGCTTCGCCTCGAGGGAATAGCCAGAAAGTTGATGGCGGTCTGAGCGTCGGGTGTTTGTGGCACGGTCTGGAGAGGTCAAAGAGTCACCGCGAGCATGGGGTTTGGAGCTTCGGTGGCTGGCATCTGAGGTTCTGGCAGCGGCTGATGGACGCCTTTGATGTTGGTCTTTCCGTCGATCAACCGTGGGGGCCGAGTTGTGTCGTTCCCTGGCTCGAGGCGGTGGCTCAATGCTCTTCGCATCGAGGGATCGATACCTCGTGGAACGGGAATCCATGGATTTGGGGGGCTGGAGGGGGTCAAGTGGCAATCATTGCATAGCTACTGGCACCACTGGTAAGGGATGATAGACTGGCTCAGGCTCAGGCTCAGGTTGGTCCTGCGAGAATCCAGTCGATGCAAACGGATGACGAGCAGAAAGCTGGAAACTGGTGGAGGTCATGGATTTCTGGGACATCAAGACACCAAGTCAATGGGTCTCTGGGACTTTGTGATGGGCTAGCGGGGAGTCGGGAGGAGATGAATGTGGTTAGCGGGCCAACAGAGCTCCGTGTCGAGGAGAGATATGTGAAGGAGGACTAGACGAATCGAGCAGGTGGGAAGTGAGAAGTCGTGATGATTGTGTGTCTGTCGGTTTCAGGTGATCGTAGTGAGCGTGGTTCCTCCACCAGGCGTGTGGAAATGAACGAGCGTGAAGAAAGTCAGGGTCTGTGTGAGCAGAAGCGAGTGTCGATCGAGGCAGGATTGGGATTGAGAAGAAAAAGATGAGGTCTAGCACAGTCCTCCGGAGGGGATGAGCGGAGGGTGGATATCTGAGAGGCCCGAGGCTGGGTCAACGGTGGAGAGGGCAATCTAGCCTGGCGGGTTGAGTTCGAGATAGGTTCTGGGCCCAAAGGAAGGGGGAGGTGGCTGGATCCAAACCGAGTGAAGTTGAGGGTGAGGTAATATAGGGATTGAGGGTGGACGAGTCTGGGAAGGAGATGGAGGAGAAGAAGCAGGTAGAAATACGGAGTACAATGCTACTCAAGGGTTTGGTAGCTAGGTACCGGGTAGGGGAAATTGAAACTGCTGGAGAGGTTTGGCGGAGAGAGTGTCTCGGGCACAAGAGAGAGAGAGAAAGAGTGGACGAGCAGTTGACAGTTCGGCCCCATGTGAAAAGGAACTGATGGCTCCGAGCACAAGTGACAGTTCGGCCTCTTGTTACTGCCAGGCACAAGAGAACAAGAGGAACAAGAGGTTTGATGCAGGAACTACGTGGTAGGTGATGCATGAAGCGGCACCAGCGGGCAGGAAGCTGCAGGAAGCTGCAGGCTTGCGGTTCCGCGGACTGGCGTAGGCGTCGGTTGACGCTGGTTAAGACGCTTTCAGGCGCATTAGGCGGTTTAGGCAGTTTAGACGGCCGATATGCAAGCAACCCCCCAGTTGCGGCTCTAGCGGCTGCCACAAGCTGCGACTGGCGCTGCTCCCGCCGGCCGCCACCATGCACGATCATCCTGCTCTTGACGACCTTGCAGACCTTGCAGACCTTGCAGTTCAGTGTTTGAAATTGCTCGAGTTGGAAATTCACCCTGCTCCCATCATGTGTGTAAAAAGTACTCGGTACTGGGCTCGCAGGGTACCTCTGTAGCTGTATTTCCGACTGCATGTCGTCACAGTGAGAGAAGCGCGAGAGTACTCCCGTGCTGTGAGTAAGACTGGGTAGTCTCTACCCAGTACCACACTACGCACACTATCACTCTCAACTTATTTCACTTCACTTTCACTTCATTTTCACCTCCCTCTGCCAACACTTCACTTACCCACTATACCCTTTCCTCGTCTTTCTCGTATATGCACACATACATCATCACCTTCGCCCTCCCCTTCCACAACCTCCCTAGGCAGGTATGTAAGTACGATTATTCACCTCGCTGCTAAAAGGCTTCTTTCGACCTTGCAGCAGCTAGTGAGCCCGACACAACAGTCTATCCTGGTCAGGGGCCACCCAAGGCCATTCGAACTTGCAATCCCTTCCAAGCCCTTCCCACAAACCACTCCACTCTCCCCTCTCCACTTTCCCCAACACCCCTTTACCGTTGGTCCACTAACCCTTAGTCTTTGGCAGCTGCTTTTTGACACTCACGCTTTTTCTCTTTGTGTTTCCAATCCCCTGACGAAGCTATTAATTGAAGAGATGGCTATGGAATCATGACTCTGTTGAAGGCACTCTTTGCAAGCCTCGTCCCAATCTCATAAGAGGGCGCCTAGGTAAGGAGGTAATGTGATACCTCTGCGGTTGGCTGACTGGCGGGGGGTTTTCCCTTCCACCATTGACCGACGATGTCCGGCAGTTTTACGAAGAACCTTTTGCGATCTCGGGACGGTAGAGCGAGCGTTCTGGATTTTCTGTGCCCCTCTTCGTCTTGGTCCATGTCACTCTGAATACTACCGAGCACCCCAATGCTACATACCTATAGTACTGGATACCACCCAGCACGACTAAGTCATCTCTGTCGACACTTCTCTACTCGTACTCTCCTCAGTCGAGTGTGAATCATGTCTCTTTGCCGCCCCGCCAACGAGTCTATCACCAATTTTCAAGCCACCCGCTTCCTGTTTTAGACGGGAGCCTCAGCTCCTCCGTCATCTACGGCGCCCGCCATGCCCTTTTTGGTGTTATACTCTTACTATGTAGGAACTCTCTCCTTTCCAGCCGTGGGTGGCACCGAGTGATCGAGCTGGAATGAGATTTGGTCATCGCTTTTGGTCGAGCCTCGCTTCACACATTTTGCCGTCCCCCCTTTCGCTTAACTTCGCTCCAGCTCAAAAAGGTGGGTGAGAAAAACGTGGCATTCGGGTGCGCCAACCTCCTTTCAAGTTTCAACACGTCAAGCACATTTCAACATAAAGTGATGGCGACCGTTTCTGTCTCCAGGTGTCACCTACTGTGCGCGCGTTGAGTCCGACGTCTTTCCAAATTTTCATATACCCACACTCAAACTTGGCAATGTCATCCTTGTACTCTGGTGACCATGGGGAAGGAGGCAAGACCAGAGCGAGCACCAAATCTATCGGTCACGCCATGCAGCGGACGCGGGAATGGATGGCAACCTCCCAGACTAGATCTAGCGGTTTGACGGCATCGACTTCGTCACATTCGCCCTTTAGCAGCAAGACCGATGATTTGGATCTTGACTCACTATTCAAACGTCTGGACAAGTATACCGCTGAAATGAAGGAAGTAGAGAAGCGTCTCAAGCGAGCGAGGAGCGTTTCTGAGAAATCCGAAGGAATCAACATCAAGCGTTTCTCCTTTGAGAACAATGATTCTTTGGAAGAGGGGCCTTTGCCGACATTCAAGTCGCCGACCGAGTCATCCTCTTCCAATGAGCTAACCCAAGCACAAATGGCCAGCGACGCGGCCAGCGACACGACTTCTCCAGAACAGGCGCTGCCCACTCCTATTGCCGAAGCCAACCCCCAGACCGCTTCAAGCACTAAGAACCCGCCACCTGAACCGGACCAATTGCGACAGGACTCCCCAGCGCCAGTGTTTGGGAATTGGAAACAATGGGCAGAGGAACAATTCTTGCCAACAAAACTAGTCAAGGACCGTTCGAGCAGCAGATACTCAAACAAAGTAAAATCATACTCCAAATCTTCGCGCCAGAGATATCTCTGGAAGAGACAGTCACCGTCACCCCCGTCGAGAGGGAGCCATCACGCATCAAATTCCGAAAAGGGCCAGGTCTTGGATCAGATGCCCGAAGATCGAAGAGAAGACCACCAAGAGCGTCACCAATACGACTTCTCTGAAGGCGACGAACCTGGTCCATCCTTCCCAACATCTTGGATCTTGCCGCCCAGAACTTCAAGCAGGAAAGAAGCCAGTAAGGAGATGATGCAAGAAGAAGCAATTACGCCTCCCAGGCCAACACCTCGCAGGCGGACGACAACAAGCGATGGCCGGCCTTCGATAAGGAATGGTGGATTTTGGTCCGACCAAACTGCTGAACTGTTCGCTCAAGGAGAGGTACCGCCTGTTCCTGCGTTATCCCAATCTAACTCAAATGCGACATTAAAATCGAATCCCCCTCTGACACCTTTGACACTGAGCGATCCGAGAGAAGACCAATTACGCCGAGAGATGGAAAGTTTTGCCATCCGGGACGGACCAGAGACACTCGAACACAGGTACAAGAAGCGAAGGCCTCCCGTGTTGAATTTGTTCGACTCGGATGACGAGAAAGAAGACCAGCAGTCGGTCTCCACAACACTGGAACCGGACAACTTGAGTTTGCTGGAAACGAGCGACGATCGCGGCGCTAGACCTCGAACGCGGCGGCGTAAGAGTATTTTCAGCATCTTCCAGCGGAGGTCGCCGGTTGAAAAGCTGATTGACATGTATTTCGATGACGAGCCAGAGGAGAGGCCGGCCCTCCAAAGAGGGTCAACTCGGTCAAGAAAAGGATCTCCTGTCCAGGAGAAGATGCCGAAAAGCCCAGCAATGCCACCGCTGCCACAAACCCTCCATGGAAAGCAGACATCGCTCTAGGCAGCGAGACTGGCACGATTTGAATCTTTCTCTACCTTTCCCGTACCCAACTCCGCCACTAACTCTGCAAAAGCCATCATGCCTGAGGGTTCAGCCGTATCCGAATCTAGCTGCCGTTCCAGAAGTCGCATAGCACGACCAATACGTTTCTGTGGAGTGTCTTGGGACTTCTGCCCTCGCGAACTAGAGAATGTGGACTGGTCCCTTCCCTGATCGTCTGCGATAGTGATTTCAAAGATGAATTTGAGCTTGTCACGTAAGCTTGGATATTGTTGAAAGAGTTTTTGCAATCTTGGATCGTCCATCAAAAGGTCGCCGAGAGGAATGTCCTCCACTGGAGCCGCCTCTTCTTTCGGGGGCCCAGCGCTCGGGCTTGAAAGATCACTCGCGGTCACGAGCTGGTCACATTGGCTCTTGTGTGTCTTGAAACACGGCAAGGAACAGCTGTTTCAAGCAATGATTAATACCAACAGATGTAATTTTATGCATGAAGTATCGCACCTTGCAGCCCTACATGACGGACAATGATACTTGGAGGTCCGATTTTGACATACGCTGCAAGGCTTCAATGATGACATGGGGCACGCGAAATCTAGTTGCAATCTGATATCGACGGGATAGTTGACCAACTGGAGACAATTAATGCCGGTTTGAAGGGCCAGATACATATTTTGCTCGATTCTGACTGTCGTATAAGTGGCGAGTGGGTGGGTGATGATTGGTCGTGAAAGCTGACTAATTCAGGCTACGCCACGTGACACAGCCTCCCTGTTGCGTCATTCGAAGTTTTCGCTTGGCGCGCTTTTGGAAAGTTCGCTCTTCTGGAACTTGAACTTGGAAACTGCCAACAACACCACAGCATCCTGTATACAAGTCCTGGCTATTTCTGTACCCGAATTTGGACATCTTATTCACAGCTACACAATGCACAACCTTATGCCGTCTCGGTCATTGCGCGCTCTGGCCAGTTTGAGCTCAAAGCAGCCATTGAGGCAAGCCTCTCGGGCGGCTTGCACCCGCCACGTCCACCAATCCGTCCGCATCCCCCCCATTACCTCGTCGCAGTCTCGTCGCCGGCCCATTCTACGGCCGGGACAGCAAAGCACAACCTCGATACCCTCCGCAAGCCGTTCAATCTATATCCAGACACAGCCAACGCCCAATGCGTCGGCGTTGAAGTTTCTCCCCAACCACCCTGTCCTGCCCGAAGGCTTCCCATCCACGTTTCTGGAATACAACTCGCCCCGGTCGACACTGGCTGCTCCGCACCCGTCGCCCCTCGCGGCAAGGCTCCTCGACGTCGACGGCGTTTCATCGGTCTTCTACGGCCCTGATTTCATTACAGTCACCAAAGCAGAGGATGTCAACTGGACGCACATCAAGCCCGAGATCTTCGCGTTGATTACTGAGGCCATAACATCGGGCGAAGCACTTGTGAATACAGTGGAAAAGTCTACGTCTGCGGAAGAAGGACAAGGAGGCCTCGGCGAGGACTCTCTGGCTCCCAACGACGAGGATGACGAGGTGGTGGCCATGATCAAAGAGTTGCTGGAGACGCGCATTCGACCAGCGATCCAAGAAGACGGCGGAGACATTGAGTTTCGCGGCTTTGAGAATGGGATGGTGAATTTGAAACTGCGGGGAGCGTGCCGAACATGCGACTCCAGCACAGTTACGTTGAAGAATGGTATCGAGTCGATGCTGATGCATTACATTGAGGAGGTCAAGGGCGTAAACCAGGTGCTGGACGAAGAGGAAGAGATTGCCATGAAGGAGTTTGCCAGGTTCGAGGAGAAATTGCGACAACCCAAGGGACCGGATGCGGCTCCATCAACCGTGGGTAAAGGCAGTCTCGATTTTGTCGAATGAGATTTGGTGGGTTGAGGATCGGCACTGGTCTTTTTTGGATGTTTGTGTCGACCAATCAACTGGCATCTCCTCGGGGACTGATTGACTGAATGAGTTTTGGTTTCTGTCGATTTTCGAGCAGACGGGGCCCCATTCCAAGATCGCAGGGTGATCCCAGAGGCAACCTCTTCGACCAATGGTTCAATGGTGGTAAGCACGCCGTCACTTGTCAGCATCGAGTTGACGGAAGGCCACGGCCGGCACCGGGGGGCCATCAACGATTTCCGAAGTAATACTTGTGCTTGTAGTGAGGGATCGAGATACAGTAGCTGGGCAGGGCGGAGGCGAGGCATGTCAGGTGGACAGGGCTGTCCGCAATGGTTGCGGCATATATTCGCCATCCGCAGGTGGCGCCATGAATGACGAGGAGGAGACGGGCATCAAGGGTGGTCATGAGAACGCAGCGAGAAGTACGGTACATGGAGTGGTATGTACGAAAGCAGCATAGATCAGGGCGCACATGTTCGTGCATACCATAGTCATAACAGACTCTGGTCTTCCCCGCAAAATGCTGAATTGTATTCCGGTAGCTTGATGCAAGTCAATACCAGGACGAGGTAGAGTGCTGATGGATGGCCTTGTGGCACGATGGCTGTGTGGGAGACATCTGGAGACATCTCGATCCTCGTGCCCGTGGCTGCCCGTGCCCGCCAGTGCCAGCGGCCACCGACTACCGTCTTTCCAGTGTGGTGCCAGGCCTCAACGGCTGGCAACCAGTGCTTGGATGCTGTTACCCAGTACACAACCCTTGTTCCCTGGGCTAAGACAGCCACTGGCCACGGCTATCCGGGGGCTTGTCAGGGCCATCCTCCCGCATCCCTGGTTGGCGGTTCGGTGGGGGTTCCATTGTTCTTGGTTTCTTGGTTTCCGTCACGTCTTCACACCTTTCTGCACACCCTCTTCCATCACCATTCACCATCCTTTGACCCTCTTGATCTTGCCCATCTTGCCATCATCCCTCGGTCGCCTGCTCTCACCCCTCCTTGTCTCCTCTTCTGCCTCCTTCTCCTCTCTTCTCAACAACTAACAAGTACCCAGTAGGGAGGAGAGGTCACCCTCTGGGCCCACCCCCGCTTTGCCCAAAACTCAAAGGCTGGTTCTGGCTTCTGGCTGCTCGTCGAGTCCTCCCCGCCTCCCAACCTTGTGGAACTCGACTTGCCTATTCCGTGTTTGCTGGTTCATGGCGTGATGATGTCCATCTTGTCCATACCAGTACACGCACCATGATCAAGGGCCCAAGCCACAAGGTTCACCGCGTGGTTTGAGGGGGCCTGGTGCCCATGTTGGCACACTAGCCCCCTCTCCAGCTAACCGTGACTAACAGAACCGCTCCAAGCACAGGCTGGTGAGCCTACCCGTACCTAGTGAGCAGCTAGAACGCCCTGTTCGGGTCGAGAGCCAACGCCTTCATCCATCCTGTGTTTCTTCTGTGGTTTTTTTTTTTTTTTTTGCTTTTTTGCTTTTCGGCTTTTCGTAACAATCATCCTCCATCGTTGCCCTTGTCGCCGTCGCCGTCGCTCTTCGTATCACCTGCTGGGCGCTTGTTTGTTTGCTACACCCTGTCCTCCTACCCAGTACACTGCAACACTCTGCTCCCTACCCCTCGCCATCTACCGAGTAAAAAGCATCTGGTCGCAATTTGATCCATTGATCATCGCCCAGTCGAGTCTAGAGTCTAGACAGCGAGGGCCAGCCCCAGGGTCGCCGAACCTCTTCTCCCCCCCCGCCCGCTTAGACCATCACCATCAGCACTTCCCGCCTTTTGCCTCTCTTCATTCCCTTCCCTTTCAACTACTACTCTTTGGACTCCTCGCTCCTCGGACCTCGCACCTTGCAGCCCTCCAACGAGCAAGACGGAGAAACATTGTGGTCGCGTGAGAAACTAAGCGAAAAGCCTGTTGATCATAATCCGGGGAAGGCGGCACATCAGTCTTTTCTTAGCTGTGAACCCCGTCCTTGTTCTTGTTCTTGTCCCTCACCCTTGCCCTTGCCCTCCGTCTGTCTCTTGTCTGTTCTCAGACCCGCCATCTCTTGCGCCCTCCATCTCTCTCGGATTGCTCCGCCTGCTGTTCGTAGTAAGTGAAAGGACCCATTCAACATTTACCACCCTCCCTTAACAACACCATCACCCGTCATCCATCACCACCACCATCAACCCACTTCATCTCTTCCCACCCGGCCAGGCACACACCCTGTTGCTCTCTTTTCATTTTTCCCATCCCCATCAATCACTTTCTGCCGTCTGGTGACAAATATCCTGCCCTTCTCTGTCCTTGACAGCTCTGCCACAAACCTCAGACAGTCACCTGACTCTTCCAGCCACTTGCCGGGGGCGCGGGCCGATAGGTGTTGTGGTTGTTAAGGGCCAAATCCCGAACTATTCGCCGACAGCGACGTCCTGCTTTGTCGACCACGCCACCAAATCCCCTTTACGGTATTCAACAGCCGTTGCGCAAACCAACCCGAAACCACTCGCTCTCCGTCTATACTCTCTTCCGGCTTGTCCCAGCAGGTCCCACAGTCTTCCAAGACGGAGTGTTGGTCCGGCGGCGCGGGCGCGCCCCTACTCAACTCATCGCCATACTCCGATATGTCAAGTCAGATCGCCAACATCTCCATGTCTCTTCTATAGCAATAAGGTGAGTCGGAGCTTTCAGCCTTCATCATCATCCATCATCATCCATCATCAGGTTCGCTTTGAAATGGTCGTGTCGGTGTGTTGCCGTGAGTCCTGTGGACTTGCATTTGGATCGTCGTGGGTGAGAAGCTCGAGGCCTCTGAGGTTCTTCCTCCTCCCCCTCATCTCGCTTCCCCTATCACAAGCTAGAACTTTTGCTTTTTTTCCGTCAATATTCCCCCGAGCCTGATTCCAAACGTTCTAATTCTCAAAGTCTTTGAACCCGACAGTTTGAGCTGACTCCCAGGTGAGAGAACAGCGTCAACCCATGTCTCATCTGGCGTTGCCACCCTCACCCATCATGACCAACACACCCACCAAATCGGGTCTGACGACTCGCGCGCCTATGCCGGCATTCGGAACCTTTGGCACGCATCAAGCATCTGCATCGCTCTTACTCCAGAAATCAAATCCGGGCTTGGGCAGATCGACCCCCGATTCTGAGGCTCTGGCTTCCTCAGACGACGAGCCTGACCACGCAAAGGCTGCCGCTAGTGGCAACGTCAAGCCCAATAGAAACGTGCGAAGGACCTCATGGCTCAACGACGTCTCGTCGGCCAATGCGAATCGCAAACCCTCCATCACTGGTCCCTATAGTCCGTCCACGTCGCATCCGGGAACCCCTGGTGCAGAGCCGTCGCCCTGGGGGAATGCCAATAACGCTGCAGGTTCCGCAGCATGGCCCAACCCCACGACATCGTATCCTTGGCCCACCATCTGGAGTCAGGATGGTCGCAAAGACCCACCGGCCCGACTCCAGGAGGTCCTGCACACGAATGGTGACGGCGGCATCCCATTCTCGATTCCTCTGCAGCCGACCCCCAAGACTTACCGCTCACAGTCATACTCTGTGGGCCAACTCGACACGACCAGTGCTCCGCCGGCTAATCCGATATCAACTTCGATTGAAGCCACGCGCAGCAGGCTCGGCAATCAATATCAATTGCAGAGACGAACGTCCAGGACAAGCGGACTGGGCGTGTTGGAGTCCGGTGGGCTTGGCCGCTTGCGAGAGGTAGAAGATGACGAAGAAGATCAGCAAGGCCATGCCACTCCCGATGCTATTAGTGCTGAACAGGCGCGAATGATCGAGAGGCTGGAAAAGGAGAACGCTCAGCTTCGGCATGCTGCTCAAAGCCGAGAGAGGGCTTTCCCAGCGACGACCGCCACCACGGCCCCGGTCCAGCCTCCTGGATTTCGAAACACGAGACTTCGAACCGCTGTACCCGAAGAAGCCGAAACCGCGATCGATGATAGAGAAGACCTCACCGGATTTCCTGGTCGTGACAACAACGCCCGTCGCATGAGTGAACAAGCGCTCGGAGTCGCCGAAAGACAGTCGCTGTCGCCCATCGAAAATCGTACCTTTGACGGAATCAAGAAGGCACACTGGCAGACTTCCCTTGGATTCGGTCCCATTCCAGAAGCGCCCCAGAGTCGTCGACATTCGTTCGCTGATGTGCCAACCCGCCACGGATCCTTCAGCTCGAACGGTGAGCACACGCTGCAAATGTTGCTTTTACAATTCCCCGGGGCTAATTGGTTAGGTCGCGAAGACGATGCGACGGCGTATGAAAGCGGATCCCAGGCACTATCCCAAGGAGATGATCGTAAGTTGGCCCTGGCCCTAGCTCTAGCCCTGATGAATCCGAACGAGGATCAGATGAATAATACGTACTTACGTGATCGCCACTTTGCAGCTGCGTACTTCAACACCACCGAGTCCACTCGACGTGCTGCGGACGCCCGAGTCCACCAGCACCACCGCGATCCCCAACTTTACGGACAGCATCTCGGTGTTGGACCGTACCTCGAGCCCGCCGCACAGCCGCTCTTCATCGTCAACTTCAAATGTTGTCGCTCGGATGTCTTCTACATCCAAGAGGGAACCGGCCTCCATGTCAATGTCGGTGACCTTGTCATTGTTGAGGCAGATCGAGGCACTGATCTTGGCACCGTTCAACATACAAATGTAACTTGGGAAGACGCTCGACGGTATAAAGAATATTATGCCGAGGAACATTATAAATGGTTGATGATGTTCTCCTTGCAAAGTCGAAACGGTGGACCCAACGTCGTCAATCCCAACGGCATCCCCGGTAGACATGGCAGCGCAGTGGGAGGAATGGGCCCCCAAGGTCATCATGGTCCTCACGACTCTGGCCCCGATCTCAAGCCAAAGATGATCAAGCGTTTGGCCCAGAACCACGAAATTCAAGCACTGAAGGACAAAGAAGGCAATGAGGCTAAAGCCAAGCGGGTCTGTCAGCAAAAAGTTCTCGAGCACCGATTGAATATGGAGATTCTTGATGCCGAGTTTCAGATGTACGTCTCAAACCGGAATGTGCTGTAACGTATCACTAACACCATCTAGGGACAGCAAGAAGCTCACATTTTACTACTTTGCTGACAACTACATCAATTTCAATCATCTGGTCACCGACCTCTTCAAGATCTACAAGACTCGGATCTGGATGTCTGCCATCAATCCTGCGTCTTTCCAGACTCCCACCGCTTCGCTTGGCATCCAGCCTGTCTATAGCACAGCTCCCGGTGACGAGCGCCATCGGAGACGGCAGCAACAGGCACAGCAACCCCATAACCTCGGTCACCAGGCCGTTACCACGCCGTTCGGAGACACGTTCGACGCAGATCGAAACTTCAACCACCAGAATCAGGGAATGCGCAATGCTTTCTATAATCAATTCCAGGACGTTGGGGCTGGACCTCAACAAATGCAACCGGGGGTATCACCGTTTGCTCCGAACATGCAAGGCCAAATGGATCCGTTCATGTCCTTTTACGGTCAACCGTTTCCCACCCTCAATCCTAATGCCCCTAATTTCGCCAGCAGCCGGCCGGACTTTAGAGGAAGAGCACCAAACCAACCCGGTGATGTCAACTGGATGGGACGATTCCAAGGTCTCTCGCTCGGTTCTTAAGTCAGGATATGGTACCTAATATACAGGCAACGGACGACGACACTTCTCCAGAAACTTATTTCGGACGACTTCTTGCATATGATGACCGGATGACAACACGTAGAAGTGGTGTTCAGCAAGATGAGGTTCAAGGCATTCACGGAAGGCAACTAGACCTGCGCTTTGGGGGGCGGGATGGCTGAAAGATAAGACTAGCTGATGAACGGGCTTCGGTGCTGGGATGCACTTTACACTCGAATTTGTTGAATTGTGGCTCAAGATTTTTTGACATCAAAAATGTTGGTTAGGCTGGATTGGACAAAAGACCTTTGAAAAATCAGATTGTTTATGGATTGCTGGATACAGAAAGATGAAATAATATCGACGCGAGAAAAATGCCCTACATGGTGTTGGAACTTGTGGGGGCAGAACTCGAGATTGACCTGGGTGCAAAGTGCACTGGATATCGAGCTCCGAGGAATGTCCAAACTGCGGGCTGGCTTGTGTACTATAGCAACACCAGAGTGCTTTGGACACCGATGACAACTTGATGGAGCCGATAACCATTGCTCAGTGAAATTCCTGACACAGCCAGACGATGAGAGGGCGCTGTTCTGCACTGCAATTGCCTTGGTTTTTTTTTTTTTGCCCCTGCCTCTGCACCGAAGTTTGACTTCACTTCACCTCTCTGTCACTTCTACCACCACATCAACCTCCTCACTCCGTGTTTTCGTTGTGTCGAACTCCGACGCTCACCACACTCCTGCTAGAGGAGGCGGATATGCCGAGCACCTCAGCAAAGCCAGGTATTTTAAAATTCATTCTCGATTCTTCGAGGTCAAGCAGGTGGCCCCTAACGCTGAGCAGCCAAGTCAGCTGCACATTCAAGTTCACGGCGAAGCAGCACCAAGTCTCCGTACAAAACAGCCAAGTTCGAGGATGAGATGGTTCTGTCGTCGGATATATCGTCGCCGGTGGAAGCAACCGGAGAATGTGGTGACAACGGCGCAGAAGATCTACCGTAAGTGACTGGTGATGGCAATCGACTTGGCTGGGTGCCAATGACCCAGGGCTAGTTTCAACCAAGAGAGGATGGACAAATTATGGGAAAAGCTCAATAAAGCTGACCCATGGCCGCGCCAGTTTGGAAATGTAATCAAAGACAAGCAATCCTTCATCAGCCAGAAGTTGAAGGAAATTAAAGAGAAGAAGTTGACTTCAAGCTCCATTCGTTGCGTGCCATCGGCTAACAGTCTCAGCACCTTGTACAAGCAATCGTTCGATGCAGAGATTGCACCGCTTCTCAGCTCCGCTCTCGGAAGTTTCGCGAGTGGTGAGCCCACGGATTCTACTTCTTTCTCACTGCCAATTCACGTTCAATTTCTGGGAGCGGAAGGGCAGACGTACTGCGATGCCATGGTCCAGCTCATGAAGCAGTCAGGCGCACTTATATTTGCATACGACGAGCTGGCAGGTCGACCATCGCATACATCACGTCTGCAGGAGATTTGGGCATCCTTTGAGAAGGACAAGGGAGTTAGCGTGGCCACTATCGAGGCCGGCAAAAAGGTCGCAAGCATGGAAATCGAGAGACTTCTGGCCGACAGGTTCCAAGAAGTCAGGGACCTGCAAAGCCTGACAGGCGAGGAGGAACAAAAGGGAAGATTACTTCTGTCACATGGAACGGACAAGCAAGAGGCGGCTTCGAAGCAGACACTGGGATGGGGAAATGTCGCCAGGGACACGGAAATGGCGATTGAGAGACTCTGTTTTGCGGGACAAGCACAGGCCAGTGAGCGCTGATGCTGATGCTGATGCTGATGCTGATACTGCGTGTTGCAACCGCGAGGTGAGAGGACATGCTATTCCTATGTACGTACCAGGGTTGCTTGTATCGTGTACGCAGTAGTTGTAGGGAGGAGTATCGAGTACCCAGCTCGCCTGTACCATCCTTGCCATGTACTTGTAGATGAGAAGCGGCCGAGGCACTAATGCCGACGGGCCGACTCGCCGAATGAGTTTGATTAGCTAACACCAATGCCAAGATTGCAACTTTGCCAAGCCTGCGCACGAACTTGGCCGTCGAAAATTGAGAGCCGATCTAGTCCTCAATTCTCAATCCCAAGACATTTTCTTTTTCCACCACGACCATCTCCTGCGAGGCGTGACAGTCAAGGTAAATGAACTTGCCCGTAGAAAGCTGCGTCGATAGCTGACCATTCTTCACAGATGGGTGCCCTCAAATACGTCGAAGAGCTTCAGAAGAAGAAGCAGTCCGATGTCCTTCGATTCCTTCTCCGAGTCCGCTGCTGGGAGGTAAGATGCTCCCTGAGATGACGATGGAAGCGACAAGAGGAGATGTTGTTGGAAACACACATGCACACCCTCTTCGGTCTTCACCACATTGTGGCACATTTCTCTTCTGGAGTTGTGTCTTGCTATACACTCGTTGAACATGTTAGCTGAGAGTGCATAATATAGCTCCGACAATTGAACGTCATCCACCGCGCCTCTCGTCCTTCTCGACCTGACAAGGCCCGTCGCTTGGGCTACAAGGCCAAGCAAGGCTATGTCATCTACCGAATTCGTGTGCGTCGCGGTGGTCGCAAGCGACCTGTGCCGAAGGGTGCTACCTATGGTGAGAACAAGGCCGTCCCGAATGCAGCCACCAGTCCATGTATCAAATCCTGACGCTGTAATGTGCAGGCAAACCCACCAACCAGGGTGTGAATCAACTCAAGTACCAACGTTCCCTCCGCTCCACCGCCGAAGAACGGGTTGGTCGCCGCTGCGCCAACCTACGGGTCCTCAACTCCTACTGGATCAACCAGGACTCTACCTACAAGTACTACGAAGTCATTCTTGTTGACCCCAACCACAAGGCTATTCGCCGTGATGCGCGGATCAACTGGATTGTGAATCCTGTCCACAAGGTAAGTATCTACATCTGCTCTTGCAAAGGATCAGGGCACCTACCAAGGGATATTGTGTTGCTAACTGATTTTGATTAGCACCGAGAATCCCGTGGTCTCACCGCTACGGGCAAGAAGTCTCGTGGCTTGGGCAAGGGGCACGGGTACACCAAGACCACCTCTGGACGGAGAAAGACTTGGAAGAGACACAACACCCTCTCGCTCTGGAGATATCGCTGAGCGACAGGCACTCGAGGTCTTTAATACGATGCTTCTAGTGTGCATGGCAATCGTACGCAGCGTGGATGATCATGGCACGATTTTGCGAACATTGCATATGCTTACGGATGATGGTCATAGGTCTCGGGATCGTGCTGACTTGGTCTGGCCTTGAAGGAGATAGCCACAAGACTTCAAAGGCCATGGCCTAGACTGCGATCTGAGAATACAGGAACGAGCTTGCAGAGGGGGATTTCGCAAAAGTGATTCGTTTTGTGTCGGGGCCTGGCAGGGAGAAGCTTCTCGAGAAATCTCATTCGCATGCATCATGGATGGATGCGAACGGGTCCTTTCAAATGAGCGAATGAAAGGATACAAGAACAAATTTTTCTTGCGAACAGAAAGCCTCCTCTTCAATATGAACCCCTTGTCGAGCTGTGACGGTGAAAACCCACAAACTTTTTCGCAAAAGTTCCATGCCCGCAATCACTCTTTCTTTTTCCCCGCAGAAATATTTTGACTTGCCGCTTGACTTTCCGTCCCTCTGTGTTTTGATGACTCTCACATTCCGTCCCATCTCCCGCCCTCTCGCGATAAAGGGATCTCTGGCGGAACAGATCGCTCGGGTCTCTTGATTCCTTATTGCGACTCAACTCAATTGAATTCGTTGTACCCCGTACAGGGCCGACTTCTGCGGGGCTCGACTGGCCAAGGCCTCCAAGGAAGGAAACGACTCCAACGACACTTTCTGTCCGGCTTCAACTACCTCAGAACTCACCCCCCTTTGCCTTGCCACCCTTCAACCGGCGAGTCGATCACTTGAACCACACGATGCCGTCTACCACGACAACCGCCGCGGCGGCCGCAACGACCCTCGATCTCACCGGCTGCGGAGCCTCCTCTTCGGCCAAGGCCGCCGAAGACCTCGACATCTACGACGAAATCGAGATCGAAGACATGACCTACGACGCAACACTGCAAATCTACCACTACCCATGTCCCTGTGGCGACCGGTTCGAAATCTCGATCGATAGTCTGAGAGAAGGGGAGGACATCGCTGTCTGTCCTAGTTGCAGTTTGATGGTGCGGGTGATTTTTGACCTGGAGGATTTGGAGGGCGCGGAGAAGGAGGAGAATTGACGGATTGACTTGTTGTGGAAAGAAGAACAATGACTCGAGAAGACAGTTCGGCTGGGTGGATGGTCATGCGATATGAGAGATGTTGGAGGTGTTGTGGTTTGCCGTGGCGGCCACCCACCGTGCGCTCATTGATGAGCACCCTCCATGTCAAGGTGGCTCTCTCGCTGGAAGCACAGGCGAGACATCTCACCAAGTTATCCTCGCAGCACTGAGGCCCGCGGATACGAAGACGACTACGGCTCCGTGATCTCAACACACATGAGCCGGGAGACTTGCCATGCTGAAAGCACTTCCTTCCAAGAGCCTTTTTAGCAACACTGCTTGTGTGGATGGCCCATCGCATACTGCACGAGGAGATGTGCTCTCGAAATTTTGGGGATTAGCCCAGGCTGGAGTTATTCACACCGACGCCTGTTCTGAGACTACAAGAAAACATCGCCGTCGAATGCAGTCGCGAATTCTCGCCGCCTCTGCGTCCGCCTAGTTTGGACTAACTAACCAGGTCGGCAACGCCTTCCAGTGTGTTAGAAAGCGGATCTCGGACTGTTGGATTGGAAGATAATGCCGCAGAGTGTTGAAAAGTATCAGACCAGAGCGCCGAATTCAGCGGCGGCTTCTACATACCCGTCATTCGCTTGGTGGGAAACACTACATCAGGCTGGGGGCCGGCCCGGGGGGGGAGACATTCACCCAGGCATCGGCCAAACCACGCAGACTTGCTCCACAATCAAAGCAGCTAGCTCTCTGAACTGCTTCTTCGTCGTTCTGATCTTGGTCCTGGTTTAACTCCACGTCTTGGGAGGATAACACGGCCGGATCAAAGGCCCGCAACGGCATCTATTCCCCCCCAGAATCAGGAACAAGGAGGTTCCTCAAGCTGCACCACACATCATACCACATACACACACGTTTACCGCGTTCCACACAGGGCGTTCCCTGATCAACCAGCGGAGCGGAGATAGAACAGAAGCGTGGATAACGAAGCTAAGCTAGGCTCAGGCCAACTCACGCCCCATCCATTATTCCAGGAGATACGGACTATCGTGAATGATGATTATACTCGACCTCTATATGGTTTTGGTTTCAAGACTTGTCGTTCTTTGCTAACGGGCTTGCTGGTGCAGAGCATGCATCACTCTGCATGGCATGGCATGTATGGCAGCAAATACGGAGTAATTACGTGTTGTCGCCGTGCATGTCTAGATGGATTTGTCACTGATCACTGAGGCACCGATCGTCGATGATTGATTATTGCAATATCTGATCATCGATACCATCCACCTCGAGCGTTTCGGGCCCTCACCTCAGGTTGAAATCTCGTTTGTTTCGTGTACATTTGATACATCCGCATAGATTCCGGATATATTTCACTTCCTCTATCGGTTTTCTGTTGATGTATGTGACCGACCGACCGACCGCCCACTGCGCCCAGCCCTTTCCCCTCTAGCCAAACGAACAATTGACGCTTGAGTGGATTCTGTCCCCCCTCTCGCTCTTCTGCAGAAGTCTGCCTCCCCGTCATCTGATTCCGAGCCCGGCACGAGTCTTATTCTGGGGCCTGGCCAGCCATGAACACTTTCTCCGCGACAAGCCGGTACTCAAGCCCCCAGCCCGGGATGGAAGAGGGTTCGGCACCCATTTTGCAGATGCGGATGCTCCGGATCGTGATGTCTCGGGCCCATATGAAAGGGGTTTGAATCTGAGGGGATTGTTCACTTTTGGTGCCCGTTTTATCTGTAGGATTTGGCGATAGCGCTGGATCTAGCGTTTGATTTCCAGTCCTCACGCCCTCGGCAGGTTTGGTTTCGCGAATGGTCGTGCTCATCATGGTGGGCGCTGCTGGTTTGTCCCCCTTGTCATTAATCTCAGCAGGAGTACTTCTTGGTGGTGGTGATGATGATGCTCTTCCTTTTTGATTCCCGTTCGCGTTTGGCCCATGGTTGAACAACCTCAAAATCTCCCTGGCGTCCACATTCCCGCCGTCTCTGGCCTTCTCGTTTCCATTCCTTTCTCTTCCTCCGCGACCTTTTCTGCCCCCCTTTCTGCCCTTCACATAGATTAGATTGGCGACCGTGGCATGCAGAACCAAGGGCCTAGTCTCCGTGACGAGGCCCGCTTCCCGGAAAACGTCGCGGACCAGGTTCCCAAACCTGTGCAGGCGAGCCGTGGGATCGTGAGGGTGCGCAAAGAAGACGCGGGCTGAGCGAGACGAGGGGAAGGTGCCAAGGGAGGATAGAGATATGGATATGGGTTGTAGAGGGTCTGGCTCTCCGAAATCTTGTGTCAACATCGAAGGTGCAGAGACCGCTGGTGGCGAGACTTCTCGAGTTAGGGACTTGAGTGATTGAAGGAGAGAAGACGGGACTGCTCCGACCTCTCTTGCTGTCTCTCGCAGCTTCCCGCTCCCTTCTGACGCGTGGTTCGATGTAGGTGCTGACAGCTGTGGATTGTCGGCCCCTTGCAGGTGCTCCGAATCGGCCTGTTCTTCGACAGTGGAAAGACTTCCGCCATCGCGACGGGCACCACTATATTGATTTTGATTTCCTTCTGTGGCCGATGGGCTTTTTGCCTTTTCCTGCTCCATTGGCGGCATTATGTTCTCTGCAGCTAAAAGGAAACTTCCAGACTCCCCTTCCCGCTTAGATTGCGTCTCGTCCCTAGCTTGCGTCACTTCGTTGGAGTCCCCGCCTATTCCATCTTTTGGTGTTTTCTTAGTCCTTCTCCCTCGCCCAGACTTGTGCGCCTCGTTCCCCTCTCCAGATTCCGCTCGCCTCAGTAGTTCCACGTAGTCAATTTCCTGCAATAACGCCACCGCCTTCTCCAAATCCTCCGCGTCCGGAAGATGCATTGTCCCTAGGGTTAAATGGAACGTCCCTGGCGGACGATGCGCCGATTCTGGGATGACTCTCACTGCTTGATCCACATCCCGACCCCCTATTTCGCTGTTGGATTGGTCGGGTGCTGCGGGCTCAGCATTGGCTTCTCCTCCCCGAGCACCGACCTCCGATGTCACATGCCGGTCTGCAGGAGGCAAAGGCATGGTGAGTGATCTAAAGTATGCCAGGGATTTAGAGAGCTGTGCCACTGATTCATCACTGACTAACGGGAAGCAGACAAAGTGCGTGGGCTGCTTGTTGTGTCGAGGTTTTATCCGTTGCTTTTCCAACGGCTTTTTACTCGGCGCTACTCGTGCTTGCAGCGTCGATGATGGTTGGGTTGGTTGAGGTCCCAGTTGTGCTTGCCCGGATGGGGGAGTTGCTGGCGGTTGCACAGAAGTCATGATGGTGGCAATTGTTGATGGTACAGTCGACGTCGAAGATCCAAGTCGACCAAAGTCTGCTATGGCTTGACGGTGCAATGTCCGAAGAAGAAAGTCGGTGCGCATTGATAATGCAGACAATCAGGCGAAGATTCCGTCATCAAAGGGGCACTTCTTGCCACTCGCACCATACCGGCTCAATCGAGTTCTTGGGTTCTGGTTATATCGCGGAGACTGAGAAAGAGGAGGTGCTTCCCTGCCCAAAACATTCAGAGCTGGCATTCGGAACGACGGACTAATTCATGATGGATGACAGATGGTTCAGGCCGACAGGCAGCCAGGCAAGGAATGACATTTCGCACTGATGAGATGAGAAAGGACCAATACGGCTAAGCTTGTGTTTTAGGTAATTGTTTATGCTTAATTGGGCATAGTCCACAGACACTACAGCCTCGTCAGCCTCGTCAGCCTTGGCTGCCCTCAAGTTATGTAGGCGAGTCCGCTCGGCCTCCTTTCTTCCCGCCCATGTGGCTCGACCGGCGACAGTGTGTGCCAACGGCTGTCTATTACCGAATCATCAGAGCATCTTCTGATGGCAAACTCTTCTGCCTCCCTCAGATTCCCTTGGCATTGTCATCCGGCTCTTTGGTGTGGTTTGATCGCGTTCCTCAAACGCCAAAAGGACAGTCCAACCAGGCTAGAAGCCCGGATCCCTATTGCAACCATGCCGCCTACCCTTGACAACCAGCCGGCAGAAAGGCGGTGTCAGTCGGGGAAAAGACCAGCGTTGATGTCCTAACCTTCTTGATAGGTGGTGTATTGGATAATTGGAGAAAGAAGATCCGCGTTTACTGAAGACAAAAAAAAAAAACACCCTTGAAAACCCTGACCTGCAGGCAACGAAAACATTCCTTACCTTGGATAATTGGATCTACAAGGCCACTTGCCACCGACTTCAGACTGGGCGAGGTTTGAGAGAGATTTTGAATCGCCCAAAAGCTTACCTGCCCTGGAGAGTACTTCACCTTGGCCGGTCTTCTGGTCCATCCAATGGACACCTCGAATTCTCCGCTCCCTGTTGTCGCAGCGATCTTGCGATATTCATTTCGACGCCCTGTCCCATAGACATGCTGTCGCGGATGGTGGCGGAAAAGATCATGTTCTGTCTCTAGGGAAGCAAAGACGAAGGTTGGCTGCCTGATAAATCGATCGCATGGGGGAGCGCATCCGGTCCAACAGCTTCGCCATGCCTAGACGGCGATCGCCGCAGATTTTGTGATACTTATCGGACCTTTGGCGTTTGCGAAGTGGGTAGCCTCTGAATTTCTTGTTCCCAGAAGAATGTGGAGGAGATAATTCAGCTCCCACTGATGTCGGCGGTTACATTCGAGTGGCTTTACGCCAGAACCTCTCACACAAGGGATATCTCCTTCATTCATGATTCGGCCACAGCGGCGCGAAATCTCTCCTCCTACACATCGATAATGGGTAACACCAAGTTTTGGTTCCTTGGATGAGTAAGTATTGTACTTCGTTTTCCCCAAGTGAACTTCAACCTCGTTTCCGTATCCGCTCTGCTGAGAGATCCCCTCATTCTTGGTCTTTCACTGCGTACTGGTCATTTTATGTCTTCCTCCATTGTTGATACCGTCAATGGTGCTGGCTTAACTTATCCAGGTTCAGTCGTTACATCTGCTATCGGTAAGGATCCACCGGCCGTGAAAGCGCTGTCAGTTGGTGCAGGACTCTGTTGGCTGTATTCACAATGCCAGAATCATCGATAGGGCGAGATGTGGAGGTCCCTTGAGTCTCAGAGGTTGACTCTGAAAAGTCGGCTGCCACTTGCTCGGGTCTTCCAGATCCTGAATGCCACTACGCCACTTTCTCGACCCACTACCACAAGCAGTTCAGGCACACCGACTCGCTCTGGGAAAACTAAAGCTCAGCAGTCTCCATGTCTGTCCGTTCTTAGTGAAGCCATACGTTGTGCATTCAACTCGGTCAGCAAAGCTGGCTTTCCAATCTTTTCGCTCACCTGCGCGGAGCTCAAATGGCGACTTGGTGCAACGGGATCGAAACAGAATCGCAGCAGCATAGTCTCCATGTTGAGAGCCAGTTCCTTGTTGTCTTAAGTCCCGGCGCTCGAAATAACAGCCCCCACTGAACTGGGGCGAGGCTACTAGCCATGGGCATCAACTCGTACGGCGGTGGGATAGCCTCTTCACAGCACGTACGCTCAACCAAAGGAAGTTCTCCCGTTCGTAACTTGATTGATTATTCTATGAATGATAGTCCCCGAGGACTATATAAGAAGAACCTTAGTCTAGCGTCGACGCCCCAGCCAATCATAAAGCTATCCACCACTTCAAACTTCTCCCATTACACCACCAAGGACACACCTTGTATCTTCTACGTCCAGGGCTGGTATTCTACCTCTAGCGCCCTTGTTGACAAGCTGTGCTGGCAAGAACTTGCCCGCCCTGTTTCTCAAGAATTCTGTCAGTTGACCATATTACAGTCTTTTGGTCGCAATGAGGCCATAAAACGTCGACCGATCTTGATCATCAGCATTTTTGCACCTCATCTGAGTTTGGCTCAAGAGTCAACAACATTCGGCGTCAGAGGACGCATAAGAAAAGCGATAATTCTCAACACAGATGCACCAAACGGTGTGAGGCTATGGGCGCATGGTGTGGTCCCAAGATACGTCAAATCGCCGTCTACAGTGGATTTCCCCCTGGAAACGGACCAAAGCAGACCTCCAATTGATAAGCTTGACCAATGTGAATTTTTGCCTAGCATATTATCAAGGGAAGCGCCACAGATTTATTAAGGATATGGATGTCGCAACGACCTAGTCAATCAACTGATTTCAAAATAATGTAATCGGGAACATCATGTCGAACCATCTCCGGTCTTTCACTTCATGGATCGATTTCAACTATTGGCGAGACTGGAGTGTGGACGGTCGTGGAACAACAACGCCCCAGGCCATCTCACTCCCCACGACTTTCACTCTCAGGGACCTGCCACACAAGAAGAACATAGTCTGATGAAATACACCTAAATACCTACACAGATGATGTATCGGAAATTCTCCTTTGAAGAAAGGAAATTCGTTCCGTGCTTGAGATACCTGCTACCACGGCGCGGCCATCGTCTTTGTTCTGAAACGTTAAACCACCCCCTTGCCACGCAAGCCTCACCCTGCAGTGGCTGCACTTCTATTTTTGATGAGGGATGACAATAACTGCCATACAGGCCATGAGCAATTGCCCAAAAGCAAACGGCATATTCCAGTTCCCTCCTAGGCCACCCCAACAGCGCGACGCAAAGCCAGACAACTCCAACCACCAGCCAACACCAAGCAACACGGGGTAGTAGTTCATATTGAAGGCGGTCAGTTTGTCATCCCACGATATACATGAGGCCATGGAGTTCGTCAGTTCCGTCGTACGGCCCGTGACGAACCGGCATCTCGAATCTATCTGCTCCGCTACGAACAAATTAGCTGATGCATTGTAAGCGCAGGCAACGTTACTCACTCGAGTTCGTATATTAAACAATCCGTGGCCACCCCTTCCAATAATCTGGGTCCATTGAATTTGGCCTCCCATGGGCTCCGCGCACACTTTGTCAGGATATCAACCATGTAAAGGGCCTTCTTGCGGCGCCGAGCTTCCGAGATTCGTTCCAGAGCTTCATTCCGGATTCGCGTCGAAGTATCACCGATGTAGCGCATTACACTCTTACAACGCTTGCAGTGGCGCATTGTGTCGCACACATCGTCAATGCCATATCCACATTTGATGGGCCTCGGATCCCTGGCGATATCATCATCTAGCTCTTCTCGGATCTTGTCAAATGTCTAGCGTAGTCTTAACAATCAGAAGGGTCCCGTCCTTCTGGACGCTTCCGACAAATTGAAACTGCGGACAATCAGCAAGACTATTTTACCATATGAAGAAAGACTCACATGAACTTCTTCAACTTTGGTAACCCCACAGTATGGAAGCCACTTCTTCCAAGTATCCTGGTGTTTGAAACACGTCCGTCGCAATCTCTCAAAGACTGCGGCGGCGCAATCGACTTCCCTCTCTTTCGGTTCCATCTCTCTATCAATTTCTCGATCCCGGTGCTTCGCCGGTAAGTATTTGATCCGATAAGCTTCTTTGGGCCGGTGGCAAGGCACGGGGATGGCAAAGAGAGGGTCTCTCTTGCCTAAGCCCAGAAAACAGCATTGTCCTGCTCGTTCGTGGATCGGGGCGTATATTGATGAAAGGCGCCTTGATCGCGTTCGGAGATGTTGCATCTTCATGGAAGTCTCTCTTCCTGTGGCACTTTGCGAGCATTTGGCGGAAAAACATACTTCAATGTCTGTCCTGTCGAAGCACCTTGGGGCTGTGTCTCTTGTCTCTCTAGATCAGAAGGCTCGGAACCTTGCTGGCCTCTGCTGCCGTCAACCTCTGGTTCGTCAGATTGAGATGCCATCTGGGGAGCCGTTCGCAGCAAAAAGATGCCGACAGTGTGAGGGGTCTAGCTGTTGTGTGATTATGAGCTGCACTCACAGGTGATGGCAGGAAAAGTTTATAAGCCTGGTGGCGCTGTTAGTGGATGTATGCGTGAGGGTCAATGCGCAAGGAACGACTGGGACAGCACTGCCACTTTCGACAACATTCAAGCCCCGTCGTCCGCGAATGAGCTTTTGTAGAAGCTCGACTTCCCATGCATTTGCCTGGTCTGCCAGCAGCCCCAGCATCGTTGCCTAGTTGAGGCTGAAACGGCCTCGCATTTGCTAGGCCCACGCGACTGCCAATCTATAACCGGAGGGAGACGTGCGAGAGGTTGAACAAGGATAAAAACCGACTGAAGCTCATACGACTTCGAGGCTGCGCGGTGCGACGAGAAGCCCATTCTCATAGCCACCATTATAGTTTCACCATCTCATCTTCATTTTGAGCATCTATTCGGGGTATCTATCTGTTGAAGAAGCTGATGAAGCTTCTGCCATTGTCCGTTGAAGGACGTCTCTTCCCTCTGATCTCCGATCAGGAATCTCTTCCCCCCAGGTTCTCGTACCAGCACTCTCGAAACAAGGATTCTAAGCACCCCTTTATTCTAGGGGTCTTGATCGCGTCCCAAACTTTTCAGCCCCGTCATTCTCGTCGCAAGGTCGTTGAGTTTCGTGCATAATTCCTGTTGTGGACAAAAACGGTCAATATGGCCGTGCGCTGGAACTCTCCGTTTCTATGCGTTGAGCATTAGAAAACCTTCTCTCCTGAAAAAGACCTCAGACGCCGAGACAGATGCAGTCATTCAAAAGCCAGTGAGGTGGCCCTCGACGAACATCAAACCGTCTAGTAGCGGTAGATATCAGACTTGAAGGGACCTTCAACAGTCAAGCCCAAGTATTCGGCCTGAACAGGGGTCAACTTTGTCAATTTGGCGTTGACATGCTCCAAATGGAGCAGGGCAACCTGTTCGTCCAAGATCTTGGGAAGAACGTAGACACCGATTTCCTTCTTGCCGCTCTTTCCAAACTCGACGTATTTCTTGCCGAATGCCTCGTCTTCGGCCTTGTACAGCATAATCTGAGCCAGAACTTGGTTGGAGAAGGAGCAAGACATGACGAAGGAAGAGTGGCCGGTAGCGCAGCCTAGATTGACGAGACGACCCTCGGCGAGCAGGATGATGTGGCGTCCGCTGGCCATCGTGTAGCGATCAACCTGAGGCTTGATATTCTGGACGGATTTAGCATTCTTCTTGAGCCACGCGACATCGATCTCAATGTCAAAGTGCCCGATGTTGCAGACGATGGCGTCGTTGCGCATCGCCTCAAAGTGTTTTCCAACAATGATGTCGCGGCAGCCCGTGGTGGTGACAAAGATTTGACCCTGGGGAGCGGCCTCGTCCATGGTGACCACCCGGTACCCGGTGACGGCGGCCTGGAGGGCGTTGATGGGATCCACCTCGGTGACGAGAACATGGGCACCCATGCTGTGGAGAGCTTGAGCACAACCTTTTCCAACATCGCCGTAGCCTGCCACAACGGCAACTTTGCCGGCGATCATGACATCCGTGGCACGCTTGATCCCGTCGACGAGAGATTCTCGGCATCCGTAGAGGTTGTCGAATTTGGATTTCGTGACGCTGTCATTGACATTGATGGCAGGAACGAGGAGCTTCTTGCCCTTGAGCATGCGGTAGAGGTGGTGGACTCCAGTGGTGGTCTCTTCTGACACCCCGTAGCAGTCTTTCAGCATCTCTGGGTATTTGTTGTGGACAAGGGCAGTCAAGTCACCGCCATCATCGAGGATGAGATTCAGTGTCTTTCCCGACGGGAAGGCCTTGAGTTGTTGTTCCAGGCACCACTCGTACTCTTCTTCAGTCTCGCCCTTCCAGGCGAAGACGGGAGTGCCTCCAGCCGCAATTGCTGCCGCCGCGTGGTCTTGTGTGGAGAAGATGTTGCAGGACGACCAGGTCACCTCAGCGCCGAGAGCTTTGAGGGTTTCGATGAGGACGGCAGTCTGGATGGTCATGTGCAGGCAGCCAGCGATTCGAGCGCCAGCAAGAGGTTGGTCTGCGGCATACTTCTTTCTGATTGCCATCAGACCTGGCATCTCAACCTCGGCGAGGTCAATCTCACGTCGGCCAAAGGCCGCCAACGAGATGTCGGCGACCTTGAATTTCTGGGCTGGAGCACCGCTCATGATGATGGTATCGCTGGAGGAGGCAGGGAGCAGGGGAGATGGCTGAGGGAACGATTGTTGGGTGGTGCTGAAGGACAGAGAAAAGTGAGGACACTGAGGAGGAGGAGGAGGTGGTGGTGAGGGTGAATTGTCGGTGACATTTTTTTTTTCCCGCCCTGCAAAATCTCGAGGGCGGAAAAGGCCCAAAAAGGCCCCTCTGAACAACACGCTTTCATCCCACTTTCCATCACCACCCACCAATCACTCACCGATCATTCACCAATCACTTGCCCACCAAGCCACCTCTTCATCGTGGGGTAGTACATACAATCCAGACCGGCGAGATTCTAACTGCCGCAGCGTGGATTTGTGCTCCTGGTTCGGTTGAGGCCAGCCACGAGCCAGCCGAGGATGGCATGATCACGGCATCAGTCAATCTGCATCAGATCCCTCCCACATATAATGGATGAACTCCCCCCCAAGATCGATGGACGCTATCAATCTCCTCTTTATCTGTCTTCTGGGTTGCCAATATGGGCCATAAGGGCGGTCTATCTGGCCATCTTGCCGCTATCGGTGAGTGTTCTGATCACTCGATGCCCCCGTGATTTTTTGCCTCGATTAGGAAACGAAATGGCAAATGTCCTGCCCGTCTGCCCTTGCTGCCTCTCGCGCTCTTGTCGTGTCTGCAGCTCGCACAATGTTCCGTCCTTCCACGCGCAGCGTTTGTCGATGTTCCCTAGCCTGGGATGCGGGCAAGGAGAGGCTGCCCGAGGGTCTGAGTGCTGCGGTCAGAGACGGCAATGCACTGTACACGTGGAAGTCAGCCAGAATCGCCGCTGGAGTCTTTGAGCGGCAGACTGCATCCCACTGCAGATGGACACCAGTAAGTGCATTAATGGCCTTTGCCTGATCTTCTGACCGCCATATACTCCTCAACTGGGGACCCCGTGTTCGCGTTCTCCCTGCTTTGATTCTTTTGTATTTACACTCAATCTAAGGCGGTGGTTCCTTCCTTTGCCATAAGCCTCAATTGCGTGATCAGTTCCGCATTTCACACAATACCACCTCCAGGAGAGCTGCCATCATTCAGCTATTTTTTCCTGCTTTCCTACGTTGATTTATCCTGTACTGCTAAAATTCCCACAATATCCTTGTTGTCTCCTTCCACGACATCCGCAATTGGGTGAAGGAAGTTGGGATTCAATTCCAAATGGCAGCCGCTCAGCCTGGACCAAAGCCAAAAGCGAAGGAGGACATCAAGATAAGCGCGCACGATTCTCGAACCTCGAACAAGGTCCACGGGCTCTCCGCTGAGGTCTCCATCCAACATCAACCACACCAAACCGAGTGCGAAAGCGGTCCGGCCTCTGCTCGCTTGCTAACAGTTTCCCCATATCTGGAGCCAGAACATCTCCTAGATCTGAACACCCTCGACACTCCAAGCCGGCTTCTTGCTCTTGCATCGACACAGCTGGAGCCGGCTTCATGCAAATACGCCACAGTCCCATATGAAGACGCGTTTGATTGGAGCAGTCTCATGGCAACATTGAAGTCGCTTGCAGCCAACGAAGGATACCGGTGGACACGGCAAGAGTTCTACGCTGTCGAGTTCAGGTCCAAGCTCAGGAGGAACATCGACGTTGACCTCTTGTTCAAATTGGACAAGGAATCCCACATCGAAGCTACACAGAGTGGAGGGCTTCTAAAGTACTGGTACGGCGTACCTGACATGGATAGGAGGAATCTGGCAACCTGTGAGTGAACTCAACGAACTTTCGAGATGTGAGGTCTGATTATCCCCTAGGCTTCTGGCGGAACAAGGAAGACGCAGTCAAAGGTGGTCGAGGGCCATGGCATAAACAAGCTCGGGCCGCTATTTCCAGCATGTATGAAGAAATCGATGTGAAAGGGCTGCGCTTTACCATCGAAGACGACGCGGGAAGCTGGAGATTTTCTCCATATGCTTGACATCGAAAGCGTGCAGCAACCGCTTCGCATCAACAGGAAGAGAGAAGGGCAGATTCGAGGTTGGGACTGACTCTTGCGGGAGTAGGCGGTGACTGGGTTTTCGAGCGTTGGCGCGGTAGTCGTTCGAGTTGTTCAGGGTTAAAAGCTCCGGTTATCGTCGGTGTGACATAGACTGCTTCAATGACAATTTCAACACGGGTGGCCTCGGCCCTTTTGACATCTCATCACAGTGGAAGGAGAGCTGTGGTCGGAGAGCGTAAAGGACATGAACCGAAGCTCTCTAATGCCCAGACCATTGATCCCCGATTGGGACTAGTTCCATCCTGCGATTGACGAGCTTGCTTTTCCACCCTCATCGTTCAATCCAAAGCTCCAGCAAGTCCTGATTTCACCTGACTCTCCGCTCTCAGGCTTCAGTCTTTTCCTTTGCAGGTCCAACCTTTTGCATCGTCTCTCCCACCTTCAAGATGATGTCCTCCAAACTGATGCGCCCAGCTTTCGCAGCTGCCCGTCGGACTGCCCCCAGAACAGCTATCCGAACATACGCTGCGCCGGCCGCTGTAGACACAAAGCCTCCGGTGCCTTTGTTTGGCCTCGACGGGACTTACGCAAATGCTTTGGTATGCTCACTCCAGTGTTTTTATGCAAAGGGTGGACTTTGGATCTGGGCGCAGCTGTGGTGAACCACGGCTTCCGCGGACGTCAGAAGATCAGGGATTCGAGGATGTCTCATTGAGAGAATTTCAAGCTGACGCCTCCATACTCAATAGTATACCGCAGCCGCCAAACAGGGCTCTCTGGAGCCGACGGCCAAAGCTCTCAGCAGCCTAGAACAGATCTTCAAGACCGACGCCAAACTCCCCCAGATCCTCGCTGCTCCCACACTTTCCGATACCGACAAATCACAGATCATTGCAGAACTGGAAAAGCACACCGGAGCAGCTGACAAGACTAACACGGTCAAGAATTTTCTACAAACGCTGGCGGAGAACAACCGGTTGAGTCTGCTTGAGGGAGTTTGCGAAAAGTTTGGTACTCTGATGAGTGCGGCGAGAGGAGAGATAGAGTTGGTTGTGACGAGCGCTTCGGTATGTCCAAGCAACGTAGTTTGCACAAACTGCGGCTATGGAGACTGAAAACCGTACCTGGTAACACCGGTGGGCGCGTGAAAACTAACTCTTTCGGATCACAGAAACTCGACGAGAAACTCCTCCGCCGTCTTGAAGCCGCCATCGCCAAATCCGAATACAGCCAAGGCAAGAAGCTGAAGGTGGTCACGAAAGTCAACCCAGATATCCTCGGTGGGCTCATCGTCGAGATTGGCGAGCGAACTATCGACCTCAGCGTTTCGAGCAAGATCACGCGGTTGAACAAGATGCTCACTGAGACTGTGTAAAATTATCCTTGATCACCGGGACTCGTGAAATGCGAGGTGAAGCCGTGGGCTTGGCTGGCGAGAAGGGCACATTTGGGCCACAAAATCAGCATCTTTCCGAAGGTTGAAAGGGAGAGAGACACTAGACAAGCGGCAGGGGGGGCGGTCGTGTATATAACCAATCCAGTTCTTTCGTCCTGGCCACGTTGGAATCACTTTCAGCTTCTATTTCCCTAGCATTACGGAACAGACAAGAGTATTGCGATGAGTCTAACTACATGTACGCAGGGAGCACCCTGACACCAGGCGCCTTCATCGGTACGCAAGCCTTCCTCTGTGTGACTCGGTGAATGCTCTGGGCTAATTGCAATATGTCAATCGCCCAAGGTTGCCTTCTTCGGTTTGCTCAACGCCTACGCTCCTGTTCGCAGGGTCGGTGAATCTTTTTGCTGTGATGATCACAATCAGACGAAATCAAAAAGGCCGATTAGCCCAAGAGACGGTCTCAGATCATCAACCTTCAACATACCCACGTCTGTCATTGCAAGCCGCAGTTGGCAAAAACGAGACAGGCACAAAGCATGAAAAGACGACCGGCAACTGAGTTATCTGTGACGACGTTGGCAGTAGTGAAAGGCACCTGGTCTTAAGCTCCTTCTCCCCAATTCTTTCGGCACGATTTCAGGAAGAAAGTCATTTTGACTGACGAACCTGAGGCTCATATGAACATGTCAACCCCAAAGGCAGATGGAGAGGACAAGTCCCTGCCTCCAGGAATTCGAAAGCCGGTTCTTCCCGTACTGTGTCAACGGATCAATTCCATATATCGGCCAAAGATTTGAGAAAAGCAGACTCTTGCCAGGGCTCTTTGGGCTCTCCACGGAGAACATAAGACCAGTGCACAAAACTTGCCGCCAGGAGAATCAGGAGGTTGCCAAACAGTGTGACCACTGCCCAAGGTACGCACCAGTTGGTGGCCAAGCAGATTTGGCCCCCTCGAGGTCGGGTTGCCTGATCGTCAATTAGTTAGGGCCTGATACACCTGTGGTGCCTGGACAAGGTACCCTCTATCCAAGCCACCCGACTAGGTGCCTCGTACACTGCCTCCCCTGCGGGTGTAACGAATCACCCGTCGCTGGGACAGAGACCAAGCAGAGCCACCAGAGCCATAAGTGAAACACTTGCAGAGCCGAATGAGGCACAATCCCTCATGGATTTGTCGAAATAGCCATTGCTAGCGGCTAGCTAAACCAGGCATCTGGCTACAGATCCAGCCTAACCACAGATGTTAGCGATTCACACCCTTGCACCTGGATTCCCAGCTCTAAGTACATAAGAGCCTCGACATCTCCACCTGTCAGTGAACCAGACCAAACCAGCGGTCGTGAAGTCCGCATCTGCAAGGCTACCTGAGTCCCATTCTATGATGACCGAGGTCTGACCTAGTGGTGAGGGAGTGGCAGCCTCGTCGTTAGAAGAATCTCGTCCCAAGATGGCTTTTCAAGGCTTTGCGCCGCTATTACAACAATGCGACGACGGCAACACCTTGACAGAAACCCAAGATCAGGACAGTCGATCTAAAGAAGATGTTAGAGAATTGAGAGGCGGTCATTATTCACGGGCTCAATCCGCAAAAGCTCGAACTACCGACGTAACTGCGCATGGACTCGACGGAGCAGTTCTCGATATAACTTGGGCTCTTACGTGCCTCAGTCTGCCAATGCTTGTGTTGACCGCCGTCTTTATCGGCCTCGTATATGCTTACGAGGTTTCCAACGGTCCCGAGGCTTCTGAAAACTTGCTAGGAGTTGCGTCCCCTCGAGACAACTCGGCATATTTCGTTGACTATAGTGCCACACGGTTGATCACAGTTTCCTCCTGGACAAGCACTGTCACATCGCTCACCTCGACGTTTGTCATGGCCCTGATCTCTTATCCTCTTGCAAAGGACTACATCAGAACATCGAACTTGGGACAGACCGAGTCTCTTCCTACAGTCTATCAGTTCAAGTTAATTATAGGTCTCCTCGGAGGGGGCTATGGGCCTTTATGGTCATGGTTTCAGTACAGTTTCTGGAGAGGACGAAGCAAGCAGACCAGACTCCTGTGGATGGTCGTTGCGAGTCTTTTGGCAGCGACTGTTTTGAGGTAACCCCCACGTCACAACTTCCTTCGGGCAAGAGTTGCACCAGCTAATTTGTGCGAATAGTATCGCTATCCTCGCGGTCGACACTTGGCTCCATGTCACTACGTCTACAGTGGACTTTGACATCATGTCTCCACCAGCTCTCATGCCTGTCTCGAGTTACGGCCGTGGCCTCATAGCCCTTTGCTACAACCAAACTTGGACAGCAGGAGATATCAACCAGTGCATAGGCGGCTTGCAACTGCCCGGGTCCATTCACTTCGACAGTGCTTCAGAGGCGACTCGCACCTCAATGAACCTTTCCTCCGTCAACGCCGTCTTGACCAGTACCGTGAAAAACAAGCATTTCGCTTACCTCACTTCAGCGCAACGAAACTCGAGTCTCGATTTCCGAGCCCGAACTTACGCCATGAGTACTACATGTGCTCCAGCCAGCAAAGCCTGTCACCTTCAACAGATTCAATGGTGCAACCTTGAAAATGGTTGTGCCCTGGGCCAAGTCCAGTTAACTCTGGGGATGACGTACAACTGCAGCTCGAATCTCTATGGAGACATGAACAATAATACCGGCTCCAGCTTCATGTCGGGAAACGGCAGTTCGGACGGGACGAAGAGTAACATTGGCTTCTTCCTGCAGATGTTCAGACAACAAGGATTTTCGGACCCAATCGGGACTGTTGATGAACAGATGGCGACCCCGAACCCATTCTACTTCGCCGTTGGCGCTCGAGTGGCCACTTCAGACGCATTATCCAAGGATCCGGAAGCCGTCGAGGATACCGACCAATACAATTACGCCTTCATTTTCGCATGTACTTCTACCATCTATGAACTTGAGTACACGTCCATCGACGGTAATGTGGTGGATGGGAATTACACCAGAGCGAACGATACTCTGTCGAATAATGCAGGCTGGGCTCTTCTCCAAGGCCGACCGCTTGCCCAGAACGCCCTTGAATCCGCTTTCTTCAGCGGGGCTCAACAGGTCAACACGTCTCAAGCATTCGCCGATTTCTTCGCCCAACAATTCAGCAAGACTGCAGTGAGCATGATTGCCGGAATCACAGACGGGAGATTAAACACTGCAGAGCAAACGAGACAAAGTCGACTGGTCACTCGGCTTCCGAAAGCCCCCTTCTTCGCCTTAATCATTCTGAATCTGCTATATGCCATATTTGGCATGCTACTTGCTGGCATGGCTGTAGCTAGTCAACCCAGGAAGACACGCAATATTCAAGCACGGCTAAGCATTGCTGGGTTGGTGGCTGCGTTGTTGGAACCGGCATCCGTGCAGCGTGCATCTGGCTCCGAGGGAGGTGGCACCGGAATTGAAAGTGTCTTTGCCGAGTTCTATAATGATGGCCAGCGTGATGACGACAGTCGAGTCATTCTGGTGGATTCTAATCCTGGAAACTGTGTCTTCGAGAAGATCTCGTTGCAAAGCGACTTGTTTGATGACAATTCTACCATCCAAGTGCCTCAGGCAGTTGGTGGCCAGCCACTCGTTCATCCCGTCGGCGCGAGCTGGTTGCCCGAAGAAGGACCACAGAGGCCGCAGGAAACAGCGACAGCAGCATATGCTGGCTCTTTGGCTGCGGGGGTAGTAGAAGACAATCCAACCGATCAAGTTGAAGGCACAGCACTTGTTTCAGGGCGATCTGACAATTGATGAGATACGAACAAAGAGTCCTATCCGTTTGTGCACAAGCTTCGACCCGCTACAGATGGACTCATCTCGGGCAAATGGTTGTTCAAGGCGGGTTTTCGCCTTTTGGCGGGAGCACACCTCCGAGATGCTTTTGATGAAGGATGACGCTGTCCGTTACCACAATGGAGTCTAGACGAAGGGGGCCGTCATTCGACAAGATTCACCAATGTTCCTGCCACAACTCCCAGACGGTCCAATACCCAACCACTGTGGGGATGCCATGGGTCCTAAAGGACGACCCCCATCCCGCGCCCGAAGCGGCCGAAAGTAAAAAGTCACTAATGCCGTTGACACCAACGCAGGCCAACACAATCACCACCGCCCGCCACTCGTTGCATGCCTCGAGGACTAGCAGAGCAAGACTTAGGCAGAGCTGCCGTATGGCGAAGAGGTGAAAAAAGGTAAGGGAGACCTTGTCGGTTGGGGGCGGAAAACTCGCCGAGGCTGAGAGCGCGTGCGGGCTGACGAAGGCGCCGACGAAAACTCCCAGAAACATGACTGGGATCAAGTACGCGATGAGGTACTGTAAGGGCGGGATCGACAAGGAGGAGACGGAATCCATGTTGATGGTGCTGGGGCGGTGCTGAGCCGAGAGGGACAGAGCGAGGAAGTCTGATATGTCGTGTTGTGTACCTCAATAGCTCGGTAAGAAGTAAGTCAGTGGGCAGGTAGGCAGTTTGGATATTTGTTGTTGTTTGTTGTCCTGAACCTCCAACCCAAATAAGTCGCCTGGCTGAGAGTTGAGACGCGGCACGAAGTTGGCGTTTATATGTGTCAACTACAAACCTACCCAGGTAAAGTACGAGCTGGTATATATATACACACACACACACACACCCACACCCAAGCGATTCGGCATGTAAAAACTCCGTGTATGCACTCACGCGCCAATAGGACAGGCAGCAAGCCGAGTAAGGCAACCCGTCGAGCCAACGAACGGCCGCTACTTGCCCCCCAAAAAGGCGAATTCTTGTTGTCTGCAGCGCATGGAGTTACATAAAAGACGCATGTCAACGGTGATAAGGCCGCCTCTCAGTGACTAGGTTGGGCGGCAGATATCAGTAGTACAAGACGTATCCTTTGGCCGTCCCACGTGGTAGACTGAGTTGCGTCCATACGTGGATTTTGCCCAAGGTGCTGGTTCAATAAACTAACACATGAACGGTCTATCAAAGACTGGTTATATACAACGAGCTGGGGTACGTCTAACTGGGCGCTGACTCTGTTGCCGCCCACGAGAGCGGAGATATAGGGTTCTGGACTGATGTGTCATTCAATTGGTCCAGCCTAGGTATACATCCCTCCTCTGACGCCGCACAAGGCTGAGTTCTTGTCTTGGGCCCCTTCTGTTTAGCTTGTGTAAGGCTGAACACGGAGAAAATAGAAGGTAGAGCTGAAAGACAGGAATCCAATTAGTGGCGTTCAAGGTCATGTAGAGTTGAACAGGGCTCCGGCCGAACTATATAGATCTCGGTAGAGAAGATACAAGTTCAGGTAAAAAGCAATATTGGGTATTCGTGTATTAATGTTCAAAGACTTGCTCAAATGATGCTCAAATGACGCTCTAATGATGCTCTGACGCCAAAGTTCATTCTCTGGGCGTCTACTCTATAGCCACGGTCTGGCCAAAATAAGTGGGTCACCCAATGTTTTCGTCTCAACTCAAGAAACAGTCCGTATAGTAATTACTACTAGAACTAGTTCAATTCTTTGTCAAATAACATGAAATACCCATTAACTAGTAGGCCGTCATTTGGCCTTTACCATCGATAACTGCTTGTAATCTGGTAGGCATGCTGTCGACCCAGGCGTTGATTGTTGTCTGCGATAAGTGTTCCCACCCCTCCTGTGTAATCGTCCATACTATCTCGTCGTTCCAGTGAGTAAACTTTCTCAGAAAGCCCTTTGGTGCTTGCCAGGCATTCTCAATTGGTGATAGATCAGAAGAGTAAGAACAGTTGAAGTAATGTCGTAAATTATGTAGAGTTTTCCAAGTGCGAACAGAATTCGATTTACTCTTGCCATGGCCAGAATCACCATCTTCTTCAAGAACAGTATCAGGCGGCCAGGAAAGACACTCCTGAGTCAACAACGTAATATAAACTTGGTGTGTCATCTTGCCATTTGAGTTATCAGTATAATATCGATATAGCTGGCTTTTATAGTTATATCCAATTACTCCCCATGCATGAACGCATTTTGTATCTTTATTCTTTGGTATCGCCTTTTGCTGAATGCAATCTGGACAATGAGCCTCTCCTAATTTACGGGTAACCCAGACTCTACCAACAGAACCATATTCAAAATGAGCTTCATCAGAAAAGCGTACGTTTCGTCAATGTTGTGGTGTTGAATATCGAGATAGCATTAATCGAGCGAAGTTAACCCGAAGCGCAGCAAGTTTTGGTGATACCCAGGAACGTTGGCAGGATAAACAGCGACGATATTCCTTCTGTCGTAGATGGCGACGTAAGGTTCTTCCAGAGACATCAAGTCCAGACTCAATAACTAATTAATCCCAAGGTAAAGCGCGTCCATTAAAGCCTTCCCGCCAAAGAATTCTCTCAGCCAGGTGTATATCTTTTTCAGTTAATTTTGGCTTTCTTCCACGCGTTTCCAATCTTATTTCGCTATGAGCTAATCGTCGAGGGTCTTCGCTATTTATGATTCGATTTTCAGAGGTCTGAGGGACGCGTTGTTATGCAAAAAGCTGACGTTGACTGAGAGGCTTGCCATTGGCATTTCGTACAGATTTCGAACGGATCAGTTGCGCCTGCGCCTAAAGCCTAGCCCTGCTAGGAGTGTCCCAATGCTTATTAGGAATATGTGGCATATAGGTATACTAAAGGATCATAGGTAATTAGGTGGTAAATGACAAAGTATTGCATGCGCTGTAGTAGTATTTACAAAGAGGGTGTAGGAGCGCATTCAAAAAAAAACATTGGGTGACCCACTTATTTTGGCCAGACCGTGTCTATAGCGTAATGCCTTGTAGTCTTTAACAGTACCATATTCCTTCCCACCCCCATGTTCCGGGGAGGAGACCAGGAGTCTTACCACGTCTAATCCAGCTGCGCCTCGAACTCATCCTCGTACACTGCGGTGCTCTCATCCGTCTTGATCTTGGTCAGTTGCTCGCTGACATACCTGTCGTAATGACTATCTGCAATGCTCCTTCTGCGTTCTTTCTCCAGTTTATCCTCTTGTCCCCACGCATCTGAATCTGTCGCTGTGGTCTCGGCCGCTTCAAAATAAGATTTGGGAGCATCCACGTCGTGGATAACGGCGGGAGTCGCGTTGCCTCTGCTGGAGTGGTCGCCGTTGGTGACGGTGGAGACAAATGAGCCGCGGTTGCCAATCGAGCGCGAAGTTGAGGGTCGTCGCATAGGACCAGGAGTACCAACGACGGTGCCTTTCCTGCTAAGTCCTCTTGAAAGAATGTCGTCGAAGTAATGCGCTGCGGCGGTGGAGGGTGTACGCGGAGTCTGCGGTAGACGACAGTTGATCCCCGTGTCGTGGATCATTTTCGCCATCAGCCCGGTCCAGCCGCATTGGTGGCTCGCGCCGAGACCACGTCCGGTATCCCCGTCGAAGAACTCAAAGAACCATAGGTAGTCCTTCCAATGTGGGTCGAAGTCGAGGGTATCATTGCCTGCATTTATGGCACGACGACCTTCACTGTCCCGCACCATGAGATGCTGAAGCCGGTGCTGAACCTCTTCGGCAACATGGCCAAGGTGCATGTATTCGCCAGAGCCAGTGGGACACTCGATCTGAAGAGAGGTCCCATAGAACATATAGTACCGGAGAAGGGACTCGACCAGAAGGAAATTCACAGCAATCCAGATCGGGCCGCGCCAGTTTGAGTTGCCGCCGAAGAGGCCTGAGTCAGAGTCGCCGGGCACGTAGCTAACTTTGAATTGTTGGCCGTTGACATCCATGCTGACAGGATGGTCTTCGTGGTACTTGGACAAGCTGCGGATACCATGCTCCGACAGGAACTCTGTCTCGTCGAGCATCCTCTTCAAGATCTTCTCTAGCCGCTCCTTGCTGACTAGAGATAGAAGGAGCCGCTCATCCTTCCCTCTTTTGCGCATGGAGGCAATGTTTCGTTCCGCAACGTCGTGGCGATTTTCGATAAACCAATCCATTCGCCTTTTGAAGTTGGGAAACTTGTTGATTAGCTCCGGCTCCAATGTCAGGACCGCATATAGTGGGATGAGGCCGACGAGAGACCGTACGCGCATTTGCTGGCTCCATGGTCCGCCCCAAGAGATGGCGTCGTAGTAAAATCCGTCCTCCTCGTTCCACAAGCTCTTTTCTTTGCCACCGGCACGGAAGCTCATCGCATCTGCGATCAAGAGAAAGTGCTCGAAGAACTTTGAGGCAATGTCCTCGTATATTCGTCTATGCTTAGCCAATTCCAGTGCGATGTTCAGCATGCAGAGGCAGTAAAATGCCATCCACCCTGTGCTGTCGGCTTGCTCGAGCACTCCACCGGTAGGTAGCGGCTCGGAACGGTTGAACAAACCAATGTTGTCCAGACCCAGAAAGCCGCCTTCGAACACATTTTTGCCCTCGTAGTCCTTGCGGTTGACCCACCAGGTAAAGTTGAGGAGCAACTTCTGGAAAACGCGTTCGAGGAAATCTAGATCCTGTCTTCCGTACATTTTTCGTTCAATCTTGAATGTCCGGAAGACGGACCATGCGTGCACCGGGGGATTGACATCGCCGAAATTCCACTCATAGGCTGGGAGCTGCCCGTTAGGGTGCATGTACCATTCACGAGTGAACAGATCGAGCTGCTTCTTCGCAAATTCTGGGTCGATCATGGCAAGCGGGATACAGTGGAAAGCCGAGTCCCACGCTGCGAAGAACGGATACTCCCAGGAATCCGGCATTGAGAGAATGTCGTCCAGATGCATATGCTTCCAATGCAGATTCCGGACATTCTTGCGGTTCTCCGGCGGAGGGGGCATATTAGGGTCGCCGTTAGCCCACTGATCCCATATGAAGTAATAATGCTGTTTGCACCAGAGCATGCCGGCAAGGGCCTGGCGCTGGATATTCCTCAAATCTTCGGCCATGGGAAGAGGGCTGATTCTGTAGTAGAACTCGTCGGCTTCCTGCCGTCTTTGCTCAATAATGTCGTCCAGAAGCTCCTCGTTAAGGTAGCCGTCGTACTTGCGAGACAGGCGGAATCTGACAACAGCGCACTCTCCTGGAGGAACCCCGTCGCCTTGGCCAAAGTCGTACCAAGCAGCGCATTTGGTGCCAGAGCAGCGAGGATTGATGGCTCCCTTCTCTTCATCGACAATCCACCGGTGGAAAGCGTCCTTGACGTATGATTGCTTGTTCTTGACCCCATAAAGCTTTTGGAGGTTGGTGTCATTTTCCGTGAACATGAGTTGTGGATGAACATCATCAGCATTTGGACCACAGCCTGGTGATGGAGACAGTTGGAAGAAGCGATGGCCGAGCTTGTAGTGTTTGGACTGTGCGGTCATCGGTCCCACCATGCGGATGTTGGGTTTGAGCTTTTCAGACTCATGGCCCCAAGACCAAGTGTTTCTGAACCACATGTGAGGGATGATATGCAACGGAGCTGGCTCCGGGCCACGGTTGTAGGCCGTGACTCGAAATAGCAGCTCTTCAGGTTCATCTGTCTCTTTCGCTGTCTCGATGAAGATGTCAAAGTAACGATTGTCCTTGAAAGCGTCCGAGTCGATGATGTTGAATTCACGCTCGTGCTTGCCACGTTTTGCATTTTCCTGGATCAGTTGTTCGTAGGGAAACCGTCTCTGAGGGAGCTTGTAGAGGTATTTCATATACGCTGGAGAGATGTCAGCTGAATGTTTCTCGAGTTTGCAGTTGCCCAACTTACAATGCGTTGGAACATTGTCCAAATGAAAGTGTGCCTCCTTGATACTTTCCCCGTGGTTTCCCTGAGGATTGCTTAGACCGAAGAGCCTCTCCTTCAAGAAGTCGTCCTTCTCGTTCCAAAACGCAAAGGCCACGTTCTGGAGTCCATGAGTATCGGACACTCCAGCAATGCCATCTTCCCCCCAGCGGTAGGCTCTAGACCGGGATTGGTCATGAGAGAAATGACTCCATGCGTCACCATTGTCTGAGTAGTCTTCACGCACAGTTGCCCACTGACGTTCAGCAACATAGGGACCCCATTTCTTCCAGTATTTCGTACGCTCGCGGTCCTCTTTCAGCCGCTTCTCTTCCTCACACAAGTACTCATGGTGGTCAACAACAACCATATCGCATCAACGGAAGGCGATTCCGGTTGTGATATACCTGGGACAGGTCAACGCAGATCAGCACATGCAGCGGAGTGAGCGTTCCGGCTGTGTGAAACCGGGAAAATGAATGAAGGTGAGTATATGCTAGGACTGAGGTAGAGATGAAGTAGGGATAAGGATGGACCGAGAGGTCTCCAGCAGCATGAACCTCCTGTATAGAAGGAAAAATGAGCGACAGAGGCTGGGCTTCGTGAGAAGGTCGGAAAGACAGAAAAATTCCCCAAGTCGCAGGGGGGATGACGATCGGCGAAATCGAAATCGAATTCTTGATGGGAATTGGCAGCCGCCGTGTCGGTCGCCGTTGCCATCCCACCTGCCCACCAGCTCACCAGCTATGTACGTAGAGCTTGCAGAACCTGTGCAGGAATCTGGGCAGGAACAGTCGTCAGCGGCGCCAAAAGGCCCCATTGAACTGCGGCTAGTGAGGCTCTGATGAGCGGCGATAGGCTGTGCCCAATCTCTCTGGGCACCCGCTAACCCAGCCACTCGGTCGGCTGGTGGGCTCAACACTGAACAGGTTTCCCGCCCCAGTTCCCACGCCCCAAACACCAACAAACCTGGCCTAGAGCCCCGCGCCAGGTAACGACAAGGCTGCCAGTGCTACTTGCCTCGTACATATTTAGGTGCCTAGTCGCTAGGTACCTTGTAGCTCGTAGTTAACTAATGCCATGCCCCTAGGCGCCTGGGTCGGCCTGGCGAGCTGGGGTAAATACTTCGTACCCTGTACTCATTACCACGCCCTTCTCCTACGTGTGAGGTAGCACCTATTAGGTAGCGGACACAGCCTGCAAGGTGATTTATCAATATCTGTCATTGTTAATCACGGTTCTCTGCTTTCTGCTACAAATCTTACATCTCTCGCACGCTTGCTAGCTGCGTAATTTGAATCTAGAAGCAGCTTTCCCCGTTCGTACCAGATCCCAGCCAGGCGAATTGAATATCTATGCTAATTTAAGTACCCGAGCCTCGTGGTATTTCTCCTGTTCCCTTTTTATTTCCAATGGATTGCAATCCCAGAAATCTGATTGTGGTACAAGTGTCCGTATGCAACTCGGCTGTGCTTCCAACTCCTCCAAAGATGCAGAGCTGCAATGCCGGTCATCATTTAAACAGCGCCAGAATCTCCTTCATATGCTGTTCGCGCACCTCTTGCTTGCTCAACTGCTTGTAATTTTGATTTACCGACACGTCGGCCAACTGCTGTTTTCGTCTCTGCAATTCCACAATCTTGCCTTCAATACTATTTTCGATTTGATACCGTTTGACGAGGACGGGGCGCTTCTGCCCGATGCGATAAATTCGATCCACTGCTTGCGCTTCGGCTGCCGGGTTCCACATCGGCTCCATGATGAACGCTCGCGATGCAGCCGTCAGATTCAGTCCTTGTCCGGCAGCCTTGATCGACGCCAGGAGAATTCTGATGGTGTTATCTGATGCGAGCGCATCCAGCGACTTCTTGCGGCTGTTGAGGGACATGGTGCCATCAATGCGCACGAAACAGTGGCCATGATCGGTCAATGCCCTCTCGATGAGATCCAGGTGCGACGTAAATTCGGAAAAGACGACACATTTCAGAGGGGCTTCTCCAGCAGCCTCCAACGCTTCGCTCTCTTGGTTCATTTGCTCAATATCTGCCAACAGTGCCCTCGTCTTAGTATGAGGCCCGGTGTAAGTCTGCGCGCATTCATCTTCTTCCTGTTGGGCGATGGTATCGTCTGGCGCCACGAGGATGTCTTGCGCAGTGGATCCACTAAATCCAACATACTGGGCAGTAATTTGGGCGGAACAGAATGGACAGGTAATGACTTCCTTGTCCGTCATGCTGTCAAAGGACGGCTTTGTCGGATTGAAACAGTCGGCACAAACGAGGTCGAAGCATGGGAGGATGAAGCATCGAAGCGCCTGCTCCTCGTCATCTTCGGCCTTCACAACTTCCTTGGTGATGCTCCGTTCACAGTTCCTGCACACATCCAGCTCAGCCTCGGTCCTCAGATTCAATGCCTCATAAGCTGCTTTTCTCGATATGGTTGGTAGTGGAGCATCTTCGTCGACGTCAATAGCGTCAGCGGCGCTAATCCCTTTCAGCAGCTTTAGATCATTCTCCTTGAGCAACTCTCGACCGTGGGCGCAAATGAGCCGTAAGGTCATGATGCCACGGAGCACATGATGTTGAACTCCACTGTTCTTCTCTTTTGTACGAGTGAGCTGTTCAATTTGGACATGAGCAACTCCTTTGAAAAAGTCATGCAGTCGTCTTTCTTCGTCTGAAAAAGTCAATTTGGCCACAAAGTCTTTTCTCTCCGGCAGGTCGATTCGGTCTCGAAGTCGACGGAGTGTGAATGAATCCACAAAGACACGCAATGCCTTCAAAAACGCCGGATCGCCTGCTTGCGCCGGTCCTCGAATGTACTGATTAAATCGGCCTGACGTATCATAAGGATACATGCGGAGGAATCTCGTCAGAGACCCCAGGTCGTCCAATCGATTTTGGATAGGCGTTCCAGTCAAGCACCAGCGCCGTTGGGCCTCGAGACTGTAGCAGGCCTGTGACTGGAGAGCCTTTTGTTCTCTAATCGTATGCGCTTCGTCAAGCACTATTCTGAACCATTTTACCTGTCTCAGGGGGCTCACGGTTGCAGCAGTCTTGGAGAATTCAGAAGCCACCACCCCATATGTCGTGATGATCATCTCGTATTTCAGCAACTTGAATGGGTTCTTTTCCCGAGTTGGGCCATGATAAACGTAGTAATTCATGGTTCCAGGCTGGACATGCTGTGCGATCTGATCCTCCCAGTTTTTCACTGTGCTCGTCGGACAGATTATCACTGTCGCCTTGCTGTTAGATAATATGATGTGCTGCATGTCCTGATTGTCGCGCACTGGTTGCTCACTCGCAAACAGTTCAGCCTCCCCTAATGTACTTGCGATGAGGGAGAGGGCTTCCAGCGTCTTTCCGAGACCCATAACATCTGCAAGGAGACCACCAAGGACTTGCTCGGGCTCATCTCTGACAGAAAGACCTGTGACGACTTCGTGATAAGCGACGTCCCCATTCTTCCGTTGTTTCCGCCGCCAGAGTGAAGAATTATCTGCTTCATCACTGCCAAAAGTGCGCGGCTGCTCTTGTCGCAGAAGAAATGTGAGAGCCTGCTTCTGGTGACTAAGTAGAGGTGTTGTAATGATGGACGGTGGCGGACTGGTTTCAACCAGAGGCCGACTTGCATTTGCGAAAGAGTCAAAGAGCTTCGAGACTGCTTCTGTGGCTTCTTCAAGAGTGCGTGTGTCGGACAGGGTTCTCACCTGGCCCGCAGCACGCGGGGCTGGGAAAACCGGCTTTTTCTGTCCATGCGGATTAACGATTGGGATACCCGGTTCCGAAGCCATTGGTGGGCGGAACCAGAAGTTGTGTTGGCCAAAGTGCCTACCAACCTTACCGACATCTCCACGTCGGCCGTAAAGGTTAACAATCATCTTAAGCTGTTCAGAGCAAGGCTGGTGGGGCCACTCATTTGGTTTTTTGCGTCGATTGATCAATTTCGCCTGCGTACGAAACCCCTTCAGTCCATCTATGGCCGGTGCAAGCGCCGCAGCAAAGTCAGGGTTGACTTTGGCGAAGGTTGTACCCACCGGATCTTGCACGTCAATCACCGTGTCCTTTGACGGTTTGCGGATGAGGGTACACTTCATGACCGGCCATTCTCGCTCCTGGTGGAAGGAACTTGCAGTCGTTTTGGGCTTCGGGAGGAGGTGCGCTTGTGCGGTTGTTGCGATGTGGCCGTAGCATACCTCTTGATCATCGAGCGACCGAGAGGATATGATCTGAACATCATCATCCCCATCTTCTTCGTCATTGGTGAGATCAACCAGGCTGTTCTTGGTTACCTCGGCTGCTTGGTTGGGATCTGGTCGCATATATTCACCGACGATTCCATTGCCATGACGATAAGAGGACTTGCCCATCTTTGGTCTTTGCTCGCGCTGGTCTTCGGCGCTCAGTTTTACCTTTTTACGAGGATTGCTGATGCGGTCCTCTACCCCATAAATGCTTTCGAGCATGGATTTTTTCACACCATCCATGTGACCGGCTTCTCCTTTGGGTGAAGTTGAATCTCTTGGAGTTGAAGCAGATGTCGCAGATTTTAGAGATCGATTCAACGCCCGAGGGTCGAGAAGGGCCCTACGGTTAAAGTCATGAGGCAGCTTTGAGAGACTGTTAGATGATAGTGAAGGAGATGATGAGCGCGATGTGGTAGAGCCCGGTTTTCGAGGAGACTCTGACCTTGTGGTGTGGGATTGATCAGCGAAGGACATGTGTTTCCCTGTAGTTCCTGAAATAAAAGAGCGTCAGCTTGTCACTTGTCCAAGGAACTTTGTTCTCGATTTTGTTTGAGTCCTTGCGCCTGCCAACTTGACGGAAGTCCACTCAGATCACTGTTTTGCCCAAGTCCAAGAGTGACAAGAGGCATTGACCGGTAATTTGAGAATCCCGTTTGTGTGAGTTGAGGAGTCAGACTTGGTTTTGGGTAAGGGTTCATCTAGGGCAAGGTATGATCTAAAAATAAGGATTTCATGAGTCTTGGGCGTTCAGATTTACCTGATGTCTTAGGCATTTTCTTCAAGGATTTGGGGTCCAGCAACATATGAGCGTTGCTCGCCATATCCTATGTTTGTTTCTCGTCCACGACTACAGAAGCGTGTCACTTGTTTGTGACAATTGTGACTGCAGATCGGTTGAAGTGAAGGGGGTGGCGAATCATGTTGCGGCATGCGGCGTGCGACAAGCCTCACAAATGATGCTCGCGTGGATGAGTGAAAGCCGCAATGAGATGATATGACTATGGGATGAGACGCACGCCACTACAGCAGTCAGGAGCACCGGCTTGGAAAAGCCATGACAAGAGAAAGATTGCAGTCAGTGATGGAAGGAGTTTTATTAGGTTCTGAATCAAAAGACGCGCTCGTACTAGGGCGGTTGCAGCCTTGCGCTAAAACAGCAAATAATGGTTGGCGAGGCTGAGCGAGGCTGAGTAAAATCTGGCCCTTCTCTGACGCTGATTCGTCCCACAGTGACAAAGGATGTACCCAAAGGAAAGAGACGCTATGTAAGAGACCATTGACCTTCATGACGTAGTATTACTTCCAAGTGCTGACCAGGCAATTTTGCGACTTCTTTCGCCGCTTGCTGATTGAGTCCTTTCTTCCAACGCAAAATGCCGTGATAACCTCTTTTTATGTAATATCATTCGCACCGTCATCTGGCGCACGCGAGCCCACCATCCAATCTTCAAGGGCTAGCCACTCACTCCAGGTCCTCTCGGCCGCCTCAACCTCGGCGTCAGTAGGGTCATACAGCGGCCGCATGAAGGGTACCGTCTCCAAGGGGGGTATGTCATAGTCTCTTTTGACCGCCGCCCACCCGCCACTTTTGGCGGCAAAGAGGTAGTTCCTTCTTTCTTGCTCTCGTTGTGGCCCAATCCCAGCTCTCCAGTCGTCGCCGAAAAATCCGTGCAGGACTTGGGGCACATCCATTCCCGTGACCACAAGACGCCGCAGATATGGAATGAGAGATACAGCGGAGGCGGCGGCAGTTGCTTCGGAAGCAGAAGGCCTTACTGCATCTCTATCCAGCCGCGCTTTCCCACTTCGAGATCCGGACGTGGTGTAGACAGGATGCGGCTGACGCTGGAACGGGAGCAGAATGTTGATAAATGACGCGAACGCCTGGACAAGCGGCTCGTGCTGGGCATGATCTATAAAATAGCGCTGACAGCTTTGATATTTGGGAAACCACGCGATGATGTCGAATTGAAAGCCTCCTCCTGCTGGGCGTTTGCCGTGGCTGTCCGCTTCCGAAGGGCTACTGATGCCAGTAAACGCTGCATCGCGAACAGACCTCGGTGCGCTGAAGTTACTTTCGGACGACGATGACGAGAACGCCATATTGGCTAGCAGCTCCTGAGAACCGTGCTAAAAGCGCCGTCAAAACTGAGAGAGCCGCTCTGAAAGGGAAAAAAGACGCATGCAAGTCTCCCGCCCACGATAAGTCGAGGATGAAGTGGCATCAGGCTTAGGTGCATCCGTGTCCAATGCGCGCATCATGAGAGACGCAGCATCGATATATCAGACAACAGGAATATTGACACGTTCGACGGGACTATGCCTTCATGCTACGTGCCGAGACCACAGGGTGTTGACATGCGGAAACCGGGGGGCGGTGAAGACGTGCAAAAACAGCTGAAAGGGACAAGCTGTGAATTGTGCACTAGGTTCGTTGAACGATGGGGTTTCTTTCCCTCGCCACCAGATTGTACTCCCGAGGATGAGGGAAAACGGAGGGAGCAGCAGCGATGAAATAGTCCAGTTCCGAGGCTGCGTAAAAATGTGCCGTCAAGGGACGAAGATGAAACTTTGTTTGCGCGCTGGATATTTAATGAGCTGTTTTGATGGGGATGCACCGTAGGGTCGGAAATGGAATTAATGCGACAGCCTCATGGCACATGCCAATCAACACGCTACCAACGGCCACCAACGGCTTTCACAGCGGTTCCCTCTGGCATGGCATCTGCCGGCCTTGAAGACGAATCATATTCCTCTTGAGCATCACTAGCACTTGAGTAATCTCCCCGCCGGCATTCGATTCCGCTAGGTACAAGTAGCCGGATTTCGTACTCAATGGGCCCTTGCCGGCCAAGTTCCACGTCCAGAGCGCCGTCTCATCTACAAAGAGAGGAGAGAATATATATGCGCAGCAGCATCAATGGCGCCGAACAGCTTCTCACTGTCGTCTCGACTTCCTCTACCGAATGGCCTCTCCATTCCTCAGATCCACTTGGGTGTGTACCTGATGTCAAACCGAGAAGCTTCGCAGGCAGTCAAATGGGCCCTTGAAGCAGGATATCGCGGGGTCGACAGTGCTCAGATGTACCGAAATGAACGAGCCTGCGGCCAGGCCATATTATCCTTCCTAAATGACAAAGCCAGCAACACCGCTGGCTTGACACGAGAGGACATCTTCTTCACCTCTAAACTGGCGTCAAACACAAGCTATGACACTGCTCGTCGCTCAATTAGACAATCAGTGGAAGCAAGTGGCCTGGGTTACATTGATTTGTTCCTTCTTCACAGCCCATATGGAGGGATGAGCGCTCGCCTCTCTAGTTGGAGAGCTATCGAGGACGCCATCCAGGACGGCGAGATCAAGCTCGGAGGGGTCAGTAACTTTGGGATCAAGCATTTGGACGAGCTTGTTGCCTCCAAGCCACGCATCATGCCCTGTGTCAACCAGATCGAAGTCCACCGTGAGCTGATCCCCTCAGATATAATTTGTATTCCGAACAACCACGCTGACCTCCTGCATTTAGCATTCAATACCCGGATAGATATTGTCGAAACATGTCGCAAGTATGGCATCCTAATCGAGGCCTACGCTCCTCTTGCGAGAGCTCTGCGCATGGAGCACCCGACCATTGTATCACTCTCGAAGAAATACAAATGCACTCCTGCGCAACTGATGGTCAGGTGGAGTCTTCAACACGGGTATATTCCACTGCCTAAAAGCGTATCTCGAGACCGAATCAGGTCAAATGGTGATGTTGGCCATTTTGAGATTTCCAACGAAGACATGCAGACAATGGACCGTTTAGACGAATACTTAGTGACCGACTGGGATCCCGTCGACGCGGACTAAGGCCTAGACTGCAGCTTTACGGATGACCAAGCGCTTTTTAACCGGGGGAGTGGCCCGGCCATTGCGGTTGTACTGGAGAACAACAACCAAGCAGAACCTGACTGGCATCCGGTTGAACATTGCATATTCAGCTTGTTCCTGTCAGGTGATTCCCGAGCAACCAACAAGATAGCCAACAATATTCTTCCCAGAAGCCTGGCCAACGCAGAAGGACGAAGTAGATGCAGAAGCAAAGCTGACCCGCAGCCACCCATGATGTCAACGGCGTTCCGAGTACGGAGTATGTTGCACTGGAATGCAGGTCCCAGGCATTTGGGCTTCGAAGGTGGAAGTTCCCTCTTTTTCATGCCCTGTGCACTATGGCCATAGAGGAGACAGGCGGAGATTGGAGGCTGGTGGAGCAGCAGCGGACAGAAAAGTCTTCTTCGATACACAAGCCCTAGTAACTCCTACAAGTCAAGCCCTGCAAGCCCCAGAGATTTTAACAGTGCGAGAACATTTCACCCCGCATCATTTTTTTGTGTGCGTGTGAAACAGAGAACAGCATTTCGGGTCCGAGTCTCCCCTGCAAGTGAAGTGATTGGGATATGTGATTTTTGATTGGAACAGAAGTCTCACGAGTCCCAAGATGCGCATTCGATGAACGGATGATCTTCCGACTAGTGCACGCAAGGTCTTCCTTGTAAAAAAGACGGCGATTCAGGGTTTATTCCAGCTTAAGCATTATTCTTGTCCTCGTATGTACTGTACGCAGGTATCCAACGGCGGAGATAAGGTTGGTAAATTGGGCCCCCTTCGATTGCTTAGTGGGGGAGGTGACCAACATTGTATCGAGGATATGTAGGGATGGTGGTCATTCCTGGGGAGATTCGGCCTTGCTCGGAGCATGGGGTACCTTTCGTGGTCGATTTGTCCGTGCTTTGTCACTTGTGCACCTGAGAGTGTGCAGAGATTTGCGAAGGGCTCGAAACAGCGGATCGTTGAGACTTTACCGACAGAGGATAAGAAAAAGAAAAGCAATGAGACGACGACGACGACGACAACAGAGCAGTGGCTGGGACTCAGTACTCAGTAAAACTTCTGGCAATGGGTGCTCAGACGGAAGAGGGCTTACTTCAGCGACTGGCTGTCCCGCTTTCCACGTTGTTTCGCCCCCAGCTTTTATTCTTCTCCTACCCGCCTCGCTTGGAGTGGCCGATGTACAAGCGATTCTCGACACTCTCTCGTGTCTCCCATATCCTAGGATGGAGTGGCGCTGGGAGGTTCCTCTGTCTCGGCTTCAATAAGCCCGGGAGGAGGAGCGGACAAAGAGAGTGCTTACGGTCAAATTTCAACTGCCGCTGGCTGGAAGGATCCTGGACACCGGTATACCAGTCAGTCCTGCAACAAGAACGCTCAAAGGGGGAGTGGGACTTGGATCACGATCTGCTCCCAGTAGCAGAGTTTTCTCTTGCTCCCCTTGCCACAAGGCAGGATTGACATCAATACGCTCCCGTCTCTTCGCCCTGTTTCATTTCGCCTTTCATAGGGGGAAGTCGAGTCGTGACAATGGACTTAGGATCGAACAGGAGTGAGCATATTGCGGCCTCCATACTCGATACCGAGTACTCGAAACAGCGACTATCGCCCCCTTAAACCAGCTGCCTGTGTTTTGCCGGAAGATGGAGTTGCTGTGGGTTGACGGGGCGATTTTCTAGGCCTCATGCTCAAGCAAAGCGCAGGCAAGCCGCCTATCGAGCCATCTCTCGGGCTCTGAACCGTGCTGAGTCAGTCTGCAAACCCCCTTGTCTATTCATCCGATTATCTTTGGTTGGGCGGCAGATGTTACGTTAGCTGCAGAAGTGGCGTATGATGGGTGCTAGGTGCTGGTTGCTGGTTGCTGGTCACTGGTTATGGGATAGAGGAAAACCATCGACAAGTTTGCATATTCGCTGGTGGTCAGGTAGGTTCCTGCGCGTCGACTTGGGATTCAGCTCACTGGTCGCTCCTGGCCCCGGGAGGCCTGGCTAATTGCTGCCTTAGTCAGGACTCCAGTGTACCAAGTGCCCATCCATCTCGCCCACCTGGCTCTGGCATCTGGCCTTTCAATACTGTCAAGTCCTGTATGAATGTAGTAGGTACAGCGTACCTCGTACCCGGTACCGTTGTATCTCGTCGATGAGTTCGGCCTCTACCACCTTGGACGGCCTCCACTCTCAATCCCACGCCCGATTCCCTTTCCTAAGTCCCCGACGACAGACCCTGCCAGGTGCCCTAGTTCTTGCAGCGTCAACAGTTGGATGGTTGCGGACGCATAAATAGTGACGGCCAATGTACCAGCTGCCACCAGTCACAGGCCACATAGACCGCCCATTGGCTAAAAGGGCACTAAACGGGGTGTCCGCGCAAATCATCCGCCCTCTACCAGCAGAGTAAACCGAGTACCCAAAACGTGCTCGCGCGATAGACAGGGCTTTTAACTAAGTCAGCTCGGCCACTTAGGGACCACTGGGCGGCCCTGGTCTGCCCTGACGCCCCTCCACGCCCCCGGCCACGGGCATCTCCCACTGTGCGACAGCGCCAATCCGGGTACCACAGAGGGCCTCGGGTGCCTCCAGCAGTCAAGACTTGCCCTGCAGATTCCCTTGCGCGATCGCCCTCAAATCCTTCCACCTCGTCGTCAGTTTCACAACGGTCCCCTTCCCTCCAATTCCCAAATTCCCAATTCCTTTGAGCTTGTTCCCTCGGTATCGCCTCCTGAAAGTCTATTCACACCTACTCTGTGCCCGTTGAGAGAACGACGTAGAGCTACAAAAAGCTCTCCCTAATTGTCGCCCACCCTGACAGCTTAGACGATTCATCGTTCACCTTCTGCTAATATTTTCCCCTCCCCAAGATACTCCGAACTCGCACGATGCATCTTCCGCCGCCAGTTCGTTGAAACGTTCCCAACTGCGCCGCTCACGTCCTACTTCCTGTGAATCGCCTGCGTATCATTGCCACTCTGCTGTTCCCTCCACTCTTCCTGCGGCCATCTCCATTGCGACTTCACACATGTGAAAGCGATCGGCCTTTGTCCTGATCTAGACCTCTTTCCCAGAGGATATTGATACTTGTCGCCACGCTTATCGACGGGGAAATCTGGTCCAACTGCCTGTAAGATACAAGAGGAGGGACGTATTTCAGGAGACGTTGCAGTACACATATTTAAGATATTCCAGCACCAATTCTATATTCCCCGTCCCGAATCAGTCGTATCATGGACTTCTCGTACTTCACCTCAGCCCCGCAGCCCTACCAGTTCTTTGGCTTGCCTCACACCCCTTCCACCACACAAACAAGTCATCTGGACGAGTTCAGGACCGCTCCTCCTACTGTGAGCTGCTCCCTGTTCGTGAGGTGTCTGAGAATGTGGCTAACTGTCTTGTAGGATCAATATGACGCCGCCTTCGCGGCATTTCAGCAAAGTTTCCACTATGACCCTGCCACGTTTCTCGCCCAGCCGCATCAGGCGCCCACTCAATCTCCAGCGATCCAGGGACGCCATGACTCGATGGTGTCCATGCCAGAAGTGGATATGACAAGTCTCACTGCACCTGCAGTCGACGTGACGACTGATGAACCTACGGTAGCAAGAAGCAGCAGCGAAGAGAAGGACACCTTGACACCCCAGCAAAGCCGCAGGAAGGCACAAAACAGAGCTGCGTAAGACCACTGAAAGCTAGACCTCTCGAGGAGTAAATGATTCTAACAGTGATCCTCAGCCAACGAGCGTTTCGAGAGCGCAAGGAGAAACACGTGAAGGATCTCGAGGCGAAGTTGACAAGTCTGCAACACCAGTCGGTGACCCTGAACGGCGAAAACGAAAGGTTGCGGCGTGAGCTCGCGAAAATTGCAACCGAGAATGAGATCCTTCGCGCTACATCTGGTGCGGCGTCGAATGGTCCGACACCGTTTCTGGAAGAGCCAGATGAGTTGGTCGGGCCGTTGGGGTATGTCCCCACCGATCGACATTCGAAAGACCGCTCTCCGGCTAGCAGCAGTGGTTCATCCTTCGACATGAGCTCCAAATACGCCCACTTTGGCACATTAAGGACTATCACGGTGGACAATGACACTGGAGAACCTTTACTTGGGGCCGGCGCCACCTGGGACTACATTCAAGCCCACGAACTCTTCCGCAAGGGTCTGGTGGACGTCGGCGATGTCTGTGAGCGCTTGAAAAAGATGGCGAGATGCGACGGCCAGGGGCCCATCTTCCTCGAAAGTGATGTTCGGATGGCGATTGCTGAGAGCGCCGTCGCCGGAGGGCGTGATGAGCTGATATGAGTCCTGTTCATCGCTCCCCAAAAACTTGAGCCTCACCTCTCCACCAATCCCCACACCTCTGATTGAAAGTTCTATGACCAAGCGTTGGCGCTCAGGAGTATTGGTTGCTATTATGTCAAGCGAGAGGGCTACGCATTTGGAGGAATTCTGTCAGCGTGATTTGTGCAGTCTGTTCACCTTTCCTATACGACGAGGCGAAATGTCTCCCAAATTCGTACCTGGCGACTTTCCTGGTTCCACTGCGTACCGCGAGAGATTACCAGGAACCTTCATCACCAAAAATCCTCCAATCCCCACAGCTATCTCAGCATGCAGCTCTGCAAGGGCACGGAGATTTGCATGCAACGCTCTTCAGCCCTTTACCCAAGTGGATCGTGGCTGTTTCTGACAAATGGGTCTTGGCTACCTTAGGTCAGCCGAACCCTTTCTCCCACATGGGCGCCACGAGCAAACACATGTATGAATTACCACCCTAACCGCCTATCTGCACCGAAGACCACCGCTTTCTGGAAATAGAGAACATTTCTGGGTCACACACCATCTTGTTCTGCCGAATCCGATTACCGAATAAGATACGCGAGCCTTGAAAACTTCTGGACTGCCGCCCCTTTGCCTCATGTGGTCAAGACGCCGTTTCTGGCTTTATATGCTGGACAGACGAAGCAACCACTGTTAACTGGACAATGGTACCACCTTTGGAGTTCTCAGAATCCGAGATCCATGATCAGGGACGCATATCTCTCAGTGGCGTTGGAGATTCGCAGCAGCGGCACCGACCCTGGATGAATCGAATCATATTGTTTGGCACCACCGGGTCGCCTTAAGGCCTAGTCCCATGCACGACGTCCCGGCCCACGCAGGCGTAGAAATTTTGAGACCTCCAATATGTGCAAAGGCGGCCATTTGTTGGAAGCTATTGGGTAACCAGGTAGTGTTATGGGCAAAATGGATCGGCTCAGACCTTTGGAATCATGTACGTGTGTGAGCTGGCGTAGCAGAGCTCGCATGGCTCTCCCACATTGGCCAATGGCCACGGTTCATCGTATCAGCCTGGCTGAGGTTGAAGGCTGTGCAAATCAATTGGAAAGAATCACTCGATCAGTCCCAGTCGTCATCATCATCATTGTCTTGATCGTTTTGCATCTCATCTTCGTTGTCCTCCTTTCCTTTGAGCCGCATGTCATTCTCTGTGAGCGCGCCGACCTCAACAAGAAGGCGCTCAAGATCTTCCAGGCTCGTTCTCACACCGCTAAGCTGGGCCAGAGTAACAACCTGGCGCTTGATATCGCCATCCTTGTAGACTAGAATGGTCGGCGTGTTCTTCTCGGGATAGCCCTCGATGCACAGATCGGCACGCATCTCGCAAAACTTGATGTCTCCGAATTTTCTTGCGGCTTGTCTCCAGATGTTGGACAGGACCCGAGACTCGACATTAGTGCCTAGGGAAGAGGTTAAATTGACCAAAACATATGCCTTGGACGATTCCTCCGTGACATCCCGCGCATAATCTGGCTTTTGAAGCGGAAAGACTTGACCATAAAGTGACTTTTTCTGCAAGCTTGCAAGTTCGGCGAGGCGTTTCCGGCGATAAATCTCTAGAAATGCTTCATCTTCCTCGTCTTCGAGGTCATGAAGTTCATCCAGATCTTTGTCTTCTAGCCGATTCTCATGGGCCTTCTTCACCGCTTCAAGTAAAGCTTCTTGAATTATTGGTTCCGGATCGGGTTGCTTTTCGGGGATGATGCCATGTTTGCGAAGGATGTCGTTCCTGTATATGTCACAGAAACCATGTTAGATGGCAGGAGAAGCACTGGGGAAGGATGGGGCGAGACGAACCATTCTGTGTCTGCATTGGGATCATCGACGGGGACATTGACAGGCATATCCATTGTGAGCCAAGAAGCGCGCAGGCAGAAAAGAAAGGATACTGAAAGAGAAAGAGTCTGTTGGTGACAATGAGAAGAAATGTCAAGATATATCAAGATTCCATTCTCATCAGCGGCCTTCCAAGTGGCGTGAAGGATAAAGCCACAGTGTGGCTGGTGCTGTAAAACTGTGGCTGTTGCACAGACTCCGCACAAATTATTGACGGATGGAGGAGGACACCGTCGACAACTCCAGCCCACGTCCGACGCCAGACCAGAGGCCTCGACAGCATTGGCAACCAGCCAAGTTTCTCCCTCCGATTGACTGACATCTATTTCTGTTCGCTTCACGTCCCTCCTTGTTCCCAGCTTCAATCCTGCGAAATGATTCTCCGGTAGTGGCATACAGAATCCCCGTACCAGCTCGTTCTTGCCCTAGGGGCATGCTTGTCATCCTGAATCTCTACCAACCCATCGATTGAATGCGTGCGTGGTGCTACTGTTCAATATGAGTTACGCAAAGAAAGACGAGGATGCCGAACACTCCGGCTTCAAGCTGGATCGAACTTCTGTTTTCCAAGATGGTATTGCCTCCCCCTGTTTGGCTTTCACTGCCCAACACACCGTTTGCAAAGATTGACCCATATCTCCTTAGCTCGGCTGTTCAACTCTTCACCTATATCGCCTCGAAAATGCCGCACGCTGCTCACCAAGATCGCCGTCCTCCTCTTCACGGGAGAGAAATTCCCCACAAACGAAGCCACCACTCTTTTTTTCGGAATTTCAAAGTTGTTCCAGAACAAGGATCCCTCGCTGCGTCAAATGGTCTATTTGATACTGAAAGAGCTGGCACATACCGCTGAGGATGTCATCATGTCCACGAGTATCATTATGAAGGATATGACTGTGGGCAGCGAGATCATCTACAAGGCAAATGCTATCCGGGCTCTCTGCAGGATTATCGACGCTACGACGGTTCAGGGTATTGAAAGGCTAATCAAGACTGCTATTGTGGATAAGTCCCCCGCGGTCTCTTCGGCGGCTTTGGTTTCATCGTACCATTTACTTCCAATTGCCAGAGACGTGGTCCGGAGGTGGCAAAGTGAGACTCAAGAGGCCGCATCCTCTTCCAAACCCAGTGGTGGGTTTCTGAGTTTCGGGGGTGGCTCGCAGCATTCACTCGCCGCTGCAAACACCAATTACATGAACCAATATCACGCAATTGGTCTGTTGTATCAGATGCGGTCACACGACCGAATGGCTCTGGTTAAGATGGTGCAACAGTACGGCGCTGCAGGAGCAGTCAAGAGTCCGGCTGGAGTCATGATGCTAGTTCGGCTGGCTGCCCGCCTCGCCGAGGAGGATCCGAGTCTCAGAAAATCTATGATGCAGATGTTGGATACCTGGCTGCGGCATAAGAGCGAGATGGTGAATTTCGAAGCTGCCAAAGCCATTTGCAGCATGCCAGATGTTACCGACGCCGAGGCCGCGCAGGCCATCCACGTCTTGCAATCCTTTTTGACTTCACCAAGAGCGGTCACGAAATTTGCGGCCATCCGTATTCTTCATTCTTTCGCCTCCTTCAAACCCCAAGCCGTCCATTCCGCCAACCCCGATATTGAGGCGCTGATCTCCAACAGCAATCGATCGATCGCTACGTTCGCGATCACAACGTTACTGAAGACCGGCAATGAAGCTAGTGTAGACCGGCTCATGAAGCAAATATCCGGTTTCATGACCGAGATTACGGATGAGTTTAAGATTACCATCGTCGAAGCTATCCGGACGCTCTGTATGAAATTTCCCAGCAAACAGGCCGGCATGCTTACCTTCTTGAGCGGTATTCTGAGAGACGAAGGGGGTTACGAATTCAAACGTGCCGTGGTGGAGAGTATGTTCGATCTGATCAAATTTGTTCCGGGAAGCAAAGAAGAGACATTGTCTCACTTGTGCGAGTTCATTGAAGATTGCGAGTTTACCAAGTTGGCGGTGCGGATTTTGCATCTCATCGGTGTCGAGGGACCAAAGACGCCGCAACCTACAAAATACATCCGCTATATCTACAATCGAGTCGTGCTGGAGAATGCCTTGGTTCGTGCAGCAGCCGTGACTGCCCTTGCGAAGTTTGGTGTCGGGCAAAAGGACCCTGAGGTCAAAAAGAGTGTGCAGGTTCTGTTGACGAGATGTCTAGACGACACGGATGATGAGGTGCGCGACAGGGCAGCGCTGAATCTGCGGCTGATGCAGGAAGAAGACGATATCGCAGATCGCTTCATTAAAAATGACTCGATGTTCTCGCTATCAACCTTCGAACACAAGTTGGTCATGTACGTGACATCGGACGACAAGTCAGTGTTTGCCAAGGCATTCGATATAAAGTCGGTCCCGGTGGTATCTCACGAGCAAGCGTTGGCAGAAGAACGTACGAAGAAACTCACGACCGCAACACCTACACTGAAAGCACCGAGTACGGGACCGGCAAAACCCAAGGCAAACGGAGCCGCAGAAGGACCGGCAGCTGGTGCAGCAGCCGCACAGAAATATACACAGATCTTCGCCAGAATACCCGAGCTTGCAGCATACGGCCCGGTCCTGAAATCGAGTGCTGTGGTTGAACTTACAGAAAGTGAGACCGAATACGTGGTGTCGGCCGTGAAACACATCTTCAAAGAACATGTCGTCATTCAATACGATATCAAGAACACCCTTGAGCAAACTGTGCTCGAGAACGTGACTGTTCTAGCCTCCCCTGCCGACGAAGAAGAGCCCACCCTCGAAGAAGAATTCATCATTCCCGCCACCGCCCTGAAAACCAATGAACCGGGCGTTGTGTATGTTGCATTCCGCAAACTTGGGGGCATATCTGCCTTCCCTGTCACCGCATTCACGAACGTCCTTAAATTCACAAGCAAAGAAATTGACCCGACGACGGGTGAAGCCGAAGAAGGAGGCTATGAAGATGAATATGAAGTTGAGAATCTGGAGTTGACAGGCGCGGACTTTGTCAGTCCGGCATTCGCGGGAAATTTTGATCACATCTGGGAGGGGACAGGGGCAAACGGGGAGGAAGTTAGCGAGACGTTGGTGCTGGGAAATGTCAAGACTTTGGCTGGTAAGCAGGCGCATCATTTCTCGGAACTTTCGATATGTGGTCTTGGTTGCATTGCTAACGTGGACGATCTTGTAGACGCGACGGAACAACTCTCGCAGGCGCTCTCTCTGCAAGCTCTTGATGGCACTGATGTGGTTTTATCCAACACAACCCACACTCTGAAAATGTACGGCAAGTCGGTCACCGGTGGAAGAGTGGCGGCGCTGGTCAAAATGGTGCATTCGGCCAAGGCGGGCGTTACTGTCAAGGTTAGTGTGAGGACGGACGAGACAGGAGGGGGCCTCGCGCAGGGCATCATTGGTGCGCTCTCCTAGGCTCCAAAGCTTGAACCCATTGGGATGGGAATGGAGAGGGAGAGGAAAATCATTGCGACCGCTGCGAAACGGTAGTAAAGGGAAGGGTAGCAGGCCCGGAGTCTGACCCACGCTTGGAGACTGACAAGGCGGTCCGCCATAGAGCAGAATCGAAACGGATATCCAAACTCGCACGATCGAAGTCGCACCCGATCAGAAGCAATTGACACGTGGACCATGGGCGTTTTGTCATTAGGTATTTCGTAACCTCCCAAACGGGTCGGGAGGGAAAATGGAATTTACGCCAAGAGGAAAAGGAAAGAACTCGTGCTGTTTGAGAGTCCGACCCAACCGGGGCGTCATAGACTGTTCGCGTTCTCCAATCCAATGTTCTCTCCCCCGGTCATCTATCTGAGCGATTCAAGGCGGTTGACACCTCCCTCCATGCCGCTCCGCCTTTCAATTCACGAGAGCATATGTCTAAAGTCTATATCTATGCAGCCAATACAACACGAAGGTCGGGCGGGCTTTACGCCAAATTCCCCAAACCGACAGAATCTCCCGTGGTCTTCAGAAGTCGAGGTCGAGGCCGAGCTCGTAGTCAATTTTTGCCGGTGGGTGCTGGGTTGGATGGGATCTGTAGATTCCACTTAGTTTGGTACCTTGCAAGCAGATACTCGAGCGCGTCGTGGCCGATGCCTTGGTTTCGTCGCATTCGTTGAGATTTCGGGACGTTGTTAGGGGCTATATTTGACGGCGTGGGTTGGTTGGTTGAATATATGGTTTCTCTGTCTCGTCCTGGTTGAAATGGGCTGTCCGATCGATCCAAAGATCCCTCTCTGATCAATTGGTTGCCGCTAATTTAAATGGCAAGGTTAACGAGACAAATTGAATCCGATGCCATGTGGAGAGGTATCTCTGGTTGGGGCCTGACGAAATGTGTCTGCTGAGGGCACGGTCGAAAAGTCGATGTCACCGCGCGCAAGTGACCTGTGTAGATGATGTCAATGAAAGAGCGAAGCGCCGTCTGCTCCATAGATTCGGGTGTGAGGTCGCTTCCTGCCCAGCGTCTTTCTTCGTCGGCGTACAGAGCAGGACAGCATGAGGCTAGCGGGACGATGGAGAATGTAGTGACTTATTGGCCGCGCAAGACTCTGAACGCGATCAGGTTTTTTTCTTCGACCGCCCCTTCTTCGCACTGGCAGACACTGGACTTGTTTCCGCGCCGGACGAAACGGTCGTTACGTGTTCAGCTCCACGATCGGCCTGCACGGCGGGCATCATGACGGGAATCCGGTCTGATTTGTCCTTCTTGGCCATCTCCTCCTGTGCAGTCCTCAACACGTCAATATTGCTGCTGAGCCACGTTTGGAATTCCTTGCGCTGCAGATAGCCGTGCGTGTTGAACCATTGTGTGTAGTTTCCGGTGATTTCCTTGTCTTCCCATTTCTTACCGGTCGAGGGGGCCGAGTAGGTGACTTTCAGCTTGTAAACGGGGGAGTGTTTCGTCGCGAACGAGCGCAGTGTAATCTAGTTATCAAACCGGTGTCAGTTGCTCGCATCTGTGATAACATATAAATGGGGTCAGGAGAGACAAACCTTCTGACCTCCCTCTCTGACACCGACAAACACAGTCCCCGCCTCCACCGCCCAGATCCAGTATGTTAATGCGCTATTCAGCACAAAATATGCGGCACATGCAGGACCTGTATATGCCTTTGTGGCATCCCAGCCGAGTTTCCAATCCGCATAGAAGAGTACGCCCGCTATGAGCACAGCTGTGTACCCCAGGGCAAGCTTCACGTTTGTCGTGTAATGTTCTTGCTTGAAGGCGTAGGGCCTTGGGAGTGTCGTGAGATACGGTGCGAGGGCGTCGTCGGTTGCGTTTTTAAGATCTGTCAATACAATTTAGTGAGGATCAGGGACAGTCGGAGGGAGAGCTAACGAGGAGCCGTACCATTGACAGAGTAGAGTGAGACTTTCTGCGGAGGTGATGAAGACATGTTGGATGTTTAGGACCCAAGCCCGAGAAGTACAGAAACCAAAGGAATGGACTATGGCTTTGACATGTACTGTACAGAGTACCGAGTGCGTCGACTGGCTATCACTCGGCTCCGAATGGACACATTGTCCCTTGACAAGATTGTTTTGGGAAATCTGGGGAAATTCCTTGGCATTAAAGATGACTAAGAACTACTCGGTAGGTTTACTTGGAGCTCACGTGCGACTCACCTCGACTGTGCTGCTCAAGTTGACATATCAACACATATGAACCCTCCCCCTTCCCCTCTGCTCTCCTTCACCTTGGCCCTCACCTCGCTCACCTCGCTCACTCTCGTACTCCTCCTTTATCCTAAACCGCTCCACCGCGTGTAGAACTCCCAAGCTGCTCAACTGTCATTCACCCTAGCCAATATCCTCAGAAAGAAATCTTTAAAACAGGAGTCTGCTAGCCTCCAGCTGCCAATTTAATGGAGTATGTGGATTTGCTTGAGTCTCTCTGTGCTTCACCGAGTATCTCCAGAAAGTTCGGTGAGAAGGGTACCGCGACCACTGTTCAGAGGAAGCAAGTGAGAGGCAGGAAGACTCTGGAGGGCTGACACAAGGTTGAGTGTGAGGGCTTTGAAATCTATACAGGTCAATATACAAGTAGACATTGGACGGGGCTTGTGCGGGCATATCTCTGTGGCTCAGCTGAACACCAGCCACCGAGCCAGCTCCTATGGATGGAAGGAGTTCCTTGAATGAAGAAGCTGATTCTGCCCTTCTCCCTCCCTCCCCCCTGCCCAAAAAAAACCACCTCTGTCAGTTACTATCGCCATACGGGCCGCAACACAGCAAGCAGTCTTAACACATGACCAACAAACGGTGCTTCTGTCCCGCACCATCGGCCGAAAAGCACCCTAGGAGATGTGTGGTGTGCTACACGGCTGAAATTGGGGAATACTCGCTTAGGTTGTCTCGCTCTGGGTAAGTATCCATCTACCGACGGCAACGTGAATGAAGTCAACGTGACACGCCCTCGCCCTCGATGTCGCAGGAGCCTACGAGTAAGGATCGATTGCCATATCCGATGTTACCGCACAGTCCGACTATGGTGTCCGAATATTCTAATCAATCATCTCTGTCGCTTGACCCTGTGTGTGATGTCGAAACCGAACCTTGCCCTCAAATCAGTGCCGAATGTTGTAACTACTCACGAACGCATCACTCAACCGAACTTCGTTCACTGCCCTCCGTCCATGTGAGGTTGGCATTTTTCGCAGATACGACAACGGTCATGAAAAACCACTTGCGACAAGTTCGGCCTAATGTGGATCTTTCGGATGATCTCAACAGGGGAACTTGCGAGTATATTTCAGATTCAAAGGGTCAGATGTAATCGAGGGGGATGGGATCGTTCTACTTCAAAATGGTCTTCTTCCATGGTAGTTTAGAACGAGAGGAAATACTCCGTATAAAGTGAAAGTGAACCAAGAACTTGAAAAATTATTACATGGTATATCGGTCGGATAAATGTATAGATAAATGTTCGCTTGAAGCTAGTACCTCCTTCCCACTTCCCGTGACGCTCTGTAAACCTTTAAAGGGAAGCTCCTCCTATTTTCCCTTCGATCTTAAATAGCCTAGTACTCCCGCTTTTCGGTTAAGATTGATGCTCTCTCCACCCATTACTTTTCTCGGTGGGTGGTCTTCAGAAGCGATTTGTCAAAGTTGGCTCAGACTGGTGATCAAAATGTGGCATCAAATGTGGCTTGCGAAGGTTGAGAGATGCCATCCTTACTGGAGAGAATCTCCTTTTTTTGGTCTCGAAGGCCGCGCTCAATTTGTTGCCGCTGGAGGAATGTATCTCAATATAACCCTGTCGGGGGTTGTCGCTATGACCATCTTCTAGGTCCATTGCTCTCAATTTATCGTCATTTCGTTCAAAAGTTATCTTCACATCCGAAGGTGAATGAAGGACCTAGATAAAGTGTCATGCTCTCTACCATCGTCTGGAGAATTTCGAAGCCGTCCCACCTCCCGAAAGGGTAGCTGCATGTCCTTTGGGCATGGGAGACACATCGTCAGGGCAAGGCCGCACCATCATCTGCGCTGGTAGTGGCTCATCACTCCCTGGTAAAGCTGGGTAACATCGTCTCTAATTCGGCACATCGTCTGGCGTTGAGTGTCAAGGTACGTCAAGACAAAGTTGGCGGTCATTTCTTCTGCGGTAGCCTGCCCGCCTGCAATGCTCCTTAATTGCTGGATGAATCGTCTCCAGTTGTCTCGTGCAGCTTGGTCGAGAAACTCGGCACTGTTCGGATCCTGTGCGTCGGTACAGTGAACCCACATCAAACATTGCTCAGTATCGTACGCGAGGCCCCAGGCCTGGCAGACAACGTCTCTCACTGGAAAATTGGACGAGGCAGTCAGTCTCATCGAGTTGACATTATCGTCCAGATTGGAGGCTCTGCGAATACTCACTTGTCTTATGATAACTTATGAGTTTGTCGAACTCCTTTCGTTGCTCATTTTTCTTGTATAGCCCGTATGCGAGAACAGCGGTCAGTCCAGTCGCTGCGGCCAAGACGAAGGGATTGAAGCATAAAATTGTTGTCGTCAATATCACATCTCCTGTATAGCCGGCAAGCCCAGCTGAAGCCAGAGCCTCTGGCGCAAGAGAGGTTGCAGCTACTGTTTGTGCCACTTGTATGGTCGAGAAGGTCGAGCATCCTGCATACAATGAGAGACCCATGCTGACGCCTTTGGCTGCCATGTGGCACTTAATCTTTTCACGTTCGTCGATTAGGCTCTCACAGACGCCTCTGTTCGACGTTGCCAGTTGAGCCAACGTCTCGCCGAGGGTATATAGGGAATCACAAAGCGCTTCCTTCGGCGTCATGGACACATCTTCGCCTGCTTCTGCCCCATGAGCATATTGAGTCAGAGCCATTGTGGGCTGTGTTGACGCTGAGACGATTTTGATCGATGTTAGCCATACGCTAACAACGTCGGTCAATGATTGAAGTCCCCACTCACAGTGTCGGTACCTTTGCAAGCAGTCGACGAAGCGATTTATGTCCCTTTGGAAATTTTGATGCGACTCTTTGTACTCACGCTCGAGCTCTGCCCTAGGTCTCGTGGAGAGAAGGTTCTATACGTAGTCCATTAGACGCCTGACGGACTGCATATGATAGGCGACATGTACCGTGAACCTTCTGATGATCCTTTCACCCCAGTGATCGGTTGAGGCATTCAAGAGCTCTAGGATAGAAGCATTTGTTATCTCTCTGGCGGAAAAGATAGAGAAGTTCAGTCCGAAGAAAAAAGAGACTCCCAAGACCAACACCCTAGGGAGGAGCATCCGAAATTAGCAATCAAGGATCACAAGTGGCAGATTTTCGGTTCTTACCACAACGGAGGCCGATCGTCGGTCAAAGCAGCATTAAGTTCTGTGAGAAAATGGCCCCTTGCTTCCAGGCTGTAGGAGAAGAATGCTTGGCTGAACCAGACTCTCCAAGTTCGAGACACAGCTTTTATTCCAAGGATTGCCTCTGTGGTAACCAGAAACAAGAATCGGCGAGATGACCTTTGGAAGATCCTGGTACACAGATCTTGACCGGCAGATCGGAGGGAAGCACTAGTCAAGATTCCATGCTCGGACAAGCCGAATCGGACCTGCGTGTGTAACATCAGGATATGGGTGCACAAGTGGACAGGATCTTGATGAAACTTGCCTGGACAACTGTCCGCCCTCCGCTCGTCACGGCCAGGTGGTGATCGAGAACCAAGGGCGCCGGAGCAGGATGGAAGAGCTCAGCAAGAAATTCGTCGACCCTGCCAGCATATGTGGCCGGTCTATAGCGATTCGTAGCGAATTCAAGATGGTACTGTTCTTCCGCGGCTGGATTAGTACCGCCAAGTCCAACCTTCTCAGGGTCCCGTTCGGCCAGATCCAGCTTGTCGAGATCAGATCTGGCGCAATTGCCCCTAGCAAGCGCCATTTCGTCGACCTTAGCCCACCACTGAATGTTGGGTAGATCAGCTGGGGAGAGACTGAGTACGCGTGCCAGAAGAAGCTGGAGGGGAACCTGTCAGAGTCCTCGAGGCCACCAGGTGCGGATTTCGGGAGACATATAGCTACCTGGATGCGGCTGAGGCTGGCCACAAGAAAGGCAACCAGAACGGCATTCCTGTGCATGGTTGCCTTGCATCCTGGCATCAGCCACCAAGAGCGACGTTCTCCGCGGCCCTGTCAAAAGCGAAACCCTACGCGCCGGAGGGAAATGTTTCACCAGGCCACGATAACGCCTTCTGCATCTGCCGTGAATCTGCCTCGTATTCGCAGCAGGTTCTTTTGCTCTTCTCTGAGGAGCAACACAAGTGGGTGTAATCCAGGCAGTCCGACAGGCACGATACGGGGACTAATCTTCTCTTTCGAGAAGTCAACGGTTCGAGGATCCATGCGTTATGCTGAACAGGCGTCTATATGGTACCGATGAGGAGCGACAAGCTGCTGTTGATACTGTACTCGCAAGTACTCGGTACTGGGTAGATTAGGCTGGATTATGCTATTAATATTAGTGGGGCCTTTGCCCAGATTGTTTTGGGGCTCCACCTACTCCACTCACTCCACTCACTCCACTCACTCGATCGGTCCATCATCCCCTCAATTCCCCGACCGCATCGCGTTTTCACCTCAGCTCCGTCTTGCTACAGAGCAAGGCTACCACGTGGCGTCTGAATAAACATACATACAATCGATTGCTCGTGCTTGCGCTCTCGTCACCTTCCCTCAGCATTCTTTTGCTGTAGGTGTTGGCCTCACAAGTCGTGGCTTTCTCTAACAATCTCGAGTTTCTCGACGAGGCGACGCAATGGACGTGGCTCCGAGGCCGGGAAGCGACGCCACTGGATTGCAGCCCACGTCTATCGTGTCGCCCGCAAGAGGTAGAGGTCGGATACCGCCGCCACCTTTCAATGCTGGTGGACTGAAGCGGAATGCGCTGGATCATATCAGAAGCTATCGAAGATTCTTCAACAGCAGCCAATGGGCGAGAATCGACTTGCATGCAGCTGAAGGGCCGTCTGGGACAACGGATATTGGCAAGCACTCAACTAAGAAACAAGCTGTTTGAGACTCTAACTGGGTGGACCAGTTTCAAGCCAACAGGGCGGCAACTACCAGGAGGACCCGATAGTGAAGCGCAAAGTCATCCAGGGTATGCTGATGACTGACCTACAACGCCTTCTCGCCGGGATAGATCGATTGGAACGCTCACTCCGTCGAGGACGCTACCCGAGATGGCTCGTCAACGGTACATTGTGAGCTTTGTTCTTCCCCCATCTCAGTGCCACCTCTGGTGAGACTAATGGCTTTCTCCTTGTAGAGCTGCCCTGTGGAACGCAATCGTCATCAACTACATACCTGCCCCGAAACGAGACAGCTACGGTAGCCATATTCTGCACAGCAGCTATATCGCGACAGGGGCATACCTGCTATCACTGCCACTCTTCGGATATCCCATACTGAATTATGAGCGGCAGTTGTCGTGTACAGTGGCTGTTAAAGAGGGCCTGATGGACCTGTATGGACTCGTGCGGAAGGGCGCTGTTCTTGACGACGCTGATATTAGTTGTCTCACCGACTCCCAGTGGGATGTAGTTCCCTGGTCCAAGGTGGAAACTGATGTATAGGATCTCATTTCCCCGAGGTAGCCAATGTCAAGAACAGGGAGATGTGCATGTAAAACCCTTTCAAGCTCGGTCCGTCGCGGCAAAAGCTAGGTCAAAGATATGCACCAGATCTGCACGACCGCACACCGAAACCAAGATCCGATCCCGCCCGTGTCAATGGGGAAAGGATTCTCCATCAGCGGAGGGATAGTGGGAGCAACATGAGACATGTTGTCGGTGAAAGGGGGTGAAGGTGAACTTAGCAAAGTGATAATGAGGAACTTCCCCCTCTTACTGGCATCGTTGAAGGGAGAGCGGGAAATAAGTTCGCCGAAACTGGAATAGTCTCGCGATCCTTGCGCAGGAGCATCCCATTAGATGACTTGATGGTTTCGAGAGCTTTTGCGAATACTTTAGCTTTCAAGCTGAGGGAATGCGGATGACCTTGTTATAGATACTTAGAAAAGGGGGAGCTCTTCGTGGGGCCGAGACGGAGGAGTGGAGTCTAGATACCATGGAGTGTTACAGGTAGTCCGTAGATACCCATTCTCGATTTTGACGAATGACAAATGACGGTGCCAACTGCCGAGGTCGAATGGATTGGGGTTCTGGGCACTTGAATACCCGTAGAGGGTACTTGGTGAAGAGGCGAGAGGCCCGAGTCAAAGAATCAATGATAGAGCGCAGTCTACGACCAGGATGGAGCGGTCTGAAATGAGAGAGATATTAAGTCGCCATTCATTGACACACAGATACACACGTCTTCAGACAGGTGTGTGTCACTTAGCGTGCTTGAGGCTGACAGTTGCAAGCTTGCCCTTCACGAACGCTGAAGACGATATCGTCCAGCGCCGAGCGCTTCAAATCCTGCGCATCCTTCAACACTGGCCGCCTCTCGCCCTCATAGCCGACTATCCTCATCCACGCCTCCAGCCCCTTGATCCGATTCGGGCTGATCTCGTCAAGGAGAGCCATGTCTCTCGTCGCCCCGAACCCTTCCCCCCAATACTGCCACCATGCTTTGAAGTTTTCTTTCCAGCTCATCAAGGCGTCGTCGGTCGCGACGTTGGGTCCGACGCCCCAGTTGGCAGGGGCGCCGGGATAAGGCTCAGCCTTGGGGAGATACTCCTCCATCGGCATGCGCACGAACTTGGCGTCTTTCCCCGTCACTCGAGCCGCTGCGTCTGCTATTTCCTGCATGCTGACTTGGTCCGTTGCAACCTCGAGATCCATGCCTGCCGATCGATCGATATTGTCAAACATCCACGAGACAAACGGCCCGACATCGTCCAGCGCGATAAGTGGAATTTTCCCGTCAGCTAAGTGATTCCGTCAGAGAAACGTGTCTAGCTGAGAAAAACCGCCCAGGGGCTACATACCTGCCGGATTTGCCCAGACCAACGAGCCGTCGGGCTTTTGGTCTGGCACAAACATGCCTTCGAAAAGCATGTCCATGTATGGGCAAGTTGTGAAGAGCGACGTCTTCATCCCTGCCTGGCCTTGTGCGAGGATGAAATCTGCATCGCTTGGTCAACTCGGGGCCTCGAACTAGATCTGAGACTTGTGGATATGAGGCGACATACCTCCAATTCGCCCCTTAGTGTCATTATGGCAGCAGTGATATTCTTCGTCCCACCCGGCCTTCTTCAGCGAATAATCGATGCTGGCCCAGATATAGTGCTGGACCTTTTCATGTCGTGCAATCTCGTAGGCCCGGAGTCCATAGAAAAGCTCGTCCTTTTCTCCCAGAGTGAAGCCATCGATGTTCACCCACGCACCGTACACGCCATGAAAGGCGTGGTGCAAGTCGCTGAGACTGTCTTGCTTACCTTGTATCAAGGTAACGTTTGGGAGAGAGGCGAGGGCCTGTGCACGCTCCGAATTGGGATCACGGGTAAGCACTCATGCCTTGTAGCGACCACTCTCTGACAATGCTGCCAAGGGTCTCGGTAAGCTTGGCTCCTTGAAGATATATACTATGAAGAGCAAAATGCAGACTCGCCTTTGACAACAGGAGCACCCTGCGCCCCTGTTCCTCCCAAAACCAAGATTTCGTTGAGATTCGCCATGACTTCCGTGGTGGAGCGCCTATCCTCTGCGAAGGCATCGCTGCAACGCAGCTCTTATATTCATGCTTCGCCCCTCGAAAGCAGTCTACGCAAACTGGTTCCTAAACCCCTTTGTTGAGTCCCATGAACCTTTTCAGCCAACAAAGCCAACTTTCACTCACCGGGCATCCACACCATCAACCATTCCATTGGACATGCGTCCGGGCACGGCTCCGTTGATTATTCTAAATTTGAAATACCGGACCTCGGTCATCGATCAGTGATCATTTACCACGAGTGAAACAGACACTGTTCCCGGTTGCTTGTACGCAAGCCGATCTGTTGTAGTCCGATTGTAGCTGAACTTGACGCTTTGTCTCATCTCCGTGTACATAGACGCACCACTTGGTAGAGTCCGTTTGCCGTAGCAGCAGGCGAGTGTGATTACATCTGAAGCAATAGGCAGACTACCGAGACGACTTGGTCGAAGGAGTCGCCCCGCAAGTTTGGGGAGGTCACCCTGGACTTGGAGCGTCAATGTTGTGGCGTAAGGTGCTTCGCAGGATTCCTAGGTTTTCAACCCCAACTCAAATTGAGATGCGACATCGTTCTTCTGTCAATGTGCTCGCCTCGACCCTTGAAGTCGGTGCCGTCTGAATATTCGAATAGAAGACGTCGGTTGTGGTAAACGACGAACTTGCCTCTTTAGGTTAGGCTATATCTCATTTCCCACCACTCCTCGCGTCTCAACCCCGCGACCTGACTACAACGCAATCCTGACCTCTAGGCGCCTATTGAATCTTATTGGTGACGAAAGGCCTTGAGTATCACGGGAGTTGATCAGAGTTTATCTAACTTTGTGTGATCCTATGGCTGCAAGTGAAAGGAGAGCGCGAGCTATGAAGCCGAAACATAGACCCTTGCCTCAAACGGCTGCAAGCTATCCTTGCCAGGATCATCGACGTTTGCAATGGCAAGGCTGAAGGTTCGGCCATCCTCCAAGACTGCCATGGGAGCCCATTTCTTCTCTTGGGTGGACATATTGGCCACGGTCAAAGATTTCGTCCCGTCTGTTCCCTCTTTGACGAAGACGACCATGTCTTCGTCTGCTTTCTTACTCTCAATCTCGCGAAATTTCCCGTACACGAAAACATCCTTGCGTACCTTCCTCAGTCTCACAATCTGTTTCCAAAATTGCAAGACACTGCTTTTGTTCCCGACTTGGTCCTCAACATTGATCTGCTCATGAGACTCCAGCACGCTCATCCACGGCTTGACATGATCAGGGCAAAAACCCGCATTCGCTCCTTGTCCCTTCCATTGCATGGGCACTCGTGCGTGGTCACGTGCCGTCTTCTGCAAGATGTCCAGCGCCTCAGAAAGAGCGTTGGGATCGCTCTTAGACTTCTCTCGAACCTCGTTCAGATGCGAGACGGACTTGATGCACTTGTACTCGTCGGCCGACCAGGAGCGAGGTGCGTTGATCATCCCAATTTCCTGCCCTTGGTAGATGAACAATGTTCCAGTTAGCGTGGCTAAGATGACGGCTAGCATTTTGGCAGCACGCACGCGGAACCCGGGGAGATCGGAAGCAAAGCGAGACACGGAGCGGCCTTGGTCGTGGTTCTCCAAGAAAACTGTCGTCCAGGCATCGGTATTTTCGATCACAGACTGCCATTTGAAGAGCTCGCGTTTGAAGTCTTTGGTGGTGAATGGACGGGGGATGAAGCGAGCGCCAGGTGTCTGACCCAGGTCCACCACGTCGAAATTGAAAACCATGTTTAGCTGTTTGTTTCGGGCCGAGATGTAGGCCATCACATCGGCTTCGTTCGGCGTGTACGGTAGCTCCCCGACCGTCATGGTGTCGTAGTTGGCGAGAATGTCATTGATCTCGCACAGATACTCTTGCATTCGCGGTCCATTGGCGTAGTACATCATAGCTGGTTGCGATTCACTTTCAGGGTAAACAACAGGGGCATCTGGCAGCCCCGGATGTTTTGAGTAGAGATTGACCGTGTCTATGCGGAAGCCGTCAATGCCCTTGTCGAGCCAGAACTTGATGGCACCTTGGTAGATGGCCCGCCTGCACTCTTTATTCTCCCAGTTGAGGTCTGGTTGCTCCGGTGCATATAGATGGAGATAATATTCTTGACTGGTCTCATCCCAGGTCCAAGCGGGTTTCGAGAAATTGCTTCGCCAGTTGTTTGGACGGCACCGGTTACCGTCTGCATCATACTTGGCTGGACGCCAGATATACCAGTCCCTCTTGGGGTTGGTCTTTGAAGAGCGAGATTCTTGAAACCAACAATGAAGACTCGAGGTGTGATTTATCACCAAATCGAAGATGATACGCATGCCGCGGTCATGAACGGCCTTAATAAGTTCTTCCGTCTGCTCGAGAGTACCGTACTTCTCGTGGATGTCTTCGTAATCTTGGATATCGTAGCCCATGTCCACCTGAGGACTCTTGTAGTGCGGACAAACCCAGATCACGTCGACACCGAGATCGCGAATATAGTCCAATTTGGACATGATGCCGGGAACATCTCCAACCCCATCGCCATTGCTGTCTTTGAAACTTGCTGGATATATCTGATACACCACTGCTTCTTTCCACCACTTATGTTCATGCTGCTGATGAAGTATTTCGATCATGGCTAGAGGTGGAATCTCGAGATATGATGTGCAGGTCGCTAAGAAGAATTTTGCGATAGACGTGAAAAATTTCTGGAGGAGCAAACTCAGAGAGCCGGAATTTCAGTTACCAAGAAACCTTCACCCATTGCCGGGCTCACCGTGAGGCGGGCAGAAGTCCTTTGCGCCTTCTGACACCGGCTGTTATCTCACCATGCGGAAGAGCACTCCACAGCAAGTGGATTCCATTGTTGACATCAATAAATGATTTTGTTCAAGAAACACTCCATCCGATCAGATGGCTTGATGGCGACCGAAGATTGTCGGGAAGGCTAGCGCTAGTAATGCCAAGCGATATGCAAGTCCAGGAGCCGATCGGCAAAGCGTCCAAAGATGGAAATCCGGTACTTCTTGTAGCCCCTATTTTCACAGTGACGGCCATCCTCCGCCATAGCGTAAGCGACGTAGCCGACGCAGGAATCTTTAGCCTTTTCTTCCACTTGTCGATGCTCGCCAGCCTTCGGGAATAGACGCTTCAATCGACATCAGTGTCCATTTTCAGGAGATGAGAGCGACTGCAACCTACCATGACTGACTGGACTGTACCGGCTGCACCCCAGAAACTCGCTGGCCATGTGCCTGTACAATCTCCACTTTTCACTCGTGGGGGACAAACCCTGTACTATGGGGTCTGGCTCTCGCCACTTCTAGCTCCTCTGGTACCGAGTATATAACGGCGCTTTTGTCCTTCGTAAAGGGTTGGCATGGGCCTCTCCTGCCACGCACTCTACCAGTTGGTCAAGATCTGCGCAGTGAAACCCTGTCAGGACTCAACTTGAACGGTGTTTCTCTCCTTTGTTGTTCGCCATGTCCCACATCGAAGACGTCAAAGCACCAGTGGAGGCTCACGCCGAGCCTCTCAGTGCTCAAAAGGCCGTTATCCAAGAAGCCCAAGCGGCAGCGGAAGTTGAGCAAGAATTGGGATTGTTGAAGTCCATCAGGCTCTACCCCAAGGCAATATGCTGGTCTATTCTTCTGTCAACCGCTATCATTATGGAAGGCTATGACTTGCTGTTGATGTGAGTAGATGTCGAAGAGCCTCTTTGTCGCTGTCATTGTCCGATTACTGATTCGTCTCAGGGGTTCTTTCTATGCATTGCCTCCTTTCCAGAAGAAATATGGGAAACAATTGCCAGACGGTTCATTCCAGATCCCAGCGCCATGGCAATCTGGCCTTTCCAATGGTGCCACTGTCGGTTCGATCTTTGGTCTGATGTTGAATGGATACATCTCTGAGCGCTTTGGGTTCAAGAAGACAATGCTTGGTGCTCTTGCCGTGATCTGCGGGCTCATTTTCATCCCTTTCTTCGCCCCGAGTCTCGAGGTCCTTCTCGCCGGTCAAATCCTGATGGGCATACCCTGTGAGTCTCTCCTTGATGCCTTCCTTGGATTATACTGACACGAAAAGGGGGGGTCTTCCAAACTCTTCCGACTGCATATGCAGCGGAGGTAACGCCGACACACCTGAGAGCCTATCTCACAACATATGTCAATCTCTGCTGGGTATGTGCGGAGGACTGAGTAACTCGAAGAACAGCGCTGATTGCCGGGTTTAGGTTTTCGGTCAGCTTCTCGCATCTGGAGTGCTGCGTGCTCTGCTCACACGAGACGATCAATGGGCGTATCGAATGTGAGTACATAGGTTCCTCTGACGCGGTTCCAGCTAAGTTTCGGTCAAAGTCCGTTCGCGCTCCAGTGGGTTTGGCCAATTCCACTCATCATCGGGATTTCAGCGGCTCCAGAGTCCCCATGGTGGCTGGTAAGGCAGAATCGCATCGAGGATGCCAAAGCTGCCCTTGGTCGGCTCACATCAAAGAACGGTGCTGTTGATCTTGACAAGGCAGTCGCCCTTATGGTGTATACGACGGAGCACGAGAAGGAGTTAGGAACCGGGACAACTTACTTTCACTGCTTCAGGGGCATCGACCTGCGCAGAACCATGATTGCGTGTGGCTGCTGGCTGATTCAGACGCTGTCGGGTGCCAGTTTCCGGTATGTCTTCAGCCCTCACGTCTTGTTGATATCACCGGTGTGCGACCATTCTAACGATGAGATTTTCCAGCACGTATTCGACTTACTTCTACAAACAAGCCGGGTTAGCAACAGACCAAGCTTTCAACATGGCAATCGGCCAATACGCACTAGGAATCGTCGGCGTCTTCACGGCATGGTTCCTTCTTCCTCGAATAGGCCGCAGAACTATTTACCTGCTTGGCTTGCTTTGCATGACAACTCTCCTTGTCACCATTGGCGTCCTGGGAGCAGTATCGAACCCTCCCACAACTGGAATCGCTTGGAGTGTCGGATCGTTGCTCCTGGTGTACACGTTCTTTTACGATGTCTCCGTCGGGCCTGTTTGTTACAGCCTCGTCTCGGAGATCCCTTCCGTACGCCTTCGAAGCAAGTCCATCGTCTTGGCCCGCGCATCATATAACTGTTTGAACATCGTCACGGGGGTTATTACACCATACATGCTCAATCCAGGGGCATGGAACGTGAGTCCTTCCTGAATATGAATGTGTTCACCTGCTGACGCCGTCGAAGTGGGGCGCGAAGACCGGATTCTTTTACGGTGGAACGTGTGTTTTGAGTGTCTTGTTCACGTTCTTCTGCATCCCAGAGCCGAAGGGACGTACATTTGCGGAGCTTGATATCCTCTTCCACAAAAAGACCCCTGCCAGATTGTTCGCGAAGACCCCCGTAAGTCTGTATGAGACCACTGCCCTGGACGAGACGTATGAGAAGGAATAAGGTCAACAAAGGATAGCACTGGACATTTCTGAAAGGAGGATTCAGTATAATTGGGCGGTGTAATTCGTGTTGAAGAGGGAGAGGCTCTTCGAAGCAGGGTTGCTAGAGGCTCCGATCCAGTATATCTAAACCGATATCCAAGTGTTCTTCGACAGCTTGCGTTTCCGCCCAAGATGAGCTCTGTGTTTAGTTTCATCGTCTTCCTCGAGTGTAGTTCCTGTCGACCAAAGGGGTTCTGTGCCTGCTGTTCTTAATGTTTATCAGATGTATGGTGGAGCAATGCCAAATTTCTGCGTGCAAAAATAACGGCAATCAACCCGTTCAACGATTCGCCGCTGCAGCTCAAGAACGCCGTCCAGAAAGCGCGCCATGAAGTCAGTATGGTAGGTGGGCTTCCGGACTCGTTGGAGCATTTGGACAGCCCAGGTGCCCCCCTCTCGATCTGCTTCAAGAGCATAGAAGAAGATAGGCCATATGAATCCCGGATTGACAGCGTCGTTATTGCGCGAGACATTCTCATCGACAATCTGACGCACTCGCTGCATCGCTTCCTGAGCCTCTCGTGTCGGAGTGAGCCACTTTCCATGTGCCCTTCCGAGATCGACAATCTCAATCTGATACGCAGCGTTGCACAAGTCTATGAGCATTGACAACTGATCAAGTAATGACGCAGGAACGACAGATTGAAGCTCTTCTCGGCCCAGCCGTAGAAGACTTGGTGCCTGTTGATGCAACAAAATCAGCTGCTTCCGAATTTTCGACGCCGTGTGATCAACTTCATTTTCGTCCGTCAGAGTCCCCCTTGAGCGGTGATGGCGATTCAGACCACAGATTGCAGTCCCTATTTGCTGTGTCTGGATATAGAATTCGAAAAGAGGAGACGTGAGACTGTCGTAGAGGATTGATGTTGGAGGAGGCTCTTGGTCAAGAAAAATGAGACTGGGCACCGGGACCGTGTTGTGGGAAAGAAGATGGCAGACTTTTGCGGACAAAAAACCTCCTCCACCAAGATGCAAAGCCCGGACGTGCAATAGTTTCAGCCATACCTCAATGCGGCATACGACAGGGGGCCAGGGTCGCTCCTGGATCCAGCGCTCAAGCTTGATGATAAATGGACCTTCTCCTTTCATCGTAATAGGGACGGTATCTTCCTGAGAAACGGCCTCAAAACATGACAACAAAGAAATGGCGACGAATGTCAATTCAAGATCTGGCAGAGGCAATCGTAGCATTCTGGCGAGTTCTGCTTTGGCAACGTAATACAGTGCTATTGCACTGGTCGTCTCCTGCCCGTGTTCTTCGGCTTCATAGAGTGCCTCGACTGCAGATATTGCAGTAGCTATGGCGGTGCTTCGAAGGCTCAACTTGGCCATGTAGCGCTTTGTGCGTGTCCAGTTTCCTCCATCGAATGGTGAGATAAAAGGAAATTCCACTTTATCTAGGAAGTGAGAGAATGAACCTTGGTCTGCGACGGCCGTCGAGGTAGATCCAGGGACATTGTTCTGTTGGATATTGCCGTAATCGTCACGAAGCCCCGACGAGGAAGACTCGGTAGCAGGCTCAGGTACGAACAAAGGGTCCAGGTTTTGGTCGGGGGTAGGAAACTCAGTGCTCTGCTCTAGTCGTCCTCGCGGAGCTACATCAAAAGTGGATTGGGACCAAGCATTGTCAGTGCCGAATGGAGAGACTTGAGGGTCGTCGAATGCGGCCATTGCATCTTGGGATGTGGACGACGTGACATCGAAAGAGAGGACCACCCCATGATTGACCCTTGAGCGAACCTTGTTAGGCGCGCTCTTTTTACGAGGAGGAGGTGGCTCATAGGCGCATACTCGGTTGAGTCTCTCACACTACAGGAGAGTTCAGTCAGTCCCCCAAATGCGTCAAAATCACAACTGCAGCATCCATTTGCTCTTACATTATGACATTTTGGCTTTTCCTCGTCGCATTTCACCTTTCTGCCGCGGCAGGTCAGGCACCCTACACTCTTTTGTGTCAGCTATTTGCTCCATGGTCTTTGAACGATATTGAAAATAAAACCGACCACTCCTGACCCGTCCCTTCGGGATCTGTATAGTCATGCGAATAGGTGGACAGGACAAGACGGAAGTTGCGCTGATTATTTTTTTTCGCCGACGGTTGTCGCTCTCCTCCCAGCCAAAAGACATGAGGATGTATACTCAGCAGGCTGAGGAAGAGGAATAACTAAGCGGGAGCTCGCAGTGGGTGGCGAGGCGGCTAAAATCCGCCCTCCATCTGCCAAGACCAGATTGGGCGGAGGACGAGGCGGAGAAGTTAAGGGCAGCGTGACGCTATTCCGTATTCGCCGGAACATTTAACCCCTATTTCTTGCAAGGCTGAGATGCAAACCAGTCATGTTGCGAACATGTACCTAACAGTAGGTGATCGAGTCACGACGACACTCTTGCGCTTCAATCCCACTTTCAAAAGTTTCAGAGGAGTGCGAGTTTATTTGCTGATTCAGGGAGTATTCTACCATAAGACCTACTCCCAGGGTATCTGTTGTCCAGGACGGTGATCACAGGACGGTTTGGCCCCATTTGTCAACGGGGTTAGGCATAAGTGATTCTCCTTTCATCCCTTGATCACTCAGACAACCGCTCGCTCGAACAGCATCCGGTCAGTTATCTTCCCAATCTTTTCAATCTCGATCTCTCCCCGATCGCCATCTCTCCTCCAGATAGGGGAATTCATGGACGGTGTGACATCACTATGAAGGCCTGAGTCGATGGACGCAAGAGAGAAGGCTGGCCACTCACTTAGGAGTCCCAGCAATTATCGCAATTCATTTCTCAACATCCTTCCCTTGCTCAGATGCCTCACAATCTGCCTGATGTTGAAGACCAAGTCATCCGTCGATCCATCCTGTCTCAATTGGCCATTGACACAAGTCCTCAGCCTGAGCCTAGGATGTAGTCGAAGGGATCCTCGGTCTCCGCAATATTCTTGACATCACGGCTGATGATGGTGGTTACCTCGACTTAATGATCGAGCTGTTTAGTGACTGAGTCGATGGGGGTATCCTCATAAGGTTCAGCCAGCAGAGTCTGTTCAAGCCCGTTCCGCTGAATATCCTGTCAAGAGGTTTAATAGTCGGACTTACTACTGGGCTTTGTGAAAACTTATAGATAAGACGGTAAGGGAAACTTTCTTCATTGGCCTGTTGACCGGGTTATTTGAATACTTTGCTTAGCAGCGTGAGGAAGACCCTCCTCCCACTGATCGCCAGCTTCGCCATCATGGATCTGGCCATTTTTATTCTCGAAGCGAACGAGGCGTGTAAATTTCTGTATCGTATAGGCTATCTGAGACACCCTCCTTGAAGGCAACGAAAGAGCTCTACCTGGCCAGGAAACCGTCTGCCCGGGGAACGGCTCCCTGAAGAGGCACTTGATCTTCTGCAAGACCATGGCATTCCGTGAGCTTTCCCCAGCCGGCAGTCGAGCGGCGGTCATATCTGACCCTATGATCCTCCCCTTCAAGTGGCGCAATAGCGACGCCTATTACTATCTTAACCACCTAGGTGGGCTGCGCGTAGCGGACGGCGACCCTAGGGACATTTTGAGTGTTGAGAAATTAGTGGCGTGGATGAAGGAAAAGAGCGACTCGACTGTTGCAGATCAAAGTTATCTTTCTTTGCTGTTCCACCCCTTCTTCCAGGAAACACCCGAAAAAGCGGCTGCTATGGCAGAGATTCTAGCATATATAAAGTCGAAACCAGGAGTCTAGGTGGCGCGTTGTATTGATGTGGCCGAGTAGGTGAGCAGCCACTCCGAGCAGTTTGGAAAACGACCCCGTTGGGATACTTCATCATGGAGGTAGACATACAAATAGAGGACCCTGGAGAATCCGGTTTCGTCAAATTTGCTCTTCCTTCTAGGCTTTCTACATCGTTTTCCTGCCCTCTTTCCCCCCGCTCCCGCCCCCCTAAACTACATCAGTTAACATTTTCGTCCTGGCAAGGCTGGATAACTGACCAGGACCGATGTGATATGAGTAGAGTTCCGGAAGGCCGGATGATCATAATAGGTTTCTTGTCAAAGAGCCTTGCAGTGTTTATGGGGTTGCGGGGTCGACGGCCAATAATATTGCGACTCCATAGGCTCAAGTTCCCCTATTTGGCATTGGGGACTGCACGAACAGCCGGGAAAGATTGATCGATAGACGAGATGCGAGACGCGAGACTTCCGGGCCCGAGTCTCGAGATTAGATCATTCTCAGCTGGGTGGGTAGGTGTCTTTTCTGTGCTGAGGAGCGTCAAATCCATTCCTGTCATGTCTATCAAAGCAATTATGTATCGAGGTACGATACAACCGATAGCTGTAGAGATGAAGACGCCATAAACCCGCGTTCTGTCTGAAGACTTTTATGACTGTGTTGCGGGAAGCCTCAGCTCCATTTCTTGTCATCAATACCAAGTATGATATTCTAGGCTCCTCTTCAACCTCTTTTCAATACATCCTTGTTCCGCGACCCTCTATTCGCAAGCGAATAAATTCAACTCACACATTAGGGAGATCATTTATGGGGAGAGAGGAATTGGGTCTGCCCTGACACACGCCACTCTAGCCTGTCTGTCTTTGGGCCTGTTGATTGCAGTTTGTATAGACGGCTGTATCCAAAGCCCCTGCCTATTATCCCATACAACGTTGAGGCCACCAACAACCTTTTCGGAGACATCCCGTCCCTCACACAATGGCAGAAAACGCACGGGGAAACGCGACGCTGGCTCCAGGCACAGTTCCAGAAATGGAACTCTCCCATTGTGCAGGTGTTTGTATATCCCTTCAAGAAGCCCGAGGTTCTGCTGGGCGGCCACCGCGAAATCCGCGACATCCCCTCCGGCGCCACAAAGTGTTCGACCGTGGTTTCAACGAGCCAAATGCATTCGGTACGCTTCTTCCAAAGCAGTTCCTCTCGATCAAGACTCCCACGCCCAAATTCAAGTTTCATAAAAAAGTTGATGAAGGACCTGGTGTGCCCACAATACTTCAGCCCTGTGGGTCTATTCTTGACCTATCGGGGCATTTTGAATTCTGTAGGTACTTTTTGGGGGGTAGGTCCAAGTCCAGGTCAACGGTCCCGATATCTATCCAAAAGTCATGAATTTGGTGGATCTATGGAAGGCGAAATCGCCTATTGCTGGGCAGAGGCCTTTCGATGTTAAACATGACCTTTGTAAGTTAGTGTACGATATCATCATGGTAATCTCCTTCGGTCTTAGCGATGACTCAAGCTGCGCCAGAATGCAACTCAGCGCCAACCCTTTCGAGTGTGAAATGAAGCGTAAAAGTGTATTGAACTATTCTAAATCTATCTGGTCGGGGAGGCTGCTTTTATAGCCATAATTACTAGCGTCTTGGCGTATTTCACACGAGCAACCGAGTTATCATTCATCGACGAGCAACCAGAGCCAGAGCCATGAGCCTTACCCCTTTCCTGACATATCGGTGGACGCCGAGGGCCAGGCAATGGTTGAGCTCACTGAAAGTATCAGCGCAGGATACACTTCGCCCTCTCCATACCTGTACACCTGGCTGGCCCTTCGACTTCATTCCATTCGGTCCGCCGTGAAGATCAAGAGAAAGACGACCAGACGGCCGATCGATGCCGCGGTCGCCAACCTCCCACCGACAAATGAAGAGGCTCAAAAGAGCGCTAAGACTGCAGTAGAATATCTGATCTTCCGAGAGTGCGCCGCAGCACCGGAGATGAATCGACATCCAAATTTCCACGCACATCTACAATGAGGCATGTAGACGATGCCAGAGAATTCACATGGTTCATCGTATTTCGCATTGCGATTGGGTCAAACAATGCTGGCGAACCGTCGTTATTTTTTTTTAGTTATTTGGCTACATCATCGGTGGCCACGACACGACTCCGAACAGCTTTGCATGGGGGTTACTATACCTAGCGGAAGTTCCTAGCGTCCAAGACAAGCTGCGAGACAGAATGCGAAGTGCCTTTGGCGACGCCGCACCCGAAAACCGCCCATCGACGCTCGACAAAATCGTCAAGACGTCCAACCTATACCTCCAGGCCGTGATCGAAGAGATCCCCCCGAAATTCGTGCGTGCCTTGAGTCTACCTTGCTCCTCCGTCATCTTGGTAAGCAATTAAGCAGCTCTCTTCGCATCCCTCTCGGATCGAGAGCTGGAGCCAAGTGGAAAGAAAGTATCGAAATGAGGATCTTCGGCCCTGACCGTGGGTCTCGCTTCCCCAAGAGCTTCGGATTGCTCGATCGCCCACTTCCGTTGCGATCTGTCCAGGGACTCACTTCCAAACCCGAGTTAAAGCCATATGAGAGATGGATGAACAACCTTTTTCTTCGGTATACCGGTCACCATCACGTCCTCTCCATAGGCTCGTTGCAGCTGTCGCTAGACTTCTGCTAGCGTGCGACGGGTAAGTTCGGGGTGCGGCAGATTCCACCAACTCACGCGGTGCATGTACACAAACTGGATCCAGAAACTGGCGAGATAGACGCCGAATATCTCTTCGAGTCCGGAGGCAAACTCGTACAAAACTATCGGCCCAAGTTCTTCTGCTGTCATGGAAATAATGGCCGGGCGGAAATGCCATGGCACGAATAGCTCGGCCTCAACCTGCCTACACGCCGTGATAACTTCGTTCTCGTCTTCAGTGGTGTCTTGACTACGATGGTGCATGTGGTAAGCGCTGATTCGTCGCCAGGAGGTCTGAGAAGTTAAATGCCATTGGAGGGGCTGGTTCCAATACTGCGTCGATGGAAGCTTGCTTGACCTGCATTTTTTTTTTTTTTTTTGGCTCGGGCTTTGTAAATTACCGAATGATAGCATTGTCGAGGGCCAAGATGGCAGTCACTTTCTGGTGACGGGTCAACTGACAAGCCATCAGAGTCGCCCTTCGCTTCTTGTCGTGAATTGAAATTGTCCCATGTATTTGGCGACGTGTTCCGTATGGAATAGTGACTGACAGCCTCCAGGGCCCTCGGAGAAAGCAGATGCTTGCCTCCCAGGTGAGTTGCTTTGCTATCTAAGACACTCAGCCATGACGCTCCCATAAGCATCGTTGCTGGAGGCGAAGCCATTTTCAGAAAAATACTATCTCAAACGCACAGACTACTTTCAAGGTAGATAGAGCTATCAGGATCGGGCTGAGGTGAAGCATTAAGTCCTTGAAGCTGTCGCATGTGCACGGGGAGCGCAGGTGCTGGCACTCCACCAATCGCCCGTGGCCCACTGCTCCCGTTGTGCCATGTGCCTGGGTTCGTTGTATTGTAAATTGCAGCATCGACACCGGTTCCATTTTGGTTTGCTGACACGGATGAGTTTGATAAATCTTCAACTTCAGGGAAGAGGCAACAGTGATTGCCTGCTGTCGAGGTGGAAAAGTCTCCCAGCAGATCAGTAAAGGTGAAGGCTTTACTATCGGACCAATGTGGGAAGTTGAGCTGCTCGACCAAGCTCAATGCCTCGTGAGTGTGTTCCTCGGAGCTGCCCGTCCATGTCAAAGCTTCATCTGCGGCATCCCCAGCAGCCTGTGACGCTTGATGCGAAGGAGTCGGAAGGACCATTCGAATGTGTTGTGTCGGTAGGGTGGGAAGGTCTCTTGGAGCCAGAAGTGGTTGTTCTCGACCTACGCGGTGGCGGCTCGTAGTGCCATCCTGGTGCAAAGTCCGCAGGTAGGCCTCGTCGCAACGAACTCTTCGCTACTTGCAAATTGCATAGCCGGGGCGAGAGCGAGACCAGACCGCCAAGACCGCGTTGGCAACGCCGACAGATGCCAGAGTGAGCTGTCAGATGTGTGTGTGTCGTTGGAAACCAGGCATCGAGTGAGATCTGAGCTAGCGCCACAGCCATCCTGCATGCCGATTGTCTTCATCCTGAGATGAATGCTCTTCCAACGAGAGAAATATAGGCGAATAGTCGCGAAAGGCGAGCGGGCCCAGAACGTGTCGTCCTTGGGGAAATGCTGGCAGGATCTGTGACGGAAGGGGAGGAGTCCTTGAGAGATGGATGAGACATCGGTATCTCGTACGGAGTACATAGCTCAACGCAGGCAATGCAGAGGCTACTAGGCTGGGGTCGCTGGTTGACTGGGGGCAAGAGGGGTCTATGCGGGAGAACCCGGAAGGTACAGTACCTCGTATGTAAGCGGCTCTGGGCGATCATTTGGTGGTGCTAGAGCCTACAGGCGCCCGTCCCATCAACCTGGCGATCCCTGGCGGAGACCACGATGATCGTGAGGGGGAGCCACGGGGGTCCCGGGGCTGCGCCGGAGTGCTCTGGTGGGACTGCCTCACACCCGGGGAACCTCACACCACCCCCGAGCACAGACCTAGGTCTGCTAAGGTTACTAAGGTACCCAACGTACCACGGGAATGGCGACGATTCGTTTCATTGAGATCGCCTGGACCTTGTATGTTTGTGCAAAAGCAAGCCGATAGAGATCACATCTCCACTGCATAGTGATCTCGCCGACATGCACTTTACCCATATCTCTCAGGTAGAATACACTTCCTGAGGGTTCACACTAGGATGTGGCCGAGTTATGTACATTAAGCATTCTTGATATCCTCCACGAAGACACCACCATCCTTAACCGCCGCTTCGGATCCGTCTTCACGCCTGGCTATTATCCGGTAAACCTCGGCGTCATCCCCAAGCAGGACAGCCATCTCTTCGACGGGCTAAGCCCCGAAAGTTGGGGAAAAAGAAGAAACAAATAATGGCAAACAGAAAGGACAGGATAATGAAGTATAGGTAGGACCTCCAGCCGATATTCCTAACATGATCGTCAGAACCAGTAGGAAAGTTATCTGTGACAAACAAGACTTACTCAAAGGCTGTTGGGGCTACTTCTAGCCACAACGGTTGACCAGATCAAGGTCGCCAACGAAAAGGCCACCCCTTTTGGACGGAGATGACTGGGGAAGACCTCCGCTTAGTAGATCCATTGAACCTCGTCGAGATAGAGCCACGCAGATGCCTGACGAGCCAGAATCGGTTATCACCATTGTCTTCCCGAGAAGCAAAATGACCAGTATACCTGTGGCCTGGGTGCCGAACGCCAACATCAGGGCAAACAACGTTCGCGTTCGATAAGATCTTAGTAGATGTCCGACTTCTCGCTATTCGGCCGCCCAATGGGACGTGCAGTGGGAAACTGTGACTCACCATATATCGACTTCGGCTGATGGAATGAAAACTTCGCGTCTTTTTGCTCGACTCCAAAGCTGTCTGTCTCTTCTGTATCTCGGAGCGGCATGGCTGGCAGCGACGGTCTCGAGCTTCAGCGACCAACGCTCGTTGTGGATGAGAGTCAGGTTGTAGACGCGCCTCGCCAGCAGCGCGATCATGACTATCCCACCGGGCTGCGGTTTGTCCTCTTGACCATTGGACTAGTATTTACTATATTCCTGTCCGCACTGGACACGTCCATCATCTCGACAGCCATACCCCGAATCACAGATCAGTTTGGAACTGTCAAAGACGTGGGCTGGTACGGATCGGCCTACACAATCACGAACGCTGCGTTTCAATCGACATGGGGGAAAGCGGTAAGTGGGCAATCAATCTCGCGTTGCACTGCAGGCCGGACGCGAGTGTAAAGCTAACCGGTTACCCCAAAATGATGAGCAGTACAAGTACTTCTCGTTTAAATGGACGTTCTTGCTCACAGTCTTCGTCTTCGAGCTTGGAAATGTCATATGTGCCATGGCTCCCAGCAGCTCAGTTCTGATCTTGGGCAGGGTCATTGCCGGAATGGGCGGTGGAGGAGCCATGACAGGAGCATTTATCATTATCGCCTTCAGTGCGAAACCGCAGTACAGGGCTGCATATATGGGAGTCCTGGGAGTCACATTTGGCTGCGCGAGTGTTGTCGGTCCCCTCTTGGGCGGCGTGCTCACGGACGGCCCTGGCTGGAGATGGTGCTTCTGGTGAGGGCCGTCACATATTCTGAGCCGGCAACTCTGATGCTATTCGTAGGATCAGCTTACCCGTCGGTGCTTTGGCGGCAGCTACCACGGCCCTCACCGTCAAGATGCCGTCGGTGCCTGAGTCAATGCGGGTCTCTCTAAGGGAAAAACTGTTCTCGTTAGATCTAGCCGGCAGCCTCCTTGTCTTAGGTCGGTTCTTTCTTTCGCTCGAGTTGAAGGCCTCTCGAGAAGACTAATACGAGGGTCGTGAATAGGTTCGCTGGCCTGCCTCGTTCTTGCACTGGAGAAAGGAGGAGTCTCGTCCCCGTGGAGCAACTGGCGCGTCATCACCAGCCTGGCAGGCTTTGTAGCTCTCGTCATCATTTTCACCATCAACGAGTGGCAAATGGGCAGTCGAGCCATGATCCAGTCACATCTATTGAAGAAACGGCCGATTGCCCTCAGCCTCGTGTACCAGGTGTTCATCGCCGGCCTGTTTTTCCCGCTCTCGTTTGCGTTGCCTATCCAGTTCCAATCGGTCGGCAATGCATCCGCGTCAGAGAGTGGGCTTCGTCTGATACCTTTAATCCTGGCCGTGTCTGCGTGCACGATGGTGGCCAACGGGCTGCTGACCTTCTGGCGGCACTACACGCCTTTCCTCGTGATTGGCGCTGTGGCAGGCACGCTTGGTGTAGTCATGGTTCACACTCTGGACGCCAACGCCGGTCTGGGGTCGTGGATCGGCTTCGAGATCCTAACGGGCATGGGCGTGGGCCTGGCTCTACAGGTGCCTATGATCGCAAATCAGGCGGCCGTGGGCGCGGAGGACATGGCGGCCGTGACCTCGTTGACGCTGTTCTGCGAGAACGTTGGCACGTCCATCTTCATCGCCGCAACCGAGGCTGCTTTCACCAACGGGCTCGTCTCGGCTCTGGGGTATCATGTTCCGCAGGTGAAGCCAGAGACGGTTGTCAACACAGGCGTGACGGAGATCCGGAGGCTGTTTGGCAAGAATCAGGTGCCAGGGATCCTGAGATCGTACCTGCAAGGCTGCAAGGTCAGTCACCTGGTGCCGATGGCGTGTGGGTCAGCTGCCACACTGGTGTCGATGGTGGTCGCGGTGCCGTCAGTGAGGCAGGGATGGGAGAAGTGGCAGCACAAAGCGCACGCACGGTGAGAGGAGAGGGTTGTGTGTGTGTGTGTGTGTGTGTGTGGTGTGTTCGCATCGGAGTGTGTAGCTAGTGAGTATTGTGTGGATGTGAATGTGGATGTGGATGGAGCAAGAGGGTGGCACAGGGCGGTGTGCAGGGGGAGACCGCAAAAGGAGACTACAGAGGAGACTACAGAGGAGACCGCAGAGGCCTGTGCACACCAGGTCGAGTGGTTGACCAGCAATGACCGATCTATGCTCTACTAGGGAATTAGTTCAACCACACCGCTACTACCGAGCACTACTACTACCACCACCACCACTACCACCACCAAGCTTGTGGCCTTTCACCATTTCTTGACTTTATTGCCCATGTTTCGTCACATGGTCTCCATTTTCTTGGTGGTGCCCGAGTAGTATGTGCCAATATGTGCCTAGGCAATTTTTGAATCCCTTCTCCCTTCACCCATCGAATTACCAATTGCCAATTGCGACAACCATGTCGGACATCTGCTGCCGACTTGGGCTCCTCCTCCTCCCATTGCCACTCTCGCTCCCCGTGAACTGCCCATGCATCCTCAACCGCCCACAAGCGCCCACTCGGCCCGTTCGTTGCCCCTCTAGAGTCTGAAAACGAAAATCAACGCCCTTCGTTTCATCCAGTCCTCCAAGCCAGAGCAAGCACAACCTCGAGCAAGGCGGCAAACTCCTACACACTCCCCCGCCTTCGAGGCTTAGACTCGCACAAGCGTCCCACGCGAATCATGGGCCGAATTCCGGCCAAGAGTGTTAATAATTGCTGTTCTAAAGGAGGCGACGCCGCCGAAAATTCGCTGTGCAGTTTTGGGCGGTTGGTGCGTAGACGGACAGATGACCTCTGGTCGATCTAACCTTTCCTCAAAAATCTGGGATGTCACTAGTTATTTTTTGTGCTTTTATTTGCTTTGTGCTTGTTTCCAGTACCTCCTCCTCTGCCTTTGCTCTGCGATACTCTGGTGTTTCAAGAATGTTTTTGATGATTCCCACAGAGTGACATCGGGGGTTCATTTGGCAGGAGAGATGATATAAAGCATTCTTCTCGAGGACGCCGAGCTTGTCCTTATTAATATCCATGCCCGTTCAACCTGTTCCAATCCCCCTCGCTGTGGTGACGGAGCAGTTACATCCGCTGTTTTTTTTCTTCCCTTTGTCGAAAAAGGCTCATACAATCCAGAGGGCCTCACTGCTCACGTACACCACGTCTCGGGGACGCCAGACCCTCCTAGAGATCTCTACTCCAGCTACACCACGCTGCATTCTTTGCCCCCCGACTTTTTGAATGACATGACGACGATACGAATTATGAGCTTGCATTACGATATGACAACCCCTTGTGACGATCCTGTCGAGGCATCAGACACCGAGTCATTCCACTCGGCCATTTCGAATGTCACGAAACGAAGCTCCAAATGCTGGACCTCTCCTTCCCAGGACACCACCATGACAGCAGAGTGTTTGATACATCGTCAACCCGTGCGTAAGAGACCCCGGTCGAGGACCGTCTGCTCCCAATCTTCCACCTCATCCAAAGCATCCCATCCTCGTCCCAGCCCCAGACACTCGCGGCATAACTCCATTTCAATCCCCTCGCGACAAAGCAGTCTTGCGAGGAAACATGTTCGATCACGTAAGGATTCAATGACACTGCATCGCCAGAGCTGCCAGCTCTTCTCCTCACTAGACGGGGTTTTGGCATTGAGTCGTGAAATCACACCTCTACCGAGCGTTTCGACTTCGCGGACAACGACTCGGCATGCATCCATGATCCCCGAAGATGCTCTGGACCAGGACAGCATCCAGCGCATCTGTAAAAAGATCGACGCAAAACTGATCGCGGTTAAATCCGGGCACCACGACCCGTCTGCGCCATATCCTTACACTGATGAATACTCGCACGCTCTTCCAACCAGCCGAAACGATCGCTCCCCAACACTGCGCTCGGAATCCATGCCGTCGATGTCCAAAGTCGACACTCGTCGCTCCCGAGCGGCTTCTGTTCCTCCCGCGACGATCCCGGAAAGACCAACTCTCAACACCGTCATATCCTGGACTTCCAATGCAACGCGGCGCGTCGAGTACGAGAAAATCGACCGTGCCCACAGCGGCGTCCGGGGTTTCCTGCGGCGAATCCTGCCCCGGCGTCTTCGAAGCAAGGATGGACGGCGGGGCTTCTTCACGGGTGAGTGTGACGGAGACAGCGTGAGGAGGTTTCGGTTGGACGTTAGCGATGACGATAGTGTCGCGGGGCATCAGGAAGAGGAGGATGCCACGCGCAAGGTATCTGAAGGTGTCGAGTATGAAGATGAGAAGGGTGGATCAAGGGTGAAAGTGGAGGTGGCAGTGGAAGAGGGAGACGTCCATCGTCGCAAAAGCAGAACCAAAGCCACCAAGGACGGGGAAGAGGACAAGGCGAAAACTCGAAGGTGGTCGTGTTTCGACTTATAACAGTATTGGCATGCGCCTTAGGCTCCCACGCGAAGCCAGATGTCGCGGAAGGTGTCGATCGAATCTAGCTCCATCACAGGTCTATCGAGCAGCAGCGTCATATTGCATTGCTGATGAGAACGGTGGCTGCGCTCGCATCCATTTTCTTTCCATTTTTTCCCCTGTTCTTCTTGAACCGGCATAGTCAATATCTTTCACGATTCGACAACAGGTGCTGTGCACAAAATCTGCCTAGGAAGGCTTGAAGATACCCTAATGATATGACAAGAGCGAGAGAGTTTCTGCGATCCAGCTGATGTACATAATTGTTCATAGAGAGCCAGTTGAGCCAAGCAGATGCAGGTTCTCACTCAGGGCACTCGCAGCCCCCATGGTTTCTTGTTCCAATCCCTTCTGTATGAAGCTCGATTCGGTCCATTGTTGGCCCCAGTTCCATTTCCATGCACAATTCGAAGAATCGGCTCGTCAGTCCTCGTTGATGAGGGAAATCTTCGAGAGAGTCGCAGGACAGCCCGCCTTCGCCGACAACGCAAGTTTGACTGAATTGCGCATCTGGTTGGTGTCTGCGTGGCCAGGGAACCTGCACTTTGCTATCATAGTTGGTGTTTGCGACCGATTCGGCTGTCTGCTATTCAATAGCACAGGGTTGAAAGTTGACCTTGGTGTAGGGACAACGTTGCCGCCTCGAAGACAGAAGGCGACGAGTCGTTGTTTACGGCGCCCAAGAGCTGTGTGTCATGCCTCTTTGCATGGTCTCGTCTGATCGACCCTTTCCTCGTATCTCAGCATGGGAAAGAGCTCTCAAGACCGCCATTCTCATTTTTGATGAGATCGCGTGTTGTCCGCATTCCGCAAACATGCCTCGGATTTCAGTTCTTCATCAGCTCACAGCAAATCAAAGTCGTCCAACTTCTCCCTGTACTCCAAAACCTGCCTCTTCACTTTACTGCTGTCCACCCAGGTCACAAAATCCTCCATGCCCCTCGATACAAGGAAGGCCGGGTCAGTAACCACTTCGGTCCCCACTCTTACATGACCCTGCTCAACGAATTTGTGCGCCGTGGCCACATGTTCTACCATGCCAATGCGGACCATCACTATGCCCAAGCGGCGACGACAGAATGCACTGACTGTAACATCCTTTTCCACCGAAGACAATCCGGCTCCTTGGCTGCGATTTTGCTTCAGGATCCCAATTTGGTGGAGTTTTTCCAACACGACGGTCTCCATTTCCACACGGTACGGATCGGTAGGGTCAAGATTTGATAGTAGATGCGCAAGTTGTCTCAGCCGACCGCAAAGAGCATTATATTTGGAATAATCGAGCGGGTGGTTTAGATGGTAGCGACGTCGCACGGCAGCTTCACGGTGGGAAGGACCATCGGATTTGTAGGTGAGGAGATCGACTTTGCGGAGGAGTCGCTGCTCGTGGTGCTTGAGTTTACGGACCATGGTTTCGAAGTAGGCGAAGGTAGAGCGATAAGTGGTGGCGGGTGTCTGAAGTCGCAGAAAGCATTTACAAGTACACTTAAGTTGTTGAAAAATATTTTGTTTTGGAGAATGTTGCGGGGACGGCCGGCTGCTTGAAGAAACCCTAGCCAGCCTCGTGGCATTCGACGAGGCTGTGTTCCACGCGGAATAGCTTGTTGACAAAAAAAAATGTCTCTGCGTTCTGCCCCCCTTGCGGCCCACTTGCCATGAACCTCGTATTACTTTGTATGAGGACTTCTGCCATTTCGGATCCGACCTAGATCTACTTGTCCTTGGTTGTCTTCCCTCACGGCCCAAGTCCTTTAATGGTTTACTCATCTACCCAGTACCATCAGCATGTCTTCTATGTACGAGCACATTTGGGGGGAAATGGACGCCATCATGGCATTCAGGGCACGCTAGTGGATCTCTTACACTCCGACATTGTTATTCCTCGTACCCGACACGGATTAATATACAGAGTGGCGATATGGCCCATTTAGGGACTCCTAGTGACCGGCGCAACAACTTACCGTCTGTGCTAACTAAACACTCGGCTAAGGCAAGCCAAGTAACAGATGCAGACAACTGCTTCTCTAGTCACAACAAATGCCAGATCGGACAAATTGAAATCAAAAATTCCCTAGTCAATATCGTGCTAATCTCCAGCATACTATCTATAACCCCGCTCACAACCGAAAATACGCCCTGACCTGGAGAAGTGCCAAACATCATAGACGACGATGTTGCCGTTTCTCGCCTTGAAGGCGAGCCAGATACCACAGGTATATTGTTCCAATTCCAAATACTCCCTAGTCAAGCGGCTTAGGCGACAAGTATAGGGTCCGATGACTGGTGCCCAGCTTTCGCGTTGAACCAACATTGAGGGGTCGCGGAGGACGGAGTCTCCGTCCGAAATTCGTCCAGGGTGTTGATGGATTTAACGGATATGATGGAATGATACTCGACCAATTAATTCCCTAAAGGCAGGTCTCTCAGAGCTTCTCGTTCCTGCTTAAGAGGACAGAGCATCCTGCACATTTACCCTTAGACTTGAATCGAAGCCCATCGCCTTTTCGCATCCCCCATCTCTCATTGCGAAATATACTCAAGACCGCCACGATGAAGGCCATTGTGATGGATGGTGAGCCTGGAAAGGCATCTCTCGTTACCGACCGTCCTTACCCGCAGCAAAGGCCCGGATACCTCCTCGTTGACGTCAAGGCTGTTGCATTGAACCCGACTGACTGGAAACATATCGATTGGATGAACCACAAAGGCCTCCTGGTCGGTTGCGATTATGCCGGCGTGGTTGCAGAGACAGGAACTAGTTATTCGAAACCATGGAAAGTGGGTGATCGAATCTGCGGCTTCGCCCATGGCAGCAATGAGTTGCAGCCCGAGGATGGGGCGTTCGCTGAGCGGATCACGGTCAAGGCTGATGTCCAGATGCGGATTCCCAGCCACATGTCGTTTGAAGATGCAGCGACAATAGGCGTTGGTGTTGTTACCTGTGGGCAAGGACTATTCCAGAAGATGGGCCTGGATCTTCCCACACAACCTTCTACGAAAGGCGAATTCATTCTGATCTACGGCGGAAGCTCAGCTACCGGCACAATGGGGATTCAATTTGCGAAACTGTGAGTGAGACATGCCGTTAAAGGGGATTGGATGCTGACTTCCAAAGCGCTGGGTATACACCCATCACCACATGCTCTCCCCGTAACTTTGATCTCGTCAAATCTTTGGGAGCAGTAGCCGCATTCGACTACAATGATCCGGAGTGTGCAGCCAAGATCAAGGATTACACCAAGAACCATCTCAAGTCCGTCTGGGATACGATCTCTCTGGAGAAAACAGCCGAACTTTGTGCAGAAGTGATATCGCCTGGCGGGACTTATGGTGCGATTTTAAACGTCAAGTTCCCTCGGGAGGACGTCAAGACTACGTACAGTCTGGGATACACGGCGACTGGAGATCCCGTGAAGAAGAAGGCTTTCGAGAGTCGAGACAATACCAAAGACTTTGAGTTCATGAAGACGTGGATTGACGTAGTAGAGTATATTCTGGAGCAGGGACGCTTGAAGGTTCATCCTCCCAAGGTGGGCAAGGGGCTGGAGAACGTCCTAGAGGGATGTGATTTGTTGAGGAAGGACAAAGTAAGCGGTCAAAAGTTGGTGTATGTTTTGTGAGGTCAGGGAGGGAGACCATTGAGCTTCTTGAGCTAGGGCTGACTGATGTTCCGAGTCGCCGTCACCAACCGTCATGGACAGCCTTGTGCGACAAAGGGAGTCCGGTTCTACAAAGTAGACTTCTGGCAGTTGTACGGAGCACAGAGTGTGAAGTCAGTCTATTAATATCAAGTATTGGGCACATACATAAAATCTGGGAGCCAACCAAAGGGCGAATCCCTTTCTTCTTCTCTGCTAAACTGAGTTGGTGATCATCGATGATTCGCAATCCTGCTCCGCCTCGCAGCTAGAGGCGCGGAGATGATTGTACTCGTCCCTCCAGGTGATGCCTGCGACGAACAGTTGAAACTTCGCCACTGTCACATGGCAGTCATTTTAACGGAGCTGCCGCTCCAGTAGCAGGCGGGCGAATGTCATTTGAACTGTCACACCCTCCTAGGGTCCCTAAAACTTTGACACCTGGCGTACCCCTCGAGACACCCCCGGAGCCCCCCTACTCGGTGCCACCAGCGCCTACTGACTACACAGGTGGCTAGTTATTGGGCACTCTGGTCTCGCCCTGCCAAGTTTGGGCTGCGGGCATCTTCCTTCCGGCCCATGACGCAGTCATCATGCACCTACTACTCCGTCCATGCCCATGACGCCCGCCGCCCCGCGACCATGTTTGAAGCTTGCTGCGCAGCCATGACAGCAGCAGTGGCTGTGACACGGGATTCGCAATCCAGTGATCCCATCCTTCTTGTATTCTTCCTTCAATCTAAGCCATTACCGTTAGGGCACGAGGGGATCATCGTTTGACGGCGAGCTAGTCGTAACCCATCACATGGCTGCGCACCAGTCACTTTATTCCAGGACCACGTAAGAGTTCGCTCTTGGAATTTTCCAAAACTTTCGTGCTCAAAAGTTGCACATACCATCCCTCGGAGATGAATACTTGATTTCCTTGCCTCTGTCCCCTCCTGCCCTTCGTCCCCGTCAGTCCACAATGTCTGCTCAAGACGCTGCCACGACCCCCCAAGAGAAACCCGCGAACGCCCCCGAGGCTAATGGAGATATCAAAGTCCTCAAGATCAGTGTTGATGCTCCGACCTCGCCAAGCGGCTCGATACCGCCAGAGGGGCAACTCTTGACGGGGAAACAAGAACATTATCTCAAGCGAGAGCTCATCTCCCGTCAGGTCTCGGACGAGATTGCAGAACTGGCCAGTCCAACGGCCCTCCAACGTTTTGGCGCTCCTTTCCGTTCACAATATGGCGAGGTTTCGCCTATGGACTCTGAGTTGCCCATCCTGCGGTACATCTTCGTCAACCACGTCCGCAATTTTCCTTTTCTCGACCAGGCGAAAGAGAAGGAGTTCTGGCAAGAGAAATTACAGACATTCCTCGAGTCCTTCGCTAGCAAATACATCTCCTCGTCAGAAGACAGGTTAGAAGAGACGAAAAGGAAAAAGCTAGCAAGGAAATCCGAAAAGTTAGTGGAGCTGATGATGGTGTCTGGCGTGCCCACGGCTTCTGGGTATGAAGAGAGAATACGTTTCGCCGAAATGGAAGTTGTGGAACGGGGCGCGAATGAGCAAGGTCTGGTCGTGAATATCCCTGAGGGCAACTACATCAACGACTGGGATATCAATGTGGCCGGTGTGAGAATCACCGCGGTCAAGCGAACAGTCCGCTATCATCAGCACGCCGAATTCCTAATACGAGTCAAAAGGCCCGATCAGCCAGAAGTATACATCGGAAGACGGTATGGTGAGTTTGTAAGGCTGCACAAGAGACTGCGGACTGAGATGCCGGGTAAAATTCTTCCGCCTCTCCCAAGGAAGAATAAATCCTCCACATTCACGTCTGCTCTGGCGTCAGGGGAAGATGACACCTCGTCTCTCTCTTCGGTGTCCACTGGGATCAGTGTGGAGGAATCTGGGAGGAATTTTCTGCCCGTGCATCGACGTCTGAAGTCGTCTAATTCCCTCAGTCCCAATACCGGGTCCGGTTCGCCTAAATCATCAGCGTCACCAAAACGGGATCTATCGAGAGAAAGAAGTCCCAGTCCTAGTCCACAAACCATTCGGCTACATCGAGAAGACCAAAGAGTGTCGTTAAGAGCTTTCTTACGAACTGTCTTGCAAAACCCGAATATCGCGCAGTCAAGATCAATGGTTGATTTCCTGACCCTTCAACCTGTCGACTTGAACGAGGAAGAATTGGAAGACATTGAACGACGTAAAGAGATGGACGCAAGGCGGCTGGAAGAGCAGAGGAAGTTCTACGACATCGCCAGAAAACGAGCGGCAGAGCTAGACACCTATATGGAGAAATTCCGAAGAAATATTGTCGAGGCAAATGGCTTGACCAAGCTATTTGCTGAGATTCGAAGCAAAGAGAAGCTCGAAGACCTGAGTCCAGAGTACCAGAAATTTGCAGAATGGCTTAGGATAGAAGTGGCAGCCACCATCTACCACCTGTTCCTGGCGGAAGACAACTCCCCCGAGCTGTTTGCGCAGGCGAAACGAATACATTCTCTCGTGCCATACACAGTGTTGAAGAACGTGATTCGAATAGCGAACCCGGCAGCAGTTATGTCTGGCGTGTTGGATCTCTTTCTGGCACAACCATTTGGCACAAGATCGCTATTGCAACGGATATTCGCTCAAACTCTGGCAGACGGAATCCGACAGTTCCAGAAATCAATCGACGCCGTTGCGGGAAAAGTAGCAGACCCGGTCTTGATCAACAAAATCAAAGCTTTTGTCGACAGTCCTGAAGAAATCAAGGACGTTATCCGAACCGAGGCAAAGATGGAAGAAATTGACCTTGTCGTCGCGATTCTCAGATCAGAACAATTCGAACCTGAACTTACGCCGCCTCAGGTGGAACGGGTCTTCAACGCATGGGTAGCGTGGAACAGCGCCGTCGAAAACGAGGATGAAGAACTCAAACAAGGGGCCGAAATGTTCTCGCACCTCAAGCAACTTCTCAAATTAATGACACGGCAACGTGACAAGGCCATGATGGCAGCCATGATCGAGGAGCCTAATACTTTACAATTATTCCGCGATCTATTCACCATATTCTACGAGCCGCTAATTCGGGTATACAAATCTGCAAATGTCTACAGCTCCATCACGGACTTTGCCCGCTTCGCCGACGACGCCATCAAAACGGTCGAAATCGCACAGAGGCAAGATGTGTCGGCGGATCCCAATCAGACTGTCCAGTCATTCATCGACCTTTGTGCTAAACACGAACACAACCTGTATAAATTCATCCATGAAGTCCATACTCACGATAACGGGCTCTTTACCGCCCTGATGGGTTGGATCGAGGGCATCCTCGAGTTCCTGCGGAAAGGTCCCAGGAGCGGTGGAAGATTGGATATGAATGCGATCTTTCAAGGGGCACTAGATATGAGGGCGGTGGACAGAGAGATCATAATTACGGAAGTTGATGCGCTGATTAGGTGGCAGGAGGCAAGGAAGAAATGGCATAGTGATAAGACGAGGCAGAAAATGGCGGCTGAGGGAACGGGGTCTGGCAATTCTTCAGAAGCTGCAACGGGGATGCCAGGGGCGAATTTCCGGAGCAGTGATTTCGGATTGCATGAGGTGAGTTGCTTTCCCTTGATTCTCTTCGCGATCTCTGCAGAGAGGGTTGCCTTTGACATTGAGTGTATGTATGCTTACATTTTGGTGGCGTTACAGGGCGATCTGATGGACCTCCGCATTTCCGACGAAGAAGATGGTCTTGATTCGGAAGAAGAAGATGCAGAAGACGATCTCGACCCTCTCTCGGCTGAACGACGTCGCCGTAGAAAGGCACAAGATAGGCTGAGAAGAAGCGCCGGCGAGCCTGTAAAGCCCGAGGTCAGCGAGGTTTTGAAGTTGCGGGACACGTTCGTGTCGATGTTGAGGGCTGTCTTGAGTGATTAAACCAGCGATCAAGGGACTATTAAAGCAGAGTCGCAGATGACTTGTAGGGAAGGACATTGGCTGCATTGAGGAATGTATAGGTCTAACCGGCAAGCATAGAATATCCCTGGAGACCTACAACGTCGGGCACTTGGAAGCAATGATTGTATGCATAGCGGACTCTAGCGACCATTGCAAATATCTGCAGTCTGTCTTTGTGATACCGTTGCCTGAATGAATAATTCTACAAGTGAGCTGTGCGTAGGTCATGAGGTCTTCTCAGGGAAGGTTTGTCGTCTGGAGCTTCTGCGTGCTAAGGGATTCTCTGCTATTAGTGGCTAGTCCCTCAATTGGATTTGGACTGGAGTGAGCTCTTCACCAGATCTAATTCATGTCATATCGGGAGCGGATGTAAAGGGATTTTTTCTATATAGGACCACGCCGATTTAAACATACATACTGAGTATATATGTGACATATCTAATATGTGTACCCAAGCCTCGAAGCCAATAGACACCTCCATCCCCTCTCCCCCCCAAGACGCCATGTATAATGCCCCTCGTTCTTATGCTTCAGGTGATGAATCCCTCTTTCCCCTTCTTCGGATCGCGCTTAAAACCCGTCGAGTGGGATTGATGCAGCACAGCATTTTGCATTTGTTTAACGGTGGGGGGAAAAAGGGGAGGGGAAGGGTGGAGGATGGAAGAGAATAATCAAACATATAGATAGGGCAGGCCATGATGGGAGAGGAGAGGAGAGGAATTTGAGCTTATATAGTGATCTAGATCCCCTTTCGCCTCTTTTCCCGTGGCTATGCCATGAGAAGGGTGCTCTTGTTCCCCCAAAGTTGCAAGATACATCCATACGAGGTACATGGAGCAGACCGAAGCCTGTGGAATATCTGATACTGTGAGTTGGTTCCACGTTCTGATTTAGAATGTGCCCAGCCTTTTGGTGTGGACAGCGATCGCCCTCTTCTCAAGCTCACCTTTGTGCCGTTCGAGGCGTATACTCTCATGTAGTAGGCTGAGCAGGGCTTACTGATTTATTAGCGCGGATATCACCTGTTGTGTTGGAGGTCTTTCCACCCACGTAAAGACCTCCCAGATATTCACACATGCCTCAGAGTACGGCGATGAATGACATCTCTGGAATACAGTAGGCTAGCATTCCAGACACCACGGATGGGTCTTCAGCAGAAGCGGAAGCACGGGATGTTCTCGCGAGAACCTTATATTCAAGTCCAGGACGGCCCTAGACACCAAGGGAGGTACATGAGGAAAGAATTGTGTCAAGGTACGCTGTAGCAACGAGGAGTAAAAGAAACGCTCTAGAGACGCTATTTACCAAGGTAGCCCCGCGTGTTGTCCTCAGGTTAGCCTTCGAGTTGATCTAGCAAGAAGCAAATATCAAGCATTCACAGGGAATCAATGCTTCTGCACCAGCAAATCGGCGCAGGACCCGATTTAGCCAACGCTTGGAAGAAGCTGCCACCGATTCAAAACGCAAGATGAGTTTCAGCTCGAATGAATAGGGCAAGCCAAACAAGACCCAAAGACGCGGACGTGGTCACTCCGACGGAAGACCGATGCATCATCTGTCAGCTTGTGTCCTGCGCGTGCAACCCGAATTCGGTGGTTATTTCGATCTGTTGTTGGAAGATGATTCCGGGGATACGAACCATCGAGCCACGGGATCAATTTCACGCCTGGATTTGCACAAGGTGTGACTCCTTTTCGACTTCCCAGCAGATGGGGTGACAGGAAACGAGGTTGCTAGGATGGATGCATTGAAAGTGGCAAGACCATGCTCCAACGTCTTCTCCTCGACGGCACTGCGCGGAATGTCGACCCCCTCAGGACGAGGCTCTCGCATGTGCTTCTTCTCCACGCTTTGTTCAACTACCACAGTTTTAGGCCAACTCCACACTTAGCAGGTCTGGCGTCAGAAGTATCGTTGATAGTCTGAAGCCAGTTGAGCCAGGCAGACACGGCGGGCGAGTCTCGACAAACGTGTGAATTATCTCGTGGATTTTCCTTGGAATAGACGAATCAAAAAATTCGAACGCGAAAATGAGGCCGTTAGCAAGTTTGATTGGGCCACAGTAGGAAAATAGACAGCGCCTCAAGCTGGACCAGTGTGTGATATGCCGTCTCATTGGGCGATACGGTGCAATTTTCATGAAATTTCCGAGAGATGATTGGGGGCAAAAGGAGGTACACTTTGCAGCATTCTGGCAAACGAGAGAGCAGCACCAGTGGTGTGATTCGCGTCTGCGAACATCAGAGGCGATCGTTTGGGTCTTTGCGAGAAAGGAAGTGGGAGGAGCAGGAGAAAGACTGGGGCAGGCAGGCAGGTGTCCATTGCTCGTCATGCAACAACGCATCCGGGAGACAATAGCTTGATTGGGCACCCATCATGTTGACGGAATTTTTAAGCGAAGGGCTGGTGGTCGAAACGCATGCAACGTTGATGCTTACACATGAATACGGGTGAGAGTGGAGGAGGGCGAGGAGGCGATGAGGCGTATCCGGTAGAGGCGAGACGAGAGGGGCCTGGCTGGCTGGGTCTGGCAGGTCTGGGTCGGGAGGAGAGGAGGAAGAAGAAAAGAAAAAGAGAGTGGCAGGGTAGCGCAGGCAAGAAGGGCGAAGGATGCGGTCAACGCTTCCGAGGGAGCGGCAGGCCGATCACATGATGTGCACACAACACTTACTAACTTGTACCCAGTAGCTAGTGTTGCGTCAGGCCTGCAGCCTGTGCATTTGTTTTCTTCTCTCGCAGAGTTATGTGTCCGCATTGTCCGTGCTGTGTACAAGTAGGGGGTGGCATGTCCAGGTACATATTAAGGACGAGGGTCTGTTCTGGCAAGTCCTTGGTAGGTACGGAGTCGCTGATACAACGGCAGTGTGGTGGTGGCCCTCCAAACACGACACGCAGGGAGAAGCTGTCGACGAAAATGCGCGTGCGCCGGTCTCACCCAAAAAGGGAATAGCCTCGCCGTCAACCCACCAGGTCACGAGGCAACATGGTGGTTGGTTCTTGCCTCACCAAGCAAATTCAAGCGAGAAGAAAAACCTTGAGCAGGGAATCTCTCAGTAGTGACTCTCAGTAGTGACTCTCTGGCGTCACATTGTTTTTCCCTTTTCGCCTGTAACTTTCAAGCCCTGGCCGCTGAACCCACTTTACACTACAAGTACACACCCTGCAGTTGGTCGCCGAACACCTCCAAGAATCCCAAAAAAAAAACCTTGGAACCGAGTCAACTGAGCCAAAAGAACCACCCTCACCCTCATCCACTCATCCTCTGTCCTTTTTCTTCCCTCCCTTTTCTACCGCCCAATCGCCCCTCGCCTGCGAGTTTCAACTTCACCTCCTGCGCCCAATCACCCTCCAGCTGTATCGGGCTGTCACCACTCACAGCGTCCCTCTGCTCGCTACCGCTACCAGTCCTCGGTACCTACCTTGGTACCTACGCACGCACGACATCATCCGTTCCCTTTGCTCAGCACGTGGATCCCGCCTAGTCTCACAAGTCAAGTCGAAGAGGAGGTGACCAGCAAGAAAAAGTCCCGAACCAACCCGAGGCCAGGCGGCTCTCCAGCCTCTACCAGCCTCTCTGTCTAAAGCCGTGGCCGAATCATCTCCCTCACCCAACCCTCGACCTGGTCGACCTGGTCGACCGCCATCACCCAATTTGATTCGACTGCCCTCTCCACGATCCACGTTACTGGTAAACAATCACCACCTATCATCATTCACCCTCAATTCGGTCCTATAGAGCCTTGCGCCCATCGTCCATATCAAAAGGAAAATATCTAAACTCGTGGGGGAAAAAAAGATAAATTGTCGCCCTCGTGTGCGCACGCCGGGTGGTGATCTCATCAGTCCTCATCAGCCCCCTCGAGGACAAGCGCAACAAACCATCCTTCAGCCCGACAAGCCATCACCCTTCCCCCCAGTCACCCAGCCAGCTCTGCAATCTGCAAGCCCACCCACCGAGCCACTACTGCCATTACTCACCGCGGTAAACCACCCGCTCTCCAGCCCTCACCGCTGGCAAGCAATCAATCCATCACAACTGTGTGTCAATCACCGATTGACGCTCCGACCGCCAGTCTCGTGTCCAAAACTTCTCCCCCCATTACTGTCCCCGGCTTCCTCCACCGCCGCATTCCCGCTACCGCCCATTGACAGCGCTTCTCATCCACCGCACATTATTTGCCAAAACTTCACGTCACTGTCGCCCTGTACCGAGTAAATCGCGACTGCATCGACTTCGATCTTATTTTTTTTTTGGCTGTCGTCTCTTGTATCCAGAAAACGCGTCGGTGACCAACTTCATCACTGTTGCAGTCGCAGAAAAAAGTGCATTCGCGGTCCAGCGCCCTCTAGATTTGTAAACACGACCAGCTTCATTGTGTGGGCAGCAATTGACCGGGCTGTCGCATCACTTGGGCACGACCCGTGGTTGTTCCGAGAAGAGAACAAATCCCACAATCCCTCTCCCCTCTCCAAAAAGACCAGAAATTTCATCATCTACAAGAATAGACCCTGGCTGCCCGTCTCCGGGTTCGCCTTTTCGACGGTGGGACGGAACTAAAAGGTGAGTTGCATGGAGTTGCCAACACATCACTGCATGCGCGCCTCCAATCGATTGCTACATAACCATTCCCACCCGACCTCGTCCTCCAATAATCGCCTCTGCGCTCTACCAGAGCCAATACTGATTCACTCTGGCCTCAGTACGTAGTCGGGCAATCGAATCGCAGCTTACCTTCCTCCCGCGCCCTCGAATCATTCCTCTCACACGCCCGCAATCCAAACAAATCTATTCCATCTCGCGGCGCGTCGCATCAGAGCTTCGGGAACGCTGGACCAGCGCCTGAAAGCAGCGACGACGACAACAACAACAACACCACCACCACCACCATCACGACCCCTCGGTCGCCTGGAGAAAGCAGGGGAAAAGAGCTGGGACCAGAGGCTCCTGCGTGACGTTGCGAGGTCAGGCATCCTCATCC